AAGAACATCTTAATTTCTTAGAAAAACTAACATGTTAAGGTAAACTTGCTAACTAGGTTGTCCTATCTGTTTTATATAAAACTAGTAAAGACCTTTGCCTGCACTTAATTAAAGACATTAAAATAGTTTTTAAAAGTAAGCCTACTAATAGCTTTAAAGTATAGCTCTAAAGTGTGCTACTTAACATTATTAATGTTATCTATTAAACCTTAAAAAAGGCTACTGTTACTTAACTTCTAGTAGAAAAAGCTAGCAATTCTAGTGTTCTAGCTTAAGGTAATAAAAAGAACTACTATATAATATTTAATATTACTTTTATTAATGCCTAATTAATTTAACTATAAGATATTATGTAATAAGTTGCTTAAAAAATTAGAGCCTTCTAGGGCTAAAAAATACGTGTAGATAATTATATACATAAAAGACTAGAAGATATAGAAGTACACTAGCAGCCTAATTATTTAGTCCCTTTAATTATATAGCTTAGAGGCGTCCTGCTGCTTCTTTTTAATACTTTGTATAAACTTAGCTGTCTTTTAGTTACTTTACATAATCTATAGTTACTTCTTAAAGCTTAGTTTGTTAGTGTCTAGAGGTAACCCTAGCTGCTTTAACTATATATTATTATGTACTTTATATATCTTATTAATAACACCCTTATTAAAAAAAATAGCCTCTAAATAATTAACCTAACTAGAAGTCTTACACAGCAGCATATTAAGTGCTAGTATTAATAGTTTTTAAAGCTTACTTCTTTTAAATATAAACAAGACAGCGCTAGAGTAAATAGCTACTATTACTTATAATATAAAATATATAGTAATTCTCTTACTTATAGGATTTTAAACTATGCTATTAGACTCTATAAGGTGCTTAAGCTGTAGTAGCATGCTTAGTTTAAACATAGTTTATTTAAGCCTATCTAATAAAAGCTATAGGCACTTAATAATTAGCGCTGTAGTTAGGTTTTACTGCGTAAATGTACTAGTACCTAGTGTGTAGTTGCGTATACAGTCCTAAAAATTGTAATTGTTATATATAATTATAGACTACAGGTCTATTACAAGACATAGTAACCTAAGTACTATTAGATAACATAACTACTAACTAAATAAATATAACTTATAATAACTTTATCTTATTTACTATATTATCTACCTTTTTATTAATAACCTTATAAGAGTTATATAGACTAAGACTTAATAACATCTTAATAACTTATTACTTTATGCTACTACTATGTAAGTATAGCTCTAGTAGGCAAGTAAAATAATTTAACCTTCTTTAAGCCTAAGCGCGTAAAATAACAGCAGTAATTAAGTACACCTTACTATTATGCAAAGTCTTTGCCTTTAGATAACTACACTAGGCTGCACACTTATTACTTAGTATGCTACTAATAAACTTACTCTAAGCTAGAGCCTTTTTAGCTAGAGTTATGCCTATACTAGAAAAATTAACATCCTCTAACTTAGCATTAGGCTAATACTGCCTAAACAAGGGCTTCTTAAGTAAGACATTAAACTCCTAGTAAATTAAATTAAAATTAAAATTATTCTAAACACCTTAATTAACTTTTATTATTATAAGTAAGTTATACTTTTTAAGTGCTTTTTTAAAAATTATTTTTCTTTTACTAGGCTTTAAAGTCCTTTTTAGAAAAAGTTTATTTAGGTATAACTTAAAAAAATTACTAAGTAACTATCTAAGCTTATGCATATATATTAACATAAGCTTAAGCTTTTGTCCCTTTGTATAGTAAGTTAATGTTATGCAGTAAGCGTAGTCTAGTAATGTGTTAACTAACTACTTAGTAGTAACAGCACAAGGCGTCTTAACATTTAAAAAAGAGAGAAAGGAGGTTATTAGAACAACAGATAATAGTAACATTAATAAAAAAAGTATATTTAGTAGCTGCTAAGATAGACGCGGGGGTAAACATAGATGTAGGGTGCAGCTAGGGGAATTATTACTTATTTTAGTAACAGACAACGCGTAAATTGTCCTAAAAATTAATACATAGTAGCAGTACATAATATAGTTGCTACTACAAAGTTTTACAAAGTTTAGAAGACAGAAACATAGATAAATTAATAATAAAAGGTCCCCTTATATAAAAAGTAAGTAGTAAAGTTATAGTATTTAAGAAATAATTATAAAAGTCCCTTAGACAGCTAGGAAGAGAAAGCCTTTCTTACACCCTTATTAGCTAGAGAGATGGGGCTTGCGCCACTAAGGCCACTAGCAGGGGCTTGCCCCTGTCGAGGCTCTCTCCCCATCCCGTCTGAGCTTGCTGAGATAATCACACCTCTTAACTATCCATAGTTAATTTCCTCCCCTCGCAGTCATGTAGATGCAGGCCGCCGGGGAAGATTTCAACCGTTCAGTCTCTTGCTGAAATTTAGGGGGGCGTCAAGAGAGGATGAAGATTGTACCTTGAATCAGATATTTTCCAACTTTCGTCCTACAGCACTCTTCGTCCTGACAACCCCTACTTATAAACTCAATACAACAAGTCGAAAACACAAGTTTGTATCACTGTAGCACAACACCTTCTTACAGACTGGCTATTCTTAATGCGCGCAAGACATGTATAGCTTTAGTTGACCTATCATGGGCTCGGGTAAATTCTGCTACCCTCAGCTCTCCAATACCTAACTTTTCAATAAATTCGACGAATATGAGCGATATAGCAACCTCATGCCAGCATTCCGACATCATAACATTCGATGGAGTGCGTTGTTGCCTTGCCTTGCCTGCGACACTGCACTCTCTAAGGGCCTCCCCCCTCAGACCGTAGCTCTCAGAATTTCGGTGAAGAGCCTTATTCTTACAAACTTCTCGACTTTAAGCTCAGATAAGAAATCAGTCTAGTAGTCCTCTTCTCCGGTTCTCCGTCTGACGATATTATATGTGGTATCGTACTCGTATTGACTCCTGGATAGCCCGAGCTATGGGGCCCTCTTCTATAGGTGGGTAACTGAATCTTGAAATTATTCACTTTCGCAGAAGACACAGCGCATTCTTGTCATGGAAAACCGCAAGACCGCTCTCCGCCTGAGAGGAGTAGGGGGGAAACCATTTTCTGGATAGATGTCACCTGCATATATGCTTCAACCAGACGGATATCAAAGAACGGAGTGATCAAGTCACTACCATGCCAAATATATACTTCGGTGCTTTTGAGGGTTTCGTCTATCTAGTTAATGGAATCCACCCTTGGAGGACAGAGCCCATCGTGAAATATCTAAGCGATGACATCACAACCAACGCGGAATATCGTTCGTAGGTGGACGTATCCCTGTTTGATATGGAAGAATTCTTAAGTATACATTAGTTCGATCGAGTTTGAGTGATTCAGGAGATCTTGTACCAGCCATTAGGGCAAAGAATCCCCGGGCGATCTGTAATGGATATCAGTTAGGCGGCGGAGTTCCGGTTTCCTGACCGAACTTTACAAAAGTCTGAATTACTCGTCCCGTGATCCGCGGGATAACGTGTATGCTCTGTTAAGTTTAATCGATAAAGGATGTAAAGAGGTGCCTGAGGTAGACTACTCTTTTTCGAGGTTGAGCTTGTTACCCGGCTCGCCAAACAGTTGGTTTTACATCGGAGAAGTCTCGGTCTGTTGGCGTACATTATGAATAATAGAGGATAGTCGGAAGTACCTAATACCAACGTAACGCTGAGTTAGGTTTCAAAATGAGATGAGAAAAGATGGTTCAGCCCCCTACACAGGCGGAAATGCTTCGCCTCCCGACATAGCCATTTACTTTAGAGGTAATCTCCCAGGCGATCTCTTCCATTAATCCTAGGCCCAAAAAAACCCCCGTGTTATCAACCTCCACATGAAACTTTCTCTTCCAGTACTACGTATAAGACTCTCATCGGCGGGCCGATGAGGCTCAGAACCTACAGTCGAACATTTTCATATCGCCAGACCAAGTGCCTAAGTGTGATAATTTCGGCGGCAATATTCCATCATTTAGAATTACAAATCTGGCTGGCTAACGGTTCATCTATACACGTACTATTAGGCACTCTAATTTCGAATTCCGTAATAGAGACATTGATCACACTGGATTGAAAATCTCAAGAGTCCATGCATATGGCATATGTCTAAACACAATTGTGTCGCTAGTACTGTTGGTTGAAATTTCGCCTAAGAGCTTCTAAATTTGCTTCCACCTTTTGGGATCACACAGGGTCCTCAAGTTGTTAGCATCATGGCATTACTGCTACGCCTTGCCAAAGCTATCCTAAGGTGCGGGATTTACTCTTCGACGAGTGGTACCATGCACGAGACCCAGATGTTCTCAAAGAAATTTACCGGTCAGGAGCAACTCGAACTTTGCTTTTATATACCATGGATTCCTTAGGAGTACTCTACCCAGGTTGAAAGCTAAGGGCAGCGTGTGGGCGTTAAACGAAGCCGGTGCGCCCTTCACCTTACGCAACACGAACCATTACATTTTTATTGGCGCCTGCTAATCGTACTGAACATTGCTGCAGTATCGCCCCTGTACCTGTTGCGACGCACATACGTCTTTGTGGCTGATCACTACGGAGGTCATCAATATCTGGTAATCTACACGAACTCTCTTTTCCAGTAAAGCAGAAACACTGGATGTATTCTCAGAACGGAAGAGGCTGTACTGAAGGACCGTACTCTTGCCGGAATAAAGGAGAGCGTCAGGAGGATACTAATATATGTCCTAAGACACACTACCACATCCCACATTAAGTGGCAAGAGGTAGTACATTCACCGCGAGGGCGTGGCTTCACTTCAAGGTGAAAATGGAGAAACCAGAAAACCAAGGCGGTCAAATGGGTGGGAAAGAAACGCTTAACATATACAGCCGGCTTCATTTGCACTGCAACCTAGCACCGACCATCCAAGCGCTCCACCCATCAGTCGAGAAGGTCTAGACAGCTAAGCAACGGGTTAGGAACACCTCTAGAATCTTTCCGCCGCAGACTTATTATCCTACACGAAGCAATGGAGGATGTTGAACCTCACCCTGTCCCTGCAAGCGGTTACAACTCTGAGGGCGACAACCTCAGTGAAGACAGCCTGTGTCCACCGAACAGAAAGGATCTCTATAATTCGCACAATGGTTACAAAGATAAGCCTGGCCAGAAGTCACTACAAGATGGTATCGAGGATGCGCTGAACAGCGTCGTTGAGCAAGAAGTAAGCACCCGAAAAGGCACCACTTCGCCGTTTGGCTCCACCATACGAATGCTTATGTTACCTAACACAGGGCATACGCCTTCAAACGGCAATCAATCGCATTCTCGAATGCATGCATGAGCTGAACACTAAGATAGAAGAGTTCCGAGATTACGTTGCAACCCAAGATAGCGACAATACGCCGCTCTATCAATGGAATAAGTATGAAGAATTTCCCCGCATTGCTCAAGCCACTCATAAGCTTGGTACCGCGATCAAGGTGCTCAAGATTATGTTTGATAGAGTTCCAGGGGCGTTGGCCCCAGAAATACCGATCGCTACGAAAGCTAACAATTTCCCCTTGCCTGTCTTTCCAGAAGACTACGCAACCGCATGCAAAGACGAGGCCCTCCAATGCTCCATTTCCATCAGTAATGGGGCAGCATATGTCATGGAAGTCGTCAACCAAACGACGGCTAAATGTATTGATGAACTGGAGCTGTCGTCTTTGAGTCAAGGTGCTCGGAAGGCTGCAACGGAGGAGATGTCCCGGGAACTTGCCAAGATCATGAAGTATTCGACCGGAGCTACCGAGCAGGTCTACCTGGCTAAAGACCTGTTGATTAAGGCCTTTGAGTCTTGCACCACCATTAGGCAGGCGCCAATGCAGCGCGATAGCACTGATACTCTAAAGTCGACTAAGCAAGACATGGTTCGCAAGGAGTGGGTGGGCGGGTTGCAAAAGGGTGGTGCCTACATCATCCATGGCCTCGCAGTCATTGGCGTCCTTCTCCTGACCCTCCTGGTCACTGCTCCTTTGAAACCGAATATCGTGACGCGAGGGGATCTTAAAAAGGTCGACAATAGAATGGATCTGATGATGTTTTCTATTATGACGTATGTTTTTGAAGAGAACAGTGCCATGAAGGCTCGCCTTGCTGGACTTGAGAAGCTGTCTCAAGTTCAAACCAACAGGAGCGAAGCGATCCAACTCCGCCTCGACAACCTCTGGGACTCTCTCGGCATTCCGGATGAGAACGGGATGTATCGGTTTGACAAGGAATCTAATCGGCTGAGTGAATTCTTGGAACACCAGTTGATAGACCTCAAGGGCGAGCTCCTCAAGCAGGCGAAGACACTAAATGATATGCGGAGGCAGAACCACCTGATGGACATCCGTCTGACAAGGCAGATTCAACGCCTTCAGCCCCGTGAGTCGAAATGGGGGTGGTGGAAGACAGAGGATGCCGATAGGAAGAGTGAAGTCGACGAGGGGACCTGGGAGAACGACCGCGAAGAGAATGAAACACGGGACCTTTAGGATACAAGCGGAGCGTTCAAGGAGAAGACTGTACGTCTGAAGGATTTGGTGTTGCTCATCTTTAACATCAAGTGGGGACTACATGGATGCAATGATAGCTACTCGAGGTGGCTTTGAGGCAAGATGTTGTGCCGTGCGTAGGGACGTGTGATGTGGGCTGACACATTATGTCGGCAGTGCCTGACTCAATTTGGGCTTGCTTTATCTTGATGTAGCCTTGTGGAGAACGTTTCAGCTTACTTCATACAAGATTCCTATCCTTCCACTGGAAGGAAATTCATCTGCAATCTTCGCATACTGATCCGTCTGGGTTCTTCTTGACCTGTGCGTCTTCGGTCAGGACACTCTGCCCTTCTGACCCACCTTTCGGTTCTTCTTGACTTGGTTTCTCTTCTTTCTTCTTCCCATACTTGTCCGAATGACCTAGATCTTTGCTGGGGTCTATGTGATCCCTTACGAGTTGCTTCAGCACTTTCGTCTCTGCAACGCGATTTAGCCTCGCGACCTTGGGTGATATGACGATACTAAAAGCATACCTGGGAAGCCTCCTTTCTCTTTTCGATCCCAGAGCAGCACCTTCTTCACGTTGACATCTTGGCCCTCTTGAGCCGATTCAGGTGGCGTGTATGTCTGCACTCGAGATCAGTCTTCTGGATTCTAGCGATTGCAATGACCTTACCAGCTCCACTTGGAACAGCCCACCGGTTGCTGGTATCAGAGCTATTTCGCCGATCTGTGTACTGAACGTTGATAGGAGTTCTTGACCGAACTAATTGTTCGTCGTCAACACGGGAAAGGTTCGAGAAGAAGGGAGGAGTTGTCCTACATATGCTGCCCTCAACATCCACCGACATTGCGTGCAGTATGTGATAGCAACGCGGGGTAAGGATACTGGCGCAGATTGGATTGATGCCATGTCCTATGTTTTGGGGTCGAAATTGGCAGAGCGGAATCCTTGAGCGTCTTATCGATAAGCCGAGGGATTTTCTACCTCATGTTGATGCACATTTGTGTATTACTCTTTTGCACAATTGTCCTCGAAGTACAAGTGTATTCACTATCTCTCTGTCTAAAAACAGTCACTACTAATGTGAACCACGGAGCGGAAGTCAGGAGATGCCGGAAGAATACCCATTTCAGGGCAAGTCCTAGAATAGACTAGCAAGCAATGCAAAAGTCGATGCAAGTTTCCGACCACACTAATCCGTATTAGCCACCAGCCCAAAAGCCATCTCCAACCATCAATCTCCTCAACATCAAACTATTTCTCTTGGACGCCCTTCTCGGACCAGCTTGCATCCCGCCTTCTTCTTACCATGTGAACTCTAACACAAGCCCTCAGCTCTAGGCTGTGCACTTCTCGTCCCTGGGTTCCGCTTCCCTCGAAACATCCGAGCCGCCGGGCCATCGCGAATCACACTTTAGCACTGGCCAATAACGACATGTAGACGGCATTTCACACTTCACCAGCCGAAAAGGAAATATTGACAGAAAACAGCGTATATGGTCGATGATTCGACAAACAAGCTTTCTAAGGCACGTTGCCAGGAACGGGCGTGGCTTGAATGGCGTTCATTCACCACGGTTACTTGTCCGGGAGCTCTTGACAATGTGCTCTCTATGTTCTCCTTGCAGATTCCCCCGTGCAAGGTTGGAGCAGTGAATATGTACATAAAATCAGTCGGTATGCTTCTTTGTGAGGGCATTGCCGTCAGCCCAGGCTTCCCTTCGTTCCTTACCTTACTCATTGTCATTCTTTTCGCCACTCTATCATGATCACTCTTTTACTAGCTGTGGTTGCTTGGCTATTGGTTGCGGGATGCACCGTCATTGCTGCTCCCGTCGCGGTGGAGAAGAGAGGTACACCAAATCACTTCTACCATCGATCCAGGTTAACTGACTTTTTGTCTTGCAGCTGTGAGCTCAGATCTCCTCGCTACGTTCCAGTTAATGGAGCAGTACAGTGCCGCTGCATACTGTCCAAGTAACAACAATTCTCCTGGAGACAAGGTCACTTGCTCGTCTGGGAACTGTCCACTCGTTCAATCTGCAAAGACGAAAACTGTCACCGAATTCGAGAAGTGAGTTGACGAAGTTCTTGTACACCAAGATGTCGGTTTATTAGATACTGTACAGTGTTCTCTTGTTTTGAGCCCATATTTTCTGTAAGCGTTGTCTATACACATTTATTTCTTTGCCTTGTTTCGCATGCCACCGTCTCCCCTTTGTTAATTTCATACTATTCATTACTATTCACGCCGTTTAACAAAGTGGTGCGTCACTCTCGTCAATACCTTGGCCTAACCTCCCACAGCTCCCTCAGAACAGATGTCACCGGCTTCGTCGCCGTAGACAGCACCAACAGCCTCGTCATCGTGTCCTTCCGAGGCTCAGCCTCGATCCAAAACTGGATCGCCAACTTCGACATTGCAGCCGTGAATACCGACCTCTGCACCGGCTGCACCGCACACAGTGGGTTCTGGAACTCGTGGCTCGAAGCTCGAGACGGAGTACTCGCCGCCGTCAAGTCCGCATCGCAAGCTAATCCTAAGTATAAAATTGTCGCCACGGGCCACTCCCTTGGCGGCGCCATCGCGTCTCTTGCTGCAGCACAACTGCGTAACTCTGGATATACGGTGGCACTGTATACCTTCGGATCCCCCAGAATCGCAAGCCCTAAGCTGAGCGACTATATCACGAACCAACCGGGTGGAAACTACCGCATCACCCATTGGAACGATCCTGTTCCGCGCCTTCCTCCAATTTCGTTTAACTTTGTGCACATCAGTCCCGAGTATTATATCAACAAAGCGAATTTGCAGACTGTCGCGGCTACTGATATCAAGACATATACGGGAAATGTTAACTATAATGGGAATACGGCGTGGATTCTGACGGATATTGGTGCGCATCTGTGGTATTTAAATAGTATTGCGAAGTGCTCAGTCGATGGGTTGCTTAATGGGAGAGAGACTGGGGGAGATGTGGAGGTCGTTGCCAAGTTTTGATCCATGAGAATAGTCGTCTGTTCTGAGGATTTATTAGCGTGATATTATCATGGCAATTATTCCTAAAGCTAAATATGCTATGTGTAACTCTATGTGGTTATCCAAAATCTTTACCAATGTATGTAAACCAAGTGATAGTTTATCAATCACTCCCTCTCATTTCCTTTCTTCACGGTTTCTATCCGATCTGTCTTCTCTACCAAACGATGGGTCCGCGGCGGACCACGGCACTATGCAAGCCTTTGCTCTAAGCTCTTTGTTCTTTCGCACTAAAGTCTCGAAACCCAGCCTTCTTTTCATCCAACCTCCACAATATTCACCTCTTTCTCAAACTCCCCACACAAATGGTCCTGCCACACGTGATCCACCAGCGCAGCTACGCTATCACACACAGTGTCGTTCTCCCTATGCACACTGCAAAGAACACAAGCATACGGCCCCCCATCTCTATGGGATTTAACAACGAACCGATTCTCGAGCAAAAACACCCTCTCCCTCCCAATCTTACTCCTCTCGTCTTCCTTGACGATTTCCCAGGCTTTGCCGGGACGAGTGGGGATTCGGAATTTGCAGTAGGGACACCGTCCATCGCCGCCTTCTTTGTATGCGTCTGCCAAGGGCTGGTCGGCGTGTTTCTGGAGGTCAACTGCATACATGCAGAATAAGCCGCGGGGGACTTCGCGCTCGGTGATAGCAGTGGGACCGGTGCGGGTGGTGGTGTTGGAATCCATGCTGCGGTCTCTTGCACGTGGCTTTGTGCGGATCACGATCTCGTTTGTAACGCCTTCTAATGGTGGGGCAGGGAGACCCTCGGGGACTCCGACGCCCGTGAGCATGCGTTGGTATTGGAGAGCAAGAGCTTCGATGGAGCCTGAGCGTGCGGCGCGGGTTGTGTTGAGGAGTGTGGCGAGGTGGTGGGAGACGGGGTTAGTTCGGGGGCCGTAGATGAGGGCGCATTCTTGGAAGATGGTGATGATGGTTTGTTGCATTGCGATTATTTGCGCTTGGAGTTGATTTTGGGTAATTACTGTTTGAAGAGCTTGTTAGAATGCATAAACTCGAAAGTGACCTTGGGGATCGAGAATCAAGACGTACGATCTCCCACAGCAAACTTTTGTCCAAGATGTCGGTATCCGCGTTCATACTCCTGGCGCACAAGTGCCCCAGATGTACACATCGATTCTTCGTCGCTGTCGCTGTAGTCTGCGCTCCGCCGACTTCCCCTACTTCTGCTCCTCCTGCTTCGGCCGCCATGTCGGTCAGGACGTTCGTCGGAATCGTCGGAGTCACTTCGTCTTCGGGGTGACATGCCGTGGCGCTCTTTCAACACTTCTACATCTTCCTCGATCCTTTTCTCTTTCCTTTTGAGCTTTTTGTATAGATCGCTAGCGGAACCAAACGAGTCCATCAAAGTATGGACAAGCGAAACGACAACAACGAGGTTCTGAAGGATGCCCTTCGCCTGCGGAAGCTTTTGTGAGAACGAGTCCACCATGATGTAGTAAAAGAAGAATCGAACAGAGATGAGATGGCAGCGAGTGGAAAGAAGAGTGCAGGTCTTACAGAGTCAAAAGTAGCAAGTTCCTTCATTTTGCAATAGTACGATCATGGCAAGGTGGGCAGTGGTTGTAGATTTTGCCATTCAACTAAGTCAGTGTTACAAGAGAGCATATATTCTTCGGTCACGAAGGAATGTAGGTTAATTGAGCGACACCGGTGGAGTGACCAGGCAGCCGTTGACACATATGCGGTGCATCAAGCCGCTGCTCCATGCTTCTGTTCAGCTGCATATTACAGTCAAAGGCATCATTCTATTGGGCGCGCATCACGAGCTCCGGTCGGAACGAAGATGGGCGAAGAAAGGGCAGAGACAGTGGGAGCCGACAGGGCCAGATGACGTTCGCGGCGGTGAGCATGTCTGAGTCTCCCCATATGGAATTCGGCTGGAGCGGTGACTTTTTACTGGAGAGAATTCGTATTCCAGCCACGCAACTGTTGTGCATGAATACGCAGCTGCGTCAAGCTCCAAGAGTGGCTCAGTCGGAATCGAATGTTGTCGCCTAAATATTGACAACTCAGCCTTGGAAGATGCTTTCTGAGGTGGTCAACAATCTCTCTGCGTGATTTTTGGAGGAATACCGAGTATTTCTAGCTTACTTCGTCAATCTGTCAGACAAGTCTTGAAATCACGCCACGTGCATGTCCCGCATGGGATGCCACAGCATGCGCCACCGAAGCACGCCGTCACGTTACCCTCTTTCTCACCAAGATCATTGCTGATTCTTTCGCAAGGTTCAGGGATTGATTTTGGAGATCTAGATGGGAGAACGAACAAGTGGCCAAACTTTATTCTACGATTTCGGTTCTGTGATCGGATAGGCTTTCTGACGACTTGTCGTTGTGACGAGGTCGCTGTAGATATCACTGAGCAACGATGGGCACAGCAGCGCAGAGCTTCCTCGACTGTCTGGGCTGGTCTAGACCAGGTTTGAGTCGAGAGCGGTAGGCGACGATAGACAGCGGGAGCTGGAGAACAGTAAGTGGTGGAGTGGCTTCAGTGCGATTCAAAAGACCAGCTCACACTATGGCATGTTAGGCTGGATGAAAACCAAAATGAGATGAAGAAAGACGCGGAGGAAACAAGAGGAGGCACAGAGACTGTTACTTTAGCGGAGTCGCTCCTCTCAAAAATGAGAAGGAGAAGAGGAGAAGACGACTACCTGTCCTCTGCTTCACGATAGATGCAATTTTGGGGACGATACAATACACCAGCGAAGAGGTGGCGTTCGAACCTGCTGCGAGGCCGAGGGCAGGAATTGCAATGGGAGGTGGCTGCCATTTTGCGGTCATACGCGTCGTGATTGGCTTGAAGGATAAATGTGATAGGAAATCACGTCGCAGCCAACGATGATTGGCGGTAAATGTACGGATCCGTACTTCGCACTCCTTTCCTGCGCATGAACGGCTGGAGTTGAACAGCGTCTAAGCTATTTAAGCTATTTAAGCTCTTTAAGCTCTTCAGAGTGACGTCCTGCTGCTGCCAGTTGCGGCGTTGGGGCTATCGATTCTGTGGCTTGGCGGTGTGTTGTGGCTCGGACCGTGACTTCTCTCAGTCACCCAGGAGACAGTCCCTCTCTCTCCTCACCGTTACGCCCAAAAGCAAATAATCACCATGCTCGTACATTGACAAGGTCGACATTGTGAGTCCCCGTCTGCGCTCTTTAGCCCTGAAACCGCGACACCGTCTTTGCTTGTAAACAAGATTACAGACGCGTTTCAGCTGATCCTGGTCGTAATTTTGACCAGCATCTCCCAAGTTGTCTGCACCCAAACTCCCCAAGCCAACACACCATTCCACGCAACCACACCCGCTCCCACCTGCACACTCACTGACGGCAATTCGCCTTGGTTGCAGCCATGTCAGCCCAAAATCGTCAAAGCAGCGGTGTCCGGAACCTGAGGGCTATGTTTGAGACCCAAAACGCTTCCTCATCTCCTGAACCCCGCAACCGCTCTCCAGCCAACCTCGACGACCGTCCAGTCTCTACTAATAAAATTCGAGCGTCGTTCGTAGCGGTCGGCCCCAGCACCAACATCGCAAAGGACCTGGGAACTACTAAGGGCACTGCTGACGGCGTAAACAGCACGTCCACCCAGCGCAGAGAGAGCTTCAGCGTCAGCCAGGAGGTTGGAGAGGATACCGTTGCTGAATCGAAGAAGCGGGTCACCGAAGAGAAGGAGGAGCGCAAGAACAGCGACGCCACTGCCGAGACTGTTCCAGAACAGGCCGTCGCCGAGAGAGAGTCACCTAGACCACCCCCTCCAATCCAGGAGCACACAACGGACAAGATGCCGAATCTTGGGAGCATAATGAAGGGCTCCGACTTCCCGGAGCCCGCGACAACACAGGAGAATGAACCCAAGGTGGAGGAGCCAATCGCCCAGGCAGCAACTGCGACCGAGCCAGAGCCTGAGCCTGAGCCTGAGGCCACGGCAGCTCACGAGCCTCCCGCCAAGGTTGCTGTCGAGCCTCCCGCCGAACCTGCTGTCGAGTCTGCTGCCGAGCCTGCTGTCGAGCCTGCTGTCGAGCCTGCTGTCGAGCACGTCGTCGAGCCTATTGTTGAACCCACCCCCGAGAAGATTGAAGAAATACCGGTCGAGAATCCGGACAACATTGTGTCAGGGGCACAAGAGACATCTTTGAAACAAGCCGATCCAAAAGGCAAAGCTGCGGTGTCTGGCGGTGAAGTGGTCCCTCGACCAACCGAGCCTCTTCCGACGCTGAGCACTCCCCAAGTCGCGCTGGAAGCTTCGACAGCAACAGAAGCACCAAAAACTTCATTGGAAACCCCTTCCAAGAGTAAGGTCGCAGTTGCAGCAGCTCACGCTGCAACGAATGGAAAGCCAGGCACCAAGAAGCCTCTCGCAATCTCTACCTCCAAGGCACCTATTACCAAAGGAAGCTCTGCAAAGAGTCCGTTGCCAAAGTCTCCAGGCCCTGCTCGATTACCCAGGACACCAATCACACCAAAAGCAGCCCCTGTTGCACCTGCCAAAAAGTCTCCTGCGCCCGTGAAGGAGTCGAACAAGGCTCACGCCCCTACTCCAACCAGCAAAGTCCATGCTTCTGCTTCGACCAGCAAGGGGCATTCTCCGGCTCAGGCTAGTAGGACTCACGCAGTGGCTCCAACTGCTAAAGCTCATACCCCGGCCCCTATTGCTAAGTCTCATGCACCGGCCCCAACCACCAAGTCTCATGCGCCGGCTCCAACCACAAAGACTAGTCGAGCCTCCTTGAGGCCTTCAACGGCTTCCGCTGCTGCGGGGGCTACTGCAAGCGCTGCGGCAAAGGGAAAGACAGCCGTGCAGGAGAACAAGAAGCCGGCTCCTACAAAGTCGACTGCGCCTCCGCCTCCCAAGGACGGTACCACAACCTCTCCAGGGGGGTTTAAGAAGCCTAGGCCCAAATCTCCTACGCGTCCAGTTCGTTTACCTTCTCACTTGACGGCTCCAACCGCCTCCTATGCTGCAAAGCACGACGAAGAAGCCGCCTCGAAATTAGTGCGCAAACCATCTACTGCGTCCCGTCCCGCAGCTCCGAAGACAGCTCCTCCAGCCCGCAAACAGCCTTCCCGGGCTTCCCTTGCCCCAAGCACTGCACGTCCGGATTCTCGAGCCTCAACTAGAGGCGCTCCAGATGAGGGCTTTTTGGCCAGGATGATGCGGCCGACAACAAGCAGTGCTAAAAAGACGCAAGAGAAACCTGTCTCCCCTCCACGAAAAGGGGTTTCTACCAGGGCTCTCCCTAAGCCTAAACCTGGGCAAGAGAGCACAGTTGCCAAAGGGAAGAAGAAGGTTGGAGAGGTGGCATCCAATGAGAAGGAAACCGTTGCAACCAATGGTCACAGTGCAGGGGACGCCGGCCCGGCTGAACCAAATGGAGCTGGTACCAAAGTTCATGAGGAATCAGTTCACAAGGACCTAGCTGAGCCCGAGCGGGAAGATACTCCCTCAGATCAGGTAGAATCCTCTGCCGTAGAACTGCAGACTCCGAACTTCGGTGAGGGTCAGGCAATCCGCTAACGGGTTGTAGACAGATAGCGCGAGCCTGTCCTCTGTGTCTTCTCGGTCGACAACTGAGCCCTCATCTCCTTCTATGCTGATAAACCACATCTGCATCTAAGCCGTCCAGCGCAAATTTCCCCGTTTCATCTTCTTCCACCTCTTTCCTAGCGTTCCCACCCCAACTCTTTCTTCGTATTAGCATTTGCAGGAGCACAGCTGGGGGAGCTTTACCATTACCACGGGGTGTTATTAGGGTAGCTTGTCTGGCATGGTTCTTGCACAGCTTTCTTGTTGAGATCCATTGATCCAGTCACTAGTGTGCTGGTTGGATATATTCAATTGACCGACTAAATTGGTATCTATTGTGTGTGATGGATAAGCCGAATGGATAGATAGCTTGGTGTTTGACCCCAATCCAAACCATCATTATCAGAAGGCCCACCGAAGAATGGCCATTGCAGTAATTTGTTAACGGTGCCCGTCTGCCGGGTCGATCAGAATACGCTAGCACGTGACTACGTCTCGGCAGAAACTCCGAACCTCCGAAGTCTTGTCGAACTTTTTTGGGTGGTGTCGTCTATTGAAGTCAAAGCAGACGGCTGCGTCGTCCTCTCTTTTCCTGCTTTCCTGCTTTCCTGCACTTCCTGTAATCAATTTTATTGCAGATGAGGGTCCAGTCCCTCACCCGGGCGCAATCGCTTGCGGCGGCCTGCATAAGAAATAGTTCGAGACAAGCTGCACGAGCTCCCTCGAGATACACTTTGTTGACAGCTGCGATCCCACGCGCCAGATATAACAATGGATTGATCACTGGTCTGAGACTGAATAACGACAAGACGTATGGTCAGAGAAGATGGCAATCTGGCGCCGCGGCTGCAGTGTCAGTGCCAATTGAAGACAGGGCGATGCGCCGTACTTCTGAGAGTAATTGATTGCTGACGAACTTGTAGGCTCGAGAAAGCTACCGCAGACCCTTCCACGCTCGCTCAAGATATAATCATCGATAATCTAGATCCTCTCGAAGCGGCGCGATTGTCGAAAGTCAGGAATATTGGCATTGCGGTAAGAAGATGGCCCAAATTTTGTCTCCAAGAGAGCAGGACAACTGGTTTGGGTGGAACATGGCTGATATATGCTGTTATGATAGGCACACATTGACTCCGGCAAAACGACGGCAACCGAACGCGTCCTCTTTTATACTGGCCGCATCAATAGCATCCACGAAGTGCGCGGCAAAGATGCCGTCGGCGCAAAAATGGACTCGATGGATCTCGAGCGTGAAAAGGGTATTACTATTCAATCCGCGGCTACCTTTTGCGACTGGGTGAAGAAGGAAAACGGACAGGAGGAGAAGTACCACATCAACCTAATCGACACCCCAGGCCATATTGACTTCACAATTGAGGTGGAGAGAGCGTTACGAGTGCTGGACGGTGCTGTCATGATATTGTGTGCTGTTAGCGGCGTGCAGAGTCAGACCATCACTGTTGATAGGCAGATGAGGAGGTACAATGTCCCCAGGATATCTTTCGTTAACAAGATGGATCGAATGGGCGCGAACCCTTGGAAGGCTGTAGATCAAATTAACCAGAAGCTGCGGATACCGGCTGCAGCCATTCAAGTGCCAATCGGACGAGAGGACAGCTTCCAGGGGATTGTAGATCTTATCAGGATGAAGGCTATCTACAATGAAGGATCTAAAGGAGAAATTATCGTGGAGAAGGAAGTTCCAGCAGACCTGGTCGACTTCGCGAAGGAGAAAAGACACAAACTGATCGAGACTTTGGCGGATGTCGACGATGAAATAGCGGACATGTTCCTAGACGAACAAGAGCCGACGCAAGAGCAGATCAAAGCGGCAATCCGACGTGCCACTATTGCTCTGAAGTTCACCCCGGTGGTGATGGGCTCCGCGTTAGCTGATAAGTCAGTCCAACCCATGCTGGACGCCGTGTGCGATTATCTCCCCAATCCCTCCGAAGTCGAGAATCTGGCGCTTGATAAGACACGAAAAGAGGCACCAGTCAAACTAGTGTCGTACAACTCGTTGCCGTTTGTGGGGCTGGCGTTTAAGCTCGAAGAGAGCAACTTTGGACAACTAACGTACATCCGAGTCTACCAGGGAAGCTTGAGAAAAGGTATGAATGTCTTCAATGCTCGCTCAGACAAGAAGATCAAAATTCCAAAAATTGTCCGCATGCACTCCAACGAAATGGAGGAAGTACAGGAAATTGGAGCTGGAGAAATCTGCGCCGTATTTGGTGTCGACTGTGCGTCTGGAGATACCTTCACTGATGGATCTTTGGGATACACCATGGTAAGAAACGCCTTATTCCCCAAAAGCATTAGAGATGCTGATTGATGTAGACCTCCATGTTCGTTCCTGAGCCTGTCATCTCCCTCTCCATCAAGCCGAAAAACAACAAAGACACGTCCAACTTTAGCAAAGCCATGAATCGCTTTCAACGTGAGGATCCTACCTTCCGCGTCCATGTGGACCCTGAATCCCAAGAAACTGTCATTTCGGGGATGGGAGAACTGCACTTAGACATTTATGTCGAGCGCATGCGACGAGAATACCGTGTCGACTGTGAAACCGGCCAGCCGCAAGTCGCATACCGAGAGACGATTACCCAGCGCGTAAACTTCGACCATACATTGAAGAAACAAACAGGTGGATCCGGAGACTTCGCCAGAGTTGTTGGGTGGATGGAACCCAGTGAGTCGCTCACAGAAAACATGTTCGAACAACAAATCTCCGGCGGCACGATTTCCGAGAAATTCCTCTTTGCTTGTGAGAAGGGTTTTATGGCCTCCTGCAAAAATGGCCCTCTCCTCGGCCATAAGGTGCTCGGCGCCTCCATGGTAATCAACGATGGCGCTACCCATGCTGTCGACTCCAGCGAAATGTCCTTCAAGAACGCAACGCAACAAGCCTTCCGTAAGGCCTTTATGGCTGGGCATCCCCAAGTCCTCGAACCCCTCATGAAAACCACCGTCACTGCACCCAATGAATTCCAAGGCAATGTTGTCGGCTTGTTGAATAAGCGTAATGCGGTCATCAATGACACTGAAATTGGCCCAGAGGATTTCACAGTCTATGCGGACTGCTCACTGAACAGCATGTTTGGGTTCAGTAGTCAGTTGAGGGCGAGCACGCAGGGGAAAGGAGAGTTTAGCATGGAGTTTAGTCATTATAGTCCAGCGCCACCGCAGCTGCAGAAGGAGCTTGTGGCGAAGTATGAGAAGGAGCAGAAGGACAGGAATGCGTAAGGAACGTGTAGTGCACTAGGCAGAAAGAGTGATATTGCTAGGTTCCTTTGGATCTCATGATAGGTTTGCGTCGCATTTAGCAAACGCACCCTAGGATGCATATAGACGATGGGATGGTATCTGGATTGGAGCGAATATGGACTGTAAAATATTGTAGTTTGTGGTTTGTGCATGGTGGTATGTGGGGGGAAATGGTAAAGGAAATAGATATCCGCTCGACTCCTATATGCGCGCCACGACGCAAGTGTCTTTCTAGCTTTAAGTGACTACATTTGAAGGACGGAAGGTATGTGGATGCTTTCTTACCCTTTAACCCTTCCTTAAGAATATATCCACCGCTTATACGGAATAAACAGTGTTACTACCTTCCGATCGACACTGTGAAAATGAGTCCATAAGAGATAGGATTTGAATTACAGCTCAATTCTCCACCAACCGCTCATCCACCCATTCTCCAATCCTATAGTCCCCTAATCCCCAACACCCACCAAACCTACTCCGTATCCAAACCGGGCATAAAATTCCTTCCCCCCATAAACGCCCTCCTAACCGCCAAATTCACCTGCGCAAACCCCACAACCTCATTATGCCCACCATACCGCACAACCTCCAACTCCACACTCCGTCCCTTCCTACCCCCGGCTGCAGCCTCCACATCCTCCATCTTCCGATACGCGAACGCGCCTCGCTTGACCCGCTCTCCACCGTGAATACTCCGCCGTTCTTCGAAGGATTGCACGCCTTCTTCGCCGCGCAGGATGGATTCACAGCCTAAGAAGACAGCTTCTCCGAGTTTAAAGGAGATGTCTTGGTCGTTGCGTGCGTGGAGGATGGATATTTTAACGGAAGTTTTGGAGGCCGGGGATGCGGTGAGTAAGGCTTGTAGACGTGGGAGTGTGGGCCAGTGGTCGAGGATTCGGGAGGATACGAGGTTGGCTATGCGAGGGTACGGCCGTAGCGGAGAGAGGATGGGGATTATACCCCGAACTTTGTAGGATTGGAGGAGCGTTGTGAGAGAGGGGAATGGTGAGATGAGAATGATTCCGGCGAAGGATTGTGGGGGGAGAGAGGGTTTGGGGGGAATGATAGTGGGGGGAAGCGAGGGGCTTGAGGGGCTAGTGAAAAAGAGAGCGGATGCGGCGGTTACGGCGGTGCCGAGGGATTGGCCGAGGAGGACGGTTCGGGAAGAGGGGTGTTGGAGGGTGGTCAGGAGGTGGTGGATTAGGGTGATTCCGTCGGTTATGAGACCTGGTTCTGTGGGGAGATGGGGGGGATTATTAACTGTGGAGTACCCGAAACCCCGGTAGTCGCAGGTTAGGATGTGGGTATGCGGGATGGAGGTTAGAGAGCGGTAGGTGTGGGTTCTGTAGCCTTCGGCGATGTGACCAGCGTTCTATGGGAACAAAGGTTAGAACATAAGTTGCAGATAGAGGTAGGTCTATAATGAGAAGAGAAGTCAGGAGGCTACCCATCTAGATCCTCTAGGCATGTTGCAAACTACCATGGAACATGGTAGAGTTGATTCTCCTCCGCGGTGCTAGTAAGAGATTTCCTGGACTAAATTCCTCTTGATAATACTCCATGGTAGATGCCAACATGCTGTAATAGAGTCCACAAAAAGGAAGTGAGAGGACGCGAATGGATACAAGAGAAATACTTGGGGAACTTACCCCATGAAAATTCACAACAATCCGACTCTTATGATCCTTCTTCATCAATCTGTACCCTACCGTCGTCGTCAGATCATCCACTAACCCCGCCGCCTTCTGTACGATCTCATTCTCATGATCCAGATACACATCTATAGGAAGCACGTGCCAGCAATACAATGTCTCTCCGTCCGGCGTGCGGAGATTGAAAGGAGTTACCTGGCCCTCTACAACCCATTAACTAGATTTCATATGAAGTTATCTGGGAATTGAAGGCGACATACTTGCAAATCCAAAACTCTCAGGATTCGAGACATTATACCAGAAGCCGGAATTGATTTTGTGCATATATAGGGCACTTGCATGTGAATTAGTGGACTATGATACTTACTACGAAGTCGAAATTATTGTTGCTGAACTTACTGTCTCTGGAACCAAGGATTCATTAACAAGACCATAAACGCCGCCCATATACCTCCAACGCCGGCAAGCACCCAATACGATTTCTTGAGAATGGGGTGCAGTGACGGCATTGCGGCGCACCAAATCAGGGAGAACCCAAACGGAAGTCGAGTAACTCTCGCGCTTTGGTGGGATGAGAAAGGAAATCGAATAAACAGAGGGAGAAGCCTAGTATATCATGAGTAGAAGATGCAATTCGTCGAGCCTCGATGATGCAGGCCAGGTGATGGAAATGGGTCCAACATGGATGCACGAGTGTCGTGAAAGAGAGGAACGGGGCTAGTCTGTATTAGGAAGGCTGGATAATTGTCATCTTCAAGCTTGGCAAGTGTGTTCATCCCCAATTCATAGAACACCTCTAACTTTGAGAAAACCATGGCCATCGAGACGAACAAGTCAGGAGCAGGTTCTCAAAAGCAAATTTCAAGATATAGATCATCACGCGATCCATCGGTCTAATAACCCAAATGCTTACAGCCTTCCAACCCACCATTTGTTGGCACTAACTCCCACATGTAAAAAGTTTGTCGCGCCACGGCCAAAAATTGGCCGGTGCATAAATCGGGGATCTCGGAAATAGGGTGTTTGATCCCATCCCAGTGTTTAAGGCCAGCGAACCACTATTCGGGCTACCTCAAGCTAGATGAATCATGAAGCACCCGAACTAGGCAAAAGCGCGAGGCGGCCATGTCAGCGAAGAACGCCACGGTAGAACTTCTACATTGAGAAGATACACGAGTATCAATGCAATAAAAAGGGCTTTGAAGGAAATGATAGATATACGAAATTTGTAGCAGCGCGAGGTGGAAGTGTCAACTAAGGCGCCACCTTTATACACCTCCGGATTCCCTGGTTTTACTGATAGACTGTAGCAGAGATAACCATGTACAATCTACCACAGGGGAATGTCTACTTTGAGAAAGAAACAAGCAGCAACGCAATGAATAGTGCCTTCGGAGGAGATAGTAGGTATATGAAATTTCGAGTACTGATAGTCGTACAAGATGTTGCTTGTGATTCCGAAAGATCTACGTACGTCTATTGCAAAATGTCGCATCTTAGTAAAGCAAAACAACAAAATAGTGACATGCAATCAGTTTCCTCTAATCCCTAAAATCCCTAGCTCTAGGTTACTGCTATACAGCTCGCTGTATGTCCCAAGCCTTGCAATAAAACCGAACTAAGCATCCTATTAGGCTTTCACTGGCTCTGGAATGAGATTCAACAAATCAGATCTTCCCTGCTAATATCTCGTAAGTTGGTGCTAATATGCAGTAGTAGAGACTAAGGGCTTCCGCGGGACTTGATTCCACCTCACCACCCTAGCCGTCTACTTCGTCTGCTTAGCCATCGCGTCGGCAGCAGGAAGCTCTACAGGATGGTGATGGTTATCAGCCGACATCTCAAAGGCGTGAGGTTCTGAAGCGGCGTTCTCAGAGCTAGGATGCCTTATTAGCTTGTCAGCAGTCTGTTCGAGCGAAACAAGTACCTCGAAAGTTCGTTTGAATTGGCATAATATGCATACTTTTGAGCAGGTGGACAGTACTCATTGGTGGGAGCCTCTGAAGGATTGTACAAGGTTCCAGGCTCTTGGTACCTCGCTTTGTTCGCTCTCTTCCGTCGCCAGAAGAAGAATGCAGCTGCAGCGAGAAGGGCAGCGCCTCCTACTCCTACGCCGACGCCGACACCAATAGCGGTTGAATTTGGTGACGACTTTTGCTCCGTCGCACCTGAGCTTGCTGTGGCTTTGACGGCGCCGGCGGTAGCACTTCCGGTCGTTTGCACTGAGGAGCTGGAAGGCTGGGAAACGGTGGCGGAGTTCGAGGCAGTAACTAAGGAAGTAGCCGAAGTGGACGTGTGAGTGTTCGTAAACGATTCGCCGATGATTGTCAGGGTATACAGTTCTGCGGTAGTGAATGAGAATGTTTCAAATTGACTGCTGCATTTGCAGTTGTCAAAACAGCAATACGAATCAGTGTTCGTTTGGTTACAGCTGTATACTGGCACACCGTTGTTATCGATGTCTGAATGCAATTAGTAGCAACTCCTGCTGGTTCTACTAGGCTTCGTACCCAGACACTCCCGAGGGCAGTTGCTGCTCTTCCAGTTCTTGTCGGTACATGTTCCCCGATGGAATCGTGCCGCCGTCGCGTTATGTGGATCTACAATGAGTTATATATCACTTGCATGACGTGCATTCTTGGGGTATACCTGAGACGCAAAGCCCATTCGAAAGACATGCTTGGCCCTTTAACAATCATGAGCAAAGACTTTGAAGATGAGCAAATAATCGAGAGGTGATGTACCTCGAAGCAACAGGTAGACACCAAGGAGTTTGGGTTGCACGCTGTGTCGGATCCAGATTCATCCCCATTCGGGAAATAACTGGAAGTGCAATGAGCTAGTGTTGAACGGGAAAGGAAGAGGATTTTAGTACCATGTCTGAGCAAGAGCTGTGTATGAAAGGGTAAGTATAATCGTATAACCAAACAAGGAGCACATGGTGAAATCCTTTTTCAAGAAATGGAGAGACCAAAGATGAAGCCCGAACCCAAACCCATTGACAGCAGGACCAGGAGATTTAAGCCCAGTAAGGTGCCGCTAAATGAAAAGCCGGATCTTAAGGCGGGCATTGCCTTGAAGGAAGTTGCCGTTATTATTGGATAATAGCCCCATAGTAACTCTCTGCGAGTTGGATAGCGCTGAAGATCCAAAGCCTTCATTGGAAATAGTCAAGGAGGGACCATCGCGTTTCTTGAGACGGCTAAGGCTCTGCTCCCTGTCTCACTCACGCCTGTCTCCTCCATCTTGACCGTTGAGGATAATTGACCGCCAGTGCATGAAGACGCACGCCAACAGTTCGCACTGCAAAGGGGTCTGATACAATACCCGATGCAGAGGATGGATTGGCGACTTGGCGGATGTTGGATGCAAGCATCCTGGAAATGTCCCGGTGCTTAACCCAGTAGGTGTGGCTAGCGTATAATCAAGCTTTAACACGTGAGCGCTAAGACACACAAGGCAATGCTACGTCTTGGGTCCATTTCATCCCTCGTCAACACCGCGGTGCTCTTCACGCACGCTTTCACCGGGGACCCCGTTGCTTTCACCCACCATCACCATGACAGAGCCTCGACGGTCAACGCGGGCGCGGGCTCGGGAAGAAGCCGCGCCGCCTCCCCCCCCAGAGCCACCACAGGAACCTCTAGTGACACCACTCACGAAACAATCGTTGAAGCGTAAACGCACCGCCGCCGCCATGAAGGACTCAGCACCGGCTACACCAATATCTGAAAACTCCCTTCAACAGCCAAAACAAGTTCTACCAGTCCGATTGATCGAGGGCCAACCACTTCCGACCTTGACAGAGCCGCAACCCATGGACCTGTCGGCAGAAGAATACCAGTCCATCCAGCAGAGGTTCGTTATTTATACCACATATTTTGTGCTTTGAGTTAATATATCTCTATTTCAGTGGTATCCTCGGCGCTTCCCTACAGCGGTCCCGCGCGGTATGGACATCTGGCTCAAACTTCCGACTATTCCACGCCTTCTTTACCGGCCCGAAGAAGGTAGCAGATCGAAGCGAAGAGGACAAGCAGAAGCTTCAGCGGCAGAAGGAGATTCAGAAGAACTTTCCACAATTAGGGGGGGGGGTAGAAGTTCAACTTGTTGTTGAGCCACATACATTTCCGATCCGCATGTACGGTCCAAGGGAGACAATAAGAGCAGCTCAGAAGAAGCCGCCTACCTACGGCCAATGGCCCAATCATAACCAATACCCCACGTACCAGCAGTACAACAGCCCGGCGTCTCCATACTTGAGGAATCCCATGCCACAACCGAGACCCAGTCAACCAAAGCCACCACCACCGAAGCCGGCTCCATCACCCTCGGCCGGTGGAAGTACAACGCCTGCACCAGATCCTGTCATCCACATGCTGGCGCAGCGGGCGGGAACAGATCCAGAACTGAAGGCTGTAATGAAGATTGTGGCTGCAGGACAGGCTACCAAACAACAACTTGAATTCTTCCAAGGTCACATCAATGAGTTGTCGCAGATACTGCAGAGGCAAAAGGAAGCAGCAGCGCGAGCTCTTCCACCTCCAACACCGAAACCCCAGCCTCAAGCACCTCCTCCACCTCCTCCTCCACCTCCACACATCCCGCAAGCTCCTCCAAGGCCAGTGCAACAATTGCAAAATACGCCAAAACAGTATTCACCAGGCCCAACTCCGGTTCCCCAGAATCAAATGCCTTCTACACAGCTTCATCAGTCACCATATAACAATCCGCATCCTCAGCACCAACCGCATACCAGTCCCTACGTACCGACTAATCAACCCCAAAGGTCCACATATCGTCCTCTGGTATTTGATTTTGTCGAGGGAAATGGAGACAAATTTTACTTCCCCTCATATAGTTACATGGAATGGCTCCCGAATAATCAGGGAGCGAAGTTCTCATTCCTTATTACAAAGATGAAGCCAAAGCCAAAAGAACTCACTCCGAGCGCCACACTCACACCTAATCCAAAAGCAGTCGCGGCTCCTTTGCCGGCCCCAATTCAAAGCGCCGGGTCGAACTTGCCTACAACAAGTATTGTAAATCTTAATACGTCTAATCCAGTACCCTCTCAAAACATGCACCCAGGGCCACCGCAACCTCCAGCTCCAACTCCAGCTCCGACTCCAGCTCCAACTCAATACATCCCACCTCCTCGGATTGAAGACTTTGACGAGAAGAGTGATATCAGGGACATTGAAATCTACCAGCCCGTAACAATCATCATCCTCACCAACAACTTCGAAATTCTCCAATCACTACCCCGAACCGTTCGACCTCCTGATGTCGTGGAGAAGTATATGAATGAAATCTTTGATACTTGCAAGCGGGCAGAGGAAACATATCTAGCGTTCAGGTTGCCGAGAGAGAGTGCTACGGATGGTGAGGGCGAGAGAGGCGGTGCAACTCCCATTGTGTCAACACCCAACGCTGATGTGATACTGACAGGAACGAGCGCTGGCGTTGACAAGAGGAAGGGAACAGGACGGTCAAGGAAGAGCCTAGTGTTGTGAGTAGCTCGACGTTGGCGCTCGCGATGCGCGTATGTCCTTAGGGATGTAATTCAGAAAGAGTACGGTTAGCCTGCGCTTCGCATGAAATAGCTACCCTATCCTTCCCAAATCCATTATTTTAGACGCCCAACTCGATCATAGACATCGAGTCCCAGCCCAGGTAAAAGAAGTAATTGAAGAAACAAGCAATGTCAGCTTCCTCGCAATTGATGCAATGACCCCGACCCCCAAATTATTGCACCACCAAGCATATGGTTCATCTGAAGTAGAGACCTTTAGCGAGCTATTGCATAGCGATGGACGGACCTGAGCCTTTTCTGTAGCACGTGGTACTTTGGTGCCATGCGTAATCTCCGTTCTCCATCGTTTTAGACCACATAAACCATGCTTGCGGAGTTGAATGCTCGGCCGCCAAGCAATTTTGGAGTCCGATGGAGGGGCTAAAGTGGTGGGGTTCGAATGAATATGTTTCGCGGAATATGATTTCACATATCGACGGAGTCTTGGAGCGACAAAGGGCCTGGTATGTAAGCCACCCTTGGAGCTGAGATTAGAAAGAATCAGGATGGGAGAGATGAGAGGAAGGCATACGTTATCAGGTTCTGCCGCAGCTAGAGTACAGCCGCAACAATAGAATTAAACAAACTTGGAATGGTATCAGAAATAACCACAACCCAAAATCCCCTGACGTGGGAAAAGCGAGTCTAAAGATCTGACGTTGTATTTAGCAAGGGGCGGCACAGAAACACCTTGTTCCATACACAATCATCCCCGTCCCGATCCAGCTGTCCCAAACCCCACCTAAACAACCCAACTTACCGCCCCCTCGTCAAAGTCCAGTGCAGTGACCAGAAGTTTGAGAGATGCACTGAAAGGGGCCCGGGGATGCTGCTTAGTTCAAGGCACTACTGAATGAGCCGCAAAGTACAGCTTTCGCACAAGAACATTCTAGAGATTTCCATTCCAATTCACAGTTTACAATAAGAATAATGCTCCCCAGAGTTACTACAGCTCCCAAAAACGGCCAAGAATATCCAAACTCTCGTTGAGTTTTCTTAGAACGGCACCACTCATATTTGGCCAATGGGAATTCTCTAGCTAGTAACTCAAGCAGACCTCTTCAAGGTAGAACAAGCATTAGATAGTCACAGCACTAGGCAAAGCAGAGAAACTCTTGAGCTTTATTGAGTGGAGAAGTACATTGGTATTAACATCCCCACCTTTGAGACTCTGCGAGAGTGGTGTAGCACTTTACGGAGCCTACTGAATCATCCGAGCAAATCGTAAGGCTAAGGTTGTATAGTTATCGAGATGCGGAATACTCTTCAATACATCCCGACTTAGATGCGGGAATTGACCGGGAATAAGGGTATCAAGTCAAGATCCCACTCTTTGGGCTATCGTAAAATCGTCAAAAGCTGATATGGGAGGTCTCAAATGCTTCCATGAAACACGGTTTCGTAGATTCGGGTAAGATGAGTGGCAAATGGTAATCGTGCTCCTACTTCTGCTCCAGTTGAATCTAGTATGAAAGGATACGCAGTTACTCATTTAGGTGTCAAGTTGGGTTTCAGGGTATGGTTTCCAACACATGGAAAGAAATTTTCAGTCCTAGCAGGGTGTAGATAATTGTGGCTGGTGCCGGCTTAGACAGTCTTGGAGCTGCCATCGTACTCAGAATCGCTGGCCACTATTTAACAGTGCTTGAGGCCGCGCAATTGAACTTGGGGCGGAATTGATCGTGAATTCGAAAGTTACCGACATCCATTTCGGCAAGATAAGGAGCAAAGCCACGGTAACGGTTAAGGGTCGAGGATACCATGAGACTGACTCCAAATCCTGCGAGTATGAAATCGGCACACAAGAACCGCCTAAACGCACTGGTGATATGGCTTACCGTCTGCTGTTGTATTCCGAAGACATAATGGTCGACCCTGAGATGCAACCTATCCTGGAAGATAGAGCAGTGATTTAATGGTATGGTTCCGGCGATCACATCGGTAAGATCATCCAGAGCTGAAAAATGCCAGCTGCTGATACTCAAGCCCAGTCACCTATCCCCTTCGAGAAAGGTTTCCACTTAACATGGTTTACTTGTTCTAGACGATATGCCTGAAGATGGGCTGTCGGCCTTGCAAGGATATGTAGACGAAATGAAAGATTGGTTTAAGGAGTGGGATCCAAGGTAGCCCGCCTACTCTAACATTTACTTCCCTACTGCTAATGAGAAGTAGGCTCGGAAGGCTCCTAGCCCTGTGCAAGTCCGTCCTGAGATGGCGCCTTTCCATTCGTGAAAACATCGACTCGTGGGTGCTTCCAAGCGGCTTCTTACATTGCCCGGAGACTCTGTCCATGCTACACTGCCATACTTAGCAAGCGGAGCTCGTATGTCTTTCGAAGATGGCGCTGTGCTTGGCGAATGCCTCTCACAAGTACATCTAGCCACTCCAGCTGAGAAGAAGAGGCACTGGCTGTATATGAGAAATGCTGCAAGAGCCGGTCCGAGACGATTATTCAGCGATGGAACATTCAACAGGATCTTAACCACCTAGATAATATAGAGGAACAAGAGGAGAGGGACAGGAAGATGAAAGCATTTGATGCTGTTGAACTTCAGTGGCACAAGGGTGATAAAAGACTGTTGCCTGACGGGCTGAAGATTGGGGAGGATCCTCTCACATAGACATGATACGGGGTAGGGAATGACTTCTACGATACGGCTCTCAGAAGGATGTTGATGAAATGTGACCGAATGGGGGAGATGTGAAGCTGTAGAGTATCATTGGAGAACAAGAAGAACATAATAGCAGCCCTTCCCTAATCAGGCCAGTGTCAGTCGGATACAGAAGCTGGTTTAGGCGGGAGCCTCCAACTTATAGGCTTCCTATGAGTAAAATGTTTGCTCTGGTTGCTAGCAACGTAAAGTCTTTGGAGTCTTCGGGTGATAGGAAAGGAATAGAGCGTCAAGAGGTCTCAATGCGTCCAGGCTCAATGTCTCCAAGAAGAAGAAACCACCGTAGCAAAAACTAAGGATGTACTGAGAACAAGGAAAGCACAAAAACATTCTCGCACGAGTGTCTAGACCTCGCGTTACATTTAACATTTTGCGGCACAGAAACCATTCCTCCTAACCGAATCCCTCCGTTCCGCTGCGGACGCCCCTATCGATAGCGGCCTCGAAAAACCCTATCGATAAATAAACGAGCACCAGTTTCCTGCAGGAACGCGGCGTCCATCAGAGCTTCCTTCAACGTCTACCACTCGGACTCCCAACCCTTTACAATCTTGTAATCGGTGCTAAAGTATTAACGCATGAATATGTACGTGTCAACAGCACAGTATTCAGCTCGTCCCATCCCTCCTCTCAGCTCCCATAGGATCCAGGAGGAGAAGAAATCGTGAAACGGGACTTACTTGCCACACAACCCCCTGCACGCATGCAGCCGCCGTGGCTGAGCCCTCGCGCACCGCCGAGGCCAGATGATTTTCGCCTATCCAGTGCCCCAAAACAGGCCTCGCTTCAGCCCGCCTCATCTGTCTTTGGCAGGCGGGGCAAATCTCCAAATTGCAGGGTAAACTCAGACCGTGTTTCGGGGCTACTAGGGGTGGGGTCTTGTGCCATCAGACCCAAGAAATCGGGATTCGGTGGCCAGAGAAACAAAAAGGGCTATAAACGTGAAACAACTAGACTGAAGACTTACTGGCCTTTTGTTCATTTCGGAGCGCTTGTGGTGGTGTGGGGGACTTGGTGATCAGTGGACGATAGATCTACGGGCGAGAAGGATGAAAAAGGAGGGGCGTTGAGCGGTGCAGATACGGAGGCCGGGGGAGAATAAGGGGTCTGACGCTTCGAGAACCTGACTGGGCCTTGTATGAGTGCGTGGAGGGCTTGCGTGGAGGGTAGGTAGGGTGAGTATTGCAAACCTTCGGGCAAGCTGCCAGATTTCCAGATGAGAGTGAGACAGGATGAGATGCAATGTTTGAAGTTGAAAATGCTCTTCGTATTTGTACGATGCTTATACTTGTATATCTACATTTGGTATTCCAATCCTTTATGTGAGATATCCATCTCACGCCAAATATAACTCCATAAATGCAAAGATGGATCCAGAATACGTGAAGAAAGAAGTATACACCAAACCGGTCTCAGACCGCATGTCTCCAATGAATGAATGCCGTACAACCAAATCAAGCCCTAGCATCCTTCAATTTACACCAAACATCTGTGATTGAAAACCTCCGAAGAATGCAGTGCGGGTGTGTGACAAATGCATCTGTTTTACGGGATGCTTAGTCGCTTGGGGTGAAATCCTTGCCGGGGACAACCCTCGCGTGAGCAACGCGGCCTCTAAGTTGGCGGTTGTACACAGCTCGCTTTTGGATGGTACCATTGCTGCAAGTAGTACCAGCAGCAACATTCTGCCACACAACATTTCCGTTGTTGCAAAGACCGAATTGGTTGGCACCATTACAAACGATAGCGCCGTTTTGAGAGCAGGTAGCTCCTCCACCTGTTGACGGAGCAGTAGGGGAAGCAGGTGTGCCAGTGCCTGTGCCAGCAGCTGGTGCGGAAGTTGCTTGCACTGGGGTCGAGGGTGTCCCAGTAACTGTGACGAGGGTGGTGAGTGTGGATTGAGCTGGAGCTACACCGGCAGCGCTGGAAGATGCTCCTGGAGCGAAGACACCTCCTGGGTTGGATGGCGCAGCGGAGGACACGGCTGGGGCGGACGAAGCAGGCTGGCTGATAGGAGCAGAAGAGGGAGAGCCACCAGCAGCCGAGGAAGCCGGGGTGTTGCCGCCTCCAGTAGAGCCGCAGTTGCCCGTCGGGTCTTTCACATCGTTTGTGTTGCCCATTTGAACTTCGGACCCGGGGTTGGGGAACTTCGTGGCAAAGTTCTGAGGGCTGGTGCAGCCGTTGTTGATGTTGGCAACGAACATGTCCGGGAGTTGGTCGAACTTCGAGGTATCGCTGGCCCCACCAGTCACCTCAATCGGTGCACAGTTCATGTAGAGCTCTGGGGCGCCGCTCATCTTGGAAAACCAGGTCCAGGCAAAAGTAGCCTTGCCATTGGGAATAGCGTCCGGCAATTCGAAATCGTAAGTGTTCGTCTGTGCTTCAACACCAGGGCACCCTCCCTCGATAGATTTGATGACTTTGAACTTGGAATTGGCAGTGGGTTCAGTGTCCATTGTCACGCTCAGCTGGCAGGATCCACCTCCGTGAACGGCAGTGCCCTTGAAAGAGATGGTCTGCTTAGATCCAACAGCCATTTTGTTCATCGTTGAAACGGTGAACCCATTCTGAGACTTGCAAGGGAATTGCGAAGCGGTAATGGGACTGTTGTCAATCTTGTCGACACTATATGGAACGGGCTGGGCCATGATAATGTGGGCACTGGCAGAAGCCAGGAAGACAGTTGTTGCCACGAATACTGAACGGAGAGACATAATGACAATGTTGGGGTCGTGCAACGACAGAATGCTTAAGGATTGTGAGAAGAATTCAAAATTTGCTAGCCCAGCTAGAATGAGAATGAAAAGCACAGAGAATGCACAAAAGAATGTATAGTGTTCAGAGAATGCGCTGTAGAGATGAGACACATAGTGGTTGAGGAAGCAGTTTATATATCTCTACTGAGGTAGTATTCTCCAGGCGACTCCCTACCCCACCGGACCTCCTTGACGATCCCTCAATCTTAGAAACAGTTTCGAGAGCAGCACTCGGAAAACCAAACAATTGCTTAGTCGGGCGTCGTGCCATGGCGAGCGTTTACGCTATGAAACGGGGGGGTGTGAGATGGCCCTGGAGTGCGAGCCAAAGAAAGGGCGACATGCTTGAGGGGTTGACGCAGGTACATTAATGCACGGGGGCCAAGAGGGGGAGTCCGCGGTGTTGACGATGGCAGTCCTTTTGTTCCCTGCTGGTGAAGGTTTCGTTTGGCTGCTGCTGCGGCTACTGATTGGCCTAGAAAGGGTCGCTAGTTGGGCCACGAAAAATTCCAGCACCCCTGTATCAAGATGTGTCGCACTTGAATGCATCTGATCCCTGCAAAGCTGGACCGATTGGCAAGTCACTCGCCTTCTCTTGCTAGGCTGTCATCTCATCCAGCCTGCCGCTTCTCTACAGCTGCTCAAATGTTCAATAGGAAGTCGAATACACTGATCACACCCTTTTCTCATTCGAAACAGAAGAGTGGCTGCTGAGAAGCGCTCAGGCTTGACGATTGACGCAACCAGCATGATTTTTCACCTCGGCTGGTGTCCTTTCCCTAACGATCCAGAAATGTTTCGAAGGTGATCCTTTGCTCAAGGTCCAGCTTGGGTAATCCAACCCCAAGGCTGCCACTCTGTCCATCCTTCACTATGGAGGCCGTCTGCGGTTTCTATGCGTTTCTAAACATGTCCAATAGAATGCGGCCTCGAAATTGCAGCACTGCTTTTAGGAAGTCCGATGTGTTTTGCTAGGAGCTGAGTCTCAATGTAACCAAACACGGCATTGCATAATGGTGTGGCTTCACTAAAAATTGCTTCACTGTCTATTCATTGTTTTAGGATTATCGCTCATGAGTATAGTCGACCTCTTTCCAATTTCCGTAAGGGAACTCCAGCGGCGAGGGCAATATGCCCGACGTCCCGGTCGCCTTGCACATCTGCAACGAACAGTTCCACATCTTTCAGTAGCCTCGCCCTTTCCATAGCATCAAGCATACTCCCACCTTCGGGTACCTTTACATACGGGTTCTCATACGTCATACTTGTTACGAATCCAAAGAGCTCAGGACCAAGGGTTTTTCGTTTGAGTACCAACGATGCTGCTCCGGTGAGGAAGATAACCCCAGCAGCCGTTAATAGAAGTGCTAACCAGGCAAAGTTGCAGACGTACATTTCCTGCGTTGTTGACAGGGTAGCATTCGTCGTCGCTCCAATAAAGGATATTCCCGAGGGTAGTGCCGTATTTTCGAAGGTCGCCCACCACTTCGAGAAGGTCGTGTTAGAAGCCGAAAGATTGCTTGGTAGATAGACATTCATATCTGCTCTAGGTATAGTATCCGGGCCGTAGAGCGAGAAATTTGCCGGCAGGTCTCCAAGATACGAATTTGGGGCAATGGTGAGCTGGTAGAAGGTATTCAGCAGGAGGGATAATCGCCTCGAAAAGGTCTCTGCTGATAGAAGCGATAGGTCCATCCATGCTGGGTTAGACTCTAAGTTAGTAGTGGGTGATACGAAGGGGAATGCAGAGGTGTTGAAGAGGAACTGCTCCGTTGGGGTGGACCCTCGGACCCAGTCAAATGTACTTGGAAAGGCTTTGAGGAATAACTCGGCGATTAATGAATGATCGAATCCAGTGAACTCTGCGGGGCGTTGGTCTGAAAGCGATATTCGAGTGCGTTTTGCAAAGCATTGAGCTTTAGCGCACTGTATTTCTGTCTCGGTGTGGATCTGAGCAAGGGAGCAATTCGCAATATTCAAGAAGGAGTCTTCGGACGAAGTTATGTAGTTTGACGCGTAGGTTATCTTTCGTTTTTGGAAAGGGTGGCTGACTTTCGAATCATTGACGAAGCCGAAGAACGCATCGAGACGACCATCGTCACCTTGAGTTAAGGGAATGTCGGTCTGGAGAAAAAATGTTCTAAATTGGCCAAGCGGATTATTCTCTGTCGACATATTCTGCCATATCTGACCAGGGGCGATTTGTTCTATCTCAGTAAAGTTCTTGTCCGCGGCAATCTTCATTTTCTTGAAAGGCTCACACTGGGTAGTGAAATGGGTCGTCTCGATTCTAAAGATAGAGTCCTGGTCCCGCGGCCTCCCAACGATTGGGATTCCAACTAGTGAGTAGTAGTCTTCCGCTGAGGATAAATTCGAAGGAAGGTTAATCCACCCCTGAGAGTCCGGTCGCGAGGTATTGGCTAGATCTAGACGAGGGATCTTAACGTTCCCCCACGTATCTTCTGGGCCTTGTTTGATGGTGTCAGGCGCGAGCAGCGCTGCTGTGTATAGCGGTGTGACTTGTGTCAGCTTCCCATTGCTTTCGACATATGTGGTGGACATCGCCCATGCTGTTCCTGCTGGACCTGTTGACAGATATCGCAGTGGTGCAACGGTGAAATTGGAGCTAGGTGACTTCTGCAACAATCGAAGAGATGCTTGGCCACCCAAAGGAGACATGGACCAAAGGAACAATAGATTAGCCCCAACAACGGTAAGCCGTCGCATTAATAGCTGGCTTTCGACAGTTCCCCACACTGATTGACTGGCCATGAGTAGTTCGAGAGTCTGGTGTCTTTGTTAGTCCTAGGGAATTAATTATAGCCAATTGCTAAGTTCTCCACAGGCATAAGCAAAGAAAAATTTACTTACACTCAGCTTAGCTCCTCTCTCAGCCAGGTACCTAGCGATCATCTTCATGCTCCGCCCACTTATTGCAGCGAAGACAATGGGAAAGATGGTAGGACCCTATGTTACGTTAGTGTAAAGACTTGATCAGGCTATGGTCTCGACCTACAAGCTGAATAGCGAACTCAACCTTCGAGCCGAACCTGTTGTTCTTTGTAGGCTTGCCATTAAGGGTCACAGCCGCAATTCCAAGAACTACGATTAGTCAGTGCTGAAACTCATGCACACTGTGGATCACTTACGGATGAAATAGATAGGTAAAAGGACCAAGACAATATCTCCAATGAGGTACAGGTAAGATACCCAATCATGTTTCTTTAGTGGGCTTCCATCATGTGGCCAACTCGGGACTCTGGTAACGGTTGTCTCCCAAGTCTTAGATCTCGTGTCCATTGGTGGTGGTTCTGGCATATCTGATGGTCCCAACCCATATCCGAGAGATCGACGGCGGAGTGTGCGCTCGCGCATCCACGAAAGCAGTCCCCTAGCCATTGTGGATGTGTTTGAGTATCGAATACCAATCACTGGCCTTAGGCAGGAGATTCAATTCGACCAAGAGTTCGCACAGAGCGAACCCCTTCGGTTTTGCCCTTCCGGTGACAATGTGGCACAGTCCATTTGTAATCATATATGCGGGAGGCGACAAGACACCGCCATGAAGGGAGCGGCTATCTGCGACGTCTGGATGCTGTGTGAGCGAATCGTTTGCTAGCTTTTGAAACGTCAAGCACTAAAATTGGCGCCTGTCGTTCCACTCCATTTTGGGGGCGGTCTAACCGCCACAGTGCGCAACAATCGATATACATAACGGATAAGAAAAGGAAGCGCAAAATTAACACAAGTCCAAGAAGGCGGAATGTCGAAGAGAAAGGAGTATAGGAGCATATATGATGGCGGCAGATAGCTAAATCATGAAGCATCATGAAGCGTAGTGCGTTGTTGGATTTGTGCAGAAGGCACGTGTCCGAGCGTTTAGCGCTTGAATCCGGCACTGCGAAAAGACATTTCCTCTCCATTAGATTTTGTCTTCGCTCTTCCTCCTTCACTTACAAGACCTCTTTCCAACCCCCTTAAGCTAGGTGCTAACTTTACAGGCTATTCGCACCTCACGTGTAACATTGGCAAGGTAGATTTTGATGAGTTAGACCTCTTGCTGGAATTCGGGAGGGTAATAATCAGATTCAAATATATGTTCTGAGCTACCCCTCTCATATTCCTATAGTCAAGACATGGTTGGTTGGATTCTCATTGACGCCAATGGATCCACTATCTTTGCTCCCACATCGTAGGGTAGGTTTGAGGCAGCAGTGGTATTGTCTATTCTATAATGCATCATTATGAACCCCCTAATCGATTCGTAGTACGAATTGCCCCAAAATTTAGAACTAAGAACTTCAACAGACGATGCCCAAAAAGTGCTCGACCCGTGCCCAGCAGGGGCAACCCTACTTGCGGAGGGTATATTCACGACTTTTCTCCGTTCTATACTGGACGATTCTTTGTTATAGTCCTAGTCCCAAAAACTCCTAGTTCACACCGCTTCATCGTGTTGAGTACAGCTACCCAAATGCACAGGGTGGAAACCGTTCAAAATACGTCTCGGCTACTCCAATCAAGTCCGCTTGACATTTCTGAGTTCTGTAGCAACGCATGCGGAGTTCGTGCTGTTATAGCGTCTTTCTTTTGGCGGATTTGCCTGTCCATTAGAATTACGATTCAATGTCACAGGCCTGAGGAAGAATTGCTGAATCGAAACGCAGTTTGGAGTAGCTTCACTGTCAGCATTCCATTTTGCGCTGGATGTGGGGGAATACCTGTGATTGAAAGGTATGGTTGCATCTTTCTAGTCAAGATAATTCAAGGTTCATAGAAGAGCGCTTTTTTCAACTTCGTTAACACGCAAGTATGCCCATAGCTAACATCAGATTTAGGTGTCCATCAGGCAGTGAAGAAACAATTGTCAACAATTGGATCCAGACACGGAATACCCGAAGGTATAGTATGATTTACTCTGCCAAAGATTGCCTTAAATATGTATACATAGTAATGTGGCAACGATATGTCAATTCAAACTTCTCATTTAAAGTCTGGTTCTACGGAATTTCCTTCATGTTCTTTGCTCACATTTTAATTCACAAAGGTCAGGTAATGACTGACCAAATGCTTGACCCGCTCCTCAAAGCCTACATATCTCATTCTAAGAATCACTTCTGACTTCGCACGATCAAATTGGATCGGAGCTGTCACTACCCTCCCATCATCCGACAACTTCCCCTTTGCGACCGCAACAGGAAACTCCTTCGCAGCAATATCGAAAGTTTGCTCCTACTTTACCGTCTCTGATGACACTATATCCCCGATTCCCAGAAACTTTCAAATCGAGAGCCTTCACATGGGCTAAAGCAACATCGTTAATATTAATCGTGCATCCGGGAATAGCACCGATATCTTTGCCAGTAACCAGGCCAGGGACAAAGCTATTGGTTCCGTTAAACACGTCTTCAGTGTTGGTGGCCAGTTCATCACTGCTAATGAAGAACGACGGAAACATATGGATGACATCGAAACCTAGCCTCTCTCGCTTCATCCACTCCTCATCGTCATTTAGTGCTTTGATCTTGCTTGCACAGTATCCATTGAGTGCATTCACATACGGCGGAGGGAGAAACCACGTGCGCATTGTCTCATCGAAGAGAGTTGAAGAAAATTCAGATACTAAATACTTGAACGAGCAAATAGCGCCAAACGATGAAGGAATGACGATTCGCTTGATTGATGCCGCTTTATTCGCCGCCTCAAGGATGTTCATGGCGCCTTTGACTGCGGGCTCAATGAACAGTTTCTCCATATTGTCATCGTCCTTGTATGCTGAGGTTAGAGGTGAAGTGGTATGGATAACATAAATTGCCCCTGTAATGACTTGGCTGTAGGCACCATCTGCTAACATATCTGGAACGACAACTAGTTCAAGGTTCTCTCCAGGCTTCAGCGACTTCACGGAAGGGATACTAAGAATCCGTTGGCCCTTGGCCTCACTGCGGACTGCAGCGTCGACGCAATAACCTGTTTTAGGGGTGTCGACAATAACTCTGTACCCGAGATGGCCAGGTCCAAGGTTCTTATTAGTGTTATTCCGTTGAAGTTTGGAGGTTGTAGTACCGCCAGTGATGAATACGAGATCTCCTGTTATTTCAACATTTCTGTCAAGGCCTTGATTTATCTAGTGAAAAGGATAGTAGAGTAGAAGAGGTTGTTAGAGGTGAGTCACAGTAATCCATTTCGGCTCTTGTTTTTATCCTCACTAAAGTCTCTCATCAGGCCTTCCATTCCGTACCAATCTTTGTAGATTTCCAATGATATATGTGACCACCTCGTCTTGCACCTAGAGAAATTTGTAATTAAGAGTTAGATCTTCGCATCTACGGCATGTGGAGCGCCCTACACATGTGAGAAGAGGGAAATATCCTATTCCCAGAGTATAATTCCATCCGACTCGGCACGAACAGCGTTTCCAACAGTTAGTACAACGGTTCGTACCTACGAAACCTACAGTTAGTCATGTACTGTACGGCATCTATTATGTTGGTACGAACCGTTTCCTACAACTACAGCGCTAAACTTATTTAGGTATCAAAGATACTTGTTTAGGTAGATAACGTAAGTGGTTATACATTTCTTGGCATAATTTGAGCCGTAAATGGATAGCACATGCCCGTTTCGTACGGTACGTTAGTACACACTAACTGAGCCGTACAGTAACTGTATGGCCTCAAAAATGCCCCGTAACTTACTGTTGGAAACCACTGGGCACAAACATCAAGAACGGTATGGATTAGTGATCGGTATTTTTAATCCTCCTGCTTGATGAACATAGGAATAAATCAATCTGATACCTTCGGCCCCAGTGAAATTGATAAGTGGTAAAGTAGAGGAAAGAGGATTTGTTGGGTGGTTGGATGATGATGTAGTCAGGTCTCCAGGTTGTGCCTTTCTCTTGGACCCTTGGACCCTGACATTGGCAGGTGAAGGGACGGTGTTCTTTTGTATAGAGAATGACTCGCGACTTCTCTCTTGGTCTATCTAGAATCATATTCGACACGATGGCGATGCGGACGCCGCAAAACCCCAAGGTCAGGAAGCTTTGCTTTTCTCAACCATACAGCTGGCTATGTGAAAAAGCTTTATATTCCACAATTCCTACGCGATTGGGGCCGAAGCTCCACCTCTCCACTCTCGTGCTTTCCTTCTTCCCCAACTAAGGCAGCATCGACACAACGCGAGAAAGTAGTCTCCTCTAGTGAAGCTGATCCTTCAGGAGGAGGCACGAAAGGAAACAACAATGATGATGCCAATCATCTTCTCATTCCTCCCCACCCACATAGTTACGTCAGGTCTAGCATCAATCTGGACATCGGATAACCTTCATCTCAACAGCGCGATTAAAAGGGAGGTACAGATGTTGCGCTACTTCACGACGGATTGTTCTATCAGAATCAAAATCAAGACCGTTCTACAGAGAACTCGTATTTCAATACATAAATCTAACAAGATGTCCTCAACCGGGATCAGGCAGAGAGCCTTATCATGTCCCCATCAGGTTTCTAACACCTGATGGATCCCTCAAAACCTGCGGCTATCCGGGCTCCACCACAGCTTACTGTCTTCGTTGTCAACTAAACCGTCTCCTTCTCTTCCGAACACCTCATGGTCCGAAAAATGGTCACTATAGTAACCAGATCCCTTTACCTGGACTGCTAAGGAGTCATGATTGCCGCCACACTATATAGTGAAACACCATTTTGGTATATACCAGAGGACAAAATACAGAAAGAGGCAATGAGACCGCTCATTGTCACGGAAAAATTTAAACCGCATATTGGAATATACAATGCAAACGATCTTTTACCACGCGTCCGCGAGTATGAGCCCGGTAAGATGGGGAGGCCGTATACGAGAGTGTATGAGGTTCAGCGGTCCGCAGTAAACGGGCCGATATTACGGGCTAAGGACGACTTCGTCGGCCAGTTGTAAAGAATAAGTGAGCCATAACTGGAGGGTTGGAGCCGGAGTGTCAGGTCTTTCTTGAGAATGCTCAGAAACTTTGCATGCTGCCGCTGGATAAGCGAGGAAATTGGTTTCCAAGGCCTGGTTTAACCAGGAGTTCGGATGAACAGTGTTTGGGGGGGGGGTCCACATTATTCATTGGTATCATGTGGCATGAGCAACTGGCAAGGTTCCTTGTGTACGGATCCGTAGATCTGTAGAGAATAAGGAAGTCAGAGCTTTCGTCGTGTTTATCTGGTGAAAGTGCTACGATTATGTAATTCATCGGGTTTCAGCAACACCGCTATCCTGCAGCTAGCTTTTGATCACACACGCACCGTTAAAGACAACATGGGCCAGGGTGGTTCTTCAGAAGCTCCACACCTGACACTTGGTTAGTATTCTGCATCTCGCTATACCACACGCTAATTACATGCCAGAGCAGCTTAGCCAGACGCTCGCGCATCGATTTGCCCAGAAATGTTTCTCCCCACTAGAGCTGTATTGCTTCAACTCGGTCTTTCGCTCCCTCGCAGATTCTGAGTCTGGGATACGGTATTGGAGCGAGACAACACTATGTCGCTTCCTCGAGCTGCCAGACGCCTTGGGTGTAGGCTCGGTACTATTCCATATGGCTAGCTACCTTGGCGCCTTTCCCTTCCCGAGCCACGCTCCTGCTATTCTCACACACGAGGCCCTGCTGAAGGTCGTTACCCTTCTGACGGAGAGATACGGTGCTGTTGTTAAGAAGAGGGGCCGAGAGACGTGGCTGAGGGAGTTGTATCGCAGCCTCGCCGTCTATGACCGGGGCGTGCGACAGAGCATGGAAGACAACCAGAAAGCTAAAGGCTCTGATAAACTGGGCGGTCCGACTATTGCAGGAGCAACTGGCGCCCAGGGCTTCGCAATCGATGCCCCAGAAGACGATGACGAGGGAGAGGAGAAGGACGACGATGACGAACTGGTGCTTGCAGCTTTAGACTCGATGGATGCTATTGAAGTATTCAAGCACGGCGAACAGTCCAATGTCCATCACTCGATTATCCCCACGGATAATTTGCTGAAACTGGTTGAGCTGCTCCTGCTTATCGCTCCCATCGATCCGCAGGAGAGCCTCTCGACCTTCGCCTCGCAGCTGCCTGACGAGCGAGTCTCCGAGCTCAGAGAGACTGCAAACGTGATATTGTCATCATTCGGTGTGGAGGACAACCCCGGTGTTACGTACCGGACCTTCAATACTGTTGTCGCTTCATGCTTACCATACCTCTTCGACGGGCTAAATCCCCTGTTCGAACATTTCCTCTTCACCAAAGACTTCGATCTTGCAAAACGAAAACCAGATGCAACGTCCCCAAGTGTTGAGACGCATCCCGTGATCCCACCACCGAAGGTAGTCATCAAAGCTGAGCCTATACTCCGAGAATCTGGGGACATTCTTAACCCAACTATTCTTAATCAACTTTCTTTCTTTATCAAGGGCACCAACCTGTTCCGGCGCCTTCGCCCTCTATACAGTGGCAACACCCACGGCTTCAGTATGGGCTCATTTGAGAAACATGTCTTCAATTGGCGTGCGCCCTCCCTTCTCCTCGTCTCCGGCACACTTCTCCCGTCATCGCCAACGAACACGCGCGAACGCACCCTTTCGGACATGCTCCCAGCAAAGCGCCTCCAGAGTAGCGTATCTGCATTTGATACATCTAACATAACACTAACCTTTGGAGCATATATTCCCGTCCCATGGAAACTAACCCACAAATCGTGCTTCAGCGACTCTAACACACTCCTCTTCCAGCTCTCTCCAACCCACGACGTCTTCTCCGCATCAGCCTTCAGCACCGACTATGCATACTTCAACCGACCTCCTACACACCCTTCAGGGGTTGGCTTCGGTTCAGCAATACCTCACCAAACATCCGCACACAATATCCACCATTCTCATCCACACCTTTCCCTGGGACCTGTTTCTCTGCACCTCGATGACGCGCTTGAATTCGGCATCTTCACGCACCTCGCCGAAGGCGGTGGTTCGTTTCATTCGTCGCAGTTACCGTGTAGGAAAGGGAAGGATTGGCAAGACCGCTTCGAGATCGAAAGTCTAGAGGTCTGGGGTTGTGGGGGAGACGATGTGGCGGAGGCTCAACGCCGTGAATGGGCTTTCCAAGAGCGGGAGGCTGAGGCTAGGCGGAGGATCAATCTTGGAACGGGAGATGTCGACGCAGACCGTGAACTGTTGAAGTTGGCTGGTATCATTGGGGGTAGTAGAAGTGGTGGGAGTATGTAAATGTGGTTTAAATGGCAGCAAGCTCAATTAAATAGCATGAGATATAAGGGTCGGCATTTTTCACCTGGTTCACTTAGGCTTGTTGGAGGGAATTTGGTGGAATGGCGTTCGGCACAGCCTGACTTGGCCTTTTGGGTAAAGGAAAGGATTATGGGAAACACTGTATGACTATTATCAATGCAGCGAAGCTCTACTTTTTTTTTCTTCGAGCTTAAATGTGTCGACTTGGGCCACTCCGGATATGTGTAGCAGAGAGTCGATGCAGCAGCACCCACCCCATGCTCCCTCCAACACCATCAATGCCTGGTATACAGATATGATACACTCCTCCCACCGCCATTCCCGCAATTGCATCACGGATTCTTCACCCCTCCCAAGACCTTCCCATCTAGCCCATACACATCACCCAGTACAATCAACCTTGTCTAAAACTCAATTAGCTCCCAAGTCCCACCCCCAACCCAAAAACACACCAACATACCTCTGCTTATGTTTCGGATTCTTACTACAAATAATATACACATACTTTCCCTTCTTCCTGCGCACGCTCTTGCAGCCATCACAGAGCTTCTTCACCGAACTCCGGACTTTCATGCCGCGGATCTGCGTTTGTCGCACCCCGAAGCAGGACGGTGATATTCGGAGGGCAGAGAGGCGGGATGTGAGGGTGGTGATTGAGGGCCGTATCGGTCGCGATTGGATGTGGAGGTTTGAGTGGGTGGTGGTGGGGAGGAGGCGCGGGATGAAAACGGTTCGCCGTAGCGGGAGAAGAATGGCTCGGGTGAGCATTTTGGGTGGTTGCAATTTGTGCGGCGGACGCTTGTTGGGAGCGATTCTGCCGGATTGAGGGTACTAGGTGGTGTTGAAAATGGGAAGTTCAAGCTTGGACTGGAGCGAAAATGTGCCAAGAAAACACACACAGACCACCTATCGTAAAGGTGATATTCACCCTTGGAGTTCAGTAGAGGAAGATCTACTCATAATGGCTATTGATGGGGTAGCAGGTGTAGTCTACAATTTGATTTCATTCATCTAAACTACATGTTTCTCATGACAATGATAAAGTTTGGCGATCCCTAAGGCTAACAACTGGTCCCAATTGCAAAAGGAATAACCTTTCCAATATTGAATTCCCTCCTTTCAACCATCCAGACTTGCGCCATATCACGTTCGATATAGCAGTTGCTACGAAAATTCTGGACTACAGCATTACCAATCCGACCCCACGCATATGCTTATCGCTAGATTGATTACTCATGTTAATACCTCCTGCGAGAGGTTGAGCACGGTAGTTGTAGAGATAATAGTGTAGTGAGCCGTCGCCAGCACCGAAGCGCTGGTCCTCGAGGAAGAGCGGATTGTCAAGGAGCGTGAGACCGTTGAATACGTCGAATTTGGCCTAGTCAGAGTCAGAACCCGAACCCGGGGGATAGTTCTCAAACGATGTAGGATGGAAGCAGTGTACCTGTTTCGCCAGAATCAACGCATCCTTGATCAATGCATTGAGGCGGGGCTTCAACAAACTCGCGTCTTTCTCAAAAGCGACTTCCGTCGCGTAATAGAAGAGATATGCGGCCTTGATCACGTCGTGTTTCTTGTGTCCTATAACCGTGCTCTCCAAGTTGTAAAAGGAGAAAAAGTCTGTGATCTTCTTGCTTTTCGGGTTTTCCACCACATAGATCCAGACTACCTGCTCTTTGGGTTTCTCGGTTGGGAACATCCAGTGCTCAAATTCAGGCTTGCTGAAGACTTGTGCCATATCCATGCAATCAAGATACCGCTTCAGCAAGTCCAGCACCGAATCGACATCTTTGGCCTCCATAGGCCTAAGACCTAGTGTTGATGTTTTCTCAGGAAGGGAATACCGCATGATCTGCCGCTTCTTGGTGCTGCCATGTGGGAGAGGGGAGAATCCAACATCGTATAGCTTCTCCCATTCCAAAGCTCGATGGAAATATCTACATGTGGACACAGGAGTAGGTAGGAGAGAACCGACGGTATAGACAGCCTGGAATACACCTTCGACATAGCAACGTCGAGTGATCTCCTTGATCAAGACTGGCGTCAAGCGTTTTGACCGCAGTTTCTTGTGGACGCAGAGGAAGTTGACTTCTGAACAGTTAAGAATATTCTTGCGCATACGAAGCTGGATAGGGATGGCAGATATGAAGGCGACAAGTTTGCCAGACGCGGAGGCGCGAACGCCAACATGCCATTCTTTCCTCCAGCCTGGAGCCTTGAGCGCCCTGAGCAGTAGGTATTAGGTTTGTTGTCGCTGTTGCTTGGTGCCTGTATGTACTTACCAATTCAAGAAAGATGGCGAGTATCTGAATCTGAACATGGCCTCCTTATCCTCGACGTAGTGATTGTAGAGCAAATCGAAGACCTCCTCGAGCTGTTTCTCGTCCTCCAGATCCATTGTCACCCACTCGAAGCCTGGATACATCGGGCTTGGGTTCTTGTCCACCTTGTCGATCTGGATGTCCTTGATTGGACCATCCACAATCTTGTCCTTTCCGCTCGCCAACTCATCGAAGCTGAGGACCGGCTGGGTCTTCCAGAACTCGTGGCTGGCCATGTCCTTCACATTCTTGCCCTGCGGCGCGAGCCCCGTCAACATCTCGCTGACATTGAGTTTCCGCAGCATTTGCTCTATACTTTCCTTTCCTGTTCCCTTTGCCATCAGGTCGTTTTTCAGAGCTGGGTTAGCCTCGAGCAGCATGTTCAATTGGTCTTTGCTCAAATGTTGCCCTGCGGGAGCTTCTGCGTCACCGACTGCGGGTTCTTTTCCCTTCCCTGTCAAGGTACTCTTGAGCTTACGCTTCCTGCTTTTCTTCTTCTTCGCTGTAACGTGCTCCCCGCCCGCTCCCGGCTCTGTAGCTTCCTCGGCGCTCTCGTCACCAGATTCGGCTTCATCCTGCTGTCTGCTCGATTCGGCAACGGCTTCGGCGGCTGCTTCGGCGGCTACTTCGGCGGAGGAATCCGGGTCGGCAACTTTGGAAGCTTCTTGGGGCATTTTAGGACTACCGCGGAATGTTGAGTGGGAGGTGTTGGGGTTCACAAGTGATTGGGATATTTAGGTTGCCTCTGCGACAAGGAAAGGAAGGTGGGGGCTGTAGTGGGGCTTCGTGTGCCTCGCTTCACAGGCCGATCTGACGTCGCCTTGTCCTCCATCACACCCCTCCATAGCCCCCAAGACTGTCCTAGGTTGTCAGAAAAGCATGCGTTGATTCAAACATATTTGTTGGTCTGCACTTTCAATTCTTTGTGTGATTGGCTCACACTCTCGACTGTCATTCGCCAACCGAGCCCATCCTAAGACAACTACAATAGAACAAAACTTCCCCTGGCAAAAATCTAGAGACTACAAAGACATAATCATTCCAAAAGGGGGACAGAGAAGACCAAAATTCGTCAATCCGATATCCGTTCAACTGCCTGCTCCGAGGCGAATTCCCAACGCCCGCCAGCCCCCTCGTTCCTCAATTTTCAACCCTTCTGGTTTACGCAAGCTCAACTAGGTGCTTATTTTTGTATTCCTCTCTAGGTCGTTCTTGTATCGCTGGATGTACCACCGGATAAATCGCCTCCAATTCCGCAGGTGCCTTCTTTTCTTTTCGTCTTGACATTAAATGGAATGCAGCTAGGCCGATCACCACCAAGAGGAATACAGCACCAATAACAATACCAGCAATCGCGCCCGGTTTGAGAGAGTCCGACTTGTGCGTTGACGACGATAGCGTCGTTGATAAGGAGGGTGTGGTATGGGATGGATTGTACGCTGAGGTTGCGGAAGCAATTGACCCTCCAGTTGACGTCGCCGTTGTGGTGGAGGCTATAGATGAAGAGCTAGACACAGCGACCTAATTTAAAGTCAGTTTTCGCGACACCGAAGGATTATCTCCCCGGAAAAGGTGACCGACCTCGAATCCCTTGACATCGGTGTACATTTCAGGGTCCTTGGGCTGCTTCGCCGAGACGTTTATCTCGATAGACCAGTGGGTGCCCTTCTCACTTGGCTGCATTCCAGGAACGGTGTTCCCCGTCGACAGCGCCAAAGCTGAGTTGTTCCCAAGAAGCCCATTCGTAAATTTCCATGTTCCGTCATCCTGTCGCGTCAATGACCACTGCTGTCCGAGAGCCCCGGACCTCGGTAGCAGACGCGGAACTGATGGCGAAGTCTCCTCTAGCCCCAACTGATAACCGCCTCCATAGTCGTAATTCCGGATGAAGTACCGGCCTTGCTGCAAATATAGCTGCCAATTCTCTGACGACGAGAATACTTGCTGGATTGTCATGTTGACCGCCCCCTTGGTATTCTGCTGCAGCCCGCTGCTGAGCGTGTTGTTCGGTGACACATCATTGTGGAAGGTGTAGTAGGATTTGGGATCGAAATCAGAGACGGTCTGGCGGTTCTCGAGCGTGGACCCCATGAGAGGGTGGAATGCAAGAGACGACGATGCTAAAAGTTGACTTAGGCGGTGCGAGACGTTCGATCAAAGTCCGGGAAAGCGCGAGTGAAGTAGGGGAAGGCCTGCACAAGAATCGCGTACCGATTTCACGAAATGAGCCTGACCACAGGGCCAGTGGCAGGGGTTTCACTGCGCAGACTCGTTTCCTGCCATCGGGAACGAACACTCATTTGTGGCCCCCGCAACATGTGATTTTTCCAGTCTTCAACGGAAGCCATGCAAAGCTTGTCGAATTCTGATTAAGGTAGACCTAAACGCCGGACCTGAACTACGAGTGAGTCCGTTAGAAAAGAGTCACCAAGGTTGATTTCTCAACGTCAAATGTGTCAAGACCATGAAATTGTTCAAGGAAGGATCCGGGGCGCAGGAGGCTTTGACGATGCCGCATAGGGCTGAAGGATTCACCCTAGGCGTTTTCGAGGTGATTATGGGGCGGAGATACTGCATTGGAAGGTTCCCTCGTCTCTGCGTGATTCTTGTCGTCTGATTAAAAAAATCAATATTTACGCGCGCGCTGGAATCAGAAAAAGGCACGGCAACGGGCTGTCAGTGGAAGATAAATGAGAGCTCTGGAGACGCCTGGTGTTGGTGGCAGAAACGTTGAATTCCGCCCAATTGAGTTTTGAGCTCTTTACTGATTGGTGCCGCTTCGCATTCACCCCTAACCAGTCTCCGCAGCTAAACCTAGTTTGGAAAACTGACGAGATCAAGGGTGCCGCGACATGCCGACAAAGTGATAACTCTATTGCTAACCTTAAGTTTCGTTGACTTTTTTGAATACAATATCGGTGTTTTATCTTAAATAGGCAAATGGGTGATATTCCACGACCCAAGTTTCCCCTGGAATTGACAAAGCGAGGTAAAAGGCTGAGGTGCAATGAGTAGTAAAGCAGAGCAATTGGCCAAGGTGCAACGAGCAGGAGCTGTACCGTTGGGTGAATAGTGGACGTGCAATGAGTAAGAAGCAAGGCTAGGTGAAAATATGAGACGCAATGAGGAGCAAAGCTTGCCGCGTTGCCAATTTTCACAAGAGTTGTAGGGGAGACCAGCAGAGAATTCGAATGTATCTTTTCCTCCCCTTTAAGCACCTCAGCGGCTACCAACATCCGCTAGTTCTCTCTTTCATAATCGCTTCTAGGTCCCTCTTAACTCTCCTTATACACCCTCAATCCTCCTAGGCCTTAGCTTAGGCCTTCGACCATGCACCACAACCAGTCCATGGATAAATATACGCACTAGTAGCATTTACCGCTAACTATGTTGTGGTTACTTTTCTCTCGCTCATGCTTTGCTCAAGCTTAATATTTGCTATCTCACATTACAAAGCTATGAGACCTCCTTTGTCTCACTCCTTCCTACCGACGAACTCCGCAAACTAGTAACGGATGCCAGCGAATATTTGATGGTAATGGAGACGTTGAATGGAATGTCTAAAGGGAGATAGCTCACGTCTTTGCTCACAGCGTATGCTATGTTTTACGGTAATTGACCACACGATACCCTCTCTTCCTTTTTTCCCCCCTTACCTCCTCTTCCTCTCTCTGTCGCCTCCCTTGCAAATATCTATGTTACACATTGAGCCATCCTCCCAGTACACCATATCCTTCTCTCTATCTCGACGCATCCTTAAATTCTCAGCCTTGAAAAGACCAACCAAAAAACCAGAGAATAGTAACAATCTCCAAAAGTCCCCATTACACATCATGCAAAACGTTCAAACAAGGGATACAGCCAGTGTGCAAGACTCCACCAAAGGAATCTGATTAGATTCATGTACGTAATAAAGTGTGGTGTCGCTACTACCCTGCTTTTCCATCATACAATTTCTCCTTCTTAACGCGCCTCCAAACTCTCTCATATCATCCTATCTCATCCCATCCCATCCCATCCCATCCCATCTCATTTCACCCTATGTATCGCAATCAATGGACCTGAAGCGACTACTAGTAGCCTTGGGCCATGCTACATTGGTCATGCTGCCATTACGGCTTTCCCCTCCAGTGAGATGCTAGTCGGGGATCTATTGCTGCCGCTACAGCCCAGGCAACTGGGATATCGACAGACAGAAAAGTGCTTCACGTTGTCCCAGAAGCCGCTGAAGAGGCCGGAGATGTCGTCTACGCCATCCAATTCAATCAAATAAACCCCTATTCACTGACAGGAGGCGTCCCAGGCAGTGGAGGCTAGGGTTGCGGGGGCGTATAGGGAGGGTGTGGGCTTTAGTAGGTGGATGGATGGGGTTGAGATGAGAGTGAGCGAAGGAGTTGAATTGAAGATGGGGTTCAAGACTCGGTTATAGTTGTAGAGAATAAGATGTTCTGAAGATGGTGTTTTTCGAAGTCATGATGCGGCAGGATGGGTGTGAATATCCCTAAATCTAGCTCTGGCTTTCGTTCCTCGAATTACTCTCCATCGTACGTGGTTCACGCCGTTCGACAAGATGAGAGGCCGTCCACGATGAGGCAGGAAGTCGTGTGAGCCTGGCAGGAAGTATATATAAGGAAACATCTTCAAGAGCTTTGCTGCCCTTTCATACGTAGTCTAGCCCCTCCCAAAGCCGAAGGAAAGGAAAACATCCGACAAATTCACGAAGGAAACGGTGCTGAAGGAGGCGATTATAGAGCAGTGACCACCAGTTCCTTGCTGCCGTTCTATCGTATGCACAGCTCATATGTTTGCAGCACCACGTGCTCGTATTCACCAGCCACTGCTGCCAACCTTAGCACCATGCCGCTTAGCTCACTCCTTTGCATATCTTGACCCTTAGGTACACTCCTTTAGCAACCAATCCAGTTCCTCATGAACTTGGGGCTCCCAAAAGTTTCACATCATACGACCGCCCCCTTCCCAAAAAAGGCCAGGGAAAAGCAATAACCCGTAAATGGAGAGTCTAAGGAAAGTTGAAGAAGCGTGGATATTGCAATGACTACGAGTTCAAGGACACTAAGGACGTATTCTGCGTCTGTTGTCGCGGATGTAACCTCGGGAAGAAATATCAAGATAGATTATACCTTGACGTAGCCGCGCATGCATCTGCTCCTTCTTGTTCAAGGAAGTAGTGCCTAACAGCTGTACGCAACCTCAAGTCTCGCAGGAACGACCCTGGCCATGCCAGATTTGGGGGAAGCGGGCAGGCTGGGTAGCTGGAGGTGGATTGCATGGAATAAGAATACTTAATTCAACGCCGCCAACCGAACTGCGCTGTAGGAATGCTCGCACAATTCCTCTCAGAACGATGAGGAGCTGCAATAAAAACACCCTCTCTGAACGAAGAATCTGTCGTGTGCGGGTTCTACCAACTAACAGAAAGGGAATGAGGGGTCGAGGTGGAAATGAGAAGGATCTGATTTAGAGCAGTGCTAGAATTCTCTTAACAATTTCTTGAATTCGAACGAGAGTTTTTAAGAGAGTGGGATTATGTTCTGTGGAATACAATGATATGCTAAAATACGCTCACATGGACCTTGCAACCCTGCTGGCTCCTAAGACCAGGTCCAAATTCGAATTTAAGTTCGTGTTGGAAGAAGGAAATCAATGGCGTGTGGATATGGTGTTTACAGGGTTGATGCTAAAAAGCAGGTAAGTAGCAAGTCTACTAGAAAGAGCAAACAATTTCTAGACACTCAGTTGCCATTTCCATCGCCCAAACCGGTCAAATATCTACTCCATACACTCTCAGGGATTGGTCAGACCAATTGAAAGGGGTACTAAACAGTGATGCCAAAATGCCAAAAAGATAAACTGCCATATATGCTAAGCCAACATTATTGGGCCAAGTTGTGCGACACGTCCTGATTATATGGAAAAGTTAAAAAGATATCCAACCATAACGAAGGTTAAACGCCCAATGACGCCTATATTCGGAGTTTCCGTCGTGAAGAGAAGAGCGATCCAGGCTCCTCCCCGGCCGTACGTAACTTCGTGAGTCTCATCCCATATATAAGTCGCGATTGCAGATCCAAAATAGTCTCAGGAGTTAAATGAAAGGGGGGAGGAGAAGGAGGTCTGTCCAATATTAACACAGTGTGTTACGCTCGGGTATCAAGTTACCGAGACAAAGGAGAATTTCCACTAGATCCCCGACCGTCGACAGGCGTCAGCTCCGTCGTCACCTGGATACTGGGTAGTCGTTCTAGGGATGGAAGTTGAGGCGCACGGGTGCGTACGGGGCTTTCGTAGTTCGGAGGGTCCTCGTAGGCCGGGGCGTCTTCATGTGGTACTTCGATGCTTGGGGCAGGGATGGGAGTTGCTACTCGGCTTGCGGACCTTGAGCGCGGGTGTGATAGGGATACGACTTCAAAGTCATCGGTTGCGGTGTCATTGCTCCGGGATCGATGGACGGGGTCCGGGAACTCGAATTCGTCCGAGGCACGGGTGGATATCGAAAGGACTGAGGAAGCGGAAGGGCCGCGGTAGTGAGAGTGCAGTGTGTTGTTGCTGAGACCCCTGCTGCGCTGGCTTTGGCCGCTGATGGAGGCTGCGGAATCAAGAAGGGGTCTGTTGTCGCTTTCGCTCGAGTTTGCCCGCAATCGCGTGCCGTCATGTCGAGCCAGACCAAGATCGCCATACTGGACGCTGGACACACGCCGGTCACGGTTTGTGGATTGATGCTCGGCAATCAGAACCTGGGATATCGACTCTTCAGCGGCGGCCTCTGCTCTCCTTCTTATCTCAGCCAGAGCTTCCATGTCCCCTCTCTCTCGCGCCTCTCTCCTCGCTTGCCTCCTCTCCTCCCGTTCCCTAGCCTCGGCCCGTCTTGCAAGGCGGATCTGGTACAGGCTCTCCATCTCATCCTCCCTCCTGGCCTCCTCATCATCCTGCGTCTCGGGAAACTCAACCACAGTATCAATCCCACCCCTCTCGCCCTCCCTGCCCAGAATCCTCTCATTCTCCCTCGCCGCGGGCGAGTACGCAGGTAACGTCATGACACTCCTAACAGAAGTATTGCGATCCACGCCGTTGGCATTCACACTCTGTCTCTCAGGGTCCAGCGCGCCCGACATCTCGCGATCGCGCGTGCTGCTCCGATCGAGCTCATTGTCCTGGAGCGAGGTTGAATAGTCGTTTCGTCGGGGTCGTTTGCGCCAGTTCTGCCAGCTGAACAGACTCGGGAGCTTGCCGTTTGGAGACCGAGACGAGGAAGCAGAAGCGCGGGTTTTATTGCGGAATTTGAGCGTGACAAGGTAGGTTATTACTAAGATCACAAATATCGCAATGACGATTACCGCAACCTGTGCAAAGGCCTCATGGTCAACCAACAGTTTTTGTGATACAAGGGTACGCGGGAAGTTGTGTTGCTTTTTGTTGTGTCTAACGAGTGGGAGGTACGTACAACGACGAGGGCCTTGTTGTTTTTGGAGTCTCTTTTCTCCAGCACTCGGCCTCCTCCCCTTGCGTCCAGCACGGGAAGCCGCATTGCGCCGAGCGATTGCCTGTCACCATGCACCTTCCGCCGCCTCGCGTTGGGTCGTGCCTGCGGAACGTAGTAGGAAAAGAAGGAGCGAGGGAGAGGTGCAATGAGGTCAGAAGTAGCTCCGGCGGGTGTTAGTGGGACCGTATTCGTGCGTCGTCGCGGCCCTGGGCGTCACCGTGTGGAAATATCAATGCCGTGTTCGGCTCGCGGTGGTGGGTAGCTGGGAGACTGCGCGGAGCAGGGCAATGATCCACGGTTTAAACACTCAAGGCGAATGGCGAGAGCTCTCAGGAAAGTCTGGAGAATGATGGTTGGGGCTGAGGTGCCTGCTTGTCTGTTGCCCTAACTGCTCTCGCTCTTGGCGTGGCTCATCAAGCAGGGCTGCGGCACATCCTGAATGGCCCCCCCCCGAAACTTGGAAAGAAAAAGTGGCTGACATGAGAGAGAACCCCAGCCCTGCTCCGCAACAATCACCCTAAATCTCTTCAGTTGCTGACTTTTCCCGCGAAGCCCCGGTCCACATGTGCTTTTATCGGCGAGTGCGTTGTTGCTCTCCATTCTATCTGCTCGTCCGCTTTTCGCTCATCATCAGCCGCCTCAATGTCAGCAGTGGCATCTGTCATCCTATGTCGCTTGCCGTCTATTTTTGGGGGCCGCTAATGCATCCATGTGACTGGCTCCGGCCTCGACGATCAATATGCATGAATTCACCAATGGACAAGGCATCCTACATCCTAATTGGCAGGAAAGGGTATATCTTGCGATTCGAGCTACAATAGTTCTTTCATTAATCCATGACCGTCCCTCCGAATTCCAAGGCGGCATTTTAAGTTACATATTTGCGACAGTGTGTATAGACAAAGAATTTTAAAACTTCTTATCGAGCTTCTTCAAAAAGCGGCCAACGCCCTTCTCCACTTTCTCTGCTCGCTTCCCGATGTTCGAGTTGCGTTGCCCCTGTGGAGGCTCCCCGCCGTGCGCAGCAACGCTGGCTTCGTCCTCAGTGGGCTTGTACAATTGCTGGTGCATGGGATTATATGGATCTGTCCCTGGTGCCTGTTGCGTCGTGCTTCCGTACTTATACTGTGTATAGCCGCCTGGTGGCGGATGTCCAGGAGAAGCAAGAGGTTGGTACGGCTGTGGAGCGTAGCCCGGCGATGGCATCGGGTGTCCGGCCGTTCCAGGAACCCCGGGAGACTGGACAGGAGGATAACCAGGCGAATGGGGGTAATTTGCGTACTGAGGTACAGGCATCGTGGAGTGTCGCTGTATGCCAGGCTGAGGTGGACCGTTCTGGTCATATTGGCTTGGTGGAGGGGCAGTTGGCGGGGGTGCAAAAGACTGAGGATACTGTTGTGCTTGAGGAGGACTCTGCGGCGGTGGAGGCGGGAGAGAACCAGTTGTATTCGTCCGCTGGATGCCAGGTGTGGGCGGGCCTGAGAATGTTTGCGTTCGTGATGGAGGTCCAGGGATATACGGCTGGCCAGCTGTCGACTGCGGTGCAAAAGAGCTTTGCAGCGGATTCCCATACTGTGAAGCATGTTGATCGTTCATGGCTGCTGTGCCCAGCCCCGTACCGTCAGCGGCGTCGGGTGGAGGCGGTGTCTTCTCACGATGGGCCACGGGTTCGGGGGCAGCCGGCGCCGCGGGGTTATAGGCCATTGGCGTGTAGTTGACAGATGCATCCGCAACCGGAGGGCTGGACGTAGGTGCAGGAGCCGTCGGAGGACCTGGGAACGATTGCGTTGTACTGATACTTGGGCTTCGACTTGAATGTGATATAGCTGCCTTCTCCAGCTTTGCGACTACAGGATTCAGCATGTCCGACTTGTGTTCCGAGTGAGCAGGAGTCGGGTTGGCCACAATAGCGAGCTGGTGTGGTTGAGTAAATCTCCTCAGAGAGTCGAGAAACATGGTAGCATCGTCGGGCGTCCAGAAATAGATATCCACGGTATGCAACCGGTACATGTATTTCCCCTCGTTTCTTGGATCGTGCGCGGGGAGGTGCCACTGAGACATGTCTTGCTGCGGACTCGACGCCGCGCTTCCTCCCTTGCTCCGAAAGGTATCGATCGTGATAGTGAATAGGCAAGGATGCTTGTAGGTCTGTTCTATCTTGACAGTATCTAGGTCTACGCGTTGGCCGAGGTTAGCTCAGAGCACCAGACTGAGATGGCTAGCACTGAGGAGGACTTACTGCCAGCAAAAGCGTCCTGATGTGGCGTTCCAGCATGGTTTGCAATCTCTACCCTTCCCCTCTGATGTAGAGGATTGTGGTACAGGTAGACATAGGAACCCTTATCAAAGCGATGGTGCGGGGGGCTGCTGGAGGGTGGGCTAAAGTAGTAATGAATATCGGCGAAGCTGCTGAAACGTTAGAATAAGCCTTCCCTTTCAAATTAAAAGGGGAACTTGCAGTGTCAACAGAGACACCTCTCCTTGCAACGGAGGCATGATGCTCTACAATTACCTGCAGAACGAAGGCAGGCTGGAAAGCAGTTGGTGCGTCGACAGACCTAGGTTAGCTATCTCAGCCGCAACAAAGAACTCCACACGCAGAGGGGAGAGGAAAAGGCACTGTTATATTAACAGGCTGTCGTTAGCAGCCATCAAAAAGAACATTAACGAGGAGATCAACGGGATATATAATCGCGCCAGCCAGACCAACACATGAGTTGTGTGGGCTTCTATTTCAAGACGCAGAAGCGCCCATGACTTTCTGGGCGCCAAACCAGCATGCCTCGCCTCGTGACGACCAGATCCCCGTGCGGCCGGACCTCCGATGCTCCATCTCCAATTTTTCCTAGCGGGGACTCGCTATTATCTTGAAATCAACCAGCAAGCATCGCTAGACTTCTGTTCACTCCAAATCAGAAGGCAATTGAAGGGCATTTGATCGCTACTCGACAAGGCCTCAAAAGCTATCAGGCCGGATTTACAGATAAGGGTTTCCCTGTAAGCTTGGTTCTTTCCACGTTCATCCACCACAGCTACCAATCCCGCCAGACCAACACCCGATTGACGCCCGCTATAACCCGCATCATCTTCCCTGCAGCCTCAATTACTTACTTCGGATGCACTTGTAACGAAAAACCGTCCCTCCCACCCGCATTCCCCTCCCCAGCACAAGCCCTTCGGGGCCACCACACCCGCCCGACATGTCCCTCGTCAACCTCGCGCACGTTTGTTCGCATCTTCAAAACGCCTCCAAAGCGCGGCTCGGCTTAACCTCCATCCCTGTATCTAAGCTGCACGTAAACCTCATGCTCGGTCTCCAAAAAGAAGGCTTCCTCTCCTCCGTCACTCTTGGCGGTACCGCGCCCCCAAAACCGTTCCTCCTGCAATCGCAGTCCGCGCCCGAGGAGCTGGAAAAAATGGCCAACACGCTCGCTGAGGAGCCCTGGAACGCGTATCCGCCACCGGAAGCAGAAAAATCCTCACCTCACCCCTCACCCCTCGGCAAAGAACAAGTCTACGAAGTCCACGTCCCGCAGAATCCAGCGCGGCGGAGATTGTGGCTGGGGTTGAAGTACTGGAATAACGAGCCGGTGTTGAAGCACATGCGGCTGATTAGCAAACCGACGAGGAGGATATGGTTAAACAGCGAGGATTTGGGCAAGATCACTAGGACGCGGCAGGCCGGGTTTGTAAAGGGCTTGACAAGTCCCGGGGAATGTATGTTTGTGACGACGGATAGGGGGATTTTGGAAGCGAGGGAGTGCGTAGAGAGGAGGGTTGGTGGGATGGTGCTGTGTAGGGTTTCGTAGGGGCAGTGAGTAGTTGGTTTTGGATGGACTGTCAAAGTTCATTGTACAAAATGGGTTTGCGTATGCATCGCCCGGTGCATGATTACGGCGTTGGACGGAGACATGTAACAACACGAGGAGGATGGCGCCTACAGATGCGACCATGGAGAGGGTCTGTTGGGATATTCATGTATGTTTAGGTGCTAGCCATTCACCTCCCTAACCAGCTTCCAGATACATGACGCCGCATGAAATAAAATAAAAAGATTTCATCGAGTTCCAGACATCCTTGACAGTGGAAAAACACCGAAGGACTCCAGCAGATCCCGTTACGAACCCGAGTACTTAGCTAAGTAGGGTAAACTTCGAGGCGAAGAAGGCTTTGCTGTACCATGAAACGATCCGGGCGGTTAGCGCTACGACTCACACGGACTACCCAACTGTAGACTCCACCCCAACACAAAGCCTCCGGAAGGAATATGACATCCTCGCATAACCCTGTATATTCACATACGCGCGCCCTCAATCCAACTTTTCCGTACCACCCTGAGAAAATGTGATCCAAATAGCGCCAAAGGGTATCAAGCAAAGTGTTAACACACAATTCAAGAAAAGAAATAAAAGGCGAATGCTCAAGCCCACCCTGGCTTATCCTCCTGATAGTACACCCGGTTGCTCAAAGTCTGCGGAACGTAACCCTGGGGACTCAGTGCATGTGGGCTCATGGCCTGGGGACTCATAGCATGCGGACTCATGGGCTGGTAGTTTCCATACACGTGTGGGCTTGCGGGGCTTGCAGGGCTCCTGAGAGGGCTCCTAGATGGTACTAATGGCCTGTCCACAAAGTCACTCTCCGTAAGACGGTACGATTGATCCCGTTTCGTTTTCCCAAATTCTTCCTGCTTGATCTTCTCATTTTCAATGCGTCGTTCGTATTGTCTCATTCGACCCATGTCATCGATCTTCTCGCTAATGCGGCGGATGTCATTGTTGAGCATCGTGGTGCCGTCGAGACTTTGTGCATCCTCGCTTCGCATGGTACCACTGCCACCGCCGTCAATCTCAGCACCAACAGGAACGCATGACCCCTCGAGCTCAACCGGCGCGCCTGCAATAGGCGTAGGATCCCAAGAGCGCTGCCAGCACCAACTCCGTTGTTGTGAGGCCTCCATGTACTCCGCTTGCCCGTTTGTCACCCAATCGGGGCATCTCTTGAGATCGGTGCAGAGGAAGTAGCGGACCCCCTCAGTCCATTTGAGGCCCTGGATATCCACGGAGAGTTCAGAAAGCACTTGCAGGATGCCGTAGAGCAGGACCCAGCGACCGAGGCGAGCTTCGCGGGGCGTGACAGATTTGAGGTCAGCGCTGAGTTCGAAGCGTTCGAATTGGTCGATAAGAGTGCTTCCTGTAGCTATTATCAGTGCTGCATTTTATCGTCCAACGTGGAGCATGATAGGGGTAGTTTAGGACAGAAGTTGGCATCCTGTTGATATTGTCCCTGATTCTAGCAGTAGGTCTAGGCGATCAATCCCTCTATGGATAAATGTCTTGGGATAGGTGCCAATATGTGTAATGCCAAGGATGAGGATGAAACTGTACTCACCGTTGAAAGAAACATCCAATTTCTCAATATTAGTCGCGTCGCTAAACACAATGGAAAGCTGCAGATGCGCCTTCTCATCCTTCTTAGTATCGACCTTCGATTTCTTCAGCCCACTAAAGAAACTCCTCTTCTGCGGCGACTTGATTTGCGGCACCTCTCTAGGCAAAAGCGGATATGGATGCGGAATATGGAGATACCCATGCCTGTTATCGAACGACACAAGCATATCTGTGAGAGCAAGATCTGGGAAATCGGGGGAGAAGTCTTCGGTACACCGGTTCACTAATTTCCATTTCTTGCCTGGACGTTCCTCCCGGGAGTCCCATATGACGTCTCGATTGACTAGATAGTCATAGAGGGAGCCAAAGTCTTCCTGCAGGCCTAACACCATTTTTCGGTTCAACCAGCTCTTCCCTTGATTTGGAGGCCAGTTTCCGTATATCTTAGTGTAGTAGTCGACCAAAAAGGCACGGAAGCCATTGTAATTTTGATAGACGGCTCCTCCGATCGCTTTTGGTGTGTCTTCCCACAAGTCGGCAAAATCGAATGTGGCCAGTTTCTCCTCAGTTTCCAGAATCTGTAATTGCAATGTTTTGGCAGCAATCCCGAGATTCCTCCTAGTTACAATCGAGAGTCTCTTGAAGTCTGGGAGATCTTCGATCTGAGGAGACATGATGCCGGCAAGGTGGACAAAGCTCTCAAGGTATCCTTGGCGCCATTTCACACTCTCTTGTTCAGACCATGCCAGGAGTCCAAGAGCAAGCTTGATACTATTTCGCATATCATCTAGCCCATGACTAGTGAGGTATTGAGTGATCATTTGAACACTCCTTTCTCGTGGGGTTGTTCTAGACTGTTCAGTGTGATCCAGATCATACATGACTTGTATCTCTGGCTGCAGTGTTGACAACATCTCGAATAGATCCGCACCGACAATGGGTTTATTATGCAACATAGCAATGAAATTCCGGACAGCGACATGGTGTAGCCGTTGTGCTTGAGGAGTTCGAAGATGAGCAGGAGCTGTAAACCATAGTTCATGAGTAGGCGTCGTTTCGTTGGGGCGATTAGAGGGTGGGGGTGATAAATGGCCCGCTAAACCACTCCCTGGAGGGTAATAAGACGGGTTCCTTGATGAAGTTTCGGACATTGTCCCTCTGTAGTAGGCTTGGTCGATATTGAATGGTGGCGGAGATCTCCCTCCTGGCGATGTTGGGCCGAGCATCCTTCGCTGTCCTTGTCCAGCGCCAGGGAACTGACTTGGGCCGACAGACGATTCAGGACTACCCGGAAGCGTCCATTCATCCTCATTGTCGTCGATCCTGCCATACAGTAGAGCGTTGCTCAACCATGTTGAACCCGACTTCTCAAGTGTTTCTAGATCTGCCCGTATCTGAGGAACTGGCCGATCCTCAGATACTTGCTCTTCTGTGAAATAAATTAGTACATTGCCACTCTGCATATGCTCGTCCTATAGAGGTTAGCTATATCACTCGAGCAATTGTACGAACATACATATTCAAAACCACCATATGGACGGAGCCCAGACTCGCCGCCTTCCCAAATGCGGAAGTTCTGCCATGTCTTGTGGTTTGTAGGAACATGTGAAGCACTCGATTCGTTTCTGAATAAGGGAGGCGGGGGAGAGCTAACAACAGTCTTCTTTACCGGGACACCCCCACCTCTTCCCCTAGGTGCTTTGGATCCCTTTCGATTAGCGTCGTACTTGGTCTTCTCCTTCCCTTGGGTGGAACTCTCGGAGATAGATGCTGAACCACTTTGCGAGGTCATCGGTCTATGAAACGCCTTGAAGTCGAGTGAGTCTTGGGAATCGATGGTATTTAAACGAGGTCTGCCACTACTGGCATGCGTCGAGCTGCTTCTCGAAGTCGCACGGCTGGCATCGCTGGATATGGTTATCGACCTTGACGGGATGCCCGTGCTCGTGTCCCTCCCACTTCGGTTCAGCGTGGGACGCCAATCAGTGAACGCGTCGTGGGGTCTTCGGATCGATTCAACGGGCTTCTTGTTTGATGCAGCTTTCTTTTCCTTCTTTTCGATATCTTTTGCGACGGCCTTGCGGGATCGTGCTCCGCGAGCAGACATTATTAATTTTCGCGACTTTACGGGTTCATAGACGAGGGGTAGTGTTGTGACAAGTGTGGCAGAAGCAAATGACGGACTTCGAGCAGGAAAACAAAGGATTCGCGGAAATTGTTAGGCGGACGATGGGGGTGATCAGCGTGATGTGCTGGATGTTGAATGCAGGAAGCAGGTGGGTGCTCAAAAGTACATGACTGCCTGCCTTGCGACGGGGATAGGTCAGTCAGGCTGCATCGAAGGCTGCGGCTGAAGAATTGAGCAATGTTGGGGTGGGACGAGGCTTGCGGAGAGTAACGGATGGCGCTGGCGCGGGGGGAAAGAAGGAGGGACAGTCGCGGGCGCGAAAACACTTTCAAGGAGAGGACAGAAGATGGTGCTCAGCTGTGTGAGATGGTGTAGGATGAAGTAGGATATATGGGTTTATTTTTATGGACCCTTGCATGCAGTGCGTCCCACAGGGAAAGCATAGTGACAAGGCTTTTGAATGGCCGTCCGCCATGGGACTCTGCGGAGGAGTTCCGGTCTCGATAAGAAACCTTGTCTTCTCGTACGGCACAGGAGACAATTACCCATGAAGCGAGTGCCTCCGCTGCAGCCACGACGAGCCCATTTGCAGGCAGAGCAAAGCTGGAGGAGCAGTAGCAGCCAATAGGGAACCGGTGAGCTAGCTGAGGAGGATGAAGTGGAAGTCGGCTTGACTGGCAAACAACCCCATGCCTGGGCCAATATCCAGACGCCACAGGCAGAGGCAGAACGGCGAGAACAATGCGGGAGCCTCCAGTCTCACCCGGCGATAAGCCTGTGTGGAAGATGTTGTCTGCGACCCTCCTAAGTGCCAGTCTGCTGGGCGTCAGCACGCAATTTCTCCAAGTCAATTATGGAAGAAAAGGAGCGCCGTTGGGGGGGGGGGGGAGGAGATGAGTTCACGGATGCGGCACAGCGGGCACAACAAGGACATATGGAAGCGCTGCAGTCGAAAGGAGAAGAGCAGTGACGGACAGGGCCGCTCTGAGCAACAGAGGCCGGGGAGTTACCTTTCTAGGCATGGATAGATTGCCCAGCGTGAGGGATGCAACAGTTCGCGAGATCGATGGGTCCCAAAGGTCCGCAGCCCAAAGCCCTGGGAGGGCATGAGCTGAGCAACGGTCGACTGGCGGACAACCCAACTCCGACCGAGGGAAGTGTCGCAAGAAGGTCTCTTGACTCGACCATTGCGGAATGGTCGAGAATGGTGGCGAGAAGAGGGCAGGGCACACAAAGAGGAGGATTGCCTGAGGCATCCGTTGCGCTTGCTGAGTTGGTCAGTTGCGCTTGCTTCCCGCCGTCCACCAAACAGATCCATGGCAGGAACGACCGACCGTCAATAGCTGTCAGAGTGAATGTCATTGCAGGGACAGGCCTGTCGCAAGGCACGGTTCCGCCTCGTGCAGACTTCTAGTTTCATCAAATCCCTCTCGCTTGCTTCGCTTCTTATGTTTCGTTCTTTTGCCAGGTGGTGAGTTTCCCAGCCACACCAATTCGGCACCCAGCCTCTCCCCGCCATCGTATATACCCCACCCATGTATCCTAGGTTTCTGCAACTTGCAATACGTCACCTATCTTCACAACAACACACCAACGGCCCGAAAACAGCAGCTTCATCCTCGAACAAGAATTTAAAAAGAGGCTATTCCACCGTCCCTGACCTGCCGTCAGCCGCCCGATCTCTCTTCCCAGCCCGGCACAGCACCCGTGGTTCAGCAACCTGTCAACACGGCAAGCAGCGCGGCTCTTTCCCACCATCGCCCATTAGGGACAGCTCCCCAGCCTCCATCATGACCTTCTCCGGCTTCTCATTTACCTTCTGGCGGTTCATGGAAATCATAACCCTGATTCCGGCCCTGGGCATGCTTGCATACTTTGTCCATGCCTACACGGCGCTCAATTCTCTAACGCCAAACTCGATTCTCGTCCTTTTCATCGTGTCTGTCCTTGGAGCGGCATGGGCGGTCGGCACGCTGTTTCTATATTCTCGTGCAAAGCACTCTGCCGGCTTCGTCGCATTCGTGGACCTGCTCTTCGTCGGTGCCTTCATTGGCGGTGTCTATGAGCTGCGCGGCATTTCAAACGCGGATTGCACCCACTTCACGCGCGACAGCTACTTTTTCAATCTTGGGGTCCTGGCGATAACGGGCAACATCTACTCGCCCCATGTGGAGAAGAACTGCGCTATGCTAAAGGCTAGCTTTGCGTTTGGTATCATGTAAGTCTGAGTTGGAGCAATTGATTGCGCAAGAGAGAACTAACGACATATCTAGGAACTGCATCTTTTTCTTCCTGACATTCCTGCTGGCTCTCCTCGTCCACCGACACTACGGCGACCGCGACCGCGTTGTCGTCAAGCGCGAGACAACCCACGTTTCTCGTCATGGGCACCGCAGCCACCGCTCGCGTAGCCCGCGACACTCGCATCACAGCAGCCGACGAGATCACTACGTGGTCTAGAAGGACTCAGAAGGACTTAGAGGGACTTAGAGGGACCTAGAAGGCAGTGTAACATATGTACAGAAGGGATTGGGGCCGACTTTAGGGCTGGGGTTGGGTGGGTTTGGGCGAGGCTGGTATGGGAAATGGATCCGGGCTGGTTTTTGCGGTCGACAAGGGCCAAGCCTGGACAGGAACTCAAAATCTTGTGAATAGTGTGGACGAATTTCCTTAGGCATTATCACTCCTTAGAGGCGTGCGCATCTACTACCCCATGTGGAAGAAGCGCACTGACGACACGACTTGACGACCATTGTCTTTTAGCTTATTGCAGCTCTGTGGGCTTTTTTGTATTTTCTTGGGAGAGAGCTCAATACCCGACGAGTCAAATCAAACGAATATCTCATTTTTAAACATTTTTTGCCGCGAAGCCTTCAATTGACTCTTTTCCATACGCAGCATTTGTAGTTACCGCTCCCTAAACCTGTCACCACTAACCTTTGACAAGGCTGCCACTCTCTCCTTACCAGGCGCCCGGAAAAGCCCTTATCTTAATGTACACCAGCACTCTTCACTCCCCAGAGAAGCCACCGACGATCTTCATCTTTCCGAACAAACGGGTAGGCACAGCTAGGTAGGTGCAGAGGATTACGGGCCGGGCTCCACCATCCCCACGCTAATTAGCTAATTGTTTTCAAAGCTGCGAAACCTACTTTCGACTACATGTCTTCTATTTTATTTCTCGCAATGGCACAGGAACATTTGAGATAGGCCATGAATTGGAACTACCGGGTGGAGACTCCCTGCCTAGCGCAACAACAAGGCAATGCAGGACAGGACGGACAGGGTTGGGTTACATTTGATCTCGAACCTGCATGGTCGGAGGAATCGACGATTTGGGGGAACCAGCTTGACTGAACGGGAAGCGAATGCGATGGAGTGTGCATGTGTTATGGATGCCGCATGATCAGACGAGGTACCGGGCTACATATTCCAGCCAGCCTTGATGTTGGTCAGCTGCGCCAAATCGACTGGCACCTGAGGAGCCAAATCCATACCTATGCATGCAGGCGTTTTAGGGTGGGTATTGCTCGAGCTGGAGAGTGGAGAAAAAGCGGCAATCTGCACATCGGCTCCACTATACCTTATGGTGGTACATGTAATAGAGAATGAGGCATGACAAGGATCTGATTAAGACAGAAATTAGCACCCTTTTAAGTTCTCCCTACTTCGAGCAAGAGGCTAGATAGATCGAACCTGCCCTCGCCATGCTCAGTGTTCTGAATTAACATCCTGGATGTGTGGAGTGTTATTTGTTATCATTGCACCCATTCATTCCTCCGATTTATTTGCCCTTGACCCCTGGGTTCGAAACACCACCAACCCTAAAACCAGTCTCTTAAGGCTTGCAAATACCCTTTTACAAGCTTCTTTCTCCGTGAAGATAAGGCTTTACCATCTGATACCTTCCTTGAAAATAGGAATCCCCGAAAAATCCTCCACGCTCCACTTCACCGTCCCCTTCCCATCCACCCAAGCCCCCTGATCACTCGTTTTTAGACCTCCCTCCTCACACTCCTTAACTTCATTCTCACTAACCCCCATCTCATCCCTCGCCAACCAAATCAAAGGCGTTTGACTCGTAAACACCGGGTTCAGATACACCTTTTTCAAATCCCCTTCCTTATACTCGGGCACGTCATCCTTATCGAAATCTCCATCTTTAAGCCAAACCGACATAGCACGATGGGAGGCAAAAATATGAGGTTCGAAGAAACGCGCAATGGGGCCGAGGACTTTGGGTGGGACACGTGCTTGGGTGCCTAGGCGCTGGATATGGGATTCTGAGGAGTGGGGGGCTTCGCCTTGTTCTGCGGACGAGAGAAGCGGGGTTTGGTCAGAGTCGTCTTCGGGCTCTGCGGCCAGATCTGCCGGGAGGTATTTCTCGAGCGGCATTAGGTAGCGGTTCATCGCTGCATTATATATTACGGTAGTGATGAAGAGAACGGCGATCATGATGGACGGTCCTGTTGCTTTGCGGATCCCGAAGAGGCCAATCAGACAGAGTTCTGCGAGATATATGCCTGTGAGAATTTGCTGGAGTGCGAGAGCGTAAGAGTGGCCTTTGGTGTCGACCTTCGGTTGGATAGTGAAGAGGAGCATGTAGCGGTAGCTGATGTAGAACATTATGAGACCGGCTGCTGCGAAACCTAGAACGAGAGGAGCAATACAGGAATACGCAATAGCTACGTCAAGTTAGTAAGAATCCCATTCGAACCCAGAGAGATAGTGACCTACCAATGATGGCAAAGTTGGTATACTTAGGAAACACCTTGCCCCAAGCAATTCCCCTCAAACTCGTATACCTGTTGTACTTATCTCTCGGAGTCTTGTCAACAAAGAAGTCGAAGAACAAGTATTGTAGAAGATCTGAGTAGTTCAGTAGATTGTCCGATGAGCTAGTAATGCCTTGAACGATAAAATACGTCAGGTAGAAATTCGATGCCGTAGGCAGATTCTTAGCTAGCAGGGCGGGGACAGAGGTCGGATTTTGGGCGATCTGGGAAACGACGGCTGCAGCGCCGGATGATAGTGTGGTTACTAGGAAGACTTGCGTGACTTGGAACACATAGTACCATTTTTGGACTTTGAGCTCTGCCGAGGTGGTTGTGGGTTCGCCAAAGGATTTGAACACGTCTGTGTGCCGTTATAAATTGCTGTGCTATGTAACTTGAGAGAGAAAACCTACATCTAAAGATACTCGGCACATATTTACTCAGTAAACTCGTGAGCAAGGGAGGTACAAGACCCGTCAACAGCCCCTGAACCGATTTTGGAAGGGTTTTCAAGAAGTTGAGCCACTGGTAATTCTCCGCAAGATAAGTAACGTTGGAAATTGCGGCGACAAATGCGACAGGGATGGACCAGAAGAGGATGGTTGCAATCACCAAACCTGTGGCTATTCCTTCTTGGGATATGCGGCGAGCAGGTGGTATTGTCAAGTTCTCCCAGATGATTTCGTTAGGCATTGTTCCAATGTATCTCGGATCCAAAGTCAGTAGCTTTGCAGACGCAATTTGTTGACAGGCTCTCTGGGCAGCGGCTTGAGTGCCAAACTCGACGAAGACGGCTGCTGCGCCATGGCTCTCTGGGATCTTGTATGATTCTCTTGTCTTCTGTATATCGGACTCTTTCTCTTTAATTTGCCCTCGCAGCCATTCAATACTGTCGACCCTCTTTCCCACTTCGGGTGGTGTCTTGAGCCAATGTGTTGGCCTCGAGGACTTTTTCAAGGGATCAGGAAGATCGGCATACGTTGTGTAGTTCCCATTCCGATCATCATTATTTCTCCTGCCCTTCCTTCCCTTCTTGTTGGCCCTCCGTATTAGCGTCATCTCCGCATCCTCAAGCTGCTTCACTTGCGCATTTCTATCGCTAACTAGAGATTCCAGTGCCCCACCTTTAGTTGCAGGCCAGCATCTAACTGCATCATCGCTAAAGTAGCGCTGAAGATTCTTCTCCTCCAGAGCCTCCTTCGGTGCTGAGAGGAAGAGGACGGTGCGAGACGACAGCCTCTTCGCATTCGATTTCGAAAGGCTCCAGGCTTGTCGAAGCCCAATGAGCCAAAGCCGCTCTCGGGCGACCGTGAACATGACAAATGCGAAGAAGACCCACGCAATTACGGCATGTGCATAGAGGCGCTTCCTTATGGTAACATTTCCAATAGAAATCTTGTCTAGCTCGGTTGATGTGCCTCCTCCGGTAGCATTAATTGGCATCAAAACCGGCCATGTTATACAACAGCCGACAACACAAATGAAGATGGCAGTCCTCAGAAACCGGAGGAAGAGATAGGCATCAAGTGAAACGTGATAGAGTGTGAACTTATCGGGTACCACTCGCAATGTGTGGATCCAATCGAAGTACGAGCGGCTTGCTGACGGCGTGTGATCTCTGTAATCATTAGCATTGAATCAGTGGTCTTACGATTGATGACCTACTTTTTTGATATCGTCCCAATGTAAGTCCGTGGTGCATAAATTTTAGGGTACCGATGTCTGACAGCGCAGAATATTGCAATAAACACCATTGCTGTAACCCATGTTGGTACGAAGGCTGACACAATCGAAGCTAGGGAAGCCGATCCATTGGGCTTCATGAAAGATGCTGTTAGTAAGGCCTATAATGGTGAGCCTTTCAACAGGAACCTGACACCATGGGGGAATGACATTGAGAAATAGGAACTCGGAAGGGTACCACATGTATCGCATACCATAGAACATGATTAAAATTGAGTTGATATGTGAACCCTCTTGCTGGCCTGGAGGATGCAAATTTCGGTTCTAAGCTATAATCTTGCCTTGTTTGGTCGTATGTGCTAATACGCAATAAATTATTGAAAGAAGGGTGGTCGGGATAAGGCATGATGCAAAGCAGTCATGGAAGGACACAACTGTCGGGAATAATATGCGTGGAATCATGACAAGCTTACCTTCTTCTCCTCATCCCAGGCACTAAACCCCTCATTGCCCATCGCCCCTACGCCGAAAATGTTCTGAAAAGCCATTGCAATAAGCGTTATGGTAAAGGAGGACACAGTGCGAAGTTGGGGGCAATGGAGCATGATTCTGTGCCTCGAAGGAGCGAACGGAGTCTTGAAACAAGCGGCTTAGCGTAACGTCATATTTGACATGAATAAGAAGAACTTGTGAAGGATTGGCGGGATTGTGAGAACGCAACGACTGATGCCTTGAGCGTGAAACGCGGTGGCTTATGGTTCACTGTCCGATGTGTAGGCGATGACGTCGATGGAGTGGCGCGTGCGTGGCACGTTTCTCGAAATCTCGACAGCATGTCTCGCTCTCGAGAAGCACCTTCATTTAAAGATTTTGAAGGTGTCGATTTTGAATGTATTCTTGACCACAGGGTGCAGTTTGGTTGAACATATTATCGCAATGCTAGAAACGTATGTGTGCCCGAGCCCAATCTCTTGCCGATGATGATTCCCGTGGTATCAATTCCCTTATAAAATAGAAACGCCGTGCTGAAATCCCAATCCCAATCCCAGCCACGAACTAGGAAAACATTCACCCGAAGACCAGATCCTTCATTCTAAATCCAAAGCAGCCATCTCAAAATATTCCAGCCTGCGCCAAACACGCGACGAACCATGCCTGAAATGACCACGATAAGCCACAACCACCACATTACGCCCACGAGCGTCCACTCCACTAGCACCCAACCAACTCTCCTAACCCATCTCATTCTTCGCCTCCTCATACGGATCATTCTCTCTATCTCATCGCTCACTTGTTTCACTGCTAGCGGCGCTGTTCCTGAAACATCGTTTGTAATTCTAACAGCTTCGTCTCCACTACTGCGAACCCTTGGAAAGAGTTCTGATTCGACTCGAAATCTCAAGTCCCTGATGGTAGATATAAGATTTGGTACGCTGGAACTGCGGAATTCGTCGGCAGAGCTGTGCAAGGCTTGAGTTGAAGCTTCAAGAGTTCTGGTGAGCATGCGTGCTGCTAAAACATGTTCTTCCTTCCTCGGAATCGGGATCAACTCCGCATTTGCAACCCTTGCTGCGCGAATGAGGAAGGCTGGTGGTTTGCAAGTCCGCTTTTCTTGAGCTCGTCGAAAAATCTCCCTTGCCTTAATCCCAGAGCAAAGGAACAGGGCCCGAACGCGAGCAATATCAGCCTGGGTGATCGTGTTACCAGTGGTGGATACTTTGCGATGAAGTGTATTGCCACTTTCATCGGTAATGCTCCAGTGACGTTTGCCTTCGAGTGTAGGTCGAGAGGTGCTACTTTGTCGGCTGGGATGATCTAATATCTTCGGGTTTGCAAGGGGTGTGAATGGGAGGCCTCCTCGCCCAACTCCTCCAGGACGCTCAAGGGTTCTGTTGAGTCGCTCTCGACCTGCACCAGGTGAACGTGGTCGGGATGGGCCGGGGGAAGAATTTGTTGATATAGATCGAAGGTCAATACGCGGAGGAGCAAGCCTATCAAACCGTGGAGAGCGGTTATTCGCCCGGTCTCGTGTTTGACGAGTGATGTGATCCGATAGCTGTGAGTCAGTTGCATATGCTTTGTCTATGTCGGGCTGATTAGAAGAGCGGAATGAGGGTAGCTCAAGATGGTAGCGGCTATTGTTCTGAGATGCCATGCTCCCAATTGTGGTACCCGTGTTATTGCGCGCAAACGATGGACGAAGTTTGTGTTTCGGTTTAGCTGAATCCTCACCCGTATCCGATTCATCAACAGGAGGATGACTTAATTCGGACTCTGAGTCGGTATACTCAACTGGACGATCTCTTCTGAAGATGAACCCCCCGACCTTGGACCCCTCGCTCTTGACCCCTTTGAAAAACCTGTTTACAGCAGAGCCGGGATCCTTTGCATCCTTGTCCTTTCTTTGAGCTCCTTCTGGGCTGTTTAGACTACTAACACTGTCATTTTTCCTGTGCGCCAGAAGATTTTTTACCGCACCAGGAGCTGAGAATATTGCGCTTCCGAAGGCATTACCTTCTGCGACCTCCTCGCTTGCCTGTCGAGAACCGCGTTTTTTATCTGTCCCGGCCGAGTCCGGCTCAAGCCTGTGACCTTTCGTGCTCTCGTCGGAACGAAATATGTCCAGTTTGCTGCGTTTTGGTTTCTTTGAAACCGATCCGGCCCTGCTTGGAGGAGGAGAAAGGTCAGCTCCAATGTAAGGGGAAAGGTTGGAGTAGATGGGCGTGTTCGGAGCTGTAGTATCAAGATCTTCAAATGAGGATCTCGGCTCTCTTGCAGAGTCAGAAAACAGAACTTCCGTTCGCCTTGTGTTTAGGGGAAGTTTCAGATTAACCGCAGCATCCATTAGGGCACTCCCATTGGGTATCTCCGCCATTTCCAAAGATTCTCGCGCAGTGTTACTGTTCACAATATCGGGATAGCCCTCACCCCACTTGTTCGGCGTATCGGGCGACACGACGTTAGAATGATTCATCTTAGCCTCTTCTGCTTCTTTCTCTATCATCTCCTTCATGCGTAGTTCAAGCGGACCCGTGTTGTTGTTTATGTCTATCACGCAACGCGGTTTCCTAGACCCACGCTTCTGTGAACCCGATTCAGAGTCAGAGGAATCGGTGAAGCTCCCAGACTGAGGTCTTGAAGCCCGCCAACCATGTTTTTTGTGCTTTGGGCTCTCTGATCGGAAGGCTGGAAGGAGCCTCCGTTTGCGACCGCGCTCGCTGGTAGGGTCACTCTCGTCCCCGGTCCCAAGCTCGGCAGACAGACGAGGCAGGCCTTCAACCCAACTTCTCCTTCTCTTCTCAGGATATTCCTTGCTTGCACGCGGTTGAAGGAAGTCTTGTCGAGGTGGTTCCTTGGGAGGGAATATCTTGCGACCATGATGGTCCTCGATTAAGATCTTGTTATCCTCTTGCTCGAGCCAGTGTGCATCAGCGAGAAGCTCTTCAGAGTGAACAACCCAGCCCATCCTTGGTCTCGGAGGCTTGCTGGGACCATTTTTCTTCTGGTGGTGTTCGTTGTGATATAGGGGCAATATGACGCCGTCCTGTTGGCGATAGCCTGGACGCTGAGATTCATGTTCCACCTTGTCCACCCAATCTCGGACTTTGTCTATGTCCAAGAACTCTTCTGGGTCATGGTGTAGTGCTTTCCTTTCTCGAGCTCTGCTCCTTCGATTTCGAATGTACTGGAGTGGATTGTACACACGGCCAAGTTCGTACTTGCTACCCGCATGCGACGGCGTCCGTGTGAGTTGCGCATGCGGACTGCCGGGCATATTGGTAGCGGAAACGATAAAATTTCCGGGAGCGGTTGCATCGGGCTTCAGCGGCGGCAAGTACTCCAGTAACCGAAGGTACTCGACTCTCAGTTCGATATATGCCCGAGCTTTATCTCTTCGGGCAAGCGTACTTTCTGAGGGGCTGAATGGCTGTCCGTAAAAGGACATGGAAGCACTACGAGGCATAGAGGTGGAGAGGTGGCGTAAAGCGGAAGGAGAGTTTCGTCCTGCACTCGGGGAAATATTTCGGGATACCCGCCGCTGTTCGTTGAGATACTGCCTTAGACTACCGCCAGCCCCATAGTTTCGGAAGCTCCCACCCGGTGGAATTGCAACAGAAGCCACTCGAGTTGAGCCTGGATTCGGAGGGGCTATTAGTTGACCAGCGCTCAAGTTTCGTCTCCGGCTTTCGCTAAGATTCAGGGCCATATGAACGATTTGGTTTGGGTCTATTGCCACACGCGGTTGTCCTTCGCTGGAGTCCGTTCCGTTGGTAGCAGAAATGAATTCATGGACACTGTTCCTGTTTTTCGCAATGCGGAGCTCCCCACTGCCATGCCCTTGTCCATTCGCAGAATCGGTCCTGGTCCGGTCTTCTGCAGCACCTCGATCCCCCATAACAACACCTTGGGACAAGGGCGAGGTGTTCGACGGGCCCCGGTTCCCTACTCCGATTCGCTCTTGGTGTCCACTGCTATCAACCCCATGGACGGGATGCACATTGCGCTTTCCTTTTGGATCTCCTCCACGGACATCGGTATGATGCCGGTCTCGGCTCCTCGGGCCTGTGGGAAATGTCGGATCCAACAGAAAGCCACCAGACCTTCTGCTCCGATGTCTGCGATGCGCGAAGTCCTGCCCTTCTAAAGACTCAGCCTCGAGATCTGCTCCCACGTGTCTGGATACAGGCCCCTGCGCGCTTTGTCCTGAGCCGCTACTGTTCCTTGAGCCAGCGAGGCTCGGCCTCTGCGCTGAGCTCCCTTGTCCATTATTTCCGTAACTGCCTGAGAACCTCACGCCTAGAGTATGCGAAGATGTAGCCGACGGTTCGGAAGATACTGAAGGCCGGCCCTCGCTGGAGGGGCCTGACATATTCTGGCGTCTGGTATTGTTACCTTTGTCGAGCTTCGAGGTGCATGGTCGCGGGTGGATCGTCGCTGTGAGCGAACGCGGACAGTGAATGACAGCGTTAGGGGGGAATGTAGCGAAGCGAAGGCTGGTCGACGAGAGAATAAGAACGTGGGGAAGCGTGGACAAGTGAAAGGAGCAAGCTGGTCAATTGCGGCGGTAGAAGGAGGACATTGTTTTCAGTCAAGCATCGATGTCACAAACCCCAGCCGGCATGCATAGCATCACTAGCGCGAAGCCTCGGCTGCACGGACGCTCCTCAACACCATTGCTGGCGCGTCTTTGCCATCGTGGAAGCAGGCGACTGTGAGCATTGCGTCACAGTAAGCAAGGTGTGCACACCCCACATTTTAGACAAGTCAGCATTAAACTTCTATCCCAGCGCTGTTTGCATCGCTAAACACTGAGCATCCTCAACAAGGCGCATGGAAAGAATTTCGAACATATAAAACGAAAACATGGGTTGTTGCACGAAGGTGTAGTAGCTACCATTCCAATGGCGCCAGGCTCCACACAACCCTAATCAATTCCAGGACATTTGTACCCCCCACCCAATTTCGCTCTTTTCTCCAATCTCTATCATATCAAAACTGCGTCATGAGATGCACCTGTCAAACTTCTTCCGCTTGTGAGAGGCGGAGAATGCCTCAAAGGAGACCCTACTTGGAGATCGAAGATACAAACTTCCATGTCCTTCATTTCGGGAAGAAAGCGACTTGTCGGTTATAACAAACCTCATCGTCGCTTTCAGTGTGGAATTCTTTTAAGCTTCCTGGAACCGCCACCAAAGGTGCAGTTTAAGATGTAGTGCCCGCAGCATGTGGTGGAACAGCTGGCGCCGCCTCCCTATTCAAGTCGACAATGTCTCCAGTCGGAGGAAGATGCGCTGGAGCACCAGCGGCATTGCCTGGCGGCGGTGGGCTAGGGTTCGGAGTCATTCCGGCTGGGGGGTGGTATCCCGTATCCGTAAAGGTTCCGGCTACCGGGTTATATGCAGCTCCGCTTTGAGGTGCTGAGAGGGTGTATGTCTGTTGAAGTTCGTAATTTTCTTCGTCTTCTGAGGATGAGTAGTCGTAAGAGTCGTGATGGCTTGCTGCCTCATTGGCGAAAGGGTTTGTTGCGCGCATTTGGGCTTGGTATTTGGAAGCCTTTGTTGATGTCGTTGAACCTAGGTTGTCGCCTCTCTGCATGCTGTATTGTGACGAAGGACCTCCAGGATATTGATCATTCTGCTGCTGCCTCTGCCGCTGTGAAGCCGAGATCTGTTCACGGAAGACATTGCCCCCATGCTCATTAAGCCCATCCCCAACCACTGTTTGCGAGGAGAAGCCCGATGCAGAGCCCACTTCTTCATCAGTGGGTGCTCGTACTGGCCTTAGGGGCTGCACATCCTCCTCAAGTTGAATGACTGGTCGCGGGGGTCCCATTGGACCGCGTCCCCAGCTGCGGATCGGAAAGGCGCGGCCTTTGTGCCAGGTCTCCGTCACAGGCGGGAAGTACTGCCTATATGAACCCCAGGCTACAAGAATGCCGAGAAAGCTACCTGAGAGAACGTCGAAAGGGTGGTGGCGGGCATCCATGATGCGGGAGCCAGCGACGAGGGCGGCAGCCAGCGTTGGAATCATGACAATGAATGCCTTCCAGACTTCTCCCTTGGAATCCAGAACGTGCATTTTTGCGGCGAGGTAGAGGGAGAGATAGTAAAGGCCCGCAAAGGCAGCTAGAAATGTTAGCATAGTCTTGCTCAAATGGAGGCAGGGTGATGTACTGCTACTGTGTCCTGAAGGGAAGCTTCTGAACCCGTCTTTCAGAATGGCGTTGTTTTCTTGAGTGCAGATATCATGGGTAGATAGTTTGAGCGGATCCTCGGTGTAGTTTCCTGGCACCTGACACCTGGAAACTGTTAGTCATTTGTCTCTCTCCTGCGGCGCATGTGGGGGCCTACCGAGAGATGAGATCAGGTCGTGGCTTCCCAATCGCATTCTTTAGAGCTCCTAAAATCACTATTAGCATCATGGGTCTCACGGCACACCGCTTTGGCCACGTACCAGTAATTGTAAATGCGGCGCAAACACTCAACCCCAAGCCCAAAATACCGCAGTTCAACTCCCATAACCTATCCTTGAACCTGTATCTGCCAGTGAGCCGTCTCCTTCGCCCTCCTTCCAATGGCATCGACTTGGAGTGTGAGAAGATTCCATCGATGACCAAAGTATATATGGCGATGATGCCTGCGGGCGCAGCAACCGCGATAATGACTAGCTCAGGGACAGGTATTCGTTCGTGCACGGCATATGGGTAGTGGAGAGTATAGTTCTGTAGGGAAAAGGGTTGGTGGAAGGGCTCGACGGCATCAAGGGCATAGAAGGTTACGATGAGGACGCTGCAGTGCGTATTCGTTAGCTGGGGTCCGAGTTTGGGAAGGAGGTCGTGTGCCGGGGGTTTCCTACAGAATTATGACATAGTCGAGTATGTATCTGCGCGTATTAGCATCTCTACGTCTCTTAGAATGGTTGCGCATCTACGTACGAGAGGATGACCGTCTTGGGGAGTTTCTTCTTGGAGAAAGCACTCAGGCGATCAGGGAGTTTGTAGTTGTCCATTCCGAATTACCGCATCCAGCTACACCGACAAGGAAGAACAGTCCTGAGGCTCAAATGGGCTACTTTTCTAGCGCAAATAGTATGCACAGCGAAGAGAAGGCAAGTCGCACGCGGCCGCCAAGCAGCTGCGGGATGTGATTGTTTCGTTGGTCGAGCTTCTAAGGGTTCAAAACAGGCGGCCCTCGCGGAGAGACGCACAATGCAAAAAGAGACGAAAAACTAGTCAGGTCAACTGGGTGTCTTTGTAGTCGGCTTCTTCCCATCAGCTCCCCAGCGAAGAGGGAGGCCGTAGAGTGCAGGTCAATCGCCTGTCAGCTTCCACATCGAACGCTCAGCCACGGTCCACCAAGCCTAGGCTAGCGCCTAGCATTGTCCTTGGCGGTGCTCACGCATCGTCATGCCGGTTTCGTCCAAGAACACCACAACAGTCGAGCGAATCGAGGCCATCTATGACGACAATCCAACTCGCCGGCGCAACAACATGCGATGCGTGGCGTCCGATGCAGAACAATTTGTTTCCTCCAGACCCTGGACTGACGCGGCATGTCGCCTGGACAGGCTAAAACCATGTGGCGCACGTTTCGCACTAGTCCAAAAGAGGTATCGCGCAACGGACCCGGCCCTCGGCTTATTTTTACACTCAACACCATAATCTTCTCTTCCAGGTCTATTTCTGTATGCCATTGGTCAGGCTCGTCTTTGCAGATCGCACCTCGCTCTCATCATGGCCAGTCTGCTAGACAGAGCGACCAGTATCATATCGTCACCAAAGATCGTCCAAGGGACACACTCTTCCAATCTACCCAGTCTTCCCAATCTTTCCAGTCTTCCTGTATCATCTCGTCTTCCCCTGTATCTTTCCGCAGGAGCGGCGTCTGTCGGCCTTTTGCTCTTTATCAACTCATTAAGAGGCTTTCCCAACTCTGGGGGAACCAAAGTTATTCCGTCGCCGAGAGAAACCCTCCTGCCCCGATTATCAACAGACGAGACCAAGAACCTGCCGTATCCACCATATGCCCTTCCTGGAGCCCGCGATGTGGATTCGCCATATGGCACTACGCGGGTGTACGAATGGGGACCAAAAGATGGACCGAAGGTTCTCCTTCTTCACGGCATAAGTACCCCCAGCATTGCACTTGCGGGCCTGGCTTATAAACTTGTCGAGAAGGGATGTCGAGTGATGCTGTTTGGTAGGTGGCAATGAAGTCTTTTCAATCATTTGTCGTCAATCTCCTTGCTGCTCGTTTATTCCTTGAGAACTCTGGTTTGTTTTACCAAGCTCAACTCAACTTTTTATGACCATTTCGGTTGCGACTGGCAATACACAGAGTCTTCAGAGCCTTGTCAACCCCCATTTCATTCTCACCGCCATTTCAACTCAAACCCTCCTTCATCTAGAGTACGCCTGCGCCTACCATGGAACAATGGCAGAGTAGATTTGGTTAGTTAATCGTCCTGCCATAATCAAGAAGGACGTTAACAAGATGCAAATTTCTGTCTCGAATCACCTCTGTCATGTTCTGCAGAACATACCTTAGATATCTAGAGCATTTCCTATCCTCGCAATATTTCACAATCTATGCAGTCAGAAATCTCATTCATCCCCACTCAAGATTTTCGCACTGCCCAAATCTCCTCGAAGACCACCAAACTCACCAATAATAGACCTCTTCTCTCGCGGCCACTCTTCGGGACCTTCTCCCGCCACAAACTCCTACTCCTCCGCTCTCTACACCTCCCAAATTCTCCTCGTCCTTCAATCCTCCCCTCTATCCTGGACTAGCACATCCCCCTTCACTATCGTTGGGTACTCTTTAGGCGGGGCCATAGCCGCCGATTTCACCTCCTACTTCACCGCCTCCATCTCACACCTAATCCTGATCGCACCCGGAGGTCTAATCCGCACCACACACATAACGTGGAAGAGCCGCTTCCTCTACTCCACCAGCGGACTTCTTCCAGAATGGATGATTCACTCGCTAGTCGCCAGGAGATTATGGACGGGCCCTAACACCGCCCGTAGCATTGAGCCCGAGGGGGACGTCGAGGCCCAGAAAGAGCCCGAGAGTGAGAAGAAAGGTGGACTGAGAAGCCACGCTGTCTACCTCTCCCCGCAACTCAATCTCCTTCCAACATGCCCCAACAGCACTGTCGGTAACGTCGTCGACTGGCAGATCCAGCATCACCGAGGCTTTGTGCCAGCTTTTGTATCTACTATTCGCTTCGCGCCGATTCATAATCAACATCATCGCTGGCGTATCATTGGTGAAAAGATGAAGATTGGGGGGATACCGTTGAAGAAAGTGAATGTGATATTAGGCGAAAATGACCCTATCATCGTCGCTGAGGAAGTTGCTGAAGATGTCAAGGAAGTGCTGGGAGAAGATTATGTTCAAGTCCAGGTCCTGAAGGGTGCAGGACATGAACTCGCCATTGACAAAGTTGATGAGATTGCGAGTTTGGTGGGAAGAGAATTGGGGCTGGCACGCAAGGCAAAGAAGTCGAAATCCAGGTGGTAGATATGTATAACGGTCATGACTCTCGATGTACTTACTACTCAATGTTGAGATATACAAGGGGCAGCCCAGGTCCGGTTCCAAGCAGAAAGCTGTATCTTCTTACCACTCTTCTATACTTTAGCAGCTAGCTTGATAGATAAAACTCAACTTAAACAATGTTCCGTGAGATGCGCCAATATGCTATGCAAGTCCAACACAATGCAAAGTCGCTATATCCATGCCACTAGCGGGCAAATCCTGATTCCACATGTCCAATCTCTCCAGGAAACCCCGTTCCAGCCTCTTACCAACCCAGACCCAAAATACCAAAATCCGATCCTGACTCTATACAACATAGCGCCACAATCACACCTTTAATTAATGAGGGCTCGCGCCAACCATACAGTCTTACAGATTCCCTAGAAAGGAAAGACGTCAGTCTAAATGCAGTAAGGCTTGATTCAAAAGCTTCTTTTCATTTGGTACGTCAGCACTGGTTGACGCCACCATATAAATGTGCTATTTCGCTAACTGCCTTACTCAGGATCATGAGTATGCCGATGGAGAAAGGGGTAGAATCCGAGAGCTAGGGATGCGAACAAGCGACTCACGGATTACTGCTGCATAGAAACTGAAACTGAACGCAAGGCGGGTGTTGGTTCTCAGGCGGTAAAGCTATTCACGGATAGAACAGTCGAGCCAATATTCGATATATGGTATGTATATGAATTGTCCTACATCTCCTCCACGTCCTCCACCCCTCTAATATCTTAGAGACCCCCAAGCTCGCTAAATTCATCCTGATCATCTGAGCTCCAGATGTAGGTCAAAAGTAACCCAACTATGCAATCATAATTCCCCTAAACGCCGTGGTATACAAATCACACTCCTGAAGTACTTGTATCGCATCATTAATGCTCATCCATAAATACCAGTCACACACACACACACACACATACGTCATCCGAAAATCTGATGATTTGCCGTTCTATGTCCATCTTTCACAGATTAGCCATTACCATGACGAATCACGGAGCCTGAACGCCAGCTTTTGTTCGTTCAAATCCGACTACACACGCTCGTGTCTGAAAGGCTCATAGGCACTACCTGAGGTGGTAGTACCAGAGTGAGGCATGTTGTGGAGCTCGTTGCCCTGATCGCGATGGCCGAGATAGGGAGACGCAACACGCTCGTAGGTATATGGCGTCTTTTCCACGACAACCTTCTTGTGGCCGGACTTTCCTGAACAGCAGCAGACAGAGATCAACCAGAAGAAGCCGGAGGCGATGGAAAAGGCAACGCCAAGCCAGACTACGGAAAGCATCTTGGTGCCTAGCGAGGCCTTGATCTTGTAGGGCTTGAGAGCACTTTCGAAGGTCCCGGCGAGAGCACCGTATAGGGCAGTTGAGGTGACGGCGGCGGCGACGATGAAGAGGGTTTGCGCCTAAACGTGGGGTTAGCTTTCGATTCTGATGATACGAAATTGAAGGGATGCTCACCGAAGAGACAATGGTTGTAACAAGGCTTCCCCATCGGCTAAAAATAGCAAAGATACCGACGACAAGTTCCGCGGCTGTGAGACAGATGGCAATAACATAGGCACTGAACATCCACTTGGAAACTTTGTGGTACGCATCGATTCCGTTCTTCAGCTTGTCAGGGAAGATCTGCTGGGCGGTTGTGTTTTTTAGCTCCCAGACGTCGATGGGGTTGAACCAAAAGTTGGCCTTGCGGGGAGAGCAATAGGTGACAGTATCTTTGTTCTTGTCATCGGTATCACCCTCGCAGTAGTTCCACAATCCGACCTAGTCAAAGGTTAGTGACTGCATTGCAAACTCATCGGAATTATGTACCTGGTAGAAGTCCTTCAGATCCTTCGACTTCGCCGCACCCGTGAGTGCCTGGAGCAGGACATTGTCAAGATTCGAATTCTCTAACACATCGGGGTTTTCCGTAAAGTCTTTGGTATCCGCCTATATTACACGTCAGAACCATGTCAATCTCGCGACACCGTTTAGAACCAACCTTGAAGAAGTAAAGGTCATTCTGCAATGCCATGTTCTTGTTAAGCTGGCCCGAGAACACCAATATCAGGCAAATGAGCGACGCAATGGTCAGTGCCATTGGCACGAAAATGCACGCGAATCGCCCGAGTTTGCCCATTCTGGCGTTGGTTGTTTCTTTTTTGTTTGGAGCGGCTGAGGCCTGGAAGGATGTCGGGACGCTACGTCAATCGGGAGCGGCAGGAGAGGAAAACAACAATTGTGAGGGGTGGACAGCTGAATTCGAGGTTACCCCAAACGCGAAACAAGGTGTTGGATATGTGGACGGGAGGCTGGACGACGGATGGATCTGAGATGTTAGGGCGTTGTCGAGGCTTTTTGTAGGACGGCCAACACTGAGCTGAAGGGGCTGAAGGGGTCCGTGTTAACGCAGATGGAGAACCAGGAAGAAGCGACCACAGCCTCACAAGGCTTGGAGTGGCTAGCACGAACTAGGAAAAAAGCGCTGACGACTAGGTCTTCTTGGGCCTTTAACACGACGACGATGGCGGTGCAGCCCTGGAGTATTCCCTATCATGAACACAACGCTGCGCGATCTCAGCAGCGGCGAATAACCACCCGGTCAGCGGCTTCATATGTCCCGGCATGTTAGTTGTTATTGTTGTCAGTTTGTGTGCCGGAATCTGTGAACTAGTGATGCGGTTTGCGCAACGAACGGGATGTCGATGTGCTTTCACATCTCCAAATAAAATTTCCTTGATTACCCAAGCAACTCTACCGAAATAGCTTCCCAAGCTGCGTTCCCTTCACCAGTCCTCAGTACTCTTGTTTGAGGCTGAAATTCTCCATTCACTGCTCTTCCTCCAATTGCTCCATCCAGCAATCACCCTAACCACGCCAAGCTCCAACGCTCCCCGTTCCGCATCTACATTCCCCTCCCATCGTACGAGCGATGTTGCACAGCTACTGCTGTGGCTGAACAGTCCCCAAGCTCATCTCGGCGCACTCTCCCTCCGAAGTTCAAGCGTTCGAGCTTCTCTTGCAAAGCATGACGCCGAGCTGTCGACCAAGCCCTCGAAACGGTAAAGGCGCTGGTGCGCAGTCAGCACGCCTATTTTTAGGCTCAAATGCACCAACCCAAGCGCAGAAAAAGCAGCAAGGGCGATAATAGCGTCTTGGCAGATCTGAAGGCGAAAGCCGCTCCCCAGGCCTGGAGCGGTCAGTGGACCCTGAGCTGCTTCAACACCATGAAATTTCCTCACGATGGTCGCCGACAACAGGGGTCCGTAGTAATCGTGTAGCACCCGGCTGCTCACCACTAAAGTCACCAGAATTGAATGTCAAAGTGCGCGTTGCTGAAGCTGCTAATTCTTTTTAGATTTTCTCTATCTCGCATCTCGTGCCAATGAGGCGGCGGAGGGACGCGCGTCCAACCCCTCAGACACCTCACCAACTCCGGATCCCCTCACTCTGCTTATCGTTCAACCATGACAGCGTGTAATCCAAAACCTCAGCAAATGAGAGCTCCCAAACACGTGAATGCCATCACATCGTGTGTAGAGTGATCGAACTCTGCCTCAGACTTCTCCCTAAATGCTTATAACAAATGAAAAATTCAACAAATGAATTGTATAGTCGCCTGACTAGATCCAAAATGCCAGTGGTATAAACAGTGTGGCAACCATTGCGCACATTCAAAGTGGAAATTGACAAACCAAATGCAACAAACAGAATGACTCTTCGAGCTTCTCGCCCCCGCAAGAAATGCTGAGACAAATGACAATGAAAAGAAACGGCCCGTGGGCAGGTTTGTAGACATTAGATGTTAGGACTAATGTCTCGAGTAGATGCGCCTAAACTCCGTCGCGAATATGTTGTCAGAAAGTCGCTGAAGTCTAAATGATAAGGTTACAAGGGCGAATATCGCGGAATGAATGGTTCTGAAGTGCCCTGGACGTCATCGGTTCCGGCTGTCTTGAGCATCGTCGTGACGTGCGTGGGCGGAAAGGACGGTGCTTCGTCGCTGGTGATATCCTGGAGACCATGGAAGGTGTGGGATAGGATGCGGGGATTAACGAGTAGAATGTTGTGCAGATCGCTTTTCATCGAGGATGTTGATCTCGAGGGTTGTGTTGGTTTGGTGTGCTCCTTCCACCTTCGCCTCTTTGTCGTATCCACTCTGCAGATCCACTGGTTCGGCCTTCCTGTGCTTTCTGCGCATCGGGGTCGGGTCGAGGACGGCTGCTTCGTCCGCTCAAGATGTCGTCGGCACTGATTCTGCTCACCTCGTGTGCGATAGAGGAGATGACGTAGCTGCGGAGTTCCCGATCCTCACGCATGTCTTCGCCTTCAAGGCGGAACTTGTCCTGCTTCGACATACTGCTTCGACGCATGGCGCGGATTTCATCCATAATGTGGAGCAAGGCAGCCTCGGGTGCCCTGGTGCGCTCCATGCCATGTTTGGTTGGATTGCGTACATATCTTCGAGTGACATCCATAGCGCCATCAACAGAGAAAGCAATGCAGTAAGCGAGCTTCTTGCCCCATCCTTGATAAATTGTTAGCTATAGGTCCCTGGAGGGTTAAACAGAGAATGCGACATACCCTCTGTGTAAAGTCGGGGTTTGTCCCAGGCTTCTTCGCAAGCATCGACATGCACCCAGCGCTTGCGGTGGAGCGAGTAGACCTCCGTCCACACATGATCTTCGCTGTTCCAGACCCATCGTACCCTTGAGCCGACGGCTCTGCACAGCATGCTGAAGCAATTGGCCCATTCGCCACATCGGCCTCGCCGAGTCTGGAGCAGGACAAAAGCGTCGTTGTATCGGGGATATCGTTCGTATGCGCCGCACTGCTCGACTGAGCATTTGTAGAGTTCAACTTGGTTCGCGCCACGGGCTTGCTCGTCGGGGAGTGGAGCGGCCATGCCTACGCCGATTGTGGGAGAGTAGCATCGTGAGCATGGAGGGTTGTTGACCCAGGTGAAAAATGATCGCTTAAACCATCGCAGAAGTGCCCGCACAACGCAGTCTTGGTAGCCCCATGCGGCCTTCTTGCCAGCGCCCAAGCTTTCTGCTTCAGCTTGCAGGATCTGGCTCTCCTCCTCGGCTTCACTGTAGATCTGCTCCAGTGGGACAACTCGAAGGGCTTCGTCCAGCAGACCGGGGTTCTCCCACCGTATGGGCATGTTAGATAGCGAGTGAAGCATGTTCTTAAAGCGTATTGATCGAGCATCCTGAGGGGCCTGGGCCACCAGAGGTATGTTTCGGAGTGACGAGTAGGATGGCGGAGGTGCATTCGTGGTGGCCGGCGGCTGTGGTGTGCCGAAGTCTCGCGGCGCTGGCGATGACGACCTTGACAGGACAGATCGCGAGGTGAGTTCGTTCATCCGCTTTGTGCTCAGGACCTGTCGAAAGCGCTCCGTCATTTCCTGGGCAAGTTGATCGGTGTCGACATTGGCAGCGGCGCCCCGCTCGGCGGCGTGCGAGTGCTCCATGGTCGGGGTGTGAACTGCAGTCGCAGTGGAGGAGTGCAGATGTCGAGGATGGCGTTGGTGAAGAGATGAAGCAGTGGTGGGAGTCGAGCTTTGAGGATGTTCCAGGCTGCGACTGAAAGTGGGTGCACAGCCCTGGATGATGCGCGGCGGCTGTAGGCGCAGCAGAGCGGGTGGCACGCAGCGAAGTATTCTGGGAGTGGCCGACAACTGTTGCGATGCAGCAACGTAGCGTTGATGGAGACCGCAACGGGAGCTCGACGAGAGCAGGAGTGTGTTGAGAGTGGAGAGGGGAGCGGCCGTGGTGAGGTGTGGAGGGTATTGATGCGGAGGCCGATGCGGTAGGGGCAACTGCCCAAGTGATTGCGCGTACGTATGCTTGCGTACGAGTCCCTCAGCCCCGGATTGGCTCGCTTCCTAGCTCCGAGGTCGCGGTCCCCCCTCAGCAGAAAGACAGAACCGTCGTCGGCCGTCCGTCAGAGACGCATCCGCCGCAGGTGACGGTGAGATGGTGTTTGATGAACGCCTTTGCTGCTGAGCGGCGCGGGAGGCGATGAGTGTCCTCGGCGTTTTCTGCTCTCAAGAGCGGCAGCGGCGCAGTGGAGCAGGAGGGTGTTGAGCGAGACCGATACCCTGCCCGGCAGCCCATCCGATTCGAGTTGAGTGGTCGGCAAATATGCTGCCTCTTCTCGCCGATAATTGAGGGAACAATGGTGCAGGCTCAAAAGCGCAAGGATCGCGAGATGAATATTGAGTCTACGATCATAGAACAGGAGGTTCGAACGGTTTGGTACGAATTCAAGGGCTTTTCATCAGGGAGCAGATCCATTTCGCTGCCTGACTGGCCGCGCGTGCAGTCTGAACAAAGTCCACGTATTCGGCGCTAGCCAGAGATTGGCTGGGGAGTCGTAAGCTCCCGCATCAGTCGCTGCATCCATGGACCTCCTCTCAACCCCATATAAACTGATACAGGAACAATAATAAGATCCAATTCCCAAGCCTGGGCCTAGATAAGGTTGACAGCCCGCCGCTTCACCCAGCGTACCCCACCCACGCAATCGCCTGAGACACCTTCCAACTTGTTCCGCCGCTATTCCTAGGCTTGCGCACCGGCGGCCTGGCAGCGAGCGTCGTAAGACAGATGGCAACCAGTGGCGATACATGCAAAGCCTTTGGGGTGAGATGTCAAGTCTGATGCTGTGGTCTTGGCTATTAGCCCCTTCCGAAGGCTGCTCTTAACAAATGTCCTGCAAGCAGTGCTTGAAACTCCTGCTAAGTAATGATGGGCACGATCAGCAGAACACCTCACGGAGCCGGACAAGGACGCTTACGAGTCGCTGCCCTTCAGAAAGTGAGATCAGATTCGAGAAGCTTACGAATGGTCGAAGTCATACGACGACGAACACGTTTCGAATTAGGTTAGTGTTGCTTGTGAGCCTCGTGAGAGCAAGGATGGTCCCACTTTACCAACACGCTCCACAACTTTATAGTTCTAAGATCCACAGACATCAAGCTACTGTCACGGGAACCTTGCTGTGAATTAGCGATCATGTTTGGAGCAGTGTTGGAGCTTTGACCGAGATATTTGAAACTACTTGACTGGGCGAGGACCACGCGTTGTCTCGACTCTCCTCACTCAAGAAGGAATAAGAGGGTGATGGCATGAAACATATCAGTCGTGACCACTGATGAACCTTGGTGGAAGGTCCAGATCAAATGACGGTCTTTCAACAAGAACCACTTCGAGCGGCTGGTTGTCTCCTCCAATCGGTACCATACCCAAAATCGGTCGATATTTGAAAGTGTGCCACCATGACTCCCACACACGACGCTTGTGATCCGCCAAATCTTCGCCCTTCTCCTGTGACTCTAAATCTGTCTGCAAGGCCTCCTCTTGCTGCACCTCTCCATTACCCGGTACGATCTGGGTCGTAGACTGGCCACCATATCCTCCCGATCTTCGAAGAGTGGCTAATGCTTGATGCGTATCATTAAAGTCTTCGTCAGACTCTGCACCAACACGGTCAACTTTATTGAGGTCGATCCAGTTGAGCTTGTCGGATTCGTCAGTTTTGCCACTGTGGAATTTGCGCACTTTTGTAACCATTGTCTCATTTTCCGGGACCGCGTCACCCGCGCCGCTCTTTTTCTTCCTGGAAATTTCTTTTATAGGCTCGCGCTTCCGTTTCTTCGACGCCACCATTCTATTCTCTACAATACGTTTGGCTGGGCGGTTCTCATCCGTTGTTTCTCCAAGGGGTAAGTCGACAGCGAGATCAAACATGAACAACCATTTTTCGCCATGTAGCCAAAGACGTTGATATCCGTTGGCTACATCCCAAGTACACCCTTTGACTGGGTCATCAAGCAAACGAAATTTTGAAGGGTAAGTTGATGGCGGGTTCCTTCTTGACCAGTCCGAGAGTCGGCTACCCAAAACTTCAAACTGGTATAGCTGATGATTTGCCGACACCAGCAGGAGATGCTGTTCCGCTTTCGGTAGAGCACGTAAGTGGGGATGTGGGCTATAATGTGCTGTGGGGTTCCCATTGGGCTGTAGTTGAATAGATCCCTCGGCCCTAGGTCGAAATGAAAGCAGAAGAGGAGGCGAATCTAGCCTAGGGAGAAGATGTCCTGATGGATTAGGTACCCATCCCTGGCCTAGTATTGTCGTTCGCTCCTGTGAGGTCATGTCCTCATCTTCTAAGCCGTCGTCACCCTCGGACGTGGAAGATGCTGAAGATTCGTCAACATCGACTTCGGGTGCAGAAGGATCCTCGTGCCCTTCAATCAGCCAGGAGTCAACATATCCAGCTAAATCTGCAACCGCAAAGACGGTCCCGTCCGGACAGAAGCCAGCGTGAGTAATTGATCGGCTGTAATGTCCCCAAGGTCCGTTGAGCGGGTCTTGTTGTATATCGTTCCTTGGGAGTCGATGTAGACGAAGAATTCGGGGAATTGCCCGTGGGCGGTCGGTTACATCTTGTCTTATCACGCGTATGAATGTTATATTGTTGGTGGCTGATATGAGGGCCAGCCACTTTCCGTCCGAAGAGAACCGCACAAGTTTAGCTCCTGCTTTCCACGGAATCTCTAATTTTCGAATTCGGAAGCCAGAGCCCGATGCTAGGTTGGCAGGACCGAGTTGAAACAGTTTAACCTCAGCAGCGGTTGCAGCTGCCAAAAGCCCGCCATCTTCTGTTATGGTCACCGATGTAATGTTTTCCTCCCCTCGCAGAGCTATTCTGGCGACAAGCTTGGGCTTCTTCGCAACATCAAGGTATTGTTTGACGCGCCATATTTGCACTTCGGTGTTCCACCAGCTCACTAGTAGGCGTGCGTTGGAAGCGCTCACCAATGGAGGCTCATGTGGCAAAGCGGGAAGTTTACGGCTGAGCTCCCGCCCATATTGGCGGAGGGGAACAACAACGGGTTGGGTGTCGATGCCTGAAGAGACGTTAATAAAATTTGGGGATAATAGTAGATAGGGTAACTGACCTCCAGACACCATAACGTTCAATTGTTTTCCTTCATATGTAGCCATGGCTTTGACATCGTGGTCATGATATCTCTGGTGAGATACTTTGCACCATCTGTCTCCTGCATACCCTCGAGCAGCGCCAGACTTCTTGTTGCAGGTGTAGAAACACGTCCGGCGGTCCATACCTCCACTGAAGATCATGTTACCGTTCTTTGAGATTGCCAGATCCAAGACGTCCGCTTCATGACCCGAAATTCGCTGAAGCTGGCCGAAGTTTTGGCCGTCGTATATTCGAATATCTCCCGTAGAGTCTCCGGAAACAAAATCGCCGTTTGGAAGACATCTAACTTTCCACACGAGTATATCTCTAGGCCCACCTGGGGGTCCACTTCCCAAGGAGATGTTCCTCAGAATCCGGCCGCTCCGTGTGTCGAAGACCCGAATCATGCTGTCTGCGAAACCTGCCAAGACGGTGTTCCGATCTTTGTATGTGACGCTAAGTACGCGTGCCTTTTTGGTCGATGACCGCGCGAGAAATTTATCGAACCTGAGGTTGTTATCCCCGGTGGAAAGTAGCACTAGAGTGCCGTCGGCACAGCCCGCCACTAGGTTTTGTCCAAGAGACGCATCCAACCCACGTTCGCTCTTCTCGGATATCCTCAGCTTAGGTTGCGCTGCGAAACACCACACATCGCTGTGATTACCATTGGAGTGGCGTGCGGGGAGACCTGTTACTAGGTCCCATTCCGTGATACTGGTGGAATACCCTATGCTGAACAAGCGCAATCTACCGGGGACAAAATTTCCTCGCTCATCCTTTCCGTCTGCATCTTGTGTCCACACCAAGCCTTCGGCACTCCTGTCTTTTCCCCCGCTGAAGACCCGCTCTTGAAGCCATGAGCCCTTGTTAGGATTCCAGATCTCGATATTGCCATTGGCACGACCGAGAGCTAGTCTCAGACATGCGAGGTCTTCATTATCATTTTCTGATGCTGCGTGGGAGAAGGCGAGAGCATTTATCGCGGATGGTGGATAGGGCACGAAGCGGGATCGGTGGATATCCATGGCGAAGATTGTGCTGGCGGGATTTCGCCGATAGCATGGATTATGTCGAGCTTGGCGCACGGCAAACTTGTTGTTAGTAATTATAGAGTGCTCGACATTCTTGCGGAGTTTTCTTGTGCGAAAACTTCGAACTTTCTCCTGGGGAAAATTTAGTTGCTGTCGGTGAAGTTAGACATTAATGCCGATCGGTGCGGAAAAACTTTATGAGGCTAGGGAAAACTATAAACCGATGAGCCAACTTCCGATCCCCTTTATCCTTGCCTCCCACCGGCACTTCGATACATGTTTCAGAGTTGACGATGTCATACCATCCCCAGCCATAGAAACGCTTATGAACGGCACCCGCATCTCTCCATGGCCATTGCCGCGTAATTCGGGACGACCGCAGGCGTCGACACGACGAGGGTACATCCTGAAGCGGCGAGACGACAAACATCTGATGTCCTCTGACACACGCACTCCTCACTGTGTCAGATCGTGTCTTCCTCGCGCTTGCATTGTTTTCCAAGTGAAACTGTCTTGGGCGGTGGAGTCGAGGGAGATCTTCTACTTGCCCAATGCCTCCCGAACTGATGCCGACACCGCCCTCTCAACGAATTGGATGATATCTGATGCCACCAGATATTTTCGAACCATATAGACAACCAATTGTGGGGTGCTGAGATTGGAGGTCCCGATGCCCTTGATTGTTAAACCGAAAAGGTGATAGGAATGGCGTTCACGAAATTGTGATGCGGGGTTGAGGTTCTAAGTGTATCAATCAGGCTGCCCAATATTGCACCAGTTGCGGCAGCACCCATATCTTACGAGGTGTGAAGCCCTATCATGCGACACATCCCTAAGAAGCGGAAATTCTCTGGTGCATGCTAGTCCGTGGTGGATATAATAGAGATGAGTTGCTTGAGACAAAATAGCGTGCAAGCTGTCGAATATTTCCTAAATCGGACTAGTGTTCAGTGGTGATTCACGATTCTGGAGTCGATATTCTGGAGCATGAGCTGGCATAACGTAAATGGATGGATATCTCGCAACGAGATTCTCCCTACCTCTGAGTAGTTATTACTAGCCTTATTGTAACTACAGCGATCGAGCTCTAGGCACCTAAGCCTTTGGTAATGGGACGCGCTATTTCCGCCGAAGAAGGCATTGTTCGGGAGACCCAGGAACACCTTGAACGCCAACGGCGATAGCTGTAGTTCGCTTCATTAGTTGTGCACCGGTCTCAATGCCGTGCCAGGGTAACCTTCTGGCATAAGCGACGGGTTAAGGATAAAAATTAGAGGGGTACCCCTTCATAGTTGGTCTAGAGCCAGTCGCCAGTGCGACGGCGACTGAAGCTGCATCTCTCGGTGCTTTCGGAAGGCAGTTGACATCTGTCAAGTTCTAGGACTGCTCGCAAAATTCCACTGCACAATGAAGCAAAATTGAAGAAAATTGCAGCACGTAAGGACCCTCGCTTGGGCCCACAACACACGAGGAAAGCCCCTTCTCCTTGGGAATAGGTTTCCGGTCGGACATGCAAAAGCGTGGCACGGAGTGGGACCAAAATAGTTATGTCGCGTGTTCGCGTGGATTGAGGCTCAAGCACTTTAAGTACGCGCTGAGTTCGTGATCGTGACATCAATTTCGGGACAAGGAGAAGTGGTGGCTGGGAGCGAGATGCAGCCGGATGTCGGCTTTTAGCTGCAGCAAAGATCATGAAGAATCAGGGAAATGCCATGCAGGAGTTAATAGCGCTGGAACTGCGCTTTTTTGATCAATTGGCGTGCCGAAGCGTGGAGGACAATCGCGCTAGGTCGCCAGCGCGTCAAATGGTGGGCTAGCCAGCCCCAATGCCCAAGGCTTTGTGGTAGAGCACTGAAGGGCTGACCGAGAACGAATCATCGCGTTATGATGGACGGTTCGCAAGACGCTGATCCAAGATTTACCAGCTTAGACGTACCTGCTTGCTGCATGCATCTGATCAGAAGACGCGTGCTTTACAAATTAGAGACTGCAGCTGAGGCAGTCTAACCCTTCATTGTCGTTCACGTCCGAATCCTTACTCAAGATGATATGCATAAAAATTGATCTGTTACGAAAATGCTCTTCAATCCCAATCAGCAAGCCTGTGTCAGGTTGGAGGATGCTCCTCCGCCGTCAAAGCTCTGGTCACACCCTTTGCATGCAGCGGAAGTAATTTAAGACAGAGGTTTGCATCCTGTTTACGCTCTACCTGATTCCAGTAGGACGTTTAGGCGATATCCTCCCTGATAATGTTCTGCGGTAGGTGCAAATATGCTGGAGACTCTCATCGCGCCTGAATTAATAGACGCCAACCCCGCAAATATGGAAGGTATTGGCAAGGGAGGTCACTGATTCTTAAAATGCGGCGTGCCGCGGGATACGGAGACCCCCCAAACCCCCCGGGCTCGCCACATTGATCAGGCAATTACAATTTCGAGAAACCAGAATAGACGCGTTTGTGGAGACAAGAATACTCGACGTGCGAGATTACGATGTTAGAATCCAGCCACCCGTACAGGTCTGAAGCCTCGTAGCGAGAATTCGACTACCGAGCTAGATGGCGTGTTAAAAAAAAAATATGCCCAACAGCACGATGAATTCATCAATGTGTCGGCGTGTGATCCAAACCGTGGTTCCTGGGACAATCTGCAAGGGGAGCTCGACTGGATTACTCCGGTCAAGAGCTCTGGTACCGATGTAGGGTGATCAGCTTCGGCACAACGCAAGAGGTTTCCTTTATAGTATTTCACCATGCAGAAGGAACGCCAGCTTCGGCGAATTTAATACTTTTGCTGAGAGTGATAAACCTTCTTCCGTCCTGGTTTGTCGGCACAAAGCCGGGCACACGGGTAAGAGAACACATGTCCCCAAGCACAATTCAACCTTTTCATGAGGATCTGGAATCGTGGAAGCATGGAAGCGTGAGAGGGCGTTGTGTTCTCGTCTGTCCAACATGGGTTGACAGCAACACGAGCTCTTTTGATGTCTTCAGCCGTGCAGCTAAAAGGAGAAAGAGTGCTGAGGCGCTTAAGCAGCCTGTCACTGGCCATCGAGGATGACGATATTCAGGAGCATGTCACCATCTGGCACAGCTCCACGGACGACTTGGCGAGGGAGCCTGCCAGGGCAATCCAGGAAGCTTCCACAGGCATGGTCTTCCCGGGCTGGGGCGAGAGCGAAGCCTGAGCAGCGGCCACAATGCCTGAAGAGGGTCTTGGCGGAGTGGGAAAGCAAGATGTTTCGAACAGGGCGACGGGGGTAGATTGGATAGCGATCGTGGGTTCGAGCTGCAACCTTGTGTAGCTGCATGCGTTGGCTTCAGGCTGACCGGACTGCGTTGAGGGAGCTGATTCGAGCGGGCTTTGGCGAACATGACAGACCACTCAGGCCCTCTACCCCAAGTCCCCCCAGGCTCGCGGCAGCACTGGCACTTCAGGCATTCAGCCGTCCAGTGGACCGCCCGTGATGCGTTGCTCAAGGGTGGGAGGAGCAGTGGCCACGGCGACGTGTGTGGAAGTATTTGTGCGAGGCCTGTGAGGCCGGTAACGCCTGCGAGGGGGGAAAGCATGATGAGATTTGCGGGAGATACGGAGGTAAGACGCGTGCAATGGAGCGTGTTCCTGGCCGTCCGCTGCCAGATGCAACAAAAGCAAAAGCGCCATTCTGATCCACGACGCCGCACGACGCCGGCCCAGCTGCGCGCGGATTGGCCGTCGACGGCTGCCCAGTGCTGGTGTTCCTTGCTGAGTGCGCTCGCTGTAGCCCGCTTCGGGGTTAGCGGCGTCGCTCCATCTCGCTCCACCGCTCTGTTGCCAGGCGTTGCAACTCGCTGGTTGCTGGCCCGTCGTTTTCTCAAACCCAGCCTTGGCCCGTCTGAACATCTACACCTCCGTCCCTCCTCCTCGTCTCTCCTTCACTCTCCTCTCCTTCTCCCATCCGCCATACCCCTCAACGGTCGGAGCATTGAGTCCTGGATCTGATGGCGTGCTGACTCTGAAAGCGGCACCGTCTCTGTCCTTAAAACTCCCCTCTTGCTCCTCGGTCTCCCCCAAGCCGGCCGTCTCTCTTCACAGGACCACTCGAAGCGTACCAGACTCCTCTGTACCTTCAAGCTCCGTTCCCTCTCTCACCTCCCCTCTCACCGCCTCTCGACGCAGACGTGGAGACCCCAGAGCCGCTGCTCTCCCCGTCACCCCAGCTCCACACTGAGCCACCTCCCTCGACCTTCCTCAGGCCTGCCTCGTGCATCCTCCGATTAAGTGTTTTGCTTGTGTGATTGTGTGTGTCTGGTAAGTCGAGTTTCTTTTTCTGCCCGCTCTAGCATCTTTGCCTTCTCGAGGGTCTGCCTCACCATTGGCCTGCCAAAGACCACTTTCCCCTTTCCTCCCAAGCACCAAATCTGGAAGTGGCCATGACTTGAACGTATCTTGGACCGGTCCAATTCCTGGTAATCAAGCGTCACTACGACCATGTCGTTTATGATGGATCATGAGTCCGGAGGCAGGTAGGAAGAGTACAGGATATGGTGGGTTGGAAGGACATGCGGAGTTGTCGAAAATTCAAAACGAACGCGGAACGGGAGCAGAAGGGAAGCTGCATGCCGAACGCACATCGGATTGTATTTCATTCCAGCGACAATGTGGGTAGCCCATTCATTGTCGATCCGGACGTCCTCAATCACACGGATATGCCACGTCGCGTGCACGTCGAATTCACGTCGAATTCACGTCGAGTTTCCGCATATACCCTCCATGACCGCATCTTCATCTATCTCCCTATGATATGGCGCATACATCCTTCCGGGTGTGACAACGAATGCCACCTTATGAAAAGCGTGTCACCTTTTTCCGCCGCCATGCCTTGCGGAACCCCGTCTGCCATCCAGGGATGCCGACTTCATATTTCGCGGTTATCTAATTTAAAAGCCTATCAGCAAACGCATCCTCATTCCATCCAGATCTTGGAGCGTCGCTCGATCCAATCACCTCCCCGAGCAGCCAAGGTCGACTCACTTTACTTTTCCCACTGCCACACCAACACCGTTAGCCGCGGACTTCTCGTTTGCCTTCCTGCCCTTTGCACTTGGGCGTTCACTAATTTGTATCCCATAGTGTCCACTCGCTACACCTCAAGAAAACACGATCGGCTATATCCTGCACAGTCCCTAGCACCTTCAGTTCTTGAACGGCTGCATCTTAGGTGAGATTCAACAGCGTCTTTTGTGAACTGAACTGACTTTGTCCCTATTTAGATTGGTGAATCTTCCGATTAGGAGTTTCTACATTCCCAAGCCTTCCTTGGCGATCCACGTTCAGCCAACCGGCGGACTCGTTAATTCGTGCTCTGCTGCAAAGGAGTACTCCTTTCGAAGTGCTCATCCGCCAGGAAAATACTAGATCGCAATTCATTCCACACCCACTCCTGGATGCAACTTGCAAGGGGTTCCACCTTTTCGGCTTCTTCTATACCTCTCTTTTCGGTTCTTCCCGTAGCCAACATTCACTCTTTAAAGTAATAGTTTAATTCTTCAAAGGTATGGGCAATTCCCCAGAACCTTTCATGCACAATATTTTGCATCGACCAGGCAAAGCGAGTTACTAACGGGATGGCGTTGCAGGCTCTGTTGTTACACTTCCCTGCTTCTCAATTCTTTCGGAAAACACAGACCAGAGACCTTCCTTTTACCCTATCCAACTAATTACAGTCGTTGTACTTGTCGCCATTCAGGCTGCCACTCTCTAATTCCGCTCCCCTTTCGAGCCCTTCACTCTCTTCGGAACCAAGCTCGATCTTGGTTCTAAACCTGCATCCAGTCTATCCCGGAGAATTGACGTCCACTCTTTCGACGAACCCTCAATTACCATAACCGCCATGACCTACCAACAACAAACCCAAACCCGATATGGGCATTGTGACAGCTACTTTGTAGAGTCACACGATGACGGTATCTACGCCGCTCGCGCAGAGGCGAGAGAGCGTGCTCGAGCAATTGCAAGAATGCAACAACGAGCTCTTGCAGAAGAACTGTCAAGGATGACGAGCGAAGAATACCAAGAGGATATAATGGAACACATGGAACACATGGAAGTAAGTAGCCATATTGTCCAATACGGATAACTATGCATGCTAACGAATCTAGTCTCAAACAATTCCCGATGTCAACTCTATTGATATCCAAACTGAGATTCAATGGTTCATGCGCCCATACCTTCTTGACTTCCTTGTCGAAGCTCATGCTGCGTTCCAATTGCTTCCGGAGACTCTCTTCCTTGCGGTCAATCTTCTCGATCGGTACTGTTCACGTCGAGTCGTCTATAAGCGGCACTATCAATTGGTCGGATGTGCTGCTCTCCTCATTGCTGCCAAATATGGAGATAGAAAAGACCGAGTACCCACCGTTCGCGAGTTGAAGTCAATGTGTTGCTCGCTATACGACGACGAAATGTTCACTCAGATGGAGTGGCATGTGCTTCAGACCCTCAACTGGATCATCGGTCACCCGACCGTCGATGCTTTTCTACAACTCGCACTCTCAGAAGTTGCTTATGATCCAGAGGTCGAGCATATGACCTTATACATTGCCGAAATCGCTCTTTTCCACAAGGAGTTCGTATCTACGAGGCCCTCAATTCTCGCCCGATCTGCTCTTGCCCTTGCTCGATGCATCCTCTCCCGGACCCAGGCAAAGACCTCGGATTGGGCTGGTGCTTACGATCCTCAGACTGTTATGAGCTTGTCGAACCACTTGTATCAACCATCTGGGGTTCTATCTCGCAAATACTCTTCTATGCACTTGTCCAACGTGTCCACTACTGTTGATGAGTTTCTTCAACATCAGGCCCAGATTGCAAGGCGACAAGCAGCTCCCCCGACCCCGCCAGCAACCGTTGTCCTCGAAGAACAAAAGACAACATCAGAAGCTTATCTCGGACCTTCCACACCTCAGAAGTCCCATTACGGAGCCGTTATGCAACATGGATGTCTCACCCCGCCAATCACTCCCGAGAACGAACAATTTGGGCACGGTAACATGGCCAAGCCCCAAGCACTTCCTCACATGTACCCTTCCACGCCTACTCCCGATCATCCTTCGAATGTGCAACACCAGGCGCAATACTATCAGAACTCCTACCTCCATCCTCAGCGTACATAGTGACTTGATCAACCGGAATGGCGTTAACCGTCGGCGTAGTCCACCCGTAGCACACTTCCCAACCAAAAACCCCACAGAATCTTTCCATTTCGTTGTATCAAAAATCCCGTGTATGAGCGTCATAGCGTGGTCATTTCCCCGGCATTGCGAGCGTTTGTGTTTTATTTGCTGCGATATCAAAGAGTTCCCTGTCTTGTATTAAGCGATTTCCTTTGTTATTGCCCGACCCTAAAAAACTTTACGGTCTCTCATCCCAGCACCTCGGTGGAAAATAAGGTCAGTTTAGTGCATTTCCCCTCAGGCAGACCAAGTATGCCCGCTTTGGATATAGTATCCAACTAATTAGGGCCGACTTGCACTGCTTAAGGGGGCGAAAGGAGGGACAAGCAGTATAGGCTGAAATTGAATACGGAGATGTCTTTCACCGAGGCAGCAACCGCACAATCGAGCTCACTCGCCGACCGTTGTTTGCTTACGCGAGCGGAGATACCCTTCTGAATTCTCCCTTTTTTTTTTTCTCCGGCCTCTTTACTCCCCGGGGAATCGAGCCTTGGTAAGATGCGGAGGAAACTAGGAAAATAGCGTGGCATGGGCTAAGTAGGCTCAACAGATTGTCTTGACAGCGGGGCTGAAAAGGTCTATCACGAGCATTAGTTATAGAGAAAATGGAACTAAAAAAAGGAATAATTGGTGTTGCATGTTCGCATAAATCTCGGTCCATCTCTAGGTTTCACGTTGCGACATTTCTCCGTCTTCGCTGCGGTTTCATAGGCTCGCATTTCTTGCTGAGAGGATCAGGGCGAGTAAAACATGGTGCTCCTCTTAACATCTTTCTAACAGTCTGAACCTCACCCTGGCGGCTTGACAATGGTTTGTTTCACTTATGCGTCCGCGCCCCATCTACATCTTCGCGCTCCCTCTGCTTGACCTTTCAATGTACTTTCATCAAAATCAGCATACATAAAACAACACACGAGAACTCAGCATGGCTCCGGTGAGGGCATTTCACCACTCCAACAACTTCGAGATAAGCTGACAAGAATTAGGGACCATTCTCGCAGCCCAAACGTGCTGGTTACACACCACTTTCACCCTACACCGACGATGACAATGCTCTATCAAATAACCTCATCTGCCCTCGTTATGCTGACTCGGACCCAACGTCAGCACCGCCCTCACCTGCCTCTATCGAATCTTTTGACATACTTGACTCCGTTGCCTGGAGAAGGGGACACACATCCTACAAAGACCTTAGGAGCCAAGTCAAGCTTTACGATATCTTCTGCCTGAGATGGGGCAAGAAAAAGCCCGTGGTCATATTCTTCCTCGTACTGTTCCTAGTACTTGTGGCAGGCTGCTTCATAGGAGGCTTTTTCGTTGTGAGACACAAAATCGCAGGAACAACAGAAGCTTGTCTCAAACGAGAAGGCGGTGACAGGTGCAACGACCGCGCTTGGGCAAATTGTGTGGCGAGGAATGGGCTTGGGTATTGCGAGGGCGCCCTGGAGCCTTGATGAACCAATATTTCAAGGGTGAAATTGACTGTGAAGAAACTAGGCGCATTTTCAGAATTGGGACGGGGGCGTTCTGGCGTGGGATTTGCGAACACGGCAACACGCAGTCATCCTGACAAGGATGATCAGCTCTGAGGTTCTCAAATCTCCTGAGAAAAGGAGGTCTAAGTCAATGATTTAGCAAACTTCGAACGCGTGTAGATTGGATGTCATTTCTCGAACACCCTTCGGAAAGGCCCGGCTATCTGACTATGATGCGCTGGCAGGTGAATTCACAGGGTTGGCCTGGTAGTCAAGCTGTTAGTTGACGGACATGCAAAGATAAACGGCACCACAAACCGAAATAAGCGAGCATATAGATAACTAGATTTCAATGCGCTCTGGAGAACACCCGCCTTGTGACAACGCTGTTCAAAAGTCCGCCGTAACCATGAGGGCTGTGGCTAGGCTGTGGCTTGTGCCTCATGTGACAGTTTCGGATAAGATCGCAACCTCAGAAGCAGTAGCAGAAAACGTCGCAACACCTACCCATCGCCATCATTATGAAATTGCAACGCTGACAGTCCAACTAAACGGATAGAGTTGTTTACTATGTGATTCCTGAGTTAAACACTCTCCCCTGGACATTTCCCGGCGATCACCTGTGCTTTCCGTTCACTATGACCGACGACAATGAGAGCATCCAATATGTCCCGCCGTTAACAGTCTCTCTATCGCATTCATCATCTTTGTGTTCTAGAAGCCCATCTCCAACTCATATTCGTATCAAATCGTCTTCGTTATGGCCCCTCCTCCTTCTTCTCATCCTCGTCAATATGGCCAACAGCTTATACATCCTTCCTTTAAACCGAGTCGTTGAGATGCGACTCTGCCGCGAGCACTATGCACGATACGACCCGTCGCTACTGCAGCCCGATGGGTCGGTACCAGAGAAAATGTGCAAGGTTGACGAAGTGCAGAAGCAGCTTGCTTGGTTGCAAGGGATTATGGAGACCACATTCGTCGTTTGCGGTATGTGGAGACCCGTAAACACATACGTGCACACTCGGCTAAAGCTTTGGTTTCAAAGATTTCGTCGTCACAATTCCATTCAGCTTTATTGCTGAGCGGTTCGGTGTCAGGGTTGTTATTTGGTTGAATCTGATCCCGAGGATTTCTATGTCCGCCTGGGCTCTTGTTGTCGGTGCGTATCTGGCATTCCACTCCTGGGTATTAGCGTCTACCATGTTCCATGGTAGACTTGATTTGGGACAGAGGCCCCCTTTCCCCAGTCTTCCTTTTTCATTCTACCAAATGCTTAACCAGATCAAATTCCTCCAACCCACACTCAGCAGTTAGCGCCAAGATGCAGTAAAGAGTCATGGAAGAAGTTTGGAACTAAGATACGCCCAGGGAACTACTACCACACTCTCCCCACCAAAGCAATCATTGCTGGTCCCTTTCTGGCTATCCTCGGGGGTGAATGTGTCTTTTCTTCCACTATCTTTACACTCACTTCAGCTTTGGCGCGAGAATATGTTGAACGGTTAGCCTTAGTGCATATCACCCGAAGAAAAGTGACTAGCTAAGTACACACAGTGCTTCGTACTTCTCGTACATCAGCTCTATCTCATATGTCGTAGCCTTTATTGGCCCTTCTCTCGCCTCCTTCACAATGAGCCAGAACCTCTGGTTGCCGTTTTGGTTAAGCATATCACTACTCGTGGTTGCCGCACCAACTATTAAGATGCTTCCTGAAACAAAAAGACGCCCTTCGGCACCGACGACCCCCACCACCACTGCAGACCACGTCGCCGAGGCGGGCCCACTACTCGGCAAGCCTTCTCCGAGCCCAAGCAGATACTACAATGCGTTTGAAACAGGCCCAGGCGGGTTCCGAAGTATCTCGCATGCAGCTCGCAAGCTTGGGCGACTGATAGCAGGTCGTAAGAATTTCCAGGTTCTACTTGTCTCATTCTTTCTCACCGCCTTGGCAAGCTCGGATACCAAGCTCCTTGTCCAATATATATCTAAGCGGTACGAGTGGACGTTTGCGGAGGTAGGCTCTTTCCTCTCAAGGGGTCGTTAAAACGGTCGTCTCACCAGATCCTCCAGGCCGGTTACATGCTGTCAGCCAAGGCACTGGTCAACGTTACTCTACTCACAGTGGTTGTCCCACGAGTCATCAGAGCCTCGATGTCGTCGAGGACTGTCCGTGGGTCTGAGATTTGGCTAAACTACCTTGGAGCTGAAGCCAGCATAGCGATATCCGTAGTGGGCGTGCTCTGCGTCGCAGTTTCGTACAGATTCTGGATGCTAATGGCAGGTATGTCTTTACGATCTCAACCGTAACCCTCTGTCCTATTTAAATGCGAAAGCTAACCTTCCCCAGCGCTTATCATCTATGCTCTTGGCTCGGCTCTTCCCGTCTTCACCATGTCTCTAGTCAAGTCACCCCTAATTGCCTTGGTAGATTCCGACATCCAAGACTTTAGTATTGTCATGCTTACTAAAACTCTGGGATCTCTTGTCGGTGCACCTTTAATGGCTATTCTCTGGGTACAAGGCATCAAGAGTGGAGGCGCTGGCTTAGGATTGCCCTATTTCATGTCGGGTTCCATATACCTTGCCGCTGCCTTAGTAGTGACACGATTGAAGTTCTAGGCTTCTTCGAGGGATCCCATCTTGAGAAAATATGAGGGGATATCTGATCTCAGTGGTTGCCACAATTGATACATTACTTTTGCTGCAGCAATTTTAAACTAACAATTCGTTCGTGGCAACATCCCAATAGTTATACACACTCAAAGCTCTTCAGCTCATTCATATTCCCAAATCCACGATACCGTGACACCAAAGGATACCTACATATCTTTCTCCTCAACTGAACAGAAGCCAACGGCAGTGTCTGCCCCTTCAAGAACTCTAGAGTAATTCCATACTCAGCCCACGCGATCAGCATCTCAAAGGCATTAGATGTACGAGCTCCAGGTGTTGTACCGAATCCGTAGTGATCTACCCCAGGTACGAGGAATTAGCTGAAGAACTCGTCGGCTTGAGCGCTCTCACTCATAACGGCTCCCACTCGCTGGACGTAGAGCGTGCCACCTTGGGGGAAGATGGGTTGATAGGCTCCACCGTGCCAGACGAGAAAATTTCCCCCCGGAGTGTTGAAGCCGTGATAGATTAGGATTCGCATTGTTAAGCAAGTCGTCGTACATAGCCTAGGATTGGGAGAAGAATATGATCAGCTCCTTTGACTCTATGCTCGTGGTCCGGTAGCCTGGATCCCACTTGACGAAATATCGTGTCCAAGTATCAGGGACGAAGGATGTGAATCCAATGCGAGTTCCATTTACCGCAGTAGTATTGGCCAGACTGTCAAGAGGTGCCCCGATCGGTATCCCGTACCAAAGCTGCCTTCCACCTGTCTCTGGCCTAGTGTAGATTTTTCTCGACAATAGACGCGATTTGAGGAGTTCTACCTACCTCCTTCCTAGAAATTTTGAGCTTTCCGATGACGGAGAAGGAGGAAATCGCACTTTTCCGGCTCGTTGATAACTCCGTCTTTCACCTCGTCAATCTCACCACACACTAAAATGGCAGCTGCGACTACCGCATTTAGCTCATCTGGCGATGGGTACACTCCCACCTCTTTCATCACAACTTGCGACCAAAGCTCTGCTATAACGTAGGTTGGCCAGTAAATCCATGGCGCACCTGCTAGAATCCCGTCAAGCAACTCCTGATACTGCTGCGCGGCAACTTAGCCCTGTCTCCCGTCGGCCGAGCACCCATTCCAATAACTCACAGACCGTTTGCCATAGAAAGACTCAGTGACTGCTTTCCCAATGACTGTCATTTCCCTTACCGATCTCGATGCAAAATTTGTCAACACCCCTAAATTCACTTCCCCGTTCTCTTTCAAACCACAGGATTCCGGGCTCCATGGATTCGCAGAAACACCAATGTCAATACTAGCAGCTGCAAACCCTCCAGCAACGGCAGGGCCGAGAGTAAGCGGGCCATGGCTAGCAGCCTATCCGTTACCGCTAAGGCTTACGAAGCGGCCGTTCCAATTTTGGAGAGGTATCTAGACTTGAATGGTGACGGTATCTTTGGGCTGATGCGTGAGGATTACGGTAATTGCGCATATCATAGGGACAGAGGCTGGGGAGAGGAGGAGAGGGGTAACGGCGGGGATGGTGAACGGGAGCATTGAGATGCCAGAGGGCGAAAGGATGGTGGCTTCTGCAATGGGTGGCACTGTTATATCAGAACAAGAGTGGGGTTTGAGGGTTTGTTTGGAGAGGGGCAGACGTGAGGTTACTCAGGAGGACTGAGATGAAAAGAGAAGCGACGAACATAGTCATCCTTGCAGCCCAGCCTGGAGAAAGAGATTGTTGGTAATTAAATCTGATGAGAGACTTCAGAAGTTCAGATATACTTATCCCTTTTTATACCAGCCAACATGGCTCCAGGCGTTCAGCTTCCACCCCTCTTTCACCAAGCTCCAATCCCTCTCCCTCAAGAGCCAAACTATCTCCATACTAAAACTGACGTTATTTGCGAACGCTATCCACTCACATACATCTTCTTGCTTTTAAGCATGGTGAATAAGCACCTCATCCATGAATTTAATATTCACAGCACTCGGAATTCCGATAGAGAGCTCGGCCGCAACCCGGGCTGCTGGAGGCATACGAATATAGGCAGTAGGCTGTTCAAGAGGATTGATAGCCATTCTTCTCTGTTGATTTCAGTAGCCGGTGCCGAAATGCGATCTCTTGTCTCTGGTTTCACGATAACCAACATTATGGGCAGAAAATGCGTGGAAGTGAAAAACTGGATCTGGGATCATCTGCTCATAGACATCCCATCCATGCAGCTAGGATCCCGACTCTGAAACGCATCGGTACATGCATGCAAAACATACTAACGAGGGTGCGCCAAACAACCAATGCGATCTGCATCCAAATCCAAGTAGACTCTAAATCTTACTCGAAGCCATCCAAAATATAGGTTCAAAGAATCGAAAATGTACATCCACCACATGGCCCCTGTATCCTTACCAATCTACTCTTTAGCACCTGCCTTCACAACCAACACACTTGCGCCCAACTTTGCCTCCCAAACCTTTTCCGCCAGTAAGCCTAACGTAGTAGCAGCGGAAGAGGTAGACCCGATCTCATCGCTGGAGGCTCCTGCTGTCTGAAGCTTCTTCCTGGAGATATTTCGACCAAGGACGATCAAGTCCCCCGCATTCTTAGGGTTCTGGCTGACCTCGATACTCGCGCGAGCAATGACATCTTTGACAGGACTCGTTGAAGCGGCGTTCTCGAAAACGACACGACTCGCGAGTTCCGCCGGAACAGAAGCGCGTAGTGAGGCGAAGAAAGCCGAGTCCTGTTCGCGACTATTTGTCGTTGCAGTGACGACCGTCGTCTGGCCAGTCTTACTTGCTGAACGGGTGATATGTGAAGACTCAGCTTGTTCTAAGAACTCATCAGGGACCTCGAAATGGACCAGCGTAGCCGTGACATCAGGATGCTCTGCTAGTTGAAGAATGAGCCGAAGTGCAGCGCGGTCATCGTCACCCCCAAAGAATGGGAAGAAGATGTGATGACTCCGGTCTGCTATGGGGGCCGTGACTTTGTCTCTGTTGCTAGAAATGCTGACACTGCTGTATGTTCTGCGCAGGCGGATACCTTCTCCCTTTCTCTTCTTGTTCTTGCTCCCGCCAAAGTTCTTGTTGACGAGGACTGCTGTTGTGCACATAGACTGCTCGAATGCCGAATTAACGAAGGATACGTATGAGGTGGCTGTGAGCTTATTCTTTGTGCCCTTGTCTTCGATGATTGCTTGCTCGCTCATTCCGCCTGTCTCGCTCCACGGAAGGAGGAGGAAGTCGGACCCTGAAGCTCGCGCGGTCAACACGTCGGCAAAGCTGGACTCCGGAAGCACCATGACTTCGCCACTGACTGCTAGATTGTGAAGACGGCCGAACGTGCGGAAAGTGTTGACGACAGGATCGTGAGCCGTGTATGATTCGAGTTCGGACACTTGCATGACGGAAGATCCACGATCTGTCAGATTGAGCAGTCGTAGACCATATGCTTCGATCGGCCGTTTTGGTGCACCTTCGCTTGATTCTGATGGTTCAGTTTCTTTGCCGAGGCTAGAGGTCTGTTCGATTAAAGGATGTCTCTTCGCGACATGCTTCTGAGGCTCTCCGCCGAAGAGGGACGCAAAAGCCAGTAACGTTGGCATGCTGTCGAGGCGTAAGTATAGCATGAGGCGCTTGATCTTTTGGCTTTCAAGTTTGTCGTATTGTATACTCTCTGGGACATCACCCAGCGGGTTGCCAGTGTCCCAATCGATTTCACCGCGTTTCCATGCCTCAACTTTCTTCTGATACCATTGAGGATAGAAGAACGAGGTAAGCGGTGTCGTTGCAAAGGTCGTGACAAGGGCCATGACAACGAAGATAGTGAATGTTCGAGTGCTGAGAATCTTGGCTTGAAGTCCGATATTCTGGCATCCGTTAGCCTCAAGCGGTAACATCAGCTACAATCTATTGCCGTCCACCACGGAACATTGGCAGAAAGAAATTAATCTCTCAATCCTGTTGTCAGAATTGACGGGAGCAGAAAGAAGGATGTAGTCTTCTGCCTCAAATTACAATCTGTAAATGTTCTGCTGCTTGTGCCGACATGCAATAGATGTTTTCGACAACTTACCAAGACAATCAACTCAACCAAACCCTTACAGCTCATCAAAGAACCAATGGCGAAGCATTCTCTCCAGAGCATCCCATTGGCACGAGCCGCCAGAGCAGCACCGATAAACTTGGCACAAAATGCAACGGAGATGACTCCAATGACATAAGCCCAAACCATGCCGTTATCCAACAAACCAAGGTTAGTGTTTAGACCTGAAAGCGCAAAGTAAAGAGGAAGGAAAAGTGCTGAGATCAAGTCCTCGATCTTCTCCGTTACTTTAATGGCAAAGCCACCCTCGTGGGGACAGATCAAGCCAGCCATGAAGGCGCCAAAAATCGGATGGACTCCGATGATGCCCGTAAAGAAGGCCGACGTGAGAGCAATGAGCAGAGTAAGGGCGATAATCCCCTGGCTAGGGCCATCTTGCAGTGCACGAGACCTGCGGAGTACATAGAGGAAGGCGGGTCGAATGGCGTACACAAGCAGAAGGACATAACCCACGCAAGTCAACAAGACCCATAGAGCCGTTAGCCCCGTGCCTGCATTAACGAGGGCTACACAAAGCGCAAGCAGGATCCAGCCTGTTCAAATAGCGTTAGCTTGGAGACACATGTGAAGCGGGATGATGGGTTGATGAACTCACCGACAACGTCGTTGCCAACGCCCGCTGAGAGCACGATAATGCCCACGGGCGTCATCAGTAGTTTCAGCTCCGTCAATATTCGGCAAAGAACGGGGAAAGCCTGCGTTCAGTGAGTACAAAGTCATCTCCAACTCTGACAGCGCGCTCTGCACAAGGGGCCACAGTTCAGCGGTTCCCTGGAAAGTGACGACTTACGGTAATTGCCATGGCCACGCCGATGAAGAGCATGTACACGCCGAAGTCGATTGGCACCGTGCCTTCCTCGTGTCGAAAGTGATTGTAAAGCCCAACGGCGATTGCGCATCCCAGGCCAAACGGCAAGGCCATGCCCGCCAAACCAACACTCAGTGCAATCTTCCAATTGCTGACCAGAAATCGCAGATCAACCTCCAGGCCCACCAAGAATAAGAACAGAGTAAGGCCAATGTTCGCGACGAGGTTCAGGTTCGGCATGGCCGCCGTGGGAAAGATGGCCGCCGTGAACCCAGGTATGCGGCCCATAACGGAGGGCCCCAAAAGGATGCCGCCAATAACTTCGGCGATGACTCGAGGCTGACGCAGTTTCGACAGCGGGTAGTGCAGTGCTCTGCAGAAGATAATGATGATACCGGCCTAGACATATCCACTTAGCATCGCACCCGGACCTCAGTTCACGGCACAAAGAGATGCCCACCTGGATAATGAAAAGAATAATGGGGTTTTTGAGATCATAGTGGACAGGATTGCCATGCTCGAGCACTCCACCCTGCGGGGCGACCTTGGGAGCGCTGCTGTGAGTTGGGCTCGCCGATGTGTGGACAGAGGTTGACATGGTGGGCGGTGGGGTCCAGCTTGAGGATTTGGCTGGGGGAGAGGACAGTCTCAGGCCTAATCCGCACGAGCAAGCAGGGCGGCCAGCTATTTAAGAAGATGCAACAAGCAAGCTTGAGGCTTGTTGGAAGGATTGGATGGCTAGCGAGAAAATGGATGCAGATGGTCCCATTGAGGTTCTCGGTGTGCAGCAAACGCCCAGACACTGGACCTGCACGAAGCTCTGGCCTGGAGGCGGAATGACCGGGGATGGGGTCAACAGGCGCCCATGTGATGCTGGATCCTACACCGCTCCGGTGTTAGCCGTCTGCGGGAGTGAACAGAGGGTAGGGTGGCGTGCGGGTAGATGGTCTTTGTTTGTGCATGGCGTTCGCAGCCCAGCCCTTGGACAATTCCAACGCCAATCATAAAGCTTCAATCACCTGCGCACGCGCTTCTCAACCCGACGATGTGCTTTCGATTCTTTGCCCCGCCTCTGTTCATGTCTTGCTCACATGCAGATTCATGTGCATTCCGAGAAGACTAAGAGCGAGCTGTCCGAACTCGCCTCTTCACGCCTCCCTCCGTTTGGGGAGCGCAGTAAGCACTGCAGGTTGAAACCCAGGACAGGATGGGACCGACATGCCATGGAGCGCAGAACAGGGACTAAAAATTGTCCTATTGGTCGTCATGCTCAATCTTGCACCAGGCTTGGGGACCCACGATCATGTTTCTTGGGACGCGCCAGTGCGCACCAACTACAGTCACCGCCAAGCCGTCATGAGAAGAAACGTATGTACAACGCGCTGGTGAAGCACAGAGACCAGATTGCAGTATATGCCAGAAGGATGTGATCCTTCTCCTTATTCCTTGCCGCAACCTCGCCGCCTTCAGCCTCACCTCCAGGCCGACTCGTCACCTCATCCTATTGATCACCAGACGCCGGGCTTGGTGGTGGCTCTCCGGTCGACCATTCTGCGACATTGGAGCCCAGCACGAAGTCCATTGTACCTCCGTTTTCGAAGATATCTTGCCACGTCACCCAGGCCTTATCCCACTGTTTGCCGTTCACCTTCAAGCTCTGCACGTAGAACGCCGTGTCCTTGTTGCCACCTGTTGTCGATATTTTGAGAGTCTTGCCGTTTCCAAGCTCAATTGTCATTTGTGGGAACCAGGGGGAGAGGACTAGAAATGTCGTTTGGCCCGTCATCTGAAAAGCAATTAGCCTTTGAAGACCTTAAGTAACCGAGAGATCAGGTCATTTCTTACAGGCCATAGACCGATCATTTGCCACTATCAAACGTTAGCGAAGGCCTTGAGTATTGAAACGAGAAGAATCATTGCTCAAAGTATCTACCCTACACGGTATATCGTATTTGCGCCGACTAAGTCTAGCACAGATCCTTATTCATGCTTAACTTAAAGTTCTTCTATGTTGGCGCATGCAATGCCACACCGAAACAGGGTTGCTATCCATGGCACGGAAATGTTCCGTAATAGACTCCAGGGTAGGTAAACTGGGGATTAGATAAACTCACCAAGATATTCGACTCCATTGCCCCTGCGTCTGAGTTCCCAGGCAAACCACCAGTCCCCGAATTGTACAACTTGGAGATATCCCTCGAACGCTGCGCAGAAAGATGCTGCTTACCAGGGACAAAGTTGTACAGGTACGGCGACGTAAACCCAGGTTCATTGCCAGCGTTAAAAATCTTTAGATCGAATAATTTGTTGATCCGATCAACAAACTTATCATCTCCGCCAATGAACTTCTTCAACGTAGCAACGTCGTGAAGGGCATTCATACTATAAACCCAGGCATTATCTTCGTAATACGCGTCCCCCCAGTAGCACCCGCCGCAATTCAACGGGTCTTGGTCAATGAACGACCCATCAGCTCGACGTGGAACAACGAAGCCACTGTGGCCGTTGCTTGTGCAATTTGGATTCCAGTGGTTTCTCCAATTTCTAGATCGCTTGAGGTATTTGTCTGCCTCGGTCTTCTTGCCGAGCCCTTTGGCAACTTGGAAGAGTCCGAAATCGTTGGCAGAGTACTCGACAGCGCGAGAGACCGCTCGCGTAAACGTAGGGGTGATGTAACCATACTTTAGCCAGTCTGGGAGGGCACCTCGCCCTTCTTTTGTAGAAGAGTCAGGGGCTTTGGGGTCGTGGTTGTTAGGTGGAGTTGTCTCGGCGTCAGTAAGCATCGCAGTGAATCCGTCGTCCCACCTAATACACCCCCGGACACCCTTTACGTACGCGTCGGCGAGGACGCTATCTGCATTTGAACCTCCCTGAACGCGGCCATTGTAGTTGCTAGATCGTGCGTCTGGCATAAAGCCATCATGCCTCCAGATATCGATAAGAGAGCAGATAAATTCTTCGTATGCTACAGGCTCTAGGATATGGAATAGTGGAGTATGGCATCTGTGAGTATCCCAAAGTGTAAAAACGTCCGAATAATACGGCTGCTCGCTGCTCCAGCCAGGGTTTTCTCCGGTCAAGTTCGATGGGATCAAGAACATGCCATAAAGCGAGCTATAGAGAAGCTGAAGGTCTGCCGCATTCGTAGAGGATACTTGTACTTTGGAAAATACTTGGGTGTTCCATGTACTCTTTGCTTTGTCAACAAGGGACTGGAAACTCGTTTGGTCCGGAACCTCCTTGTCAAGATTGTGGCATGCTTTGCTAGAGGAGATGTAGGAGATTCCGACACGAGAGGTTACATTCGAGTTATTGAATGTAAAAACAGCCCCTAACCGTTCGGTTCCAGAAACCGAGCTAGAAGTGTCGTAGGATGCTAGAGTGGTACCTGTACCTTTAAAAGTATTCGAGCTTGATGGCTGCTCGTTGAATCTACCACAGAAATAGATATTCCAATCGGGTGCTACACAACATTAGTTAAGTGGAACCTTCATAGATGAGAACACATACACAGGTTCCAACCATTATTATAGGTCCCCGACCCTTCATAATGCCCATCAGGAAAGAAGCTAAAGTTCCCTTTCGAGTAGTGCTGCTCCCACCCTAAACCTCTGAAACTAGGTAAAACGTGGGACACATCGACTACAATTGAAGGGGAGTTGCCTTTCGGAAATGAATACTGATACAATCCTGTATGATCAGTAGCAGCGAGCTCCACCACGACTCCATTATTCAGGGAGGCTTTATAATACCCAACCTGTGCTTGATCTGCAGAAGCTCGACCCTGGGACAAATCTGCTAAAGGGTTCGAGATGTTTCCCAACGCAGGCATTTGAGAGACGACGCTAATACATCGGCATTAAAATTTTGTACATAGCCTCAAGAAAGCCGAGAGCTTACCCGTATTTCGGCGCACCTCCAGTGCCGGATTCGTGCATCATACTGAAGCCCCAAATATTTCCATTAGGGAGGTATCCAGAATAGGCATCAGCCGTTCCAGATTGAACATCAGGGCCTAATTTTACCATTGCTAAAGGTGCTAAAGCTCATTTCATTAGTTGTTACAACGGCGGAATGTGGAGTCGAGTCACCAGCAACAACTCCAGGAAATCTGTTGCCCCCTCCGGTTGTGCCTTGACTATGTTTGTAAGACTTAAGCTAGAGACGAAGGGGTCGACTTAACTCACAAAGTATTAACATATTGAGTATAATCATTCTCAGTTTCCGCAGCCACGCTACAGTTCAACAAAGTGACGGCCAGACATGTAATAATACGAAATCTAAATCTAGTGGCCTTAAAAATGGGATACATGTTGAAGCCCAATATCACGATGATATATATAGGCAGAATAACGCGAATTGATATTATGAAAGCACTGCTATTGACTCCATATAAAGATTATGTGGAGGATTCGCTTCGTGACTGGATGGTAACGGCGAATAACGAACGGGAACGAGAGCGTGGTTGAGGGGAAAGGGAATATCCAAAATATATTCTGGACGAGTAAAGCTTTCACAACCGAATTACAGAGTGATCAGTCTACAGATGCAGTGTATATTGAACGAGTGCCCTGCCAATAGGCATAGAGTATTAACCCATGATCTTGGATTTCGGGCTAGGATTGATTCTCTGCATCCTGGTTAATGAAAACATTGAAGGCTACCGTAGGATTAGTGCTAGTAATTAGAGGGACGGTACTAGTGTTGTAGACTCGATGTGTAACTGTGTTGTCGTTGCGTGTGTCCTGAATCGGAGTCCTGAACCAAACGATGGCTACCAGCACGTGGGGGAAATGAGACTCACTGGCCGTTAATACATGATGCTAGTGACTACCAGCCAAGGCCGCTACTGTCCATGAGTGGGCATCCGGGAGTGACCATGTGCTTTTTTGCTAACCTCCTGCCCCTCTTGGTTGTGCGAGCGGGTATATAGGCTTCCCGCTGCAGTGTATCCGCGCCATAGCTCCACATCCATGGGTGCAGGGTTAGGGAGATGTCACTGAATAATGCCCTTGGGACTAATTAATGTTCACAAAGCGGAGTGAAGACCCGATGCTGGGACTTTACCCGAACAGGAAGGAAGAATATTAACTGTCCAGTCAGAGCTCTGGGATTTGGGAATCTAGACCCATGCACCAAACGAAGAAGAAACAACAAATTTCAGAACAGCGAGAGGAATTTGTGGTTGCTGCTGGTAGGGCTGTCCCAGGTGACGTCGAGGAGGAACATTGGCTGGGCCAATGAGCGAGGAGAAAATAGCACGCGTTGAGCACTCAGCATCCAAGCGATATCTAGATCTGCGCAAACCGGTGGGTGCATCTCGCGCAGGAACGTCAAAATAAGGTGCGTCACTGCTGCGCGGACAAGGTGTCGAATGCCAGGCTGGCAGTGCCGTGTGATTGTGTTGTGTCACCCACAGGCTAAATGGTAGCACGGAGTTGAATGTTTTAGACCCTTAATGTTCTGTCATTTTACCAAAAAAAAAAGCCTTGTGATCCTCAACCTAGCTTTACCACCGCGCCTAGGAGACCAACCCAGGGGATCAGGATTTGAGATAGCGACTCAAGAGATTGATCGCCTGATTCATCTTCTCGATGGTTGGCCCAGGTTGACTCCGATAATGAAGCAACAACAAAAATTGGAGAACAACGTTAAGTGGATATATCATCTCGCTTTTCTTGACAACACCTCAAGATGGTTCCTAGTGGCAACTGGGATTCACATGGTATCATAGGCACCCTGGAGCGTCCAATTCCAGATCACTGGTACCTCTCTTCCGGAAAAGTCTCCCCTCACAAGCGCACTCAGGTCTTTCGTGTACGTGTTTTTTCTAATACCTCAACTTATTTTCGTGATGGCGCTCTCTTCACGCTCCAATGGCTATTTCACAGCCTAATCACCTAGAATGTGAATACTCGAGTGGTTGAGGAACTCCTAGCTATCTCGTTAGATGTCTTGTGGAACTCGAGGACCTCGGTGCTCTCTCTTCCACTCCCAGGATGCTCTTCCGGGTTCTCTTCTGGCTTATTTGATAGTGGAATAGTGGATGGTCGGGGCAATTGGCGAGAATGGGCTTGACCTCAAAACGACTATAGCTATATATATTTACCTCTCGGTATTTCGTGCCGGCTATAACATATGATGATAGCACGAAAGGACCCTGATTTCGACTTGGCATAGTGGTCTTTCTTGCCCTCTCCTACCGCAGAACGGTTAGCGCCCCCTGGCCTGGTTCGATGGAGTTGCAAGACATAGGCCATACCTGATAATGCAAGACTTAGCCCAAATAAAGACAGCTAAGACCTGCCCAAATCCCTATTTGTCGTCCTCCCAGTCTGGTCCCGTGCTGAACGCAAGTCCATGACGAATCTTGACAACCTTGTATAGGCAGTAGAACATACCAATAATAAACACAAACGTAAGCAAGCATTTAAGATGGGATCCTTATGGAGGCGTTCGGCCTTTGTTTGGAAGCCCACCCATATGCTTATACCGCAGTACTAGACGAGGGAGCAAACGCCTGCAAGTAGCGTAAGGGCGGGGATGTCTAGAAGGATTTTTGACAGGCACATCAACCGTGGCCCAAATAAATACCGCTTTCGTAGAAGTCCAAGACTTCGAGATTTTCAGTGGAGGTGGCAGGGGCGGGTGTACGGGATTATTCATGCTTGGAATGATCTTCCATACTGGTGGCAAGCTGACTGAAGTCGGGGTAGGCGGGCAAACCCGATGCTAGACCGTTTGATCCATTTTACAGCGCTGATGTAAAGGCCGAAATGAAGGATGACCCAGTACGTGATGATTGTAGTGTGTTTTAGTGTCTTGTGCTTATTGCGTTCGAACGTGTCTGGGAACGTTATCACGGTTAAAGCTAAGAAAAATATCCCTATGAATTGTGTTGTTGTGAGATAGTACATGAAGGTAACCTCACACAAGACTGCAACTTGCTCCAGACGCACAATGGTCGCTATAGCGATAGCGATATTGAGAGCGGAAATTTCTCGCAAGCCATTGTCGTGAGAAGCTACCAGTCGCCTTTCCCACTGCCCTGAGACAGGAGCATATGAGAAATGAAGTAGGGGGCCGTATGTCGCGGCTATGACTGCTTGGGAAAATGTGTATATGTGTCTCTTTTTCAGTGATTTCACCCTTCAACGATAGGGTCCTTACTTACTCTGATTCCAGAAAGGTCGGGGTTCCCTTTCCCCCACGCCAGAGAACATAGTTCCGGACACCGACAAATCATATCTGTGATATTCTGAGACTGGGGCACGGATAATGCGTCTGACAGAGAATCGATCGGGGAGCAATTCGCCATGCTGACTACCGGATTCCCATTGAAAGGTATATGGAATAATCATATGTATAGTTTGTTGAAATTCAGAGCTGTCTGCACAAATCGAATCAAGGAAACAGACAAAAGTGGACTGAAAGTTGGTATAAATTCGGTGAAGGTGAGTTGTGTTTAGGGTGGATTCCATAGCGGCGGAGAAAGGAAGAAGTGTTGGAGTACCGTATAGACTGGGTTAAATAAAGTCGTGTTGTCTTGAATTGTGAATAAAAGCAAAGCCTATGTGGGCAATGGAGCCACACATAGAATACATGCCATTGTATCGCCCCTTTGTTTTCCGATTGATTCACTTCGATGGGCAATGTTCCGGCGAATCATGAAGGCGGGACGAAGCCATGGTGGCGGGCCGCACGGCTTCCGAAGAGCTTGGCGGAGCTTTCGGAGCATGGGAGCTTTCAGGCCCACGTGCCGCCTTTTGAGGCTCAAGAGTGCTTCGGAGATTGGTCGAGGGCTCGTATCAGACTCAAAACTAAGACCAGGAGAAGCTGCCACCATCAAATCGCAAGTCTGAGGTTCGATATTTGGGCCGATGATTTACACTGGTAATCCTCCTTGCTTCACCCAGCCCTACACTAAACCTAAGCAAGGAGAAGTATTCCTACTTGGCTTGAGTAGTAATGCTGCGAATTAACCGTCGCCACCAGCTCTTCACCACCCCCTCAACTCCTCCCCTCTACACGCCACTAGCAACAGTTTCTCAAACTCAGGCAGACTCCCCACATCCTCCTCTTCCACCCTAAAACTCAACGTAAACTCCCCATACGCAATCAAACACCCCCTCTTCTGCTGCTCCCTAGCTCTCCTACCCCAACTCTCCCCATCCAGCTCCCACAGCTTATTATCTCTTGTCATGGGTAACCTCGCCAAAATCGGCACTACCTCACATAACCCGCCATTTCCCACCGCACTCCACGTCCCACGGAGAAATGTCGACATGAGGACAGTGCGACGCAGGGATTCGTAAAAGATCCAGGATGTGTAGGATGTCGGGAAGGATTGCACCTCGTTGAAAGACCGCTTCCAGAGTTGTGCGGTCCAGAGTTCGAGCAGGGAGTTTTGGGATGAGGCGAGGGATTGAAGGTTTAGGTCTGAGTCGAAAAGGCGGATGATTTGGTAGATAATAAGGGCTTGGACGGCGGCGAGGTGCTCGGCGAGTGTCCAGCTGGAAGATGAGGCGATGAGGGCCGCGATTTTGGCGTCGATGGTAGAGGTTAGTATGGAGTGGTTTTGGTTGGTTTTGAGAAGGTACAGGGCGGAGAGGCTGCAGCTGTCTTGGTATGCGGATGGTTGATAGTTGCGGTAGAGTGCGTGGTGCAAAAAAGGAGTGCTACCAGAAAGCGCGAGGGATTGGACAAAGGTAGTGAGCTGTTTGGCCATCCAGATAACCTTTTCTTCCGCAAGCACCCTAGGTTCCCATATCTGCGGTAGGATTACTGCAGTAAGTGGCTGCAAGTATGGAATCTCTTCCTGAACGCTCTCGGGACTCGACGAATCCGAAGAAGATGTAAGTACCGGATCAATGGCAGCCAGGTTATGAGGTAGCTCGGATGTTTCCAGCCCTCCTTCGTTGGTCAATGGAATGAGATCTGGTGTCGTCTGACGAACTACGACCTCCGCTTCGTTGACCGAACCATTAGGATACGTGCAGTTCAATCCTTTGGTAAAGCAGCGTTTACAACACGGATATCCGAGGTCGCAGCGACGTTTACTTTTGACGCAGGCATGGCAGGACTTCTTGCGTGTCGACGAAATATATCCTAGCATTCTCTTACTACAGTACCACCTCTTATTTTTCTAAATTCTGCTCAGGTCGTCCCCTAGATTGCTCTGGCTTGTGAGTTTCTAGCTATCGATATATAATCGAGAGCTCTGTGACTCAGCTAATCTTGTAAGCGGAGTTCCGCAATCTGCATCCTTCATGCGCCAAGACGTCACGAGCCGTCGCTCTGAAGCAGTCCTCGTGGGTCTCAAACAGAAATACCCAATCCGCGAGCGTGAGCCACCCCGTCATCTTGACCGGGTGCACCCTGATGCTTCTATCTGACGGCAGCGCACCCGTGAGAGTGAGAGGGCCGTACATTTCTCCTATTGGCTACCATGTTGATGTCATTGTGCCTGGACAACTTTCACATGCAAATCGGCCCCACTGACCGCTTCAGCTCAAGTGTCAGAGGTACCTCTCGAACAACTCTGCCTTCTCGCTCTTCGATTAAAAACCGTTGTGAAAATCAACAATCCAGGATTTACAAACCCAGATTGGTCTTGTCTGAGAGTCGCATGCGTGTCTTGTGTAAATCACTGAACTTGTCCTGGCCTTTCTTGTCACCATATACCTGCTGTCAGCCCGACGCCCACCTCGAACGTTTTTCAGTCCTTTCACATCAGACCACCATGACAAATCCCTCCGGAGCGGAAAGAGCGAGATACCTACTCAATGGTGTTCCGAATCGTTTCTACGACTTCGCACACATGGATCAAATAACCTTTGTCCAATTGGCGGACTGGTTAACGGAAAACACCAAGTCGAACACACCGGAAAGTATAAGCATTGAAGAGAGTCTGTTTGTATTTCTCGATATTGTTGCACAAGGGAATAGTTTCAAGTCTACAGCATACGGCTGGGATCATGATGTGAAGCTCACTCAAAGGTGCGTCCTGCTGATCAAACGACATCATGAGACTGACACTTCCAAAGTATTTTCCTGGACATCCTGAATGCATTGCAAGTCCTCCGGGAAAAAGAAGAGATCTCCCCCTCGTGTCCGTCCTTCAATACAACAAAAAGCCGGTGGCGGGTACTCAGGTCATGGCGGCCTGGAAAATCGAGAATGGATGGGTTGCTCAAAGTTGGTGACGAGAGTGGGGATGGGCTGGAGGTCAACCAAGAAATGTTGATACAGGCATTGACGGCGTTGAACAACTTTATCCACGAGCATAAGGAGTTTTAGCTGGATACATGGTTTGGAATTGGTTCGGCGTACATCATTCAGAGTTTGCGTCGCATTGGTGGACTGGCTTGGATAGGTGGCATCGGATTTGGTACTGGATTTATGCTTCGAACGCTCCGCTGGTATGGGATTTCAGCATCATCATTTTTTGGGTGGGTTCATTACGACGGGAAAGGTTCGGGAGTCTCTGTGATATTTCATTCAGTAAATCCAACGCCTGCATTTCAACATCCATCTCATCATCGTCCAGCTCAACGCCTTCCATCTCTTCTTTCACTGTGCCGTACTACGTCTTAGTTACTAAGATCGCCACTAGGAATGCGGCGAAAGCGACTAGCCAACTCGCGCCTGAAAAGGCGGACGAGAAGTCCCTTTTAACGACACCATAGACTACGGCAAAATCCAGACTGACAGCTGCAGCGATGCAAACCCCATAGTAGATATTTTCCGTTCAAGAGTCTCGAGGAGCTGTATTTTGACAATGGTGTTCGGCTGAACCATGTCGCCCAGCTTCTCGGTCCATCGATGGGATTGGCCAGCATGCTTCAGCTTTTGCTCCAGCCAGGCCATAGTAATTTTGCTCTTCGATGGGACAATATTTCTTTTGTAAGTTGCGGTCCGTTCCATTTTTGGATGCCGGTCCTTGTCCTTAATCTTACCCCATTTAAACTATCTTGAGTTAGTGACTGCATGGCTTTGATGTTAAGTACACATACTTGTACAAATTTCACAAAACTGATCTTGCACGGTGCAAAAAACTTGCGGAATGGTGTCCGGTACTTAATGCCCATGTCTTTATACTTCTCGTTGATTTGAGATGCTAGCCACTGATCATCATGAGAGTATCGCCGATATTCGAAAGGAACCGAAATGCAAGGTTGGCCATTGTCAAAGAAGAAGCACTGAAGGCTGAACGTAAATTAGTGGTGGGTTGACAGGACTTCGTGGCGATGATTTTACTTCAGGGTAGTTTCGTCGGGGTCTGCAAATGCAACATACTTCTCGACTCCATGAAGAGCTTCCGTTCGAAGGTCTCAAACCGCTCTTAGAGCACCGACGTCCCGACTCATCCCACTTACGACCATGCTCCTGGTGTTTCTCCGCCGCCCTGAAGCCACCCAACCTTGATCGGCTGTCCTCACTTGAATCACTCCGACAAACAACATGGATAACATCTGGGGCTTGTGTGGCGTCAGGATATCTCAAATGAACGCGATCCTCTCCGTAGATTCCTCTCTTTTGTCTTCTTTGGGGTTACACCTACGCCTTCTCCTTTCTCTTTTATCTTGCAGTTTCTTCCTGTCAATGTCGAATTTGCCTTCGCCGGTGTCATAATATCGCTCGAGCATGCGGAAGTTTGATTTGACGTTGTATGGATTTCGGCCGCCTTGTATGATGGAAGGAAGCTACCTCCACGATGTTCGACTTGTGGGGTTGCTGAGACGATTCCTATGGTGATTGGCGTTTAATATTGATAGTATGTTACGATGCTATGTAAGGACTTAAAAGTGAGCGCAAGGAATGAAACCATTTAACTGACTATCACAATGAAGTACAATCGGAGTAATAAAGCCGATACGGAAAAAGAGGGTCGGCAGTGTTCGCAGATCGAGGAACAACCTCACACGGAAGAGCTAAAAATGTCATGAAAAACATGTCAGAAGACAGCAAAGCAACAATGACTCGCAGATACTGATCTTACAAGCCTATAAAAGCTTCGAGTAGTTGTAATGGTGTGCGCCACAAGTCTGTGGCGTATCACTCCATACCATCCCACCAAACTCTACTTCACGGAAAAACAATTGATCGTACGAAGCAGGGAATTAGTAGTAGTTGTTAAGAGCTTTAATGACATCGTGTTGGCAAAGGCTATTCCGAAGAGTCGATTCCGTACACAAGCGTCGTCCTTCCCAGGGTGGGTGTTCCCGAGTAGAGACTCGCTAGAGTACTCAATCGTGTTCTCATCGTTTCGATCTAAAGAACTACCGCCGGTAGATTTTGGAGACTTACTCGTTTGTAACCGTTGGGAATGTCTAGCCACCACGTCACAGGCTTTGGCATCGTTCAGACATGTTCTTTCGTGCCTTGCCCTCACACTCACTCTTATCCTCTACGGGCACGGATGCTGCTTCATCATCACTAATCCCTTCATTCTTCAAACTGCCTCCACAACCCCCTTACCCAGCACCCTCAACCTCCCCTTCCTTATCCGCAAACTATCCTCAATTCTCTCCTCAGCTTCCCCCTTCTCCTTCCTCATCAATGCCAGCCCAATAGTCCCTGCATCCACATACTTTCTCCCCCGAAACCCCTTCCTCCCAACTATCGCCAGCTCCTCCTCTGCCTCGTCCTGGATCCTCTGTCGAGCCTGCAGGACCCGAATCGCCGGATTATCTTGAATATTCGAGAATGCTTCGGGTGGGAAATGTGGCATATTGGGGTCTGTTGAGCGAGAGGGGGAGATATTGCGCTCAGGATCGAGGGGTGAGGTTGACGAGGGGGAGTAGTGAGGGTTTGGTTGGACGGCGCCGAGAGTGTTGAGGCGGGAGGCGAGGAGCGGGTCATGGGCGTCGAGATCAATTGCTGCAATATCACGTATCAACATCATTCCTATAGGTCTCAAACATGGCTTACCTTGATTATTCGAGTCACTGACTTGTGGAGGAGGATCTACGGATGGTCCTGGTTTCGAGTGCTGCGGTGGCAGAGGTCGAGGAGGATTATTTGTGACGTTTGGAACGCGCGTTGGATATTTGCGGGCTCTTGCTCCAGCTGTTCGAGTTATTTTTGAAACAGAGGAGCCCATTGCGCGTATAATTAGGGATATAGAGTGTGGTTGAGGATGGAGGGGAGGGTCATAACGTCACAATCTTGAAATTCTTGGAGCTTGGGCCATCTCCGAAAAGTTCAGTCATGTGGCTGTAGATTTGGAATGCATCCTGAAGCGCCGATTGGGCATTGGATATGGAGGAGAGTGTTTATTAAGGCTCGAAACCATTCTCTAGTGCCACCTTGTAGTCATACACACATGCTTTTTTGACGCCAAACCGGCCCCCAATCCTTCTACCCTCAGAGCTCTCCATCCTCACGATAATGTCCTGCAACCAAAAACGCCAATTCTAGCGCTTGCTTTTCATTTAGCCTTGGATCACAGTACGTCGTGTAATTGAGACTTAAATCCTCATCTTCAAGTCCTTCGCTTCCACCCGTACATTCCGTGACAGCATCGCCAGTTAACTCAAGATGCATACCTCCTAAGAAAGATCTGTGCTCCTTGTGGATCTTCAGAGCGGATGAGAGTTCTGAGAAAATGCTGCTGAAAGAGCGAGTCTTGATGCCGGTTGGCGTGCTGCGGGTGTTTCTGCAGAAATTTTTATGTGAGCTTGCTGCCTTGTAGGAACGGGGGATATAGGAGGAGAGTTGTTACCCATGCATTGGATCGCATTGCCAGACAACCACATGTCCACCAGCTTTAACAGCTTCAATATGCTGCCCTAGCATTGACTCCACTTTCCCCTCTCCGTACCGTGTGATTAGTGTCACTTTCCCAATCTCCTTCGTCGGATTCACAATATCGAGGAGCTTGACAAGCTCATCCGACTTCATTGATGGTCCAACCTTGATCCCAATTGGATTTTCAATGCCTCGGAAGTATTCGACATGCCCTCCGTCAATTTGCCGGGTACGATCTCCGATCCAGAGAAAATGCGCTGAAGTGTTGTACCAGCCCTTGCCATCGGTCGAGCTACTGTAAGAAATGCTCCCAGCAGGATGCTTGAGGCGCCTAGTAAGGCTCTGTTCATACTCCAACACCAATCCCTCATGGCTGGTGAACAGATCGACCGTCTGCAGTTGCCCAGCCGTATCTGCACCTACGGTCCTCATGAAGCGCAGAGAGTCCGATATACTATGTACGATCTTCTTGTACCTCTCCTGTAACCCTTTATCTCGAACATGGCCAAGCCCCCAGTCAAGCGGATTATGCAGATCCGCAATTCCGCTTGCCAGTTGTCCACGAACATAGTTCAACGTCGTCGCAGAGTGAAAGTACGCACTAACCAGCCTCTCAGGATCAGGGTTTCTCGCCGCGGGATCAAAGCCATTCAGGATATCGCCTCTGAAATTAGGGATCTCCTTCCCGTCGACCATTTCCGTGGGACTTGACCGAGGCTTGGCGAATTGACCAGCCATTCGGCCGATTCTAATTACGGGCTTGTTTGAACCCCAAATCAGAACTAAACTCATTTGAAGGAGCAGTTTGATCTTCGAGTCAATCGGATCATCGGAGCAGTACGAGAAGAGTTCGGCACAATCTCCGCCTTGAAGAAGGAAGGCCTTTCCCATTGCAGCATCTTTTAAGCTGGACTTTAGCTTGACGATTTCGGTGGGCGTAACGATGGGTGGGAGAGACGAGAGCTTGGCCAAGGCGGCTGATAGTGCGGATTGAGAATCGTATGTGACGACTTGTTTTATTGGCTTTGATCGCCAAGCTAGATGCTAGTGAGCATAGTATGGGGATAACGACAAGAAGTCGCGTTACATGAGGGGGACCATTCATCTTGACCCCCACACTCGGTACCGTTCGACACCATTGTAGGTATTTCCTTCGAGTTAGACCACCAATGAAAGATATATAGTTGATATCTGCCCTGAACAAGGCCCTCGGCTCATGTATCTGATTTCATGATTAGCAGACTATATTTGATACAACAGATTTCGAGTGCACAATGGGACAAGAAGCATGGGGAAGGCAGCTTAACCAACCCTTTGAAGAGGACTTCCCAGAGAAAATATACTAGGTTCCAGCTACGAAAGAATGCATGTCGAATGAAGGGGTTCCCCTTTTAGACTAACGGAAATGTGAAAGAATAGATGGATGCTCCCAAGTGTCTAGAGATGACTTAAAATTTTAAAAGTCGAAAAAGATGCATAAATTTGGATTAGGGAAACTAACTCACCGTATACAAACAAATAAGTTACCGAAATTCCTTCTCTTGTCGACCCTGCGCAGTTTCGGATGTAAGTGTTCAAGTCAAGCTCCTGAGGTCTTTCTCCCTCTCTTAGCCTGCTGCACTCACCTCCAAGCTGAAGTCACATCACCCCGCCCCACCCATCTGATTGGCTAGTTCACCGAAAGCCTTGGCGACCACCAAGGGAAGAAAGCGTGGTCAAAGCCACCAACACCCCCTCCTAACATCCCCACCATCATGGCCGAAGAACCGCAACCCTCAACCATCCAAGAAGGGGTCCCCGATGCCTCAGCCCCAACCGGCACCGCCGAAGACCGCAAAGCGGCCGCCGCACTGTCAGCCCTCGACGCGCACGATGACGAGGCCGGGCAGAAGAAGGATGTGGATACAAAGGCGTTGGGGGAGGCGATGAAGGAGTTGAAAGTGGATGAAGGGAAGGGGAAAACGGAGATGGCGGAGAAGAAGAAGGCTGTTAAGGTTGAGGCGGCGGATGTTACATTGCTGGTATGTTTGAATTTATTCAGAGGTTACTTGGGGAGAGGAGAATGGATTGGAGGAGGGTCTTCTGGGAGACCTATGCTGACGCAACGGGTGTCAGGTCTCTGAGCTGGAGCTTTCGAAAGTGAAGGTCACGGAATTACTTCGCGCACACGATGGTGATGCTGTTAAGGCTATGATTGCCTTTGTCAACCGAACTGCTTGAACAAATCCACAAGAACCCTCATGCCCTCGGACGCAACACTACCATGGAAATAAAGATGGAGTGTCAGGATCTAAGGAGAAGGAGAGGCATGTGGTACCCTGCGAGATGGCTAAAGATGCCATGATGCAGGAGTTATATATTATGCAGTGGATGGGGACAGTGCTGGATATTCTGTGAATGTCTCAATAATGTCTGTTCCTGTCCCTAACATCCTAGATTCCTGCAGCCCGAGCATGTCTGTAGGGGCCTTACCACACTGCAGCAAGCTACCTGGAGGCTTTGCTGCATTCTGATATTCATCCCAAGATACCCCGAATTGTAGGTCAGCCAGAGCACAATAGAATTGAAGCAATTGTGAATTGAAGACTTTATCCAGTGAACACACTTCTGTCATAATACAAAGGGAGAACATCTCCTAAACTACACCACGACCTATCCTGCAGACCGTTGATGCATGTCCAGATTCTAAGCTGGCGTCCTATTAAGCAGCCCAAACGCCGGCGTAGATGCGATCATCACCTCGTAAACACTAAAACTCCATGAACAGCAACTTGATACCACCCCACTCAAAAAAACGCCAAGAAAATCAATCTGATTGTCTCCACTTTCATCTACAGTGGTCGTACAATGGGTTCGCAATCTCTTAGTTGAATTTTCTCCTCTTTACAGAAGCGAAGGGATTGACCTGATTGATGACCCCGAAGCCCTTGATTGGCGTCTTTACCGAATAGTGAGGCTCCAAGACTTCGCTCTTCCGCTTCGCAGCACGGAGTTTCTCCTGGAAAGGGGTCACGGAAGTGACAAAGACAGATGAGGCCGGACGTTGCTTAACCGGACACGTCTTTGGAGTTTTTCCAAGTGGCTTAGCCTTCGCAAAAGACGGAGAATAGACGTTCCTGGCGGAGGACTGGGAGTTTTCCTTGTCCTCCGCCTCACGCATAATTTGAGCCCTCTCTTCTGCCCATTTTAGCATTGAGCTGTCAATGGTTCTCGGTGAGTCCGGAATAGCCATCTGAAGTGGGGTCTCGACTGGGGAATCATTGTCTAGATACTTTGAAGGAGTACGGGCTGGAGTGAAGGTGTAAGGTAGGTTCAAGGAACTCTTCGCGGAACTGTGAACCGAGCTGTTCGTGTCCAAGGTAGACATATATACATTAGAGGGCAGTTTCGCTGGCGTCTGGCCTGGAACGTGTGAGAGACTGATGAGATACGGAGTCTCATCTAAGCGCGTCTTCTTCTCATCGCAACTGTCGAATATCAGTATTTAAATAAATAAAATCAACGCAAGGGAACTTACTCAATAACAAATCCAATGTTGACACACTTCACAGCGCCATTCGACGCAACAACCTTCTCTAACGTCATCGGGCTTCCATCTTTGTACAGAACATGAGTGATGCCCATGGTTTTACTGGTCCAGTTTGGTACGCACTGTGCGCCCATATCCTTGAGTAGCGGAGTGAAGAGATGGTTGCTGTCCTTTCCATTGGACATCACATCGACATAGAAAACAGTCCCAGAAAGGACCCCATCGTCGACGAGCAGCGAACTATTGGGCTCAGCCTGTGGGCTAGAGACCCAGGTAACGGCCTTCTTTGGAGTCTTGGTATCCTGCTTGGCTGGGGATCGAAGAGCAGACTTGATCGGGGAGGGTACTTCGGGGTAAGTGAGGGAAGGGAATGACTGGTTATCCGAAGCCCTTTCTAGGACATCTTCAGTCTCATGCGCAAAACTCTCAACATCCTCCATTGATACATCTTGATACTCAGCCGGCGAAATAAAATTAGGCGGAACAGGTGCTAAAACAGGTACAGGGATCCAAACAGAGGTCTCACCAATATGGCCTGGAGATATAATGTCGACCGTAAAAGCTGGCTCAACTTCAGAGACGTGCTCAACCTCAGGAGCTAGCTCCACCGCAGGAGTCGTCTCATTTGCAGGTGTAGCCTTAGCAGGTGGAGCAGTAATGTGGATTGGAGTAGTCGGATAGTTCGGGAACTCGGCCAACTCCTTCGATGGGGAATGTGAGCTGGAAGCAACTTTCGAGGATGCTTTCGCAGCCGGAATGGTAATATGTGCTGGAGTATTAGGATAGTTAGGAAACTCAGCAAACTCCTTTGACGGAGAATCAGTCTTGGAAGCGACTCTCGAGGTTGTCTCAACCGACAGGGCGGCAATATGTGGAGTATTAGGGTAGTTGGGGAACTCCGCGAACTCCTTCGACGTGGAATCTGTCTTGGAAGCTATCTTCGCGGTCTCGTCAGACACTGCAAGAGCTGCCGGAGTCTTTGATAAATCTGGATACTCGACGAATGGGTCCGTCTCTGGGGCCGGGCTAGCCTGAGGACGGACAAGTGGAGTCTTCGTTAAAGAAGGATACTCGACAAATTGGTTTGCCTCTGGGGTCGTGCGTCCCTGAGCGGGGACCGCCGGAGTCTTTGACACGTCGGGATACTCGACAAATGGGTTCGCTTCAGGGGTATTTGGGTACTTAGGATACTCTGCAAACGGATATGTAGTGCGGATCTTGATTTTGGCCTGATGAACTGGCGAATGTGAGAAGGAAACAAGTCCGTTGTCAAGAGCCTTCATAGGTGACGCGACATTAGGCTTCATGGCTGGGGCCTTGAGCGGTGACGCGATCTTTGGTTTGAAAGGTGACGCTTTAAGGGGGGAGACCGACGCTGCAAATGGGTCCTCGACATTTTCGATAGAGAGATCCTTCGGTTTCGAAGCGGAGGCCAACGAGAAACCGAATGGCTGAATGTGGCCCATCAGCTTGCGTGGGGATAAGATGTTGCTGAACCTGAACGGAGTCGCCTTGAGTGGTGACTGCTGATTCGTAGTAGCATCCTTGTTCATGACGGCCGACTGTAAATGAATGTTGTGCTTGACTGGAGGGGCCCTGAGAGGGGAAATCTGGTTCGCAGTGTCCTGGCCCAGCGATGGTTTGACCTGGACAATGGGTTTCATGGGCGGAGCCTTGAGCGGCGAGGCCTTGTTCATGCCAATGTCCTTGGCCTGTTTTACAGACTGAGTTTGAGGAATGGGCTTCATTGGTGGTGCCTTCAATGGAGAAACTCGGGCCTTAACAATCTCGTCAACGTGCCCTAGCTGGATCTGAGTGCTGGACTTGATCGGTGAAGGCATCAGTGGTGGAGAATTCTCTATTTCAATGTCCTCGCTCTCATCCAGTGGATTCGGAACCTTTACTGTACTCAGGAGAGGCAACATAGACGGTTTGGGCTCAGAGGGAGGCTGCTGGACGGCTTTGCGACCACGAGTGGTTCGATCGGGCTTCTTCGCAGCAGCTGCGCCGTTTGTGACAATTGGGATGGGCGCAGTCTTCTTCGCCGTCTTCTTAGCTGCGGCCACGATCTTCTTCCGGGGGGGCTCGACAGGCTCCTCGATGGCGACACGTTTGCGACCGCGTGTCGTCTTGGTAGCAGCGACCTTTGCGCCGAATTCATTTTCCTGTTTGGCAGCCTCTCGCATCTCCTCCGGCTCCTCGTCGGCGACGCGCTTCCGACCGCGAGTAGGCTTAGTTGCTGGCCTGGTCTCCACATCCTTCTCTTTCGTAGCTGCGGCCGGCTTGCGACCGCGCGTGGCTTTCTTTGGTGGCTCTGGCTCAGCAACAGGTTCTGGCTCCGGCTCGACAGCAGCTTTTGTGGTGACGCGCTTCCTGGAAACAGCTTTGGCACGTGTGGACTTTGGCTCGGCTGCTGGCGTCTCCTCCGTGGCGGCCTTCTTGTGACCCCGTGCTGGTGCAGGTTTCTCCCCGACTTCTGGGGCCTCTTCCTCGACAGGCTGGTTGATAACTGCCTTCTTTCGACCACGTGTCGGTGCTTTCGTCGCGACTTTGGAGGCTTCTGCTTCCACAACGGCCTCTGCAACGACTGTTTTCTTGCGTCCACGCGTCGATGCAGCCCTTGTCTCGACTTCCGGAGCTTCTTCGACGGATTCTTTGGCTCCAATCTTCTTTCGACCGCGGGTGGATGCCGACTTTGCCTCGACTTCAGGCTCCTCGACGGGCTCTTGAATAGCAACTGTTTTCTTGCGACCACGCTTCGTAGCAACGGCCTTCGGCTCAGCCTCCGGCGCCTCCTCAACGATAGCCTTCTTACGACTGCCGCGTTTTGGTGGAGCTTTCAGCATAGTGTCGGTAGCGGGGATCTGAGCAGCCTTGACGCCGCGTTGGCCACGGGTGGAGACCATGGTTGCCGATTTCCGCGTGCAATCGCAACTGAGGTCGATGTAGAAGGTGGAAACAAGTGTTTTGGGATGGGAAAGAGGATGGAACTTCCAGCTGTAGAGCGCGGAAAGCGTGCTGTGGACGGAAAGTGTAGATGTGTGTAGGGAGAAAGAGTTGTGTTGACATTCTGAAGAATCGCGCCCCAGACATCCCAGAGCGGGACGCACAGGCCACGCCACCTGACGCAATCGGTTGGCACAGCAACGGCGCTTGAGATACGCAGCAAGGCAACATCATGCTATTACTTGCTTCTTATTCGTTGAGCACTGCTACCAGACATCTCCTAGTAAGGCTTCACTTATATTGCTATTAAATTTATACATGATCTAAAATGATTTCTTCAGCTTCGACTTCCATGTCCCAGCGAATGATTTGACTGGTGCGAAGAGCAATCTTTGCACGACACCACCTTATGATCCTTTTTAATCCCACACTCTCATATCCCTCTCGTGGGCGCTGCTCTTTCTCTCCCCCTCAACAACCAAGAAAATGGCCCCATCCTCCGTCTCAGCTCATTGAAAGACCCCTCTTCCACCACTCTCCCTTCATCTAGTACAATGATATGCTCAGCAATAGCCATCATCTCTCTCGCATGAGTGATAATAATAACAGCCATCCCCCTCTGCTCCTTGCCACTCCTTTCCCCACCCCTTGTCTCTGCAATAAGTCTCTGGACCGTATCTCGAACGATCCCCGCCGATTCTGCATCCAGCGCGCTAGTAGCCTCGTCCAAGATCAGGATGTCCGGCTTTCTAATAAGAGCCCTAGCAATCACAATTCTCTGTGCTTGGCCTCCCGAAAGCCCACTGCCACCCTCGCCAACAACAGTCTGGTAACCTTGTGGGAGACCGGTGATGAAATCATCGATCCCTGCGGCGGATGCGGCTGCCCGGATACTGTTTATTGCTCGGGTTGAAGACGAGTCAAGGCCGTATGCAATATTTTCTGCAATAGTCCCTGGAAAGAGCACTGGAGTTTGTGAGACAATGGCCATCCGTGAACGCAGCGTAGGGGTGTGTAAGATGTTGACATCTCGGTCTGATACCGTAAGAGCTGGCAAGCCTCTGCCATCGACACTCGGCTTCGTCTCGTACAATTTCAGAAGTAATGCAGCAATCGTAGACTTGCCAGAGCCTGATGAGCCAACAATGGCAGTGCAACTTCCAGGACGGATACTGATGTTGACTTGATGCAGAACTCGATGGTTCTTCCTCGTAGGATAGGCAAAATCGACATCGTTCAACATTATTTCGCCTGCTCTCCGGAGTTGCACACTGCCCTTATGCTCGTGTGAATCTTGTGGCAGACGCGATAGACGGAGGAGTCTGGATCCGGCATCCTTTGCCGCGCTAATCTGCGGCACGTACATAATCATGAAATTGACATGGTTGATGCTCAGCAGCAAGATTGAGAATGTTTGGATGATGTTCCTGGTCGAAAATTCCTCTCTCTCGATGAGCTTGGTACCATACCAGAAGAGAAGCGAAGCGACAAAGAGGACTCCAGTGTAATTAAGGCCAAATATAGGTCCTAAATAGACTGCGCGTTTCAACCCCGTCCTCAGAGCAGTAGCGATTGTCGCGGCAAACTTCTTGCGGAAGACTTCCTCGAGCACTAGACACCGCACCGTCCGGATACTAGTAAATGTCTCGTGTAGGACCTCCCCAACATCTTCATCAGCTACGTTACTCAGAGCTGTCCATTTTCCACTAATCGCGTTGTAGTATGTCGTAATTGCATATAGAATCGGGCTGGTAGCAAGGGCCACAAGAGTAACCTTCCAACAAGTAATCAGGCTCCACACAATTGCGATGAGGATCATGATCATAACAACCACCGTAATGCCGACAAAGCGTCCCAGAAGGTTGCGAGCTTCTTCGGCAAAGTGATCAAGACATTCTGCAATCCTCGAAACGCTGTTCTCATCACGGTCGAAGAATTCTCGAGGTTGGTCGAGTATCCGGCGCATGGCTTCCATTCTCATGCTATTTATCCATGCCTGGGCGCAATAATCGAAGCAGAAATGGAATCCCCATGTTGCCAAACCATCCGTAAGAGCGATGCCAAAAATGGAAAGAGCATAAGCCCGGGTCATATTTTGCTGGTTGGAAGGGATATAAAAAGTAGATAAGAGTCTGGCCAAGACGAACGCAAATGTGGGTGTGCATGCAGCGTGGATGGCAGAGCATGCGAAAGCAACAATGAGAACCAAACGGCAACGCCAGTTTAGAGTAGGCCAAGTGGTCGCAAGGATCTCCCTGATCGTGAGGGATTTGACACCAGGGACGGAGCCTTCTGAATCTTTATCGTGGCTTCGGCGCTTGAGGTCCTTCAAGCTTATTTTCTCTCCAGTTTCCCCCACGTTTCGTATTTCCAGACCGTCAATAGTGTTCTGCCAAGTTGAAGGTGAGCTTAAAGGCGGCGCGTGCGAGGGCGTGCGATGAGGAGCACTGGAAGGAGCAGGAGAAGAAGTGCCGGAGCATGGCCGTCCATGACGAGACGTGGGCTGTTCGTGGTGCCTCATTTCCAATCCGAGAGCAGCAAATGGAGGGACTCTGAGAGCACCGTTTGAGTTCCTTCTTAGCTCTAAGGTTACAATCGAGCCATTTCCCGATCCGGAGACAAGGAAGGATTCGTCTCTGATTGCATCTCGTGAGATAGGGCTGAAGAAGGGCGACTGAAGCTGCTCTCCCAAGAGGCTTGCAGAGAGTGGTCGAGTGGGAGCGACCCAAGGCGTCGAGTAAAGAGACATTATCTCGTCAGTATTATTGTCTGGTGACCCATCCTCTTCATTTCGTTCGCTGATATTCGAGATGAGAAATCTATGAAAGGAGGAGCCGGACTGAGCCTCAATGTCTTTTCGGCGCCCTTCTTGCACGACTTGAGCATAGTCTAGAACATACACGTAGTCATCTGGAAGGATTTGGGAGGCGTCATGGGTGATGACAATCGTGGTCTTTCCTCGACGCCAGGTCCGTGTTGCTTCAAGAATTGCGGACCGTGTAATATAGTCGAGGGCACTCGTGGACTCATCCAATATCAGCACAGGAGTGTCGCGAATACGAGCTCGTGCTAGTGCCATTCGCTGTTTCTGGCCGCCGCTCATCGAGCTGCCCTTTGCTCCAACCACTGTGTCGAGGCCATTGGGGAGATCTTGAATCATTTGATATAACAGAGCAAAGTTGACTGCGCTCTCTACCTCCCCATGTGCGACCCCGTCGCCTCTTCTTGCTAAAGCGATATTGTGCCGAACGGTGTCCTTGAATAGCACACTATGTTGCTCGACCAGTGTGACGTTCTCTCGAAGCCAGCCAGCGTCCAGGTTGGGAAGTGGAACTCCATCCAGGGAAATGGTGCCGCTGGTGGGCTCATAGAATCTTACAAGCAATTGCCCGATAGTACTTTTACCCGATCCGCTTCTTCCAATGACAAATGAGGTATCGCCAGCAGGAAAGAATATCGTTGCGTCACGTAACGCTTGTTGGTCTGGGCGCGTAGGATATGCGAATGAGACCTAGCAATATCAGCAAATGCGGAGGAATTGGAAAGTGAACAGGATACCTCCTTGAACTCAATGTCGCCTACACAGCGCTGCGGCTTTTCGCCTCCCTGAACTTCAGAATCTATGTTCTGCTTTGATAGCCGGGTTATTGTGGCTAAGAGTCGTGCACCAGCTATCTTTCCCTTCTGGAGGACAATGAATTGAGGCAAGAAACCAGTAATGCCCTGGACAGCTATTAGAGCGCCCCAAAATGTTGTCATGACCTGGCCTGGGTTCCTCTGTCCTGTAGTAACCAAATAACTACCATACCAAAAGCCCTGGACGAACATACTGTACGTGACGAACTGCATGAACCCTATCTGAGCCGACCGGAGATTCGCTTGGCGATTGTATAAATATCCTGCTTGGGTAATAACACAGCCGTACTTTTGGAGCTCAAATCTCTCGCTATTGAAGCATTTGACTGTCTCGATGCTCGAGACTGCATTTGTTACATGCTTTAGAGCTTGCTGGAGCTTATCCGCTTGTTCGTGTGCTCGTTTTGAAATCTTGGACGATAGGAAGCTCATGACAAGGTACACAATTGGGATAGTGCAGATGATGGCAAGAGTAAGGTTCCAGGAGGAGTATAGCGCAATCGATAAAGCACCGACGGCTATTACACAGCACTGGACGCATTCTCCGAGAGGGGCGGAACATGCTAGTTGAAGATCGCGAATCTGCCTGTAACTTGGTGAGCTTGGGCAAAAACCACGGACGACGATGCACTTACATCTGAACCCCTGGAACTAATGCTGCAACTCCGCTCTCCCTATTATCGTACCATTCCATATCCTTTCCAAGCAGGTTATTAAAGATCCGTATCCTCGCACTCCGTGCTTGAAGCTCCCCAAAAGTCAAAATCGTTGTGAAGTATATGCTGTTGGCGAGCCAATTGAGGGTGGCCAGTGTTGTGAGATATACGCAATACCTGGAAACATTTTGAAGCATTACAGTGCCAGTTGTGTTTCCGGATGCAAAGCTCGCGAACTGGCGGAATAGGAGGCCGTGTATTACTGACATAGCCGGAAGAATGAGGGCAGCAATTGCAGCGCAGAACGCGGCGATACAGAGCACCGGGAGGTGTTTCTGCATCATGAAACCGAATAGGGCTTTCCATCCCACTCTCCGCATGAATTCCTGTTCCTCTTCATCTTGAATATTCACCTTCTCTTGCTCAAACGTATGATCCGAATCTGGAGACATTGCTATCGAGGCGATAAAAGCTCCCTCTTTAGTGCTAAAATTTGTGAGAGACGGAATTTGCAATTGCCAGAGAAATGTGAAATATTAATATGTAGCAGGATGAAATGGCGTCGATATTGCCAAAAGCGGACTAGTGCAGTGAAGAGGTTGCATGGTCCTTTGTTGCTCTTGATATTGTTCTCTTCCACGACATTGGATGCATCCACAAACATCATCACCGCGTAGTAACTTTCACTGCCGATCTATGCCCAATAATTCATCCGTTTCTACTTTCCCGCCAAGAATTCAGTCCGAATATACACCGTCTGGAGCTTCACGTCATATTATCTACAGGACAATGGTACCAAAAATCTAGGGCTAGATGGCTGGAGGATCGTGCGAAATCGATGGCTCGAGGGGAGCTCATGCCAATTCAAACCAAGGGCTTGTTCCTACCGAATCCTCCAACGCAACCGTTCTAGCCAGGCCCACCTACTCCAGCCCTTGACAAGCTAACTTTGCCTCAGCCGCAGAGCTTGACGATGAACAAAGGTCACGGTAGGGGCAGTCCTAAAGACCTCTGAAACCGACAGGAGGAAAGCGGATGGAGATTCGTCCGTAGGTTCAACGCCCTATAGTGTAGAATCCGGGATCCTGAGGAGCCTCTCGTTGCTCCGTGGCTACTTCGACTCAGGGGGCGCTTTTTCGTAGATCCAGTCGTTGAGGCCCTCCCGATTCCTATGCAGATCAGTAGCTTTTCAACAGACCTGCTGGGTCATTTAGCCTACCGCACTATCTCAATAGCGTAGAACTGCATCCGCACCGCAAATATTGTTTCCTTCTCGCCATACTCAAATGCAGGGTTCGACCTAAGCATGGCTCCGAAGTTGAAATCCTCAATCTTCTTCTCATACTTCATGATGAACTTCCGCCATCGCTCCTTGCCTTCTTTGCTCTTCATATCGTCCTCATTAATTGTTGTTTTTGGATCGAATTCGGGGAAATCCTTCTTGAAGTGTTCGAGGATTTCGTCGTCGTATTTGGTGAGCTTTAGTTCTGAGCCGCGTTTGAATTGGAGGATCTTCCAATACGTCTCCATATGTTGGACCACTACCATTTGCTGTCAGTGCGCGCCCTGCGTATCCCAAAAGGGTTTCGTGGACCTTTGACCGCGAATTGCTTCTCAATCTACGTGACAGATAAGTGCAGATCTCGGTGACTGTGATTCGAGTGTGCGCATACATCCTCAAAGTTCTCGGCCTCTTCAGCATTAATGTTGGCGCCCGCGGGTCCGAGAGACATTTTGCTGACTGTGTATGAAAGTTTAGGATTAGTTTTTATGGTTCTCGGTGAGTAGATGAGCGATAGAAGAAGAAACGGCTGTCTTTGTAAATTTCTTCGAGTAGGAGCCAGGGCCACCCCGCCACTGCCCCTCGCTGACTCAACACCAAACTTCTATCACCAACTACTATCATCAACTTCTTACTTCCATCCTCCTCCAATGCCACCCACCCTGACTGTACGTGGGGCCCTCTAGCATGTGAATACTATTGACTTGGGCAGCATGAATGCACTCGGGTCCCGGTAACAGCTCTAGCCACTCATGGCCCATTGCTTTTCGCCGCAGAGGGGCCATACTTGCGCTTGTATACTGGACAAAACCCCAGGCACATCTCCACGGAGCAGATATTCAAAAATCAAACTATCCATGGAATTTCTGTCTTCCCAAAAACACAGCATCATGTGATTCTTATCTTCTGGGGGGGATTCGTGGTTCGAGCCCTGGAGATCGAGTTTTCCATCAATGACTCCGATATTGGCGTTGCTGTTGAGAGGCAACAGCTGTCGTTTCTCGCGCGAGCAGCAGACTGGATCCTTGATATAGCCATTGGGTCATTTAAGCTTCCAGATTCTTCAGAACCTGTTGAGGCGGTCTGTGCAGCTATAACCGCTCACAATACACTCCTTGAGCTCATCGTGAAGCGCATCGACGATACACAAGATGAAAATGAGCCCACAAAGAGGTACTCTTCCAATCACGATTCACGTTTAATGCGCTGAGCACAATCCTCTCAACAGTCTCTCAACCGGGAACTTACTTCTTCCTTAGAACACCCCTAAGCCTACATATCTCAGACCTTCGGTCAAGTTCTCGCTCCATTCTGTATTCTGCACATCTGCTCTGGGAGTCTTACGAGCATATCCTAGCTGCTGCTGGGACCGCCTTTGGAGAAATAATCGTATGGTCGTGGACACGGGAAGTGAATAACGAATCGTACTCGTGCATACACCGAATCTTTCTCGGACATGAAGGCTCAATATTTGGAGTACACATATCGCATGACCTACATCTACCAGGTGAAAAGGAACCCCAGAGACTACTAGCAAGCTGCAGTGATGACCGTACTATCCGAGTCTGGGATATATCAGACATTTCAAGGTCCGTACTTGGCTCTAACGATGGCATAGAGGTTCAGAGAACACGGCATACTGGATTTAGCAATACCGCTTTCGACTCGGACACCTCTGGTCCAACATGTCTAGCAACTGGCTGGGGTCACCTCTCCCGTGTCTGGACGATCCGCTTCCTTGATCTACCAGAGCTTGACGGTACCTACATGATTTCCGCTGGGGAAGATGCAACAGTCCGCTTATGGAAACTCGTTCAAAAAAGAGCGGGCAGTCCCTCAGAGGCTAATGTTTCACAATTTGGCCTCAGGCAGTTCAGCACCTTTGCATTCCATAATGGCAAAAACATTTGGGCTACGACCATTTTTCGCCATTCCTCTGGCTTGCTAAACTTGATTTCTGGTGCTGCAGACAGCCACATGGCTGCTTGCTTGTTATTACCCCTATCCCGAGGACCGTTTTCCAGTCTTGGGCCCCGTCTTTCTGAATGCAGCGTCCAAGATATAGTATCGTTAGGCCAACCATCCACAGATGATGTTATGCCTCTACAAAAACTCCCCACGCATAAATCATCGAAAGTGGCAGATTTCATTCGAAGCTACGCCTTCATTGATCGCTCGTCATTCATCCTGACCACAAATTCCGGGAAGGTCTACCTTGAAACTCTTGCATCGGCGCTCGACTCCTCCAGAAACGAAGTTGTTGTGGGCTCGAAGCTCATCGACTATAGAGAGGACATGCTCGGGTACTCGATTTGCACTGCTGAGCCGTCACGCCCGGTAGGCTTCAAGGTTGACAAAACTTCACCCGGGCTAGCATTTGTAGCTGGCTCACGCGGAACTATTTATGCCTACCAGCAGGATTCATTCAAGCTGACAAAAATTTGCACAGTCCAAGGGAAAGTTGGGTCTATGTTTACGAAAAGAATCAATGGTGATCTTGGTTCTATTCATTTAGTGCTTTTGGTCACGTTGGTTGGACAGAAAGTTGCCCGGCTGTTCTTTGTAGATTACCGGGAAAAGAAAAAACCTACTGTATCGAGGACAATGAATGTACCCTTATCGGAATTGCTGACAGGCTTTGTCATTACAAGCATGGCGTACGTGGACACTCTCCGGAAAACTAGCTACCTTCTCCTTGGATTTCGCCGCGGTTCGGTGGCGGCATATTCAGTCCCGATTGCGAACTGCGAAGAACGCCAGGCCTCTATGATTCGAATAATCGACAAGGCTCACGGTAAAGAAACCGTTACAGCAATGATGTTCATGGCGTCACAGCCTGAGTTTCTCATAACGGTCCCATCACATGGACATTTGTACTCTGTTGGGAGAGACGGATGCCTTGCAATCCACTATGTTGACTTTAACACAAATTCTGTAACACTGGTGCATAACCTTGCAGTCCCAGTTGGACCGAATCTCGAGGGAATATACTACGACATGGGCTCTCTGATGGTGTACGGTTTCTCGAGCACCAAGTTCGTTCTCTACAACACAACCGACGAGGAAGAGCGCATGAGTGTCGAGACTGGTGGCGCACACCGAAGCTGGTCATATCAACATCAAGTCCTCGCTGGCACATCTACGCTTGTATGGACTAGGGCGTCGAATATGCATGTGTGTATTCAGAACAGGCCGATTCATCAGACTATCCGGTCAGGCGGACACGGAAGAGAAATCAAGACCGTAGCAATCTCGAAGGCAGATGTTGATGGAACATCGAGGCAGGTCATTGCTACTGGTGCCGAGGACACTGATATCAAGATCTTTGATTATGTGGACGGTGATATTAATTACCTGCGAACGCTGCGAAAGCACACTACTGGCATTCAACATTTGCAGTGGTCTGGAGACGGCAAATACCTTTTCAGCAGCGGCGGGTGCGAGGAGTTTTACGTTTGGAGAGTCCGCATTCTACCACGTGCTATGACTGTGGATCTTCTCGCTGTGTGCGAGTCCATTTGCGAACCGGAAAGCGAGCATTCGGATCTGAGAATTATGTCGTTTGACGTACGTCGAGAGTCCAAAAAGGGGGGTAATGAAGAGACTGTATTTGTCATTGCGATGGTATTCTCAGACTCAACGATTAAAGTACGCCTTTCTTCCCATCCCTTCATTCCTAAATTCTTTAACTGTCTTCCTCCTGCTCTATCTCTTATTTAATCTAATAAAATCCAAGGTCTACAGCCACTCCCCTACCGCAGCTGTGAAATGGCACCTACTCGCCAAAGGCGTCTACTTCACATCCTGCCTCACCCAATGCATCTTTCTCTCCTCCACTTCCATCATGACAGCTGGCACAGACGGCCACGCTGTTCTCTGGCCCCTACCGTCTTCCATCCTCCGCCCACATACCAGCGATCCTCAACCACCTCAACCTCTAGCCTGGAAAGATCCTGCAAAAATCCATCAGAATACTTCAAAAGCCTTGGCTTCCGCTTCTCTTGGCCAAAACACAACGCTCGTAGTCTCAGGCGGTGACGACTGTAGCTTATCATTCCTCCTCACATCTCCCTCATCCACAGATCTAGATTACACATACAACCACCCTCCGATCATCGTACTACGCGCCCACGCATCCGCCGTAACTGCTTGCGCCATCCTTCAACATCATAAGCAGTTCTTCGTAGTAACATGCGGAAACGATCAATGTGTTCGATTATGGGAAGTCGTCCCCAATCCACCACAAGCAGGGGACGCCTTGGAAATCAAACGAATCCAAAAGATTACGACGAGTGTAGCAGATGTGTCCAGCATGGATGTTCTATGGCAAGAGGGCGGGGAAGCACGAGTCTTGATATGTGGCGTTGGGGTGGAAATTATTCGGATAGACTGGGATGTAAGCCTGACGTAGTATGATAGAAAAACTGATGATTTGATGTGATAGAATTCGAAAAGTCATTCCCATGGTATCATACACCGTTTTAGCCCCCAGATGTTGCCTTATATCATACAATCCATCCGTGACGCGGACCCACCGAATCGGCGAGCCACCAACGTCCGTCATCAGTGTGATACAGTAAAATCGCTATAACTATCACCCGGTATTACATCATTCCAGTCCAGCCTTTAATAAGCTACCTGAGCCCACTCTTCTGCTGTATCGTAATAAAGTTGCATCCAAACTGATTCCTCACTCGTAGTATCCATCTCGCGCATCAAAACCTCGTGCCTAGCCACCAGCACACCAATCGAATCCCAGTCCTTCCATCCGACGGCCCATTCGCGGATCTAGATGCGCAGGTAAATATGAATTTGCCAAGCTACCAATCTAGATATTCTTGGAACGGCGGGTGAACAAAAGATAATATAGCGAGAGGGGATGGAGGCTTCCTAAGGATACCAATTGCAACGGATATCGGCCGGGTGTGTTCAAAAACTCACCCAATCCATCCAAGCCTCTAAGAACCTCAGCCTGCCCTCCTTCATCTTATCCTCGAATTCAGCGAAACTGAGAAGCCCGCTACCTTTCCGCTCGCTGATCTCGGTTTCGACTGTGTCGAGGCTAGAGAGCATGTGAAGGTGGAGTGGGGAGTCGGGTTCCATGGCAGCACGTCGGATCTTGCGTTCGAGAGCTATTTGGGAGTTTTCGTGTTCCCAGGATTGGGAGTGCACGACTGGGCGTTGGACAACGTGCATGGTTAGCGCAGCGGTGTTTATCCAGAGGAGGAAGATTTGGGGGTCGTTGTACATGCGTGGGGGTTCAGGGCGGTGGGTTGAGGATGGAGGAGGGGATGGAGTGCGAGGAGGCGGTGGCGGAGGTGGCGGAGGTGGAGGAGGCGGCGGAGGCGGCGGGGGAAGTAGAGGTAGAGCAGCTTGTGTTGGCACAGCTGTGTCGGTGCCTCGTTGAGGTTCCGATGAGGGTGAGGGAGGTCCGCTTGGGGCAGCGCTGGTGTACATCATGCCTTGGAGAACGAAGAAGGGACCGTGTGGTGTGCTCGAGTAATGGCCAATTTCAAAGTCCTCTTCGTTGACGACGAAGACGCGGTCGGATGAAGGGGTTGTACTGGCTGCACTCTCGTCTACCTCGCTTTGATGATCGCCATTTAGTTGAGTGGGAGATTCCATATCAACGATAGAGTTCGGCCGAAACTGCGGCATAGTAGGATCGCGATACGGTATTTGGTCTTCGCTTTGATTGTTGCCCTCTTCTTCCGCATTCCGAGGCTGAGAAGAAGATTTGGGTAGTTCTCTTAGCGACCAGGACTCCTTGGGGAGCCACTCAAATTGAGTTGCGAGACAATGAATAGCGTCCCACAACTCGTATTGAAGCTGTAGCCGCGTAAGCTTCGCATTCCAAAGATCCATTACATTTGGCTCCCAGTCTTCGAACCAACGATTCTTGTAATGATGGACAACTTCTTCCTCTGTCCCCTGAAGCAATGCCCAAAGACGCTCGCGGAAGATCGACAGGCTCAACTGTGCACCCTGGTCCCTTAGCTCTCCTAAGAAATCTTCGATCGTGTCAGGGGTACTTGTGAGTATGTCTAGCATCACCCTTGCGTATTTGAAGGCTCCTAGGAAGATAACGACTTTGTTGGCGAGCTTTTCTTCTTTGAAATCGTGGATTGTCTTGTCTATTTGGTGGGCAAGTTTCCGTCGTTCGGCTCGGGTTGCGAAGGCGTCCATGGCATTGTCCTCTTTTTCTTGGAACAGGGGACTCAGGAGCTCGTTGAAGGCTTGTTGGGTTATTTGATACAAAACTTCCTTTCCGAGATCCTTTTCGGGCTCGGGTATCTCGTAGCCACCCCATCGTTCTCCAACCGGGCGAGAGGAAGTTGAGGCATTAGATCGTGTCTCGATATCGACGTCATCCTGGAACCGTACCCTAGAAGAGGAGCGTGAACCCCTAGTGCGGTCGTGCTCAGGGGCGGGGGATGTTTCTACAACCCCATCCATCTGCTCCCCAGCTTCAGAGCGAGGTGGCGAATCTTCGTAGTCTTCCGGTCGGCGCAATCCCTCTTCTTCATCGACATAGAACTGCCTTCGCGCCCACCTGTTGTGTATGGCTGAACCTTCAGCAGAATGATGCGGGTAAGGGTGCCCATTCACGATTGAATTTTGAGGATCAGTTATCTGGATGATTTCCTCACGGTCCGCAACATCTCCGACATCCTCAGCCAGTACAGATTGGTGATTATCCAGACCTTCAGAAGACTTCTCCTGCAAACGTGGATTTGAGGGATTCCTAGCCGGGATGCTATTCTGCGTGAAGGCGGACCCCAACGGCTGGCTCGAGCGAATTGTCTCCAGTGCGCCACGAACAGAAAGCTCCTCAGCAGCTTCGGCGAGGTAATTCCTTGTGGCCTCTTTCTCGATCGCATAATACGCTCTGAAAATCCTCAACACGTCTTTCCGAGAGATATAGCCGTCGCCGTCCACGTCGTAGCCATTGAAGACGATCCTAAGCTTGATTTTGGGATCGCGCGAGTGCATCCCATCAAGGCCCTTTACGAATTCTTCGAATCCAATCAGTGTATTGTGGTCCGTGTCATAGTATGCGAAGATGCGGTCATAGATGAGATTCGGCGCTGAGATAAAGCTTGAATATCGAGGTATGAAGGCTTGATTGAAGGCGCGTCGATCAAGGGCCCATCCAATATTGTTAGGGTCAGAATTCCACTCTGTCCCCGCAAGGCATGTGAACTGATCCCACAATGCCTCGACCTCCTCACCCTCCATTTTAGTTTCTGAGACCAGCCGTTTTTTGATGGCCGAGTTGATGGATGGGCTCATTACATGTGGGCGGCCAGGATATATCGGCTCCTGCTTTGGAAATCCCAGGTAGGGGGCAGGAACACGGATTTTGTAGAATATGTGAGTCTTGATATGAGTATTGGTTGCTTCACAGTCGGAGCATAGGTCGTAGTCGGCACAATTAGCACACCGCCATCTGATGCCGCGGATAGGCTTCGTGTCGCATGCATTACAGGTTATGCCGCGATGAATAACACCCTCCTGCCTTGCCCGGTCCTCTGCAATGTGATAGAGGGTGCGCTGCAGAGTCTGCCCGTCGGGGTCTGTAGTTAAATCATCCGAGTCGTCCTCGCTCAGTAGTGACAGCTCTGTGGGGGCAATGCTCTCAGCGCCATCTGAACCATGAATTGCATTAGTGTCCCCTCCAGCGAATCTGGCGCTGTGCCTTTCGAAAGCCCGGGTCAGAGGTTCCAGGCTATGCATCCGACCGTTCAGCAACTGAGTGAGGGCTATTCCGTCAATTTCGGAAACAGGCCCGTTCGGAAACGTGAGAGCAAGTAGACGGTCGAGAAAGGTTTCGTAGAGCTGTCCGATCATGGTGTCAACCAGCTCGGGACTGGCACCGGGCTGAGAGTGCTGGGCGATATCGCGCAGTTCAGCCGCAGATATAAGGTCGCGAGGATCGAGGACAATGGGGTGGCCGAAGAAGTCAAACTCCCCAACTGGCTCTGCATTCTGCTGGAGGTGTTGGAGGGTGCGCGCAATGCGGGAGTGTGTGCTGCGGGGGCCCGGTCTTCGCACGGCATTGCTTCGATGGAGCGGTGGTTGAGAAGGAGCGTGGGTGCTGTTGTACAGAAGGTATGCGGCATATCCGGCGATAGCTCCAGTCAATATCAGAATCGCAGGGCGGTATCGGGAGACCGAGGACGGCGTAGAGCTCGACATGGGAGGAAGAGGTGGATGGTGAGAGTATTAAGGAGCGTGAGGACAGAGCAGAGGGCTCCAGGAAGGTCGAGGCTACTTGACGGGCATGGTGAGTGCAAGCAGCCGTCCACGAGTCCTCCTAGCTGTGAAATGTTCCCCCGTTTGGAAGTCGCCTTGTTTGGCTTAGTCAGCATCCAGTCTGCGAGGTTGCGATCCTTCACACAACATCTTCAAGTCTTCACAGAACATCTTCAAGTTTTCACTGAACATCTTCAAGTCTTCACTGAACATCTTCAAGTCTTCACTGAACATCTTCAAGTCTTCACTGATCATCTTCAAGTCTTTACTAAACATCTTCAAGTCTTTACTGAACATCTTCAAGTCTTCACTCCGATATACAAGAATATACAAGACGTCTGCCAAGCTGCGAGGCAATCAATTTCATCTGTGGCAGATCTTAGGAATATGCTTCTACAATATACGAGGTCTGATTTTGGGCAGATATCTGCATCCCCTGAATCCCTTTCCAATTCTAGGACTGGCTTGCCAGATTAAAGAATCCTTGGTAGTGTCCTGTGGTAGTTGCTAATATACTGCACGCTACCAACTGGAGTGTCCACCATCCATCCGTAGATCCGCTCCCGTCTACTATGTATCAGCAATCTGGAACATCGGTAAGAGGAGATCGGAGTGGGACACACCATGAAGCTACTGGCATCGCTGATCAAGAAGACTCCAGCACCACGATACTCTCTCGGGCCTGACAATCTCTGCAGCATGTTCTGCTTCGGCCACTCTGTCCGTCTCTCGGGAAACTGCTTAAACAACTCTTCCACCATTGCAGTCACAATGTAGCCAGGCGAAATGGTGTTGACGCGGATATTGTACTCGCCCCACTCTGCCGCCAGATTGCGTGCGAGTTGCATCACTCCAGCTTTAGATGCATTATATGCTGGGCAAATCAGGCCCTATGAGGTAGGTCAGTCAGTGGGTGTATCTCCTAAGTTCGTCGTTACAGAACGTACCCTATTCGCAACAGTCCCGCTCATACTTGCGATCATTACAATGCTTCCTCCGTTGCCGAATCTGATCATCTGCTTCGCTGCAGCCTGGGAAGTCATGAAGACACCAGTAATATTCACTTCGAACATTCGATTCGCATCTTCCGGGGTATACTCCAAGGCTGGCGTTTCTTGCTGTATGCCCGCAGCCGCAATCAGCCCGTCCATTCGTCCTTCCTTGTCACCGATTTCCCTGATTATTCGGTTTAGGTTGAGCACATCGCGAACATCAATCTGGCAGTATTGCAATGAGGTGCCAAGCTCCGACTTTGCTCTCTCTGCGATAGTATGGAAGTCTGGAGAAGGCTCAGGAAGTCGATCCAAGGCATAAACTAATCACTATCAGATTTTCCGGGCCAGGATATTCCCCAGGAACGCAGGAGGCCTTACCAGTTGCTCCCGCCTCCAACAGCGCCTCTGCTTGCGTGAGGCCGAGTCCTCGGGCAGCTCCAGATACCAATACCACCTTGTTGCTGAGGTTGAACTCTGAAAGCCCTTTCGAGGTTCTAAGAAAGGGGTTCGCGGCACTGCCTCTAGCAGGAGCATCTGGAGGTCCCCCTTGATGCCTTGAGACAGTACTGGAAAATGGTCGCATAGTATTCCGGACTGCCGTGTGGAGAAGTGGCCTTTGTTGACGAAGCACTTGCGGGACACATGGAGCCGACCGCAGGAAGAATCGAGCAGGCGTCATAATGTGATATGTTGTTTTGTTGTGGTTTTGCCAAAATGAAAATCGAACTCAAATTAAGCTACCAGGACGCCTCGCGGTATACAACGGAAAGCACGACGAGCATACAGAACAAATTGTGCTGGAGGGGACGACACACAAAGCATTTAAATCTTCCACCTAAGAAGGAATAAGTGCCGGGCCATCTGATTGCTTCAACAGCCAGCCCCGTCGTGGCCTCACTCTCACTCTGGCATGCCGTTGCCATTGCATGCGTAAACGCCCCAAAGCAAGCAACCAAGTCTTGGAGCTTGATGCAGTCCAAGATAGAGCTACTGTTCTGCGGGGAATGACCAGCATCCGGGTTTCCGCAAACGGAAATGCCGTTTGGGGACAGGAGCCACTGAACATCCACCTTTGTGTCTGACCAAGCTGAAGAGTGCTTGCCAATGGCTTCTAAGCGACGTTGAAGGCTGGATTCGGGGAATTGGCTACCCGATGACAGAGCGAGATGACACTGGGCTTGAGAGAGCTGTTTGTCATGTAACAGGGCAGCTGTAGCTCGAGCAGGATTGCGCGCTGCATCTGCATCATTGTTGTGTGCGAGTCATGTTGTGGGAGGCCAAGAGAGCGAAGCGAGCCAGTCAAGGGACGTCGTCTATCTTGACATTCCCCGCATTATTCGCGTGTGGCCTGTAGGTATGTTCTGCCTTATCCTTCCAACTGCGCGTTCCACGGCAGCACCCAATTTACCAATATCGACTTCTCTTATCAATGACCATCACGTGCGTTCAAGCCCTCTCTACCTGCTATTCGCTTCAACCCAGCGTAGCAGTATAATGCTTGAAGTGTGTATGTCTACTATATGCACTGGCCAGAAGTCCCCCGCATCCATTTTCCCTATCTAGCTACACCAAAATTTGTCATATCTGGAAGGTGAGGCGTCGGTACGCCCCGTAGCTGCTAATATTGAATGACATCAGTGGTACCAAATGGAAACAATGGAGTGTGTCCAGGAGAAGATTAGGATGCAGGTTGTTAAAGGAGTTTGTATGGGTCGAATCTTAGAATCTAGATAGCAGGTATTCCAACACTTCAACTATGTCTGATAGATTTCATCCACTAAATTGTGTATCTTAATTCAGGTCTGTATGACCTAGCGCACCCTCCCATCCCTTCACCTTACCTCGCTCCCATGCTTTCAGTGTATCTCGAAGTTGCCTTTCAACGCCAGGCTCATGCCAAAAATGCCCCGCACCAGCAACCTCCACGAATGAGAATTTCGTGCCTAGAACTACGCACAGTTTCTTAGTCCATTGCTGGACTTTCTTCGCTGACGCGAATCCATCTTGATCTCCATAGATAGCCAAAGTGGGATTATGGACTAGCGTTTCGTGATGGCTCCCCAGGGTCCCATTCCAGAACTTATGACCTAGCCCCGTGGCTGCTAGAGTCGACAATGGCGGCACAAGGGGAGAGATTAGCAGATATCGTGCATCGGGCACTTCAATCTCCAGTCGGCCCTGCTTTACCTTAGGATCATCAGGCGGGGTTTGAGGTCGTATCAGTCGCCGATGACTCAAACTCCGCATCCTCCGCCCTAAATCCAGACTTCGACTTCCTTCCATGCTCCGTCGGATTTCTCGACTGCTTCTCCTGACATCCGGACTTGTTTCCTCACCACCGATTGTCACGGAGAGCTTGTTTTCGTGGCCTTTGCCCTTTTGGGGGCTGTTCTGTCGCAAGCGGTCCCGGGCGAGGTTTATCCACTCTTGGTTACTCTGGTCCGCCAATTTACGTGCACGAAGGAGTATTTCGGATGTGGCGGTGCCGTCGAGAGGCATGGAGAAAGACTGTAGGAGAGGGAGAATGGGTGGGAGATGCCTGAGGATTAGGGATCCGTAGGAGTAGCCGCCTAATATCACTAAGGGCTTTTCCTTCGTTGATGTTCTCGACAGGCCACCCTGATTCTGTGATGGTGGAGATATTGGAGATTGATCTGGCATGAAATTCGCGTCTGATGAGGGGAATAGATTTAGGTAGGAGAGGTAGTGTATAAAAAATGCCGCAAAGGAAATGTAGTCGTTCAGCTCAGGCTTCCCAGTCCAGGATGTGCGACCTTTGGAGCCATGGGCCCCTCTACCACGCGTCAATGACTCCTCGAAATTCTTGCATATAGTGAAGTGTGCATACCTGAAGTTGAAAGTCCCTACAAAATATCCTAGCGAGAGGGATTCTTCAACGACGATGCCCACAACACGATCATCGTAGCTTCCCCCCATCGGCGCGTAAGGATGTGCCATTACAATTCCTTTTGTCCTCCATGGTCTTGAGTCCTCGGACCCTTTAATCTGCGGGTTCGATACATCTTCTGGATGATATATGCGGCAATCAAGTGTGGTATCGTCGTGGATGGAAGGGATGGTGAAGCTAAGGTGGGGTTCGGGTGGGCGGTGCATCGTTCGTCAGGGTCGCTAGAAGACCCCGCGTGCAACTTTCATCGCATTTTGAGGAGGAATTTTTTGCCCAATGTCCCGATCATGGACCGAAGATGTTGTTTATCGGGGGCGGAAGTTGGTGATTGTGTTAAGGAACTCGTGAGTAGCTTGTAATCAATAACTTGACTAGGATTAGGTGTATTATGTAAGCAAGACGCGCTTCATTCAACATCACGAGATAGCGAGGACAATATGTTGGAGTCAATATCATCATTGTCCAATACTAGGAACAGTCAGTCTATTGCCGAACAGGAACATCCAATCCGTCTACCCAAGGATGCCAAAATGCCTAGGGGGTAACCCTTTGGAATACGTTAATCCGTGTCGGTATCCTGATGCGATATCATAAGCTCCGGATCGGGGTCCTCGTCATCTGTATCGAAGAATTTCGGCTTTAGCGGTATTGAGGGCTTCGGCGACCGACCAATCCGTATGGCAGACAAGGACCCTTCATCCTCACTCTCTGTATTCGAGCTCTCAGTATCAATTAAATCATTTGAAACCTTGGCCTTCCCCTTCACTTTCATACTCAATCCTAGCACTTCTTGCAAGATTTCCTGACCCTGCTTGAAAGCCTCCAGTTCGGCACCAATAGCACAGACGAGCAGGTTCCAGTTCCTAGAGGTAGCAAGGTCCATCTTTTCTTCCAGGAAACTTATTGCCGTCTCCATTTGAGAAAGTAAATTCGAAGGGTCTGCGCCACTGTTTCGTCCCGCCTGTTGCATGTGGTTCTGAAGCTTCGCCTCGAAATCCACTACCCTCTTGACCACGTTATTCCACAGCACCGCACCTTCATCCAAAGCAGCGCGATCAATATCCACCTCTTGACATTTCTCTGCCAGCCGCGAGTGTTCGTCTTTCCAGTAGTCATGCGCCATTTCGAGTGTGCGTCGTTTCGGGGGGAGAGAGAGGAACGGAGACGGAGAAAGTGAGATATGGTCGGTATCTGGCGGTCGTGCGAGAAAAGAAGCAATCTCCTTGTCGAGGATTGATAGCGAGGCTTTGTAAGATGAAAGTTTTGCTTCCATGGAGTTCTCGCTATCCGCAAGCTCATCAAGCATTCGACGATGGCGTGCCTTCAGTGCCCACAGTTCTTCCTCCTTCTGGCGTATCTCCTGTTCCAGTTTTGATGCATCTTCCTGTAAAGCCTTTGCTCGTGCGCCAGTGCCTTCTCCCCCAATGTCCGAGATCCTCTTCTCCAAGCGAGAGCGCTTGTGTGTCCAAATATCCGTCTTCTCCCAAATAGCTTGCAGGTCCCTCAGATCTTGATCCAGCATGTCCATCTCTTCAGCTTTGACGGCTGCCAGTTGCTGTATCCGCCTGAAAATGCCCCTTCTGGCGGCATTCAGTCCAATCTTCCTCTTTCGTGGATGAGGTCCGTATTCGCCGTTCTCTGCACTTCTATCATTCCCTCTAATACTGCTGACTGTCGGTGTGGTGCTTCCATTGGAGAAACTTTCATCTTGCGAGTTGTCGTTACCTGCGAGGCCGCTCATCAACCCATCTGCTTGTGCGTCGAGTAGTTCTTGGAGTTGTTGTTCGAGATGACGAGCTTTCCGTTGCAGGGCCAAAAGATCGTCGGGGACCCTCGGGGGTGGGGAAATAGAAGGCGGAGCGCTCCGCAGCACCGTCGAAGCTATCGGTGGAGGTATCCGCGGGGACATAGGTGGAGAGTTGTAGAGCGGGAGCTCATGATCGCGTGCATACGGATCTTCGAAGGAATTGCGGAACTTAGGAGAGAGAGAGCCAAGTACTGAGTTGAACAGCGACATAGGTGCGACTAGAGAGTTAGGAATGAAGGTGAACAGGGAGACAAGAGCTTAGAAGCTCCGTCCTGGTGAGATGTCCAGGTGAGCTCTGAGCAAGGCTGATACCTAAAGGCGAATCAAGCCGCTCGGAGGCTCTTAGTCAGCTGCCCTAACTTTCATGTGCTTGGGACTGTGCCGAATGACACTCTCTGGGCTGCTGCGTGACATTGGAAAAGCCTTCGACCACGAAAGATTGAGCATGAGGCTATGGGTTTATACACTGATGTCATTTCTCGCAAGTAAAAGAGATGATTGCGTTAAATTGTCTGGTAATTGCAAAGTTGAGTTGATTGATGGACCGATGACTAAGGCAAGCCCTCGCTTAGTGGAGAAACTCTTGGCATCCCACCTCCACGCCGAAATTCGACTTCACGACTTCGAAAGTTGCGCATCCGTGACGACGACAGCTAACCCTCCAACAGCACCATGTAAGTGCCATTAATCACTCATTGTAGCCTACTCTATTGAGCGCGTCTAACATAGCAAATTTACAGCAGTCACCAATCTCTCTCAATACACAACATGGCTGACGCTCCCCGTGGCGGAGGTGGAGGATTTGGTTCTCGTGGCGACAGAGGAGGAGATCGAGGCCGAGGACGAGGCCGTGGACGAGGCCGTCGTGGTGGAAAGACTGAGGCTCGTCTTCTTTGCGACCCGCGATATTGGACCAAATTTTAACAATGGCATAGGAAAAGGAATGGCAACCCGTCACGAAGCTCGGCCGTCTCGTGAAAGCTGGCAAGATCAAGAGTATGGAGGAGATGTTCGTACTCGAAAACTCCGAAATTAATTTACATACTGACGTGCAGCAGCTACCTCCACTCTCTGCCCATCAAGGAATACCAGATCGTCGATTTCTTCCTGCCCAAACTTAAGGACGAGGTCATGAAGGTACGATGCACTCCGAGGTGATGATGGCAAGGGAAATAAGCAGCGAGGAGTCTGAATAACTTCGATAATACGACTAACCACCATTGGTACACAGATCAAGCCCGTGCAGAAGCAGACTCGTGCCGGTCAGCGTACTCGGTTCAAGGCCATCGTCGTAATTGGAGACTCTGAGGGGCACATTGGTCTCGGTATCAAGACCTCCAAGGAAGTTGCTACCGCCATCCGTGCCGCCATCATCATTGCCAAGCTCAGCGTTGTGCCGATTCGACGGGGATACTGGGGTACCAACCTCGGCGAGCCTCACTCTCTGCCCACGAAAGAAAGCGGAAAATGCGGTTCCGTTACTGTCAGGCTGATTCCTGCTCCCCGCGGTACTGGATTGGTCGCTTCGCCCGCCGTGAAGCGTCTCTTGCAGGTATGTACAGCTCAATTGGATGTCATGTGACTATGCTAAGTCTTGACAGCTCGCTGGTGTGCAAGACATCTACACTGCATCTTCCGGCTCCACTAAGACTCTCGAGAACACACTCAAGGCCACTTTTGTTGCCGTCGCCAATACCTACGGCTTCCTAACGCCCAATCTCTGGAAGGAGACGAAGCTCATCCGCAGCCCACTAGAGGAGTATAGTGACGTTCTACGAGAGGGCAAGAAGTATTAGAGTATGAGGCGCGGCAGAGAGATATAGGTCTTTTTACTAGCATTCCCGGGGTCCTTAATGGCGTGGAGTAGTGCATTTGGAGCCCTTCTTTCCGTCTATCTGTGGCAGGACCTGGGTCACCCAGTAAGGAAAATGACAATTCATTATGAATCTTTCTTTGACGATGCGTGATATATCTCAGTTTGAGGAAACAGAGCTCCATGAAGTAGCTGATTTCATATCCGTTGTCGTGTGCTTCTGGTTTGTTGCTATGGCGGTGTCTATCCAAACAACGCTCTCTTAACCTTGAAGCCCTCCACTTTACCCCATAAGAGGCCAATTTGGCGACGACATCGCCCTAGAAAGCAGCTATCAGAGTAAGATTCCCCGAATACCGCTCCTCGAAGCTCTCAAGTGACTTCCCCATGCTTGAAAGCGTCCAGCCTTAGATATTAAGCTCTAAGCTAGCTACCTGGAAAGATAATATTTCCTGTCCACAGTGGTCATGTCTAAGAAGAATGGTACACAGACAGCGAAGAAGAAGAATAAGCCAACGTCACTCTAGCCATGAAGCTTTTAACTACCTCGCGCGAGCTCATCTCGTGCGACTGAAGACGGTGAGCAAAGAACTAGGTGGAGAATTTAGCACAGATCGGGTGGAGAGTGTGAAAGAGTGAAGACGGAATAATAATGGTGTAAGGAATAAGGGGTCATAGGGGTTTGGAGGATAGGGAAGATGGGTGGGTTGGGCCGGTGTGGTGTTGGTGCTACTGTTTATGGGTTGGCGAACAGGGTGGCATATTTACGGTATTCTGGCGCTTGTTCTCTGCGATCACATACCCTCTTAGCTCTCCTGCTGATTTCACAACCTGTCTCGACTCAGGAACACGTAGGGATCAAAGTATCCTAGAATTACTTAGGGACCTGCAGTACTAGCCAAATAATCCCATTTGACTACATGTGTGAGGCATTGTATTCTTAGAGATACCCTTAACTGCTATTATTCGTACACATTCGTGCAGGTACAGGCAATACCCAGAGGACAACACAAGCTAGAAAAACTGCTCTCATAGACCACCTGGTATCTGTTAATCGCCTACAAATTTTAGCCCCTCAAAGTTCTGGAACCTGTCTGAATGAACCACTGGGCCCTTCTTCTCTGCAATTGGTGACCGTTGAGGAGCTGAAATGACACTCAAAGGCCTACCAGACCATCCTCCATCCCTAATCGACAAGGTGAACTGGATATTGGAGTAGTGGGCTAATAAGTCATTGACCTCGAAAAGAATCCCGTGTGCCACCCTGAAACGCTCTAGGTGGTCCTCAATGCTCATTGGGGGTACGCAGAGGATTGTCCTGTATACAGGCATCAGAGCAGCAGCGAAGCTATTCGGTACCGGTGGCAAAGCCACAGGCGGTGAGGATAGCTGCACCACAACGTTGCTGGGACACTTTGAGCAGCGTCAAGACCCATTGGATCAGCTGCCAAACCCGCCTGTGGAAACACAGGCGAAGATGGGGTTCGATATTTGATAACAGGAGTAGCGGGGTTTCCGGAAGATCGGACAAAGGATTCGGGCCCGGTAGCTTGAGAGTGGGATTGAGCTGGAGCTTCTTCATCGAAATTATAGGGAGTCAATCTACCTGCGTTTCGGTTGTGATTGAATCTCTAGCTCGAATTAGACATTGGAAAGGCAGGGTGCGACACATAATCGCATGCAGAGCCCACTTTAGTGGGGTCGTTCTCGCTATGCTGGTTAAGGATGAGTGAAAGGTGAAGGGAAGAACAGTGAGGATTGGGACTCACTGCGTTGCCCTTCTTTGACCGAGACCCAGCGCCGTAGTTAGTGTTTGCCGTCGACAACTCCCTGAGCTCACCCCAGTGCTGTCGCGGCTTCTTTGGCGGAGGCGGCGCTGTCTACTCTGATTGCCTCGCTTTTGCTTCACCAGCCGCCTCACCGCTGAAAGTAGCGTTGTTTCCCACATGATTAGTCTGATTCTTGCCTTTCCTCTTCGAATTCCTATATGGTTGTATCCTATCTGAGACGGACGGGAAACCCGACATATTGTCATTCTCTGAAGCCGCCACGTGAGGTTTATTTCCCAGTTCCTCACCCGAAGCCTTGCCTTATACTCAAACCAGGTCAGGATGGTGTCTCTTCCTCGAAGAGGCATAAAGAGACCCTGCGTACCTTCGACAGTTGTAGTATATTGGAGGAGAGCAGCATGATCAAGTGCTAGCGGAGCCATCTAGGCAGGGTAGAGCTTCGGCTTCGTCAAAGGCGGCTCCGAGATGGCGTGCAAGCCCCTGACTGGTCGTGGAGAAGACGACGTCACCTCACCTTCTTTCTCAGAGGACGATTGTGGGTAATGGCCCCTATGTCCTGAAATTGAAGGCACAGCTGGTGCTACTTTCATTGGAGGCGCCGCATTGCTCCCCATAGCTCAGTGAGCAGCGTTTCCAACAGGAAGTAGTACGATTGATACTTTTGCTCTACCTACGATCACGTGAGGCAAACAAACGTAACTACATTTTTAACTGTTACGATTCGATTGATGAGGCTTAAAGGTGAGCAGTATACGATTGAGGTAGACTATTTTGAGATGGCACTTGATTTCCTATGTATACCCCCCACGAGCTGCGACTGCGAGAGCGACTGCGAGAGAGCCTTCAGCGGGGGGAAAAGGACAGTTACTTGTGACCGTAATCATCTCTCAGGCTCTACAATTGAAGCTTTGCAACTCCAGAAGAACTGGCTACGTTATAAGGTTGTTTTCAGTGAATTGAATAACCTCGCGTGCCATATCAAGAGTAAGGGGGACCCTGCTACTCTAAAAGCTTTAACAGTTACGTCGTAACTTTTAGTGAAAAGTTGAGAAGTACAAGCAGCTTCAATCGAACCGTAACTCAATCGTATTGACCCCTGCTGTCAGGTGAAGCAAACAAAAGTATATGATAAGTGAGACGTAACTTGTCTAGAAAGCCTGAGTCGAATCGTACTACTTCCTGGTAGAAACGCTGTCAGTGAGTCCCAATCTCAGTCGGAGCTCGATCAACGATAGTAACTAGTTTATTGCTGGAGTTTGAGTGGTTGCCAGCAGATCCAACAGGTATATCTTTCATAACAACTTCCCTGCCAGATACAATAGATAGCAAGGTAGTAGAGACAGTGGGGGTGTTGGCCAAGGTGCTCGGTAGAGCAGTTGGTTGGTGAATTGTGCCTTGTCCTGCCTCATTGCCCTTGATGTTTACCATGAGCTCGCCGAAGGCTAGAATGGGGTATTAGTGTGTGTTCTAGTTCAATTGATAGTGCGATGAAACCTTTAGGTAGCACACTAAAGGTCGGGCTGGGTTTTGGAGAGGAGCTATTCTCACTTCCTCCACTGGTAATGCTGGTTTCAGACGTCGTCAGGGTGTGAAGCTGGTCGCTGTTAGCCATGCTTGCTCTGACCGCAGATGCGCTGAGCAAGTGGCGTTGTAGTGTTGGTGTTGAGATAAAGGAAGTTCAAAGGGGAAGTGAAGGCATGTATTAACTAGCGTGGTGGGTGACTGGAAACAGCAGTAACGGCGGTCGCGCGAGGAGCACCTTTAGAACCGAGCCAGTCGCACCAGACTTCACCCAGAGTTAAAAAAAAAAAGGACCAAAATTGAGAGAAGCAGGCCGCAACGACGCAGCCCGTGGAAATAAAAACTAGTATTGAACTACCCCACCAAAGTGTGAGCAGTCTGCAACTGACCATGTTCACCAGAACAACCTGACATAGTTCGCTGCACATAAGCGCCATGACGCTCATGAAAACCCCACGCTTTCCCTAATACTGAAAGAAGAGTGATCCCTACGTCGATACATGTTAAGGAAACAGGTGGTATAAATATGAATGAACGAACACCTCCTTGTTGCCCTCGCCTGGGCTTCTCCATCCAGGGAGCGGTGTGAGCCAACTAGTAGTATCAAAAGGGCCGTAGTAGCGACAGATAGGAAGCCTTCGAGGAAACAGATGCGAGGGATATAACACGGAAGAAGTGATTACAACCCCAACGTACAGAAGAAGGAGCAATGGTGTAGAAGTGAAGAATTAGAAAAAAAAAATGAGATGGCACTGGGGAATAACCGTCTTACGCCTTAGAAACTCCAGTATATCCAGGCGGACCCCATGATTAGAACCAAAACGCCACCTGAACGCCGTAGCAAAGAACCCGTTCTCGATGACCGCGAAGGTATTGCACTAGGAATCGAACGCTAAACCCCAGAGCATCGTGATGAGAAAGCGGGAAGGTTTTCTAAAATCGCAGGCAAGACTCCCCATTCAAACAAGAAGCGAACTGTAGGCGGTATGATCGTTGAGTGTCGCGGCTGTTATGAGGATATCTGGTCCAAGTTAGGCACGAAGAATGGCAAGCCAATCTCATTCTCCTACCCTTCTCCTTCTGCCACGACTTCCGCCCTCAGGGCGTTGCGCAAGAACTTCGCGCAATTGCGGGTCATCCTTGTCCTTGTCTACGTGGTGTACGCGTACGTGTCTGTCACGTCAACCGTCATCAGCACTGAGGTCACATAATTTGTAAACAAGATCTTGTTGGAGCATCGAACATACCTTTGTAGATTGTCGGGTCGTGGGTATTTGTGTTCGCGGTCGGGGCAAAAAGGACAGACGTAGCCGGGCGAGGCGTGGACAAGACCGTGCCGAATCATCTCATTCTTCCGCTTAAAGCCTTTTCCACCTTCGCCTCGTGAACAGCCAGCGACTGGACAGTAATGCGGTCGACTTTGGGAATGGACGTTTGCATGTGAGCTAGAACGGACAAGATTAGCATTTGTAGCAGTTTTGCGAGGGGCTCAACAGTGCACACTGCAAGGGCATAGGAAAGTGACTTACTTCAAGAGATACTGGGTTTGGAACGGAAGTGCGGTGCAGTTTGGATAGTCACATTTGAATCCCCCCGATCCATGCGGTGGAACATGTTGAATGGGTGGCCCATTTAGTGGTGGTAACGTTCTCGACGCTATTGTACCATCTATGCTCATACGGTGCGTCTGGTTTTCAATTGGCGTAGGTTGCGATCTGGGGCTAAGCCCATCGGAACTTTGATAGCTATCATTGGTTGTCGATGCGGATGGCAAAGTGCTACAGTAAGGAGGGCCATTCTCTGACGCCTGCGAAGGCCTGCGAGTGTTGCTGAAGAGTGTGAGATGTTGACCAGATCTTAGAAACGGGTCTCGGGTTGCAATTTCACTATTTGCGCTAATGGGTGATGTTGCGCTCAACGAGGGAAATGCACTTCCCGGCGAACGTGCCGAACTGATGGAGAGTTGTCGCGATATTTGCGTCGGTGATTGGCCTGTGGATGAGATGGATTGTCGGTGAGCGAATCCATTTGCTCTGGACTCGTCTGCCAACTCGGATATGTGCTTGAAGGGGGGTAATGATTGCTTTTGATTGGGTGATGCTCCCGGCCCGTCCCGTGAGGGCGAGTGAGGATTCTGTAATGCCGGCAATTTTTGGCTGGGTGACCCTCTTGACGGTGGTATGGTGAGTTCGCGAAGATTGGGCGACGTCGCTAATGATTCCTCGTGGGGGTAGCCATTCGCATACGATCCCGCCCGGTTCCCAGTCAGGTTTGGCGACGTGGCCTCGAGTTTGGAAGAGCTATTGATAGGTGATTTTGAATCCACTCCATTTGGACCCAACCACCCCCCATTCGTCAATGACCCTGCAATCGTCTTCGGGGCGGAAGCATCTGCACTGAAGGGGCCGCGTGATTCACTGTCGACTTCTACCACAGAGTCGCGGTGGGGAAAAGGCGGGGGAAGCTTGGTTGTCGTGTTCAGCGCCTTCTGCGCGGTGGCCTGGAGGTTGATAGGAGGCGCATTTGACTGTGTCTGTCGAGTTTGTACGGTTTCTGAAGATACTGCCTCTGCAGGCTGGGGTGACTCTTCCATTTCCTCGTCATCCGCCTCCGATCCCGAATCCGAATTCAATGCTCGTTCGCCAACTTGTCGTGCAATATCGGGTCGGTTCGGTTCCATCTCCCGAATGAGTACGACGTCACCTTGACTGGGCCGAGTCTTGCGCCGATTAGGTTTCTTTCGTCTTCGAGAGGAAGGAGGACTGACGTTTTGAGTCGAAATTGATATTTGCTGCGTCACAAAGGGTGGAGGGGACGGAGACGGCGTCGCTTTCGGTCTGACTGGAGTGAGGCCCGGAGATCGTTGGAGAGCGTCGTCTGAATCGTAGTTTTGAGTATTCATCCGTCACGATCGGGAGGCTAGTGAGTGTAGCCTCGTTGAAAGACAGCAGAAGGGCAGGAGTTGTGGGAAGATGACAACTATCTACCCCGCACGATGCCTTAAGATAAGTGAAATAGTGAGCGCAAAGCCAAAGAGTGAAGGGGTGAATATCACTGAAAGATCTGGGGCTGCTAGATATCTGAGGATAGTCAGTATAGCTAGATCTGGAAGCATAGATTGGCAAATTTGAGACGAGGCGAGCGATATTGAAGCAAAGAGACAAATGAGAAGCGGACAGAATTCAGACTGCAGATTTGCGCATCTTGAGATGAAAGTTATTGAAACATTTGAAGAAAACAGTAACACCGATCAAAGCACACAGCGCGTGACAGGGAGCGATTCCAGTGCAAGCCCAGACTAACGGGCCAGGCAGGCGGCGGGCATCAACAGAAAATTACATGTGTTTGATTGCTTGGGGAGCTATCTTGAAAGTTGAAGTTGAAAGGGAGAGCAGAAACATGACGGGAGGCGGCATGGAGGGGGGGCGCGGACGCGGCTCTGTGAGCTGGTAACGTACCCGAGGGTGCAACGACTGACTTTCAGCCTCAAGGCGGTGGAGAAAGAGTGCCGATCTTGAGCTTGTGTTGACCAAGGCGCTGGTGAGATGGACGTCTGATCACTGGCATGGGGAAGACGATCTCAGGGGCCGTCTGGCCATGAAGCTTCTGGACAATGCGCTCGAGGCCGACGACGCCCTCGCCTTCGCGTGCTGACGAGGGCTGTTGACACTGACTGGTGGGGGTCTGGTTTGGCTGCCACCTGCGACGCCCGCAGCTATCGCGGGCGCAGAAAGAGGCTGTGCGGTCGACACGAGAGCGGCGTCGTGGAACACGCGCGCAGTTGTGAGAGGTGGGAGGTTGGCGGAGGAAGCAGGAGCATCAGCGAGATGTCGCCGTCTCATGGATGTGGGAGCACATTCACAGAGCGAGAGCTGGAGGCGCAGCCCAGCAAGTAGGCTTACATGAGAGCTTCGAGAGCTCGTAGTTCGCGGCTCCAGTCAGCCTCAAATTCATCGGTCCTTGACGTTCCCCGCTCTGGCTGGGAGCTTGGACACACACTCAGAAAGAGGGAGGCTACTAAGAGGCGAGTGGGCAAGTACCGCGCGAGGAGCAGGCCGTTTTGACCCCGCAGCGTGCATTGCACATTCGCCAGGGTCCGTCGTCCTGCACCCAAACCGGTCGTCGAGATATATTAAATGCCCCGTCTGCATTCCAGCTACCGGTTTGCTATGTACCCGCCCTGTCCGGAAAGTCCCCTTCATCGCTCAACGGCTTTCTTCCTGCCTCGATGCAAAATGCTCGCTCGTATGAAACTGCTAGACAGCCATGCAATGCAACCATTCACCCAGCCATCCATCGCCTGCTGCCTCTGCTGCAAAGTGTTGCTCCTCGTCTTCGGTGCGTCCTCGATGCGTCCTCTCCGCCTATCGTACATCTAGCATGTCAGTCTGGTCGTCTATGTCTCTTCGTCTAGGAAGTGGCCAGCGCAGTGGCGGCCCCGTCTATGTCATGTGCATGCAAGCCCGCAGCGCTCAAAGGAGAATCGTTCCCTCGCCGAACCCCCACCATGTGCGGCTGAGAGAAGGGCGAGTGAACTCCCTCAAAGGCGGTCGGACGCCAAAAGAAAATAATTGGATGATAAACCAGAACCGCGCCAAATGCGAAATCCCATACGAGAATCCATCCAATCCCCATTTACCCACGCTGCACCTCTCCTCTCAGGAATCCCTCCAGGCTCGACGTGTGCAGGAGGACCTCATGCCTGCGGTTTTCCGCCCAAGCCTGCAAGGCCCGGCCACGTCTTGCCCTGCGGCAATTTCGGGCGTCCAAAGTTCTCGTCTAGGTCCAAGATAATCTTGAGTGCGTTTCGGCTGCGTAGGTACGGCAGCGGTGCTTTAGCTTCTGCAAGTCCGACTCCGGGTTCGACGTGACTGCGAGGACCCTCCTCGTCAGCGTGGCCCGGCATAGGGAGGGCCCGCTGCAGCACTTCGTAACCGGCCAGCGTAAAACCAAACTGGGGAGAGGATCGCAAGATACGGGCTGGCCCGCCCTTGAAAAACGCCTTGAATCCTTCCTGTTGGTAGATTGTTTTCGCCGCATGTCGGAGGCCAGTGTAAGTGGCCTCACCCTTCCGCGCTTCGACCTGCAATCTGGTCTTGATGACATCGCACGGCGTCGTGAAGTAGGCCGCCGGCATGCCAGCGATGGCGCCAGCCGTGAGCATCTGCAGCACACCAAGCGACTTAGTCGGACTCTCACCAAAGAAGTCCCTCTTCAAGTGGCTGTAGGTGGGGAAGTAGATGGCCGAGAAAGGGACTAGACGCATTTGTGAGTTGCATCATCTGGGATTATCTTGAAAAAAAAAACATTTAAGCTCACCATCCCGCAAGAGACATGCGCTAGCGCCCTTGTACAAGCCGACGAGACCCAGGTTCCTGATGATCCACATCGCAGAGCGTTTAGGAGTGCCATCGACCGTCTTTGCGACTTCACCCTGGACCTGCAATCTAATCTTGACAATCTCGAGTGGGTTCGTAAAGACCTGCAGCAGTTCGAGGTTACCGTGTGTCCGGCCGAGGCTTTCGGCAAAGCACGAGGATAATACCTACCACTTGACAGCCGCCAGCCGTGCCACCTGCAATAAGTTCCATCGGCCACCAAATCTTGCCTGTCTGCTTATCTGTGAATTTCCCTCTGACCAGATCGTTCACTGTCAGCTTGATGGCTTTCTCCGGCGCAACTCCGACGAGCTGTGGGAGTACCCCAGAGTACAGTCCCCTGAACCCTTCGTTCTTGATGACCTTCCGCGCGCAATCGAGCGAGTTCTTGTACAGCATCTCTCCGACGCGTGAGCTCCTCTGGTTCTGCATTCGTGTCTTCACTAAATCAATGGGGTACACCATAAAGGCACCAAACGCGCCCGCCAAACTTCCCAATGCGAAGTGATGAACGCCCTCCAGGACGTCATAGAGCAATGACTTTGTCGTCGAGAAAGCCTTTTGGCCAGCATCCGCAATCGCGCTGGAACCCAAGGAATACGCCGTGTGCCATGACGGATCCAGCACTCGAGCGAAATCCTTTAGGCCCAACCGTCCTGACGGCTCATCGAGACCGGCAAAGTGAAAGAGGATATCGGCCTCCATGGGGGTATACAGGTTGAATCGGCTGATCCTAGCAGCCTCATTCAGGAAATCAGTACGAGTAATCTTGCCATCTGAACTCTTGTTGGCCGCATTTCGGATGATTAGCTCTACCATATCCATCTGCTGGATCATATTCTGGAAAGCCCGTACGTTGGCGTAGGAAATCTTGCTGCCGGCGGAAATGTTGCAGAGAGTGTGTAGGTTCTCGAGGAGGTGGTCGGACAACTTGTGGCTTGCGGTCTCTAGGATGATGCGCTGAAATTCCTCAGGCTCAATGTATCCGTCCTTGTTCTTGTCGAAATGCAGGAAGGCCTGCCGGACGCGCTCGCCCTGCAATCCGCGAAGCATCTGGGAAAATTGTGGGTAGGTCATGGTGTGACGCTTGTCCTTGGATCCGATGTATAGCGTTGCCCACTCTGAATTCCAGTCGAACGGCAGGCTGTCCTCGCCCTTGTGCGCCTTCCATACATTGTAGAACTCGCTGAAGTCAATGAGGCCGTCACCGTCCCAATCGAAGAGGCGGTAGGTGACTTCGTACTCGGCGTCGGGCTTCGCAAGCAGGTTCTGGAAGTTGCTCCAGTCACGCAGGGTGACGCGGCCCTTCTTCTCGCGATCTGCGACGACGAAGAGGATGCCATACTGGAAGCGCTTGATTTTGTGCTGAAGGGACGGCGTCGTTAGCTCTACCAAGAATCGACACGTTTCAGGAGCGGGTACAGACATAATCTTCGCTCTCGGGCGCGACAGCATCAATGAACTCGTTCTCGCTGAGATAGTATTCGCCACTGGCTTCGTCCTTGAGGGCATGCTTCATAAAGGCGGCCCGCGTCAGTTGCGACATCTGCGGCTCCTCGGAGGTGCCCAGCAACACCTCGCCCACCTGGTCCTTGACGGTGGACATGGCGGAGAGAAGGCGCAAATCAGCGTCGCAACACTCTTGGGCAAGCAATTGGCGTCGAGAGAGGGGCAGAGTGGTATAGGGATGGGCAGCACGGAAGCAATGGGGACAGGCGGTCAGTAGGGAGTGGTGGAGCTCAGGATGCAGAGCTTGGAAATTTTGAGACTATCGATTAGCGCGCTCGGAAATCGGAGACAAGCTGTGGAGCAAGCACGGGGATGGGGAAGGCGGAGAGGGAGCGCGAGTGTCAACAAACACGATGTAGCTATAGCGCAAAAGTAGGAGGTATCCAGGCTCGGCGAGCAGATGTTGCAGCTGACGGCATGAATTTTTTTTCTGCCGGAATTTGTTCTTTCGTGGTGGTGACTGTGGAAGTATTACCAAACCGCTATTCACCGCCCTATCGCGACCGTCGGTCTCCTCCGGTAAAAGTTCCTGCATGTGACTTCGCCACAGGGCCACAGCGTGGGATAAATTGACCATCATTAACAGAGCCGCAGGCCTGGAGAACCATGTGCCGCCAACAAATTGGTGTACCTGTCGGCAGCCATGAGGCTCTGTGCACCTCTTGGGATCGTCGGGGCCATGAAAATGCCCTTCTTTAGAATCTCTTCCTGTCAACCGAAGCAAACCCGTTCCTCCAGCGGAGCACAGCGGAGCACCAGCAACTTCGGATGGTACGACAGGCCATGGCCTCAACCTATCAATCAAACGCCGCAGACGCGGCTCCGCCAACTGGGCCCAGGTGTTTCGAAATACCGCAACGGGCGTTTCCGCGAGGATTTTGGAGGCTAGAGTCTCGAGCAGCGCTGGAGCGAGGCCATTGGTATATAATTCACTCAGTCTTAGTCTCGGGCGGATGGCATCATGACCTGATTGTGCTTGCATAGTGTAGTGAGGATCTAAAGTGGAAAAGCGCAGCCTCACGCCCGCTCATGACACGGGATGTATGCGAAGGAATTTGATGATGGATTAGAAGCCGCTGGACCAAGACATTCTGCGCCCCATCTAACTAATGACATGCGGTAATAATATACAAAAACTACATGGCGAAGTTGAAATCCCATTTTTTTTTTTACACAACCAGCCGCCCAGGCTCAACCTCTAAGATACTTTTCACCCGCTCAAGGAACAGCTGCGCTCTCCTCTCGTCCCCCTTTGGCACACTGACGCTAAACATATTGACGGGCGCGATAACCCTATCCGCTCCGCCGATGAGGGGTGCCTTACCCGTGCGGGCGACAGGCTTCTTCCCAGTAAGGATGTCAACTATATCAACCTTCTTTGTAGTCGGTCTTGATGCACTTAGGGTCGTAGGAGGCAGAGCAGTGACCTGCGGTGTGAATTGACCTCGAGAAAGCCCCTTCCCGGCGACCTTGTTCAGGCCCAGCACAGCATTAAATAGCTCGTCTGCGGAGGGCTTAACAGTTTTTGATCTAGGGAGGTCCTCATTGGCAAGTTCCGTTGCGCGGGCGATGAAATTGGAAATAGGTAAGAACACCCCAATAGATTCCTGCACGCGCTTCTGGCACTCTACCACGGCCTTGAGAGAGACCGGTAGAGCAATGTAAATATCAGGCTCCTCCATGGGAGTAATTGCTGGAGCTGCGACCGCTTTTTCTGCCTTTGATGGTTTCTTCGACGCTGCAAGTTTGATGTTCGAGAGATCCAGTTGAGTCAGTTTCCCTATCCGTTTCGATTGTTCCTCAGCATATGAACCCTCAATGCGACTAACGTAAGCGAGAACATCACCCTTTAACAGTCTGCCACTAGGACCCGTGGCTGGAATTTTGTCCGCTTCCTCCTTTGGCAGACCGTTTTCTCTCAGCAGGTGCTGGACAGATGGGTATAGGGGGTATGTCTGCTTCTGTGCCCTTCCGTCAGAGGGCTTCTTCGGGGTATCTTGGGATGGGGTAGGCTTCGGTGTCGGCACGGCTTCCTGTTTAGCTGGCTCTTTTGGGGCCTCTGGTTTCTTTGTCACCAGTGTGCTGTCCACAGGTAGCTCGAGGGATCTTAGATCATCTCCGGGCTCCGCTGTAACTGCTATTCTGGTGCCAACCTGGACTGCCTTGGAACCGTCTCCTTGCTGCAGGTCTTGTTAATGCTGTGCTCAATAGTTGGAGGACTAACTCTGACGTACAATGATCTTTGCAAGTATGCCGTCGTCTTGCGCCTCCACGTCCATCTGAGCCTTGTCTGTCTCAATCTCCAAAAGAACATCTCCAGCGCTGAAAGAGTCGCCTGAGATCCGTCAGTGACTTCATTCCCGAGTCAGTACTAAGTCCGATGTATTCATACCCTCCTTCACCCTCCAAGCTGCAATGTTTCCCTCGGTCATGGTCGGAGACAGCGCCGGCATATTGAAGTTTTGAGCTGCCTGCGAGGCCGGTGCAGCATGAAAAGCTATCGTGATCCCGTAAGTGTTGATTTGATTCCCGAAGGGGAAGATCTTACCTCTCCGTGTGCCATGGCTTCGAAGCTGGCGAGTGGCAGCTCGCGCCGACAATCTGTATGCCGTAGCAATTGAAGCCATAGAGCAACGATTGACAGGAGAGTCTCGCTGGACAAGCGGGGTGGAAGAGAGCGGCGGACGTCAAGTGTTGAAGAAAGTCCAGCTGTTTGTTGGGCTCGGGCAATCTTCGTGGTCCGAGCGTTGTCGGTCCGGGAGCCGCGCTAGAATCTGAGCAAAAGGTAGATTCTCCCCAGCATAATGCGACAAATCGTTGCAATTGATCTGCTTCCCGCTCGTTAAGCTCTCATACGCGGACATTTCACCTTCCAAAGGTACTGAGAGCCTGAACAGCCGTGAGGAAGGCGTGGCTAATAGCCGTACCAGAATGTCTACCTTCTCTCGGGGTTTCTCGAGCCTCTTGCACCAGCACTCTCTCTGCCTGCCTTCCTCCATTAGGGTCGCCATCTTCTCCACTCGGTCACAAACTCCAACTAGCAATTGTCGCGCACACTTCTCTACCCAAACCTTCTTCCGACAGTATGCAAAACCGACAGGATATCCCACCGTCCCCAAGCGGACCCTCACGCCACCCTCTGGGTCATTCTTAAGCTCTGATCCCGTCCTGCGAGCTGTCGGCGTAAGCGGAGCGCCCATACTTCTATACAGATCACCCCCGCGCCAGTTATATATGCTAGGAGTCTACGCCCTTGCGTGTAGCACGGTCGCTGGAGGGCTTTACCTATGGCGATGGAGATATGATTTACCTAAAGATCTGCCGTTCTTCGTCGGACCTACCTATACTGTGTGCTCTCTCATGTTACTCGGAATTGGTGCATATATTTTCTCGGCGCCAGTGTCGCGCTGCATCTCCATTGAGATCGTTCCTAGTGTACTTGGTCGGCCACCGCAAATGCGAATCAAAGCCCAGCAGGTCCCTTTTTTCATGAGAGAGAGAGTTATTCTTACGAACATAGGCGAGCCATTGATATCCGAAAAGACTCTCCCGGTCGTGCGAGAGCTTCAAGAGGCTGAGCGAGCGAGAAGACAAAATATTTCCGAAGGACTGGAGGATATTTTCATTGCAACCCGCTTTTGGATACTGGTTGAGCGATTCTTCTCGCAAAAGTGGACGTCTTTCTTTCTTCGATTCAAGTTTACGATTCTCCGGTTTGGCAATGTCAAGATAGACGTTCAAGGGCAGAAGTGGAAAATTGACTGTTCGGGGTACCTGTTGGAGGATGGCAAAGGTATGTTCGAGTTTGCTTGTTGGCAAAGTTGGCGCTGACTTCAAAACAAGCTATCGACCGCTTACTGAGCGTAGAGTGAGCCACCCTCACTAATGCCTGGCAACGAGGAGTTGCTTCAAGCCTAAATTCAAAGTGCTGGAAAGGGCTTGGAAATGGTATATAAGTCGACAGTACGTTTGCGTCAATATAACCTATTCAGGGCTTTTCAAGGCAGCACCACGAAACTGCACATAAGGCGAGGAATGTAACATGTACAGAGTACGCTACTGGAACTTTGGGGAGAGCCAGTTCGACAAATTTACGCTCCTGCTTATATTTATGGAGAACCTCAATATATCCACGCTTCTTTTAGTGTCATCTCTAATCTTATACATTCTCGCAAAAAATTGGTATCAATTTGATGCTACACGCGAGCACTCCAATTTGCAAGAAGCATTTCCTGTTGGGCTGAAGGCGGCATAATTAGGAATGCACAGTCCATTGCTAGCATCAATTTTAATAGCTATTATTGCCCACACTGAGCACTCATTAGCAGTTCAGCTTGATCAACATATGAATCATCATCAAGGAATTCAAATAGCACCGAAAACGACAAAGCGTTCGCGGGGAGCTCCGCAGGTGGCCTCATTGCTCAACACCAAATGCGCTTAGTCATCCTGCATATCTTGATTTCGACTTCGTACTCCGCCTCACGTAAGAAAAGCATAGTATGAGCTACCAAAGAACCAAAATGCAGATCAAAATTGAGAGAAAATGCTTTTACGCTGGGTGGAGCCATCTGGGATTCTACAACCCAAGGGCTATCCACTGACCTATACGCCCCTAAGCCATCGGGGAGGCACATAGTAAGAGCAATCGCGCCGACGACATTTTTTGCGAGTTTTTCAAACAAAGCACTGTTCGCTGGGGCGTAGGGCTGAGAGTAACAGTGGAGGTGGAATGGTTTCATGGCACGTGTGTGCACGTGCGTGGCTCTTCCCCACAAAGTCCCATGACGGCAACATGCTTGAAAGTCATTAAGCTTTTGAGCCTCATCTGTTCCTGCAGTCGATCGCCAGCAGCGAGGGCTGTCAAAGATGAAGGTGTTTTGACACCAAAAGGGGGTAGAAGGAGGCCCTGGAGATTCCCAAAAAGTGAGCGGAAACTGTGATTGAGCATCCAAATGAGCGTTTTTCAACTCAAAGGTTCCATAAGAGTGCATTAAGGTGGATAAAATGCAGAATTCGTGGTGACGGTGAATGCATCGCAATGGAGCTTTTTCGTGGCCGATTTCTGGAAGACAACCAATCTGGCGGGCGCTCGGGCCGCCTGCGGGCCTTTTGGTTTTGCGCGACCACAACACCCCGACTCCAAAAGCTGCACCGCATCGCCCACCCACCGCCGTTTCACCCCCCAAGTGTTCGTCTCATTTCACCGATATTCGTGGAGGGGCGTCTGGGCATTGTTTGTGCCGAGTACAGTCGTCCAGATCACCTTCGGTCGCATTCTGTGGCGCGTCACCCTCCTGAGCGCCTTCCACAACGGAGCCGCGACACCACAGCCCCGGGTCACCAAAAGCCCGCACCGCATCACCCTGAGCCCAACTATTGCGGTTGCGGATGCTAATGACACTCTATCTGCTGCCGATGCCATCCTTGTGTTGAGGTCTGATACGAAGCGGTGTAAGTTGCCCTGCGACACTGCGCCCGCACCCCCTAGACTATTCACTGACGGCATGCGTCCATAGACCTGCATTCGCGCTAGAATTCTGTCCCGCCGCATTCACTCTCATGTCTAGCCGCGCCAAGAGGAAGTTAGACACGTTCGACCCCAACGCGTCTGACCCTGAGGACCTCGACTACGACGGTTCTGAACGGGCCCCGCCACAGCGCCATCGCAAGAGGCACCAGTCCTCCAGCGGGAAGAAGAAGTCTTCCAAGAGGCCCCGCCGCCGCTACCGCGGCTCCGACTCTGACGTCGTCGACGACAACGATTCTATCGTGACCGACGATTCTTTCACCGATCGCTCTTCTGAAGAGGACGAAGTCGAGATCAACCCGGCAACCGGCCGAAGCGTGCGACGCGCCGCGAAGAAGGAAATCAAGTACGAGGAACCAAGCAGCGACGAAGACGAGATCGAGGACACCCCTTCAGCGGACGACGAACTGGCAAGTCCACCTCCTAAGCGCAAAGCCAGAGAACGCAAGTCCCTGGTAGTAGTATTGAAGATGCCTGAACATCCATCTGGCCGGTCCTTGCGCGCCCGGACTGGGAGCAAGTCGATCGCGCCACGGGGCAAGACACCGGAAGCCAGCGGTGCTCGTCGCAGCAGCCGCCTCTCGCACGACGTAGAGACGCCCATGGTGCAACTCTCAGACTCCGGAAAGCATGTCAACATCATTCGCCAGGGTACTCGAAGCCCGGAGCCAGTCATCGCCCGAGCGACGAGAGGAGGGAAAGGACCTATAACCCAAAAACATCCTAGTGCCATCATGGAAGCCTCGCAGGAAGCCTCGCAAGTCCGCGACGAAGACAGTCCGGGTCCGTTGGAGGCATTGCTTGGCGCGGACGAGACTCAGGTCGAGGCTAGCCACGAAGCTTCACCGGAGCACGAAGCCCAGGTACAGAAGGATGAAGACGATGAAGACGATGAAATGGAAGGCGTCATCCAGGAATCCCAGCAAGAGCCAGCAGCCGAGGACTCTGATGATGAAGAAGACCCCATCACACGCGGCGGCAGGAACCTGAGGGTGAGTCTTCCTTGATCCTTCGCAAAGAGTGCACTGACCTTTCTCCAGTCTAGAGCGAAATCAGCCAAACGGAAGCGAGGTGCCGATGAAAGCAGCGACTTCGAACCAGCTGCGGAAGATGAGAAGGAAGACGAGATGTCTGCGTCCGACCACGGAAGGAAGGGCAGGCGGTCTACTTCCGAGGACAGTGGCTCGGGCTCGGGTAGAAGGTCTACTCGCATCCGGGCCAAGCATAGGCAGTCTCAGAGAAGTAGGCGAAATTCCGACTATGATGACCAAGACTCAATGTTGGACGCCGCAGAACTAGCAGAGGAAGCTCAAGAGCTCGCCACTACTAAGCGACGTCGTCTGAACAGAAACCTCCCTGATAGCGATCTCGCCTACGACACAGCCCCAAAGCTACGAAATCGTGGACGGAACAATGTTGACTATCGTCTCATTCGCCCGGAACTCAACGAGGTCTTCGAAAATCTTGAAGAAGGCGCACCCGCTGGGAAGTCCCGTTCCAAGGGAGGACGATCCACCTATCGAAGCCTCTTTTCCAACCAAGGCCCCTTTGGAGGTGGCTTGGAAGGCGGTCTGGCAGGACCTAGTGCTGTCGGCGGCATGGAGTCGGACAGCAGCGATGACGAGGTTCAGAAAGTACCACGGGGTATTGGAGGCACCGTTGGTATGACGCCAACCACTGCGACGGCACCTGGTTTCGCTTTCCCACAAGCCCATGGTGCTGACCCCCAGCAAGCAACTGATCGAGGGGGGGGTCCAGCCAACTTTGGGAAGGTGAAAGACAAGAAGGCGCTCGCGGATGCCGATCCCCTCGGTGTTGATCCTACTGTTAACTTCGACGGCGTTGGTGGATTGGACGACCATATCAACAAGCTGAAGGAGATGGTCATGCTTCCTCTCTTGTACCCAGAGGTCTTCCAGCGCTTCCATGTCACACCACCACGAGGCGTTCTATTTCATGGTCCTCCAGGTACCGGTAAGACTCTTCTTGCCCGTGCTCTCGCTTCAAGCGTTAGCTCCCAAGGTCAGAAGGTCACTTTCTACATGCGCAAGGGTGCCGACGCTCTAAGTAAGTGGGTTGGCGAAGCCGAGCGACAACTTCGTCTTCTCTTCGAAGAGGCACGCAAGACTCAACCCAGTATCATCTTCTTTGATGAAATAGATGGCTTGGCACCCGTACGATCGAGCAAACAAGAGCAGATCCACGCTTCTATTGTTGCTACCCTCTTGGCTCTCATGGATGGCATGGACGGCCGTGGTCAGGTCATTGTCATCGGAGCGACCAATCGTCCCGACTCCGTTGATCCAGCTTTGCGACGACCCGGACGATTTGACCGTGAATTCTACTTTCCACTACCGAATGTTATTGGTAGACGAGCCATCATCGACATCCACACAAAAAACTGGGATCCACCACTCAAGTCTGATATGAAGGATTCATTAGCGGAATTGACTAAAGGGTACGGAGGAGCTGATCTTCGAGCACTCTGCACTGAAGCAGCATTGAATGCCGTGCAAGGAACTTACCCTCAGATCTACCAATCGGAGAAAAAGCTCCTCATTGACCCTACCACAATTAAAGTCCTCGCAAAAGACTTCATGGTTTCAGTCAACAAGATGGTCCCCTCCTCTCAGCGGACGGTAACTGCAAGCGCAGCGCCATTAGCAAAGCAAATCGAGCCATTGTTGCGCAAGCCTCTTGCAGATATCCTGAAGCGCATCGATGAGCTAATTCCGCGGAGGAAGAAGCTCACTGCTCTCGAAGAAGCCCAATTTGATGACCGAGAGGATGAGAAAGGGTTCGAGAAGGAAACTACGCTCCGCAACTTCGAGAGCGGTAGAATATTCCGTCCACGACTGTTGATCAATGGCTTGCAAGGAATGGGTCAGCAGTACCTTGGAGCAGCACTGCTCAACAAAATCGAAGGCCTTCACGTACAGTCCTTCGATCTCCCTACTATCCTCGAAGACTCTTCCCGCACACCCGAGTCAGCCATTACTCAGCTCTTCACCGAAGTTCGACGCCACAAACCAAGTGTCATCTACATCCCCAATGTCGATGTTTGGTACCAGACGCTCCCTGGTCCAGCTATCAAGACGTTTAAGCTCCTTTTGCGTAGCATTGGCGCAAACGAACCAATTCTTCTTCTTGGAGTGATGGAGCTGCTTAACGAAAAGGAGAAACCGGATGCGCAAATGATGATGGACTTGTTCTCTTTCTCTAAGAGCAACCAGTACCAACTGAACAGGCCCGACCATGAAGGCCGATCAGAGTTCTTCAACAACATCAGCCAGTACATCCGGATGTCACCGGCGGACTTCCCTGACCCAGACAACCGAAAGAAACGAGTTTTGCCCGAATTGGAAGCTGCGCCACAAACGGCTCCGGTCGTAGATCCAGTGGAAATAGCAGCTCGGGAGCGGCGGCAGAGGAAACAAGATCGAATGACTCTGAACAAGCTCAAGGTCATCATCCAGCCGATCATGGATCAGCTTAAGAAGTCATACCGACGCTTCTTCAAGCCAATTATCGATGAAGCCAACTATGCGTATCTGTTGGATGAGGAAGATCCAAATTACTTCAGAACAGACCTCGCGCCTGAACAGCAGCAAGAGCAAGGGGTCTTCCGGCCGTGGGAACGCTCGAAAGATTCCAAAGGTGTCGATGTACTCATTCATGTCGAATCCGGTAATATCTACTACAATCTCGATCTCACGAACATCGAGAAGCGCCTGTCTAACGGCTACTATAAGCGACCGAAAGACTTCCAGGCTGACATTAGAACTTTGGCCAAGGATGCCAAGATGTACGGCGATCCAGAACGAATGCTCAAAACCAACGAAATGGTGGCCAACGTGGAAGTGGACATCGAGATGATCTCTACAAACAATCCAGGCTTAACAGCCGAGTGCGAGGCTGTGTACGCTCGTGAGCTTGAGAGGGAGCGAAAGGCTAAGGAGAAGCGTGAGAAAGAAGCCGCCGCTGCTGGCAAGGAAGCCCCATCTCATACAGCCAACGTCCCACCGCAGATATCCACCGATATGGAGACGTCAGGTCCCATTATGCTTGGTGAGCCTATTCCTGGTCAAACCAACATACCGCCAGTGACGCCGCACCGAGCGTTTGCGCCGGCAGGTCCACTCTCGAATGGTACCACAACGGAAGAGGGTAGTCACGCTCAACACAGCGAGCAACGAAACGGATCCACCGTACCGTCACGACCTGAGGAAGACACTCATATGACAGACAGTCAAGATCTCGACAAGAACACTCACGGAGAATTTCAAACACCAAGCCGGTTCGGCACACAGACTCAGACCCAAAAGTCTCAAGTATCTGGCCGTACCTTTATGGCGCCAAATTCTCATCCAGGGGAATACCACAACAGTGCATCGACCACGACATCCGGCCAAAAGACCTCAGATCGGTCGTCTGTGGGCAGATTCAATACCCAAAGCACCAATGGCGTCACTCCAGCAGGCGTCCCTGACTTTGGAGAAATGATGCCTCAAGCGGGTGGCTCCCAACTTCCCGACACACAAGGTTCGTCGCCAAGTCTCTTTTTCCAGCGTCAAAAATCTTCGTCATTCCAAGCTAACCTCGCTCGCATTGCAGAGGTGCACTATATCAGCAGCCAACTATCCAACTCTCAACCTTCACAACAATCACCACAGCACTCTATGCCAGCCCCAGCCCCTCCACGCCACACTGCAAACATCGCATCCATCTTGAACGACGAAATTGAGCGTCCCCAACTCATCCTCGACGAATCCCACCTTAACAAACTGCACTCAGACCTCGTGGAGAAAACCTCAGGCCTCTCCCTCGAGCAACTCGAGCAAGTCAATGCAGCGCTCATGGATGCTATCTGGAAGCACCGAGCCGAATACAACCGTAACGTGGTGCTCCAGAAAGTTGCAGATTCCTTCAACGAGATCATCGCGGATATCCAGATGATGCAGATTATTCTCAAGAGCAGCCAGGAGGAACTCCAGGAGAGTGATCCGCAGAGCCAATACCCATATCCCCGGATAGAGGACTGGAGGGGAAGAGAAACAACCCAGCTGGCAGCAGAGTGGAGGTTTGCGAGAGGCGAAATTCAGCAAGTCACGGGGATGGGTGGTGTGAGGGCAACGCCGATTGAACCGAGTCAGTATTCTTGATGGTAAGAAGGGGAGATGTGAAGAATGAATGACAGCCTGGTTTTTCCAAAACGAGCGCATATAGATTTGTTGCTTGCTAGACTTTTACCAATCAATCCAGTATAGTATGGCGGACAAGGCGGATAGGTGGGCGGGCACACCATCACGACCACAGTGGCCATGTCTCTGAATTTGCCTTTTGCTCTCTTTCAAGCTCCTTCCTTTCACCGCTTCTACACCCGACCTCTTAATAGAGAACCAACATGCAGCATTATTCTCCACTTCTCTGTTGGTAGAATGTTTGCGCAATCCTGGAGCATTGTGGCGTTTTTTTTTCTTTCTGGAGGTGGGTTCACGCCCTTCTTGGATTCCCGGCGGGACTGCAGACGGCTAGGCCCGGAATGCAGGGATACAGCATGGTCGGTCTAAGAGTAGATAGGTCAATTCTGTCAATTCTGGATTCCTTTTGATAACCTGATAGTGGGGATTTGAGTGGGGATTTGAATGGGGATTGCTGTGATGCCATGTGATGTGCGTGTGGCAGATATACTCAATTGTCGATAGCTAGGACATGGTTGTAGTGCTGTTTTGTTATTCTACAGTTGCTTCAGACTTGGGCCGCGAATGTTCAAGCTGGGTAAGTACCCTTGCTACAGCCGGGGTTGTTGTTTTATGATTTGAGAGTGGATATACTATGTAAACACTTATGCTTTGAAAAGACCCCTCCCCTGAATCAAAAGAGAGGAGGGGGGTTGAAGAAAATTTTATCTACGTTGCCGTCTTCAATCACTTTCAAGTGTGCTTGTGTTACTTGGAAAAGCTATCCTTCCTTGGCAATCTGATTCTGCCCTTCACATTTTTCAAATCTTCAGGAGCGCTAGCAAGAAAATCGAAATCAGCTCGCTCCTCTCGAGGGGCGAGCTCGTTTGCCTACGCATTGAGTTCGTCCTCTTGTTGTTCCAGTTTCTCTTGCTCGGTCTGGGCATGCCGTTGTGCTTCTATCCAAATGGCCTTTGCTTTGGGCGTAAACTGCCGTTGTCGTCGCGCCAGAGCGTTTTCCTTTTCGCGCTGCTTCAGCAGAAACTCCTGATGCGCCATCTTCCTTCCTCGTGCATTCAGCTGTGCCTCCCGGCGGATAAGTGCTTCGGTCTTAGAAAGCTGGCGTTCACGCTCCACAAGTATATTCTCTTTGGTGGCTAGCTGTCGCTGTTTATCGCCCAACTTCTGGAGGACTGGGGAGGCGGATTTGGGATCTCGGCATTGCGCTCTTCTATATGTTGGCGTCATAGGTTGTGGAGACGGAGATTTGCTGGGGGCCTTAACGTAGACTGGGGAATGCGGGATGGGTAGACCGTTGTGTAAGCGCACATTTAGTTAGAGGATGTTGTCCACAAATGTCCCGCGAAATGATTGAAACGCTTTGGTCCTGTCGTGGGTAGTCGGTCCATACCAATGGACACTTGGACTCTGGATCAAGTTTGTATCCTGCATATGCACCCCAATCATTCATTCGCACATTGATTACTCGAAACGGTTCATCGAAGATGGCCTGTCCCGCAAGGGCAGTTCGAGCCAGGAAGCGGAAGTTTTCTGGGTCCCCTACTGGGCTGAGTCAAACATGTAAACTAGCCTGAATGTTAGCACTCAGTTTTCTTCAAGCGTTCTTGGGGCTGTGTTGACTAACCCTATTACTATGGATCTGTGTCTTCCAGGCTCCTCATTGCTAGTTTGACATGGTTGGGTAAGATTATGCAGGAAACAGTGGATAAGCCGCAATTCAGTCTCCAGGGCATCGTGTTTTAGATGCTTGCTCAGACGAATGTAAACGGATCCATCTTTCAAATACGCCCAAGCTCCGGGGTGTTTGGAGAACCTTTTCTGACTATAAAGGCCCCCGAGGTTGACAAGATTGGCAACCGGGTTTACGATTCTCAATTGTGGTACAATGTATAGGTTACCGAGATTGACAGGATTTCTCGAGTGTCGAAGATATGTCATTGCGCTTCGGGGATATGGGAGGATTCGTGCGTTCGCTCGCGTCTCCAGGTATTAGGTTCGATGGTGGGTTGGCTCACATTCCAGAATACTGAAGAACAGCAGCCATTGCAAAGACTGCAATCCCTCATCCCATATGGCATCGCGCGGGAATGCGAAATACCAGCTACAATACCAGGAAGAGGTCTATCTGAGAAGGGAGTGTCGTTTATCAACATGCGAAATGGAATTCATCACTGAAATACTTACAGGGTTTTTGGTGCCACAAAGGGGTGAATGCTGAAGTGGTTCTGCGAGCTTGGTTGGTCAGAGATCTAAAAGTGAAATTTCCACATGCCCAAATTTGACGCCGATGCACAGACCTACTCCAAAAGAGGATCGACAAACGTCCAGTTGCCCAGCGGCTTCTTAATTTCACCTCACTCCATCATCTCTTCATCTCTTTCTCGCATTTTCGTAATTGATTCTTCATGCAACGACCTCGTATTACTCCGAAAGTGCCAGCAACCCGGCTCAGCAACACGGACGAGGCATCTTACCAGGTTACATCACACGTCTTGGCGGCTCACTCGCACGCGTCGACAGTTCGAGTCGTGAATTGATCGGCGCTGTCACTACATACCACCATTCTCGAGAAAGAGCTTGGTGAAAGTTGAATATGTCAGTGCTTTAGCAAGATCCTTCCGTTCTAGGATAGATGTTGCGATTGAAATTCTGGTCGATAATATGATAATTCTTTGCTATCTTTGTATTGGCGCCTCATGCATTTACTATTCATGCCCTTTTCCAATGCGCCACAAACACCAAGCCACTTTTCTATAGAGTCACTTTGTCCCTCCTCTTCCTCATCACACCTTGTCAAGTCCTGGTTCACTCGTCTCCAAGCTCGTATGGATATGCAAAGACTTCACACTTCGTTCAATCCATGACAAACGCAAGGCGGTATCTGAGGTGTCAGACGAGACGGGAAGTCGTCTAGCAGATATTCTGTTTGAGCAACGAATGGCGGACAGTAGGCTTTAGCTTATGAGCAACCCTTAGCCTACCCTGGCCTCGTGCCAGTAACTCGAGGGCTCGGGAGTGCATTACCGCACATTTTTATGCTATGAGGCGTCGACTTTGTCAACAATACTCTCAATAGCCATCGATCGAGTCGACGGGGTTGTGGGCGTAGGCGGTGCTTTCATGTCCACCTTTTTGACGACAGGCTGCGGCTGCGGTTCAGGCAGAGACATCTCCACGTCCCCCTTTTCACTATCTCCCTCCATCTCCTCCCCTACGACTTCCTCAACTTCTCGTAACCAGTTCGCCTTTAGTACTTCCATGGGTGGGTCGAGGTCCCCCGGTTTTCCCCCTCTTCGAGCTTCAGCCGCAGTCATCTTTCTTTCGCCACGCTTATGAGGATGAAAGTGCATCCGCCGCAGATGGCTTGCGGCGTTGTAACACTCGTTATACCTCTTGCCGGTCTGGCAGGCTTTGCAGTTTGCAAGAAAGCTTTTGTCTGGGGATGTGTCGATGGTCATCCAGACTTTACGCGTCTTTCTGTGGATACGGTTGGTATGTCGGCGTAGTTCATGTTCACTGCGGAAGCCCTCGGGATAGTCATTACAAGACGGGCACTTAAGGCGAAGTACTCTTCGCGGCGGCGTCTTTCCCGGTGCTTGAAAGGTCGGAGATGTTGTGGGCGTCTCAATCGGTGGAGCAGTCACAACAGTTTCCTTTGGCGGCGACGGCTCGACCAGGTTGCTGGTTTGCGTGCCTGCAGACGTGCCAGTGGGCGGTTCCAGTTTCATTTTGGCCTTGGATCTTGTTGGGGGCATTGAACTTGATATTCGAGAAGGCTGTTGACGCGTCCTCAGCCCAGCCGGATTGCAACGGAAGTTCTTTTTCTGATATGGTGGGGCGACTATAATGGCTCTAAGGGATGTTCAGTGGTCGAATGGCGATGCAAAGAGTGAAGTGGAATTGGGAATGTGGACAGAGCGATTGATCCTTCCGGAGCGTTTCGTCTGTCGATCTGGGACAGCGGGGGCTGGGCTTGCCAAAATACCTTCTGCCTGGCATCCCGACGTTCGCTGGGGAGGGTCGACGGTTGCGCACGAGGCTGAGTTCAGCCCGGCGTCAGCCTCGCTTTGGCCATCTGAGTGGGCGATTTGGCCTGCAGCCACCACCTGAAGCGGCCAGCTCAGGCCAGCTGACTGCTCATTGGGTCCTCAGCCTCAGCCTGAAGGACGACTTTCAAGGCCTCGCCAATCACGCTGCACAACACGCACAGCTGGGGAGCCCCTTTGCCAGTTTGGTTTGATAATAAAAAAGAAACGAGTGTCCCGCACAACCCTGTGTCGGATCATTCCGCGCGGCAGGACGAGCAAGTCAAAGAGAGACTTGTGCTGGTTGCGGCATGGCGACATGCTGTGATCGCTGCTTGGTCATGATCTTACTATTTCCAGACTTCACTCGTCGTCCAATTTTGCGAGGTACGAAACGCGACTCGGCCCTCACCCTCCTCCCTCGGCGTCGTGATCCAGTGGTGTCTTCGACAAGCTTGTTTCCCTTAAAAACAGACCAGCATGCGCGACATCAGCACTGTTTTTGCTTCTCTACTTTGTTTCCTTCTTCAGCCTCGCGACCCTGCTGCCGGAACCATCCGCACCTGGGCGGCCACCTCGCTATTCCAAGCCTTGCCCTGTCCACGGCCAAATCAGCGAGCCGTGAAAAGCATGTTTTATTTACGACGCTCGCCGACGGCTAGCCAATTGTTCCCTGCCGATGCCGTCCAGCCCTCCCTGGCCCGAGCCCGGAACCAGCACCTGATGGCACCAACTCACCAGATGTGAGCCACCTCCCGACCATGATGCTTTAATTAACCACTGTGTCTCAACCTCAAACACTTCTCGTGATCAAACAAGTAGCTCTCTCAAATCCAAGACTTGTTGGGAAGCTCGCTGGAAACACCTCCGTATGGTTGAGCAAATGCTTGGCTCTGCCGTCTGATACGGCAGAGGGAGTAAGATCGGCTGCTCCCTTCCCCGAGGCTGACGAACCGCTGTCATCAAATCGTGTCCAGCCTCGTAATAGAGAGCATTGTCTTGACAAATTTGGCTGTGAGGCGTCATGAGGCATCTTCATGCTTGTCACTGCCATCACGAATCCTCCCCGAGCTCTAATTATCTGAATCTGTTTCCAGCCTCGTATACCTATTCACCATAAAACCTAATCGTCTCCTATTATCACACGATATCACGATGTCTCTCCTACCAGCCCAGCGAACCTAGTGTGACATCCATGGATGCTCTCAGCACACTCCTCAAGCCCTTTTCCCAGTTATAGCAATATTTCGACAGGTATACCAACAGCCCGGATAACGTGCTTACTCAATCGTAAGCCTTGCTTTCAAACAGTGTTGAAAAAATACCGCGCGTTTCAAGTCTATCTTCCATCTTCAACCTCAATTGTTTTGCACGCTTTTACCCGTTTTCCAATAATGTTAAAGGGGCTTTGATTGGGAGCGTTCGCACCCTCCACAAGTTACTCGGTCTTACTTTCTTGTTGCCAGTGGACATGCTAAGACCTGAATGGCTTTAAGGGACCACTCAGCGCACCTCTGCATGATGTGGCACAGAAACACCAGCTGAGCTGCTTCAGGTCGCGCTAGAAAGACATCGAACGAAGAATTGAGAGGAAGCGGTTCTCACATTTGCTCAGTCAGCTGAAAGAGAGATACATGGACACAGCATGTATTGTTTTTTGCACAAGGAGACTCAGTAAGTTAATCAGATCCTTTGTGGCTTTTTGAATAATGAAATCAATAATACTGCAGAGAATGTATCGATTAAGCTTCTGAGAACCCTTCTATGCGCCTATGTCCCCAAATATCGTGCCTCTACCTCATCTGCTATGAACAGGACTCGGTTCTACATTTGGGATGCTTGATGGATGTACCCTCTACATGAAACTTGCCTGCAGCTCCCATGCTGAGCTTACTCTGTCGCAGGATGCTACTACCGGTTGGCAACGCCTGGGCAAAAGACCAATTGTATAAGCAGGATACACTTGGACCCCACACATGTACGCGCCTTGCCAACGCCAACGACAGAGACACCCATAGCTACCAACATTAGGACGTCAAATATGCCCTCATATGTCGCCCCATGTGTCGAATCCTCCTCCTGCAATGATCAGGTGGTACTGCAGATATTGGTTCGCATCCAAGCTCAGTTTCACGGTTAGAATCGGAATAGTGTGGCCCCCAAGGAAGATAATCGTGAACGCCGCGTAGCGTAGTTTTGCCCCTGCTCGTGGCCTTTGGTGATCCTTTGTGCGACCTTGAGGGAGACGTCTCAAGGCTCACGTCTCTTTAAGGCGTACTTAGACGCAGACTGTCAGCCGTGTGCTATATACATTCCAGAACGAGGTTGCGATATCGTCAATGTGATTTGCGCACAGCATTCCAGTGTCCATTTAATCGTAGCTAATACATTATGAGGCGTTGACTTTTCGGCCTAGATTCTAAAGAACTTCCCTAGGTGGGTAGTTTCTGGCGAAGGGTTGGCGAAGGGTCGGCGAACGTTTCTTCGTGAATGTCATTCTTCTCCACCGAAATCTATTATGTGCAGCTACTTCATGTGGAAATCTGAACTGTCATACACTAATTTTAGTGCTTTCCTCTTCTTACGGTGTTTGCTTCTCCCCCTCTCCAGTACTGGGGTGGCATTTTACCTTCACTCACATCAACACATTCAATCTCTCTCCCTGTTTCCGCGAGTCGAATCTTACGCCATCGCTGCCGTGCAAATCTCTGCTAGGTCAAAAAATATATGCTTTCGCTCCTGCTTAGTTCTATGTGGTGCCTTCCTTGACCACAGGGACTCCTTCCACGAGCCCGGTCCCCCATGTTTCGGCCCACCTACAATGGCACAATATCGGTATTGATCATTAAGTTTTTCACTCTGCCCACCTAGTTACAAACTTAGCTCACTATTTCCACCGCTTCAGTTCTTCCCCCTAGCCTCCATGTTTCTTAGACAACCACGCTCTTTAATTGCATCCGGATAATCCATTGACCCTCTGTTACCCTCTAACCATGCGAATTAGCTTTCCCTTCTTCACCCTGGCCGGACTGGCTGGTGCCGCCAACACCTTTGGTTACTGGCATCCCCCTGTTCAAGGTGATGTTCGCTCTCCTTGCCCAGCTCTCAGTTCTTTAGCAAACCACAATATCATCCCCCATAATGGCAAGAGTCTCTCTGTTCCGCTGTTGGTCAATGCAATGGTGATTTCCCTCAATTTTGGCGAGGATTTGGCTACATTTCTCGCACTCGCTGGCCTGAAGACCTCCTCAAACCCAGCCAGCACGATCTTCAACCTTGATGATCTCAACAAGCACAGCCTCATTGAACATGACGCCTCTCTCTCCCGCGCGGATTTCAACCTCGGCGGCGACAGCCACACATTCAGCCAGGAAATCTTCGATGAGACTCTCAGCTACTTCGGGGCCCTTGAGGAGATTTCCATCGCGGACGCGGGAGCTGCTCGGTGGGGTCGGGTCCTGACTGAGCAAAAGAGGGATCCGAAATTCAATTACACGGCTCAGGCTCGATTTCTCAGCTACGCCGAGTCCGCCGTCTACTTCCGAGTCCTAAACAACCCGAAGACGGGCAGGACTCCTGTAGATTTCATCAAGATCTTGTTCGGTAAGTGTATACACTATCAATACCCATGGTCTACTTCTAGCTAACCTGTCTCTGCTAGAGCAAGAGCGATTCCCTGCCAAAGAGGGTTGGGTGACACCGGCCTCGCCTATCGGCAGTTTCACCGTTGCCGCGGACATCCTGGCACTCGCATTGGCCACTTCGGAGAAGTCAGGTACTTCCTTCAACGAGACAGATTTCCATGGATACAAGGTCTAGGACATCTTCCCCGAAAGATAGATGAGATTCAATTGATTAGAAGGGCGGTACTAATTGCCCTAAGCAGTAATACTGACTAGACGTTATAATCTAGAGACCGAAGAACCTAGAAATGTGCTTCATTCACCTCTTCATATCTGGAGGCACCAAACCCATGTAAATCCTTCTAGGTCATAGAGTAATGAGTATTAGAGCCTTCTACACAAAGCCTGAACAGGTCTGCCTTTCTCCTTCATCGGTGTAGCGACTCTGAAGAGGAGTCCCTTCTCTAATTCCCTTTGTATCAACCTCTGCTACTCAAGCGATGGATTGGATGGGTGAGAATGAAGGCGCCTCAAGCGCGGTTCATCAATCCGTGGGGAGAAGCCGCTAATTCCAATTCAGTTAACCGATTTTACTTGTTCAAACTCCACTTGAGGTCATTCCCACCCCTCGCATCACCCTGTGTGCGCAACAAGACCTCTCACTGCAACAGAGCTGTATACAAGATTAACACGCTCCAGGGTGGTTTTCTGAGATGGAAAGATCGACCTCAGCGTTCTACTCTTGATATCACTCTGCTCCGCTTCGCTTATCCCAAATGAGTGCTCTATAAAATATCCGTGTCCAGTGTTAACACCAAGGATGAAGAGCCAATTTATCGCACCCTTTCTTTTACCTCCTCAGCCTGCCCACTTGTTGGTTGTGAGGGCCGTCGAATTCCTCTTTGCTCCATTCCTACATCGATAATAGTGGTCAACCATATGATATTTACCCAACGTCCAAGAGAGCGGAAATGTGGTCTGATACATCGACCAACTCAAAGTCCCAGCCTCAGGATGCTCACCCCCCGCCAGCCCAAAGCTCTGGAGACAGGCGCAATTGCACGTAAAATAAGGTCTCAACGAAATCACGCCCGGTATCTACCAGATCCCCGTGCTAGATATTTCACGCATGATGATATTGAGGGAAAGAGGGCAATGTTGTTGTTGACCCTTTGATGATGTGTGAATGTGCGGCAGCAGCGTTGGGGATTTACTAGAGACATCAGAATCTGGAGAAGCAAAAGCGTGTAACGGGGGTTATTTACTCCCATTCCTACGTGGATCATTATATGGGCGCTAGAGGCTTCCTTTCTTCTGGAAAGGAGAAAGTTCCCACGATCCCCATCATCGCTCCTGATGGATTCACCAAAGTCACTATGAACGAGAACGTCACCCCAGGCCCGGCTCTGCGCCAAAGAGCGAATTTCAGGTATGGAAAGGCGCTGGCAAAAGGTCCGGAAGGCCAAATTGGAATTGGACTTGGCATGGGAACAAGTGTTAGGAAAGGATCATTGACTCCTATAAATAAGTTGGTTAAGAGGACCGAGGAGGCACATGTTGCTGGTGGGGTTAAGATTGCGTTTCAGGTGGTACCTGAGACTGAAGCGCCTGCGCAAAAGATTTTTTGGTTTCTGGACTTTAGGGCTTTGTGTGTTCCCGAGACGGCTGAGAGTTGTATGCACAGTATCTTATACCTTCATTTTCTGACGCTGTCTCTTAAAGAAAACGCGTAGCTTGCGCCATTACTGACACATCTACAGGTGGCGCTTCGAGCTGTGTTAACGAATTTGGAGTTGTTGCGGGTGTTGAGAGGGGAGGAAGGAGTGTCCTCGCTACTGCCCTTCAACCTTCAATCGAGTGTGCAGCTCACTACCATATCGTTTTCGGCCAATTCGAATCCACATTGTAGATCAGACGTATTAGCTTTAGCAGATGTCTGGTGAAGGGCGATGGTGGTTGCTCTATCGGTAAGCGACTGCGGACATCTGCGAGTAAATGAGACAGATCTCGGTGATGGACTGGGTACGAGCAATCATATTTCTACTCATACGGTTCTAGGATTACGGGGGACAAACCCAAGGTCGTTTAAAGCCTTGAAATCTCAATTGACCGTCTCAGTTCTCTAAAGGTGCGTAGGCACTAACGATTGCTTGATTTTGAGGTAGGGTAGCGATTGCACAACTGCCATCAGTTTAGCACTAGCTTCGTATTGGTTAATGAGGTATGTTGCTTCGAGATCCGCCACAAACTGAACCAGATCGCGCAATTCTTGCGTCGCATTGTCCCATTCCGGATTGGCTAGCTGCGGCGCCTGACAAGCTTTAGTGTGCTCGCCGAAGTGTTCATGGTTTTGCTTCCACTGATTGATGAATTGAAGTCGCTTTTGCAGGATTCTTTCCGAGATATTAGATTTAAGTGCGCAGATTCGGCAAGTGTAGTTAAAGCCACAAGGTTTCCAGAATGCCTCCTTTCCCTTCAGAGTTTCTGGCCAGATGGGTTTGTAACTCAAGGTAATCTCTTCTCCAGGCTCGATATTGCGGACAGCGTGGAGATCAAAATTATCTCCCATAAAATACACCTTTGAATTTGGAATACCGGTGTGATTGACATATGGACAGCAATTCCAAAGTCCCTGGATGCTGGTCATCTCCATAGATCTACTAGAAGGCTTGTAGGGCGTTAAATTGCATTGGAAAGAATTGAAATCGTGGATCCTATGAATGTGAAATCTAAGAACGTAAATTGTAAACGTTGTACAAACCCCAAAATACGAATCCAGTATGGCCTGCCCATCTACCATTGTACATCCGTAACTACCAGATGGCAAAACACTGTCGTAGAGGCTGAGCATGCTGTCGCGTTTTATTGTATTGTGGCTTTCCTAATCAATAGCCTCCGAACATGGGAGCGAAAGAAATCTCTCAAAGACATTATCTCCACCTCGATTCACCATATGAGGGTAATTCTTCTCTTTTCCTTTAGTCGTGAATGCAAGTGCTTTTCATACATAATAAGGGTGTCTGCGAGAGAATTTACGTGTCGCTAAGTGTCCCCGTCCTGCTATCTCTGTTTCCTTGACTTGGGTACATTTCGTGAAAGACCCTAGGCCAGTCGTGAAGCATTCACTTCAGATGCCCACTAACGGTCGCGATTGAGTAGGAAAATGGCGCCTGATCCATGGTCAACCTAGATGCTGTACTCGGTAGCAAGTTATATCCAAGACTTTTTGGTGGTGACGTATTCCTTGGGGAAAGCGACTTTGAATGCACGGTTTCCTGGGACATTGTACATACATAAAAAGTCGTCCAAATTTTCTTTCTGACCTTTTACGGGGTAATGGGTCCTAGTATCAATGCAAGTCTTCGAAGAAGATCTCACAAAACGAACGAACATAGCCGTGGTGGTGAGTCTTAATAATCGAGTGGGGATTAGGATCGGCTTCAGCTCTTGGGGCCTTCTCGTGTAAGATAAATAAACATGCGCTGTGTAATACTTTGGAATAGTTTGCGGCTCAAGCGATATCGTTAATCATTGCCGTCCCAAGGCAACACAAGAACCTTGATGAACTTATAGTGTTGTGCATTGTCGCCCCCAGATGAGACGAGACACGGTCCGCCGACTCTGGTTAACATATCCGATTCATTGCTCCCATCAACACAATGCAATTCTTTTGATCAGGCCATCTCAGAGTTCTGCCTATACTTCTCTATTTGCTTATCTTCGGGGGCTATTGAAAATACCGCTTTGTCTATTGAAAATACCTCTTTGTCTATTGATCTAGGATTGCCGACCTGAATGCAATGTGAGTTAAATTATTCGAGATGACCTGAAAGATTCAACCCCAAAGAACTTGAGGCCATGGTTATATGTTGAAAGGGATCTACTCAAACATGATTGATCAAGCAATCAGCTGAAATTTGAGAATTAACAAGAAGGCCCTTTGAGCGTGAATTCAATAGCTGGTGAATATTAGACGATGCCAAAGGGTATTGTTCCCGAATTCTAGGGTGCCTAAGTAAGGCTGCATGATAGCAGGCAATCTTGAATCTCAGGGATAACTTAGGAAGTATCAAGAATTTAATAGAAGAAATGGAGCGAGTTTGAGTTGAGCACAGCTCTATTAGTCTTCGAAGTACGGGATAAACCGTTGAGACTTGTAGGAGACGAAAGACAAAGATGGCAGAAGAAATTGGGGCATTTAACGAACTAGTCCAAGACAGGTAAGACCTGTTCACGCTCCCCGCGCAGCCGTGTCATTGATCCAACGTCAACATCGTTTAGGTGAAGCACAAAAAGTAACAGGAGATGCCTACCCAACCCCAGGGCTAGCGGAACCCAGCGATTCAAAAGCTCAAGAGGTCGCGACTTTCTTGTGATGAATCATCGCCTGTAGCGTGAGTCTCCTCGGGAGTTGCCTGGAGAGACAGCTTTCACAGATCTCATTGGCCCTGTGAATTGGCCCTTTTTGGGAGGCCGCCGTCCTCAGCCCCCACCACTGTAAAATGCCCCTCTCGACATTGGCTCCATTTCACGGCTGTGGTGTCCTGAGGTGTTCAGCCTCGTTCCGTTCTGTGCAGATACAGCCCCTCAAAGCCACCTCCCATGCATTGTTGATAAGGTAACCTCAGCCTGACCTCGCTGTTTCCACCACAACCTCTCCTTTGTCTTTTGCAGTTCCAGTATTCGTGTTTGTGCCAGCATCTGGTGTGCCTTTGGAGGAGTTTTGTATGCTGGGCACCGTCTCATCTAGGTTGATGTGTTGTTGGAATGGGGTCCCATACCTCAAAACCGCACGGTGCCTACGACCAGGCTGTGGAATATCCAACTGCAACTGCTCAAGTCTTGCAAGACGACAGCGAACTCAACAGATACCCTTTCATTCCACTAAAACAACCGCCAGTCGGTAATCCTTGGCAAGAGAGTCCCAGCACCTTCCCGTCCGAGCTGCCTGAGCGTCCTCCTAAACACTCTCGATTTTCTCTGCGAAGGTCCTCGCTCAAGGGCCTTCCACCGACTCCACCAGCCACTTCTCCGGCTCCTCTCTTTCCACTTTCTCCGCCACAAAGCACGAACTCCACCAGGTTTGAACCGGTGTCACCACCGAGCTCAGATTTCGATCCAACGGCGTCGCGAATTACCCCACCGGCCTCCCCTGTCCCTGGAAGGTTTGGAAGGAAGCCCTTTCGCTTTGACAGTGTTTCACAGAACCTGAGATCTGCTGTCTCCTCTCCCAATCTCACCACCTCTTTCAATGGCCGTAACTTTTCCCGTCCATCACGAAGGTCACGTGGATCTGATTCACATGAAAGCATCTCAGCCCCATCGCTGACTGACCTCCCACTACACCGGGAAAGACCATCACCGTTTGGAAACAACATTCCTCTAGAACAAGGATTTTCCCGTCTTCAACTAGGTCGGAACGGCCCGCTCTCCCAACCTGAGACACCGTTAGTACCAAGCGCACCTGTCCCTTCACCTTGGCCCTTGCCTACTACAACACAACAAAATAATAACCACCTTCACCCAATTGAAGAGGATGCCACGGTGGGTGCATCTCGTCCCGCCCGCCGGCGGCCAGCGAGGGATATTTCTGAGCCTTACCAGGAGCTAAGTAGAAGGAATATCCGTAAACACACACGCCGCACCCAATCCGAGCAAACGTTAAAGGAGCTCCCTTCGCACAATGAGTCTTTTGGCCAGGCAAATGTGTCTTCTAATAATGGCTCTGCCCCGGAAACATTTCCTTCGGCGAGCTCATCCCGTAGTAGAACCGTTCCACGAGCCTCGCCTTCCGGCCCATTTCCCGTGACAAGACGCCATGCTCAGAATCAAGAAAAAATAGACCGGGAACTTGCAGAGCAGCTACAGCGCGAGGAAGACGAGGCTTACGATCTCTACTCTTCATTGGAACCAGCAAATCCCCAATCTCCACCAACTCGTGTCCACTCACCGCCTCAGTCGCCCGATGACTTTTTTGATAACCTATATTATGATGCTCCCGTGCTTCCTATTCAGAATCCAAGTGGAGGAGCTACGAGTAGCGGGACCCGAGATGACCCTGTCTATTCTCCGGAGGCAAACTTCGCTCGTGAGTTGCAGCAACGATACGGAGACGAAATTCCCTTACCAGACCATGAGCGTGCGCAACAAGAAGATACTGATGCGCAAATTGCTCGCCAACTTCAACAGGAGGAAGAGGAAAGGAGACAGCGAGAGACATCACCTAGTTCACGGGACTGTGTGGTCTGCGGCGAAAATACACCTATTCCAGAATTTCCCGCACTTGCTGAATGCGCTCATGAACCTGACATCTGCGTTGATTGTTTCAAGGGTTGGATTGCTTCTGAGCTCAATACCAAGTCTTGGAGTGAAATCAAATGTCCAGGGGATGGATGCAGGGTTATCTTGAAGCACCACCACGTCCAACAGCATGCCGACCCTGAGATTTATGAAAGGTAGGCTCCATTTCATGTATTCTCGGCAGAGCTAACAGTAATTCAGATTTGATTCCTTATCCGCACGAGATGCACTTAATGACGACCCCAACTTCCGCTGGTGCCGAGGTCCTGGCTGTAAGTCTGGCCAGATTCATCTCAGCGGAGAAGAAGGCAACATTTTCCGCTGCATTGCTTGTGGCTTCCGAGTCTGTGTGAAACATGAAAACACCTGGCATGAAGACGAGACTTGCGAAGAGTACGATTACCGGAAGAGTGGGAAAAAGGAGAGAGATCAGAAACAGCAAGAGGAAGCAAGTGTCAAGGCCATTGGCGAACTCACGAAGCGGTGTCCGGGGAAGAGTTGCAAGTGGCCAATTGAGAAGAATGAAGGATGCGTATGCTCTCCCATCCCCAAGATCTGCGCGAAGTTCATATACTAACAGAGCCGTAGGATCATATGACGTGTTCGAAGTGCCGTCATGAGTTTTGTTGGATCTGCTTGGCCCCTTATGGCCCGATCCGTGACAGAGGCAACTCAGCTCACAAGAAGCACTGCAAATATCATTCGAGTAGGCTTAACTAGCAGCCGATGAAGGGATGCAGCGTATATTTTTAGCATAGCATTAACTTGGGAGACCTAGAAACACATACAGGAACACTTAAGAAGTGGAGAGCGAATTAAGCAGGAACCATATTTATACCCAACTTGAGCGGGAATCTTGGTAGCACTCTATATAAAACACGATTCGAGTGATTTTCAAGTGCAATTGATTGATTCTGTGCGACTCGCAGAGGATACGGGGAGCAATGAAGCGCTTAGGTGGCGCTCCCCCGCGGCAAAATGGTCGATCTCATATCAATGTCAAGCGAGTCGTGCAAGGTTAAAACTTTGCCGACCCAGATGTCAACAAAGAGGACAACAACCCTTTTCCTCGGCACTGCGAGACTAATTGAGCGACCCTGACGCTCAAAACACCCTCATGCGTGCGTTGTAGACAGCATTGAAGGACGTCTTTTCATATTTCTACCTTCTTCCACACCGCGAGTGGTGCGCGACCTTTCGGCGCATCCTACCCCTGAACTGTGCCTCTCCACAGCTGCTGCAGCCATGACAGAGCGCGTTACCCGTTCCAGAACTGGGAAGACACCCAGGTGAGCCCTTCTATAATTCCTAAGTGTAGAGAATGTATGGTAGTGGTGATTGATAGCCAATGGCTGACGGACGCGAATTAACAGTAAGCCCTTTAACCCCGGCTTCGTTGAGACTCCAGGCCGCAAGAAATACACGCGCAAATCCACCTTCACTGGCCTCAGCGATGCCGAAAATTCCACTCCTGAGCCTTTCACCTCCCTCACCGAGCCGGTCGAGAGCGGGTCCGCTGCAAATGGCGGTAGCAAACAGAATGGAGGCACGTACACCAACGGTTTCGCTAACGGTTTCGTCAATGGCCACGCGAACGGCCACACCAATGGCTCTGCGACTAAGGCGCCGAGGGAAGAGCTGAAGAAGATAGAGAATCCGGCAATTGATACCTCTGGGCGCTTCGAATTCGGTGGCTCGTTTGGGGTGAGCGCCCTTATGATCCTCTTCCCGTCGATAATGTACTTCATGTGGATTGGCGCCATCTTCTACGACGGAAAAATTCCTTGGCCAACCGCAGACCAGAGCTTCAAGGAATTCCTGCTGCACATGGTGAGCCTCATCAAGACCGAAGCGTATCCAAGTAATCGCGCCTGGTCCATCTATTGGTACTTCGGGCTCGTACAAATGGCATTCTACATGTTGCTTCCGGGTGTCTACCGCAAGGGTAAACCACTTGCGCATCTGAATGGGCAGCAGCTGGACTACTATTGCTCTGGAATGTGGTCGTTCTACACAAGCATCGTTCTCGGACTCGTGCTCCACTTTACAGGCGTATTCAAACTATACACTCTGGTGGAAGAGTTCGGGCCCATCATGTCAGTCGCAATCATCTCTGGCTTCCTCTGCTCCTTCATAGCCTACTTCTCCGCCTGGGTTCGTGGAGCGAGGATCCGGATGAGCGGCTATCCCGTGTATGATTTTTTCATGGGCTCGGAGCTGAATCCGCGTCTTTTCGGAATCCTTGATTTCAAGATGTTCCTCGAGGTCCGCATCCCATGGTTTATGATGTTCTTTCTCTCTCTGGGTGCCGCTACGAAACAGTATGAGGAGTACGGATATGTCTCTGGCGAGGTTTGCTTCATTCTTCTGGCGCACTATCTTTATGCTGGTGCTTGTGCAAAGGGAGAACATTTGATCATTACTACTTGGTGCGCCCGAAGCCCCTGACTCAGTTGTTCACCGAATGAAATGCATACTAACCTCGTTGTCAGGGATATGTACTACGAGAAGCTTGGCTTCATGCTCGTCTTTTGGAACATGGCCGGTGTTCCTTTGTCTTACTGCCATTGCACGCTGTACCTCGCTACTCACCACCCTGACGAGTACCACTGGCCAACTTGGTTCATCGCTCTTTTGATCATGGCCTATCTCGCGGTGTATTACGTGTGGGATACCTGCAATAGTCAGAAGAACCAGTTCAGGCAAGAGGAGAGAGGTGTCGTGGAGGAGCGAACCACTTTCCCCTACTTCAAATACGGAAGGATTAAGGACCCCAAGACGATTACTACCAAGCACGGAAACAAGATTCTTTGCGATGGGTGGTGTAGGTATTCGGTTCTTAGTCAAGTGCTCCGACGCTAATTTAATTCAGATGGCAAGGCTCGCAAGGTCCACTACCCTTGCGACCTTTTCTTTGCTCTTTGCTGGGGTTTGATCACCGGTTTCAAGTCACCATTTCCATGGTTCTATCCAGCTTTTTTCTCTGTCATGATTGTTCATCGCGCTATGCGTGATATCGAACGATGCCGTGAGAGGTATGGCGAAGCATGGATGGAGTATGAAAGGAGAGTCCCTTATCTATTCATTCCAGTATGTTCACACCCAACCTTATATACGCTTACAAAGCTAATTTGCTGATAGTACGTTTTCTAATTATTTTCTTATCAATATTCTGAGGGGATTTTCAGCGATGAAGGCTTTGATTCTGATCGCTGCTTGCGTTTGGTATGGAGTTTACCCTTGTATTTCTACAGTTACACGTCTCTGTCTTGAATAAGAGGCCACTTAAGGTCGTAAGTAGAGTAATGATATAATCTCTGAAAATGGGTCCTGGTGTCTTTAGGAACGTTATGCGATCGTCCAACTACATTTCCTCATCGTACAAGTTTGCAGTAGTCTGCTAGTATGTTCTAGGCCCTAACTGGAAAATGCAGAGTTCTTGTAATCCTCCTTCACGCACCGGAAATCTCTCTCCAACCCTCACCAAGAACATCGACAAACCCCTAGTCACTCCTCGCTCGCCTATCCCTCACCCTCTTCAATGACCTAAACCTTTCCTTAAACCCTCCCCCGCTACCTCTGACTTCGACCCACACTCTCAGCCCTAGCCCTCTTCCCTTTCCTCCGTCTCTAATTCCTTCTCTAATTCCTTAACCTTCCGCTCCAACCACTTAACCACATGTTCACTCTTCCTCTTCTCCTGCTCCGGCTCCTGCTCTGGCTCCAGCTCCAGCTCCAAATAATCTTCGCCTCCATCCTCATCTTCCCCGCAATCTCGACCAGCTTGTGCATTAACATCGTCCGCATAGTCTGCAGTTGCGTGATGGAATGCGCTTGTATAGTCGAGCCATCCTGTTTAACCGCATTCTCGCCATCCTTTCGCACAGCAGCTGCTAACAGTGACTTGAGATCGGCAATCGGTGAGTTTTCGTCCCGCGTCCGTTAGAGTCGTGTGCGTTAGAGCTAGATGAGCCAACGCGAAAACACGATGAGATTGAGTGTCAGTCGTCCAGTGTAGGTATTGGCGGTGATGGCGGTACGCATTTCTTTCAAAAGGCTGGAAAGTTAGTCTTGTGGCAATATCGAGGACAAGGCGGGAGTGGTGGACGATAGGGGGGACGAAATCCAGTCTTGCCCCTATTCGGAACCGAACCGAGGGCGAGAGTATATTAAGATGAATAGACATGCGGTGAGTGAAGACGCTCGCGAAGAGACTGTTTTGGTGCGGTGGAAAGTGCTAGTTATGAGCAGAGAGAGGTTGGGCAAGGCGAGTTAGGGGTTTTCAACAAGATTCAAGGGTAATCTGGGGTGTTCTGAAATGGGAGCGTGGAGAAACATGGGAGATTATGGGTTGTGGATAGTGTACTGCTCGTTACTTGAAGACACTTTCAACCGTGTGCCATATCCTGCAAATGTTTGCTAATCTGAATTGTTGATGATCTTTATATCATGATCATATAACACGTCACCTTAAATTAATGTAGAACTAGTTACAGTTATATATCCCAGTAGTCCTTAGCATTGTTGTCAAAAATAATCTCTACTAACACCACCTTCTAAGCCCTAATGTATGAACCTGGGCTCTCTAGCACTATAGATGTATGCCTCTTCGCTTTCGGCAGAAATGGCATCTCGATGGAGCTTCACACAACGCTGGAAGCAGAACTTGTAGCCAAGAACTTCTTCCAAACCTCGCCCAATTAACCCAGAGACATTTCACATCACTCAGCACTTTCATCTCCAACCGCCGGCATCGTAGGTTAGGCGCCCTCTCCCTCCTGGTTTCCTCTCTCTTTCTTGCTAGCCTCCTTCTCAACTTCATGCTCCCTTGAGGGGGGGGGGAACAGTGTCCTCGTCACGTTTCCGCTAGCGCAAGGGAGAGCCAGTGGTGCAATTGTAGTCTGCGGTTGGTGGAGCGGGAGGTAGACGTTTAGGCCTGGAAACAGTAACAACAGAGTCAGCAGCACTAGGAGATATGGGGCTACGCGCAGCAGCGCCATCGAAAACATCCATGTATTCTGTATCAGGTATGCCCGTAGCCTTCCGCGTCTTATCCTTATTCCCCCGGCCGCCCAACTCCTTCTACAAGACAGATCCCCTCATCGCATATTCCACCTTAATCTTCTTTTTCACTTGCTCACTTTTAGCATTGCACTTCTGCTTCATCTACAGCGCATGTCGCGCACACTGCCACTAAAACATCTTCTGAAGCTGAGTCCCATACTCATCCTTCATTTCCTCAAGTTCTAGATGGCGGGCATACTCTTGAACCGGCGGTGTTGTTAGAGGTGTTTTCACAAACTACTGAACGTAATCCAAAGTTACTGTCACACACGCAATGGCGTTCGTAAGGCGGCTTTGCGGCGCTCAGGAACTTGTGGTTGGTAACTTTTACGGCAGATTTGTCTTCGTTATTGTTGAGATTAAACAAGTAGTTGGTTGGGGTTCGGTTGGAACGGTTGATGTCCGATGGACCACTTCTTACAGGTTTCGCGTCGTCGACCTTGACAGTGGAGCTATTAGAAGAACAAGAAGAAGCTATGGTAGACAAGTGAATGGATGTTAAAGTGATTGTGGCTAGAATCACTAGCTGCCGTGTTGGCTTCGTTCTATGTCAGGAGGATCTATACCCTGCTAGATAATGAGTCTTTAATGTAGAAACACTCTACAGGGGTCTGCCTGGAACTGCAGCAGTGGTAATCTTGGCTGGTTTGGCTGACTCTACGGGAGGAGGAGGGCGGGCAAGGTCTAGTTAAGGAAATTGCACTAACCTTTCCACTCCAAAAAAGGAATGGAAGCATGTTGTGTGGAAGAAATGGTGTAATCAAGTGGTCAGCGGTGGGAGTATAGATGACGTGAGGAAGAATCGTTGTCAGGGTAAGTTTGAAGGTAGGTAGCAGAGCTGGCGTGGTTTTAAATGTGGGTTGTCAGAGGTTGTCCCAACGATTCCCATAGCCACTAATATTCTAAGCAAGGACAAAAGAACTGTAGGATCAGTTGGCTTGGTGAATATTTACTGCGTTTTGACGACAGGGAAGTAGGAGGGCGGTCTGATGTTCGCTGACGCTTCCATCAAATCGTTTATGGAATGGGCCAAGCACCCCTCTCACCTTCGCAGAATGTGATCTAGATTTCCCTTTAAACACCTCGGTCTAGACGCCTTAAGATGGTCGTATTCGTCGCTGAATCTTCATGATCATTATTTCAGTGTGCCAACAAAGGAGAAAATTCACACAGGAAATCAATCTAGTGTAGGATCAAGCTTCACAGGTCGGGAAGAGCTATTCTTTCGACCGTCCGCCAGCTAGAGCAACTATAGCCTACGTGTTTGCAGGCTTGATTACAACATGCATGCTCTACACCCTCAGCGAAATGTTAGCGTGACGGAAGCTCTCGTTGACCTATCTCACACCAACTTGAAATCAGGCGGCCTGGGCAAAGGGCGTTGAGATAGGGACTAGATTGGGAGTCTTTGAGCAGAGTTTCATCGAACAAAAGCAGCCGGCTACCTCAAGGTCCTCAACAAGCGTACCACTGTCCCTATTCGCCTTCATAAACTCAGTAATGCTGGTAGCACGATTCCTCATATACCAAGCAACTTTGAAAGTTGACTGGGGGAGAAGAGGATTACTCGAAGGAAAACCTGAGTTGCGCCCAAGAGAGTGGTGTTTCTTGAGACCGAGAAAGAAAACACTAGTGGCAGGTCTAGTGCCCTGACGGCTATATATGGATTAGTCACTCAACCTTGGCGATGTTAAAACGTCTTGGTAGTTAGCGTAAGGGGTTGTGGTCTTCCAGGATACATATGCATAAGTATAACTTTCGTAATTGCTATATTGAGATCTTGAAGGAGCTAACTGAGCCCTCTCCGACAGGTGTTTGAACCGCATACCCTATATTTACATATACATTGCTCCTCGTGGCATATGCCATCCACGGTAGTGTACAGCCTCGAATTTTGTAGGGTGTTGAGAATCGTATTTTTTGTGGTATTCTTCAGTTCCGGTCGTCACGGGTTGCTCGGGAGTATTGGTACTGCCGCGGAAGAACTAGGGGTCGCCTGTTGGTTCTCGAGAAGACTTCAGTGGCAATGGGTGAGCTGTCTGTTCGAATAGTAGTGCCAATGGCCATGAAAAACCTAGTGCGCGAATGGTCAGCGATCTATCCTCCCTCCTTCAAGCATTCGTATGCCTACCCGAAGGTCGCGGAAGATCCTAGCATATATTGTCCTAATGTTCGTAGCATTCCATTAGGTCCCGGCCCAAAGCGAATGATGTTTGTAGCGCCTAATGCGGTCAGACTAGCTCTTGTGTGTTGGGTGAGTTGTGCGCACCGAATATGAAGCCAATGATCAACCCCACAGCTGGATTAAGAGTTAGGGAGGCGTCTTCTTAGGTATTAGCATAATTAAGACGCACATCCACCCATCATGCCGCCCATCTTCACTACGGGCTGTTAGCCCATCATTCTCGCATAGACCACATAACACCTACGTTTATCAAAAGTGGAAGGGCCATGGGGACCACTACCGCCAGGTATGGCACCGACCGGCACAGGCATGGCGGAAGACGTTCGATGTCAGTGTTTAGACAACCAAACGAATCGGAGGGAAACGTGAGATGTTTGGCAGGCCTCGGACGGCAGTCGTTCCACTCGATGCTCGCGCGGATTTTGCCGCAGGATGAGGTAAGGCAACGATCACGTGGTATTACCATTCATTCAGGACAACGCTGGAATGTGCAACGCCATCGCCAGCCGTTGAAGCTACATTCTTCTATCCATATCCTGCCATTCTATTTGCATTTGAAGTCTGTTTTGGCCGCCGCTGGCCAGCGTCTCTACGCAACACCCAGATCACGGCCCCCTTGGCGACGCGGCCAGCCAATCCGCAGGCGAGCCGTCAGTGGAGACAAGACCCGGAAGCCCTGACGACTGAACTCCTCCGCTCACTTCAATAACACGCCCTCTCTCTCGCCCTCCACCGCACAGCTAGCAGCGCTCGTGCCGTTTCTATCGCCATCTCCTTCACCTCACCCGCCCGCGCTGCCGTATCCTACACCTGTCTACTGCGCCTCTCAGGCCTGACGTCGCACGGCGACCACACGGACTCGCTGCACACGACAGACATCCACGGGTCTCATCGCGAGCTGCATCCCTCGGCCCCGCTGCGCCAGCCCGCTCGTCGACACCTCCCGCGGCGTATGAGTGTGTGACAGGCCGTCCCTGCGTCGTTGCTGCTGTCGTCCAGAATCGCGGTCGCTCGAGGTTGTCACGCTGCTGCAGCGCTAAAGCGAACACAGGGTGCGTGCGAGAAAAAAGTCACCCCGACGGCGCCAGCGTTCACCACCTGTAGCCCCCGGAAGCCGCAGCCTGCGCACCGCTTTGTCAATGACGGCGGTCGCCCCTCCCCCCAATTTCCAAAACATCGCCCGCCAAGGATGGAGTGGCTCTAACGGCGTCGCCAACGGTGTGAACCCTATGGGCGACAACGACTTCCGAATGTTCATGCCTCGCAAGAACGCGCAACGATCCACGTCTTCGTCGTCCCTTTCGTCGTCGGCATCGTCCAGCACGACAATACCAGCACCGTCCGCGCAGACCAACGGTGTCGGTCCCTCACCAGCTGGAGAAGGGTCGACGTGGGCAGCACGCAAGAAGGCGCCAAGAGGGCTATGGCCAGCGTCCAAGACAGAACCTATCTCGGGCATATCAACAGCACGGCCGCAGTCAATTGCTTCGGCAGGACCTGGCCCCTCGGCAGCCTCTTCAATATCGGCCCTGCACTCTCCTGCCGCAATGGTTCCCTCACAGCACAGTGGGCAGTCGCAGTCACAGCAGAACGGCGCGCCGCGGCCCCAGCATCAGGAAAGCAGCGCCATATTACACCTAATACCCATGAACGGCACCTTTGAGCGAAAGACCATCACCGTTCCCTTCTTCCCCGACGTGCTCCGCATTGGCCGACAAACAAACAACAAAACAATACCAACGCCTTTGAACGGATACTTTGACTCCAAAGTGCTGTCTAGACAACATGCGGAGATTTGGGCCGATCGAAATGGGAAGATTTGGATACGCGACGTAAAGTCGTCAAATGGTACCTTTGTTAACGGCCAGCGACTGTCGCAAGAGAACAGAGACTCTGACCCGCACGAACTACGGGAACAAGATATGTTGGAGCTCGGTATCGATATCGTTAGCGAAGATCAAAAGACGATTGTGCATCACAAGGTCGCTGCACGGGTAGAGCATGCAGGTATCTATTCCAACACAGGTAACAACATGCTTGACCTCAACTTCGGTGAGATTGAGAATCAACAGTTGTCTAATATGATGGGTCCAGGTGGACAGTCGCAAATGGCCAATATGCGGGGCCGGGCTCCTAGCCAAGGCTCAATGACTGGGGGGCGAATGCAAGGATCTGCAGGTACAATGGGAAATAATGCGAATGCGATGCAGCAGCAGCAGCAGCAGAGACATACCAACTTTTGGCTGCAGCCCATCACCATGGAGCAAGTGGTGAAGAAGCTCAATGTGAGTTGACGTAGTGCTACTTTCAATTGCACGGCTAATAATAGGGATACCTAGGCTGAGATCAAAACTGCACGACAACAGTCCCATGAACTCCAACAAACCCATCACTACATCAACTCGATACTCTCAATGGATCCCAAGAAGGAGGCCGCCAAACCCTCGCCCAATAACCATGTGAAGGTCTCTCCCATCAAGGATCTCAAAACAAGGTTCTCCGAACCTCCAGCACCACCACCCCAACAACCATTGCCAGAGAAGCCTAATACTCACCAGCCATCGCTCCGGCGGTCAGACACTGAGCGACCCAAGAGTACAAGCTCACCGGTTCGATCAGATTCCCACTCTCAGATATCTTCCCTCGCTCAAGAACTGACATCTGCGAAGAAGGAAATCGAGTCTCAAAGCGCTCGATTACGGAATCTGGAAACCTTGCTAAGCGAGGAACGCCGTGCTCGAGAGGATGCCGAGGAGCGAGCCAAACGGTTCGAGCGTGAATCCCCCAGGGACCGAGAAGTTGCTGAGCCCACCCTTGCCCAGGTTATTGAAGAAACTCCTGAACCCGAGAGTGGCACTCAGCCTGAGCGTGCTGAAGGCACCGGGTTAGAGAATGGCTCTGCGTCTCCTAGTATCGCTGACATTGCAACCTCTCGTCTTCAACAACGGCTGGAGTCGATGGTGTCTGAGATGAATGAGATGAAGCAGCAAATGGAGAATTATCGTATCCGAGCTGAGACTGCAGAGGCCGAAAGCGCAACACACCGCAAGACTCTTGCAGAGATGGTCGAGAAGATCAGACAGGATGACGCAAAGAGGGCCACAAAAGAAGCTAAGCGCCGAAGCCAAAGCGATAGCGACCCAGGACTAGAATCGACTAGCAGCAGGATGGATGGGCCAGACGAAGCTGACAACTCTGAAGAGGGTGAAATCACAATTATTAATGAGAAGGATATAGACGAGGATGGCGCAGGCGCCTTATTGCGAAGGGTTGCTCAAAATGGGGAACCAGGCTCTTCCCAAGATCCGGCAAGCGCGGGCCTCGTAAAAGCTACACACGCGCTGGCAACTCAACTACCCAACCGTACCGATACTCTCACAGCTAGCGGCCCCGTAGTGTCTCTCTTTACCGTTGTCGCTCTTGGTGTCGCAGTCATGGCATGGTTGAACGCCTACCCCAAGGTAGAACGGTGAAGCACAATTTGCCAAGGTTAGTCTGCTACAACACCGCTCGCGGGGCGCTGCTTCTGGGGATGAAGGGGCAAAGAGTAGACGTGGAGAAGAGAATTAAATGCGTGGTGCAGCAATAATTAACGCGGAAGCACTTGGTCATCTCCACTAGTGGTCTTTTTGCTGCCAGGGACTATTGCACCAAACTACTCCCCACGCAAGTTCGCAACGATCTGCACGCCCACCTTTCGAGACTACTCACGACTTTGGAGACGATATGCCTGCCTTCGAATTGGACAGTTGCAAGACATTGCACGACACTGCACGACAGGAAAACGTTACCATTTACGAAACGTCCATTTGGACAGCCTATCAAGACCGCACGCGTTGTTCTACATGAAAGGGCGACCTATGTTCAACAAAACATGCACACACACAATACCGCATTCAACGACTATACATATTGACTTTGTTTCCTAGCCTTTTTTTCCTGTCTGATCTTTGTGTACCCATCATTCACTCTGGGTGACGAAAGCACTCTTGTATCAAGCAGGGTCTACGGTCCCTTGCATATGCGGGCTTTTTGGTGTTTCTGACATTGAAAGGTTGGCCTGGGCGTTTTTTGAAGGGCGTAATTTCCATTCCATTGGTTGGGCGTTTGCCATGCCCTGTCTTGGTATCCGTGTTTCTGTTTGGTTCAGTTGTGGATTAGTCTCCAAACAAGGAAAACCCTTGCATTTTTTGTAACCCTCCCTTCGATATTTTTTTCCCTTTGTCAAGCGAGAGAGAGGTCTCTCAGTCACTCATTTGTCAGGACTCTTAGTTTGGTCTGGATTGGATTGGGCTGGACTGGGGTTGGTTGGTGGTAAGTGGGGATTGGGGGTATTTATTATGGGTGTGGGGTTAAGGAAAGGATTTTTGAGGATCTTTTTCTGGGCTTCAATGATACATATTTGATCAACTTCACCGAGCTGGTCTACGGTATTTGGATATTGTGATGTTTTGTCTTTCGTTGGGGCCATTCATTATAGAAGGGCGTCAGGAAAGACACCCACTCTCATAGAATTCTGGCCAGAAGAAAATATGTCTCCTCAAACATTGACGTTAGGGAAGAACGTTAGACCAACTGCTTCTCTTCTGAGATGGACGCTGCCTCAGTGTAGAATCGCACTCCTCTTAAACACCACACCACTCGTTACTTCAAGCTGATAGCCACAGTAACCGAGCTCAAGAACCTGATGCGGGTCTCGGGGACCTCGGCCTCGTCGTCAAATTTCCTTTTCTTCTCCTGCTTGCCCTTGATTTTATGCTGCTTGTGGAGCATAAGTTTTTTTTCATCCGCGAACATAGTGTCCGCATTAGCCTCGTCATCGGACATCTCCTCATCTTCGTCCTCGTCATCATCCTCATCCTGCTCCTCTTGCTTGGCATTCTTCAAGGCAATATCATCAATGACCTTCACAGTCCCCGCCTCAACCTGGACTTTGCAATCCACCTGTTTCTGGAAGAACAGACCGAGATTCAAGGCTACTGGAATGGCTTTTCCTGTCCCTTTAATCAAGACTGGCTCAGCTTCCTTGGTTGTAGGCCGGGGGCTGCTAGCGTCGGCGATTGCTTGCTCGACGGCTGGGGCGGTGAGAGTGCCGGTTGCGATGAGAGATTGGGTCTGGCGTTTAGAGATTTCCCCGAGGAGCTTGCGAACGAGTTTTATTGTGGGGACAAATTTGGTGGCTGCCTTTACGTAGATGATTTTGGGGTCTGAGGAGGAGAAGGGGGTTGGGATTGCGGGACGGAGGATGGGTCGTTTGGAGACTATGGCATCTGGAGAAGTAAGCGGTGGGAGGGACAGATGTGAGAGAAGAGAAGAGAAGAGAAGAGAAGAGAAGAAAAGGGAAGAGAAGAGAAGAGAAGAGAAGAAAAGGGAAGAGGAAGGGGGCTTACTGATAGGCAGTCTGGGGAGCTTCTGCTTCTTTGACTTGGGCTGGCCCTTCTGCGACTTTTGCTCTTGTCGCTCTTTCTGGTCTTGGTCTTTGGCGAGGTCGTCGGAGCCCTCCTCATTCCCTACCTTCTGCTTTTTGCGACTGGACCCGTTGTCCTTCTTGGGCTGCTCTGATGCTGTAGCCTTGTCCTGTCTCTGTCCTTGCTTTCTTCTCTTGGGTGTTGTGGCAGGAGTGTCCTTTGAAACTTCACCATCAGTTTGCGTTTGTCCAACCTTGACAGTCGTCAGGTCGATGTCCATAGCATCGCTCGTCTCTTTAGCCTCAGTCGCAGGCGGGGGCTTCTCGTTCCCATTCCTCGCCCTCTTCTTGCCCCTCTTCTTGGGCTGGGCCTTTTCTTTGGCAAGAGACTCTGTCACAGTGCCATCCTTTGCCATCTCTGCAGCTGTTTCTTCTGTGGTTGTGTCAGGATTTTCCTTCCACTTTTTCGCTACAACTTCCTTTTGGATACCGAAGTATTTCCGCATATGGGATTTACCATTCGAGTGCGTTGAGGATTCGGCGAGTGACTCGGCAGAAGCTTGAGCCATCTCTGGCGCATTCGATGACGGAGAGGTCTCGGCGGAGGGCATCTGCGGCACGGTCGATGGTGGGGTGAAGTTGAAGGAGAATTTGGAAGGCTGGAGTTTATATGCTCCTAGTCCTACCGCGGACAGCATCGTGACTGTCAATGGTGTTCACGGTGGAAGGTGCGGACCAGAGTAGCGGAAGGTGAGGACGGAATTTCAATATTTCGTGGCTTTCAGGCTTCCTATCGATAGCCCGCTTGAACCAATTAGCGATCCGTGTTCGGCTAGGCGATAGGTAGCTCACATTCTATTCCCTGTCCCCAGCATCTGATGGTCATGAATAGTTGATACTTTCTTAGTGGGCCCAATGCGGCTCAGACATATCCATTTCCCAAATGTTATCCCATATTCCGCTGCGTCAGCGCTCCAAGAAGCCTACGTATCCCGTTTCCTGGCCTCAAAGCGACAATTAAGCCCTCAATCTCCCTCTCCACTAGCACCCACGCCGCATATCATCACCGCCGAATTCCGTCCCGTATACACATGTGGCCGGCGCGAAATTGGTACCGTATCTCCCCAGCAGCAAGAATACCTCCGTGCCAATGGCCGCGCTGAATTCGTCGAAGCCATGAGAGGCGGCCAGACGACCTTTCATGGTCCTGGCCAACTCGTCGCTTATCCCATCATCGATTTACGCGCGCATAAATTGACGCCGCGGGATTATGTCTGCGTGCTGGAGAAGAGCTTGATTGCTACGTGTGCGAGATTTGGTATTAGGACTATGACGACAGAGAATACGGGGGTGTGGACAACGGAAGACGATAAGATTGCAGCGATTGGAGTGCATATGAGAAGGCATGTCACTAGTCATGGGGTTGGTCTGAATGTGAATACGGATTTGTGGTGGTTTGAGAGGATTGTGGCATGTGGATTGGAGGGGAGGCGGACGACAAGTTTTGAAAGGGAGGGGAAAATAGGGAAGAGTGTGCGGGAGGTGGGGATAGCGTTCGTCGAAGAGTTTGGGGAGAAACTTGGTGCTGAGGGGGTGGATGTTGAAGAGGTTCCGCCACTGAATATGGAAAATTGACTCAGGACTGAGTGATAAGCGGTGGAGTGTTTTGATGTGCATACATCCAGCGAGGCATATTCCATCCCCAGTTCTCTACAACAGCTCCAGTTTGTAAAGAAGTTTAGCCGTTATCTCAGCTACATCCCATCTCGAATGGGGCATAGACTGAGCAATGAATGGTGGAGTGCTTTGGTGTATATGCGTTGAGGGAGGCAGACTCTGCCCCGACCCTTCACAGCATCTCCGGTTCTTCAAGCAAGTTCAGCAGTTATCACGACAGCAGCTCACCTCAGCTGATGAACATCCTTGATTTCGAGGAGCATTGACATTAACTTCCCCAGTGAGAAGGGGCTGAACTCCCCCCAATACACCGCTGTACCCGGGAAAAGGCCCAAAGTGGACCTATGTTTTCATTGACCCATACCATGGTGATACTTGGCGACCGACAATCCCCCCGATGCACATCATCCAATGATCTTCCTTATCAGCAGCAAGATTCTGTGCGGACTCCCCAGGCCCCAGAAGTAAGCATACACAGCTTCAGAAACAAGTAGTTTAAAGACGATGGTTGCCACTTCCCAGCCCCAACCTAGTAACCGAAGCCATCAGTGGGTTGTCATGGCATATGCCAAAACAGGGAGTGTTCTCGAAGCCGCTATAACAGCACTCGAGCTAACTCCCCACCAGCACTTCTTCGTGTAAACCACTGCTAACCATCCATCTTCCCTGTTCATCACCACTTCTAGCGTCCTGCGCTACAAAAAGGCAATGTTTGCTGGCTTTAGGTGCGCTAATGCAAGAGGAAATTATGTCGAGTTTCTATAGTGAATTACTATTTCAATGCGGATGCAGATGCCTAGCCTCATATAGCCCACTAAGATAGCGAACACTTTGCAGGGAATCTTGATGATGAAATGGTGCAGAACCACAAGGATCTGGATTATCATTGGTAAGCTTGGCTATCTCGCTGATGCTTCATCCTTTTCTGACTGGTTGCATTAGTCGCATTCACGTTTGCCGTTGAAGTCTGAGAGATTTGTCGGAACTGGAGGTGCGAATTGTGCCTCTGACGGCGCAGGCCCGTTTGGGACCTAGTTGCTACTTTACAATCTTCTGACATCTCGAACCAGTATGTTTATACCCCAAGGCACTTGTTCCTGCAATCGCTATCCACTCATGTCTACTGCCCACCCTCCATGGGCGATATCTACGCCGCCACAGGTGCAAATATCCTGATTTTTGGTCTCCTAACAGCTGCTAGTCCGCCGTAGCTCTGCAGCGTTGCAGCGCTAAATTATAATTGCTATTACATTGCTACGTAGGCACTGCAGAGCTGCTAGGTACTTCTCTATCTATATATAGTTTGACAGTTACTATCTCTACAACTACCCCCCTGCACTCTTTCTTTTAGCTTTTATTAGTTTTGTATTATGCGCTAGTATCTCCTCCTACTTTTTTTTACAACATTTTTAGCCCTGTAGCTGTTGTTATAACCAGTTAAAGTTGTCACCTTTTATCTGTGCAGCTACTTTTTACCTGTGCAGAACTATTAGAGTAACCTTGTTCTAAAAATCTTTAATGCCATTTCTACCTACTTTTCTTCTTTTCTTCTTCTTCTCTCTGTACTAGCAAATTGCTGCAAGCTACAGTAAACTACAACAAATTGTAGCCAACTGCAATAAACTGCAGTGGATTACAACAACGTACAGAAAACTGTAGTACACACCGCCTTATTACAAGTTTCTGTATGAACCGCCTAGGGGCACATTATAAGCCATGCACGTCCTGTGCTTCTGTACGTATTCCTTGTTACGCACTGTGTTTGCTCACTGAATGACACTGCCCGTACGAGTCGCCGCTGTCCTCGCCGTTCATCTGCTTCAGCCCCTCCATCGCCTGCCCTAGGGACTAGAAAATGGGCTTGTTGTAAGGCCAGGATGGCGCTTACGTGTAAGGCCGAGATGGTGCTTACGTGCGACGGGTATATATACTATTCTGCACCCGAAAATCAACGTTGGTTGATTATTCGTACCTTTTGGTTGTATTGGCGGAGTGGTGCGGAGCCCCGTCCTTACACTTGTGCCTAGGGGTATTAGCTAGATATTAGCTGGCAGCGTTAGGAAAGGCATAAAGTAAATTGCAGCAAATTGCAGCAAACTACAGCAACTTACAGCAAATTGTAGCAAACTGCAGTATATTAGAGCAACGTGCAGCAAACTACAGTACACATTAGTTGTGTTGTAAGTGGCGCTAACTATCTGTCACGGTTATGTTACAGCTATCCAACCCCTGAGTACCCTAGGCTTGGCACGGGGTATATAGGCTCCTCGGCCTCCGTACCTCTGCCTCCGACCCTAAGGTTTACTCTCGTTACCCCCCCTATCCTGCATTCCCTCTCTGTGACCTGTGTTTCCTGCTCGATACCTCTCACACTATCTTGTTAACAACGCTACCCCTAAGCTAGCTAGGTGTTAGGTATAAAACCTAGTTTAATAGTAAGGACACAGTTTCTTTACTAAATTTAACATTATTTCTACTTTCCCCTCGCTGGCCCTTAGGGCTAGCGTAACACTAAACACTAAGACAAAACTATATAACTATATATACTAATATTAATTCCCCCCTTTCCGAGCAGCTCTAAGCTGCTTGCAGAGCTGGTCTAGCGAGCACCTCTGCTGCTGCTGCTGCTGCCGCTGGCTCACCTGCCACATGGCCGCCTCCTCGCTGGTCCTCCGTGCCTGGGCTATGCGCCTGACCTCCTTGATGACCCCAAGCCGTAGAGAGTACCACTGTAGCTCGCTCTGACGACCTGCCCTCCATCTGTTCCCCCAGCGTCTGTCTAGCTCAGCGATTGAAGGTTGGCCCTGCAGGCCTACTGTCCATTCGCGCCAGAGGTCCTCTACAGTCCTTACAGCACGGCACATGCGATGCTTTGGTGCAGGTGCAGGCGCAGGCTCAGGCTCAGGCTCAAGCGCTGCTGGCAGAGGCGATGGGCTAGGCGAGCACACAGACGGTGTAGGCGCGATGCTGGTCTGGGCAGAGGTATATCTGCTCGAAGCTACGTCTGTTGGCGGCGACGGCGGCAGCGACGACGGCAGGGCTGATAGCAGCGCTGCTGCTGCTGGCCTGAGCCCAGGAGGCGGTACTGGCAGACTGCCTGGCTGCTGGGAAGTCTCTAGGCGGAACACGAGGCTGCCAGAGGTGAGCATCTGCAGGTGCTGAGACTGCGAGCTCTGCAGCTCAAGGAGGCGATCGATAGACCCCTTGAGCTCCTTCAACTGCTGCTCGTTCCGCTCGTTCCGGGCATCTAGCGCTTGTAGCTGGTCGGCGAGCAGGGGTATCGCCTGGTACAGGACTGACAGCCGACTAGGAGCCGCCTCTGCGTCGAGGGACGCGTCGATTTCCTGAGCAAAGACTGTGTACGCCTTGTGCTGGAACACGGGGTGGTTCCACACAGGGTGGCTAGGGAATCGCCGACGCAGCGCGACTGAATCCTAGAGGATTACTTCTCTGAGGTAGAGCAGCAGGTTTGTGAGGCCTCCTGCGGCTAGGTCGTTGATCTGGCCAGCGTGTGGGCCAAAGCGGTCCTTCCACGCGTCCAGCTCCGGCCAGATGAGAGATAGGAGCTCGTCTGGGGGCGCGATGGCGGCGCGCGGGATCTCGAAGCAGCCCATCTGGGGCGGGTGGCCAGCCATAGTCCTCATGAACTTCCGCGGCAGCGAGTTGAGGTAGCAGCCGACCATCTGCTCCTGGTTCCACCTGCCTGCGCGCCAAATCTGGTCCTCACTGATCCCCTTGAGCTCTGCTAGCTTGGCAGCCCCATTGCTTGGGAGGTGGGTCTTCTTCTGTGACGAGATCCCAGCGTAGCTATACGCCTTCGCGACCCAGTCGCGCTGGGTGTTGTAGGAGAAGGCTGCCGTACGATCGCCCGTGCTGGCCTTGATCAGCCGTATGCGGTACCAGGCCGATCGCTGGCTGAAGTCAGGGAACGGTTCGTCCCCCAGGTCCCAGCGATAGAGCAGGTAGAAGGCTAGGCTGCTAAGCATGCAGAGAAGCGGCTTCCGATGCCGCAGCGCGCCAATCGTCTCTAGCCGGCCGTGCTGGTTCTGCTTGCTTGCGCGCGTAGTGAATATGAGCGGCATGCAGCGCGTAGGGCCCTCGCCCTTAAACTCAAAGGTAAACAGGTCAGATATCTCCGCAGAGCGGCGGTCGCCTCCGCGCGTGAGCATGTAGTGGCCGAGCATGAGACCGACCAGGGTACGGAAGTGGCACTCTGCTGCTGCTGAGGATGAGGCCGCATCGGCGCCATGTATCCACAGCTCGCTGCAGAGCCGCTCGAACTCGTCCTCAGAATAGCCGTCAAGCAGCATGTCTCTCCCCTTGTCGGCGTACTGCTCTCGATCCCGCTGGGCATCCCTGCGCTGCAGAGACTTGAGGTACTCCCTCGCGCTGTCCTCCCGCGGTGACGGGTGGCTGTTCATGCCCAGCGCCTTCTGCTCTCGCCAGAGGTCGGTGATGGCCGTGATGTAGGCGCGAACTGAGCGCCAGGCAAGATGCGTCTAGTCTTGGGGGACGTCGCTCCCTACCTTGCGAGACCTAGTCCTCAACGGCCTGTTTGCAACCTCCTCAACTAGGAAGAGCAGCAGCTTGTCCTCTGTAACTGTTCTGCCGTCGTGGTACTGCTTCCTCTCACAGAACGCCTAGATACGCGTGGTTAGCACGTGAGGCACATACACGTTCTAGCTCTAGTAGGCTGTATACTACCTTAAATTCCTCCTGCTTTAGACTATAGACCTAGTGCGTACTCTCTGGCCGCTGCTCACAGATTGTAGCTAGGATACGGTGCGCATTAGCGCGTAGCTCAGCGTTGTTCGCGATATTAACGTCTGTGCTGCGGACCCATGCTTGCCTTCTCTGACCCTAATGAGGAGAATATACAACAGCAAGACAGCAGCAAGCAGCGCACGCTGAAGCTCAGGCTCAGGCTCGGGATGAGGACGAGGGCGAGGGCAGGCCCGCTCCTATTTACAGACGCCATTAGGGATGCGGTGCAGCAGCATAAGGGCAGCGCGCGCAAGATATCCCACAGTGTGGGCGTTCAGCAGCGAGGGTGTAAAGGAGCTACAATACAGGGCGCAATACAGCGTCAGCAGCGCTAAGGAGAAGCTCCACAGGAGCAGGGCTAATTAGCAGCAGACAGGCGTAACATCTTAATTCAATACAGCAGGTACATAGGCAATCTGCGGCGGGCTCAGCCGGCAGCTGGCAGAGAGCGAGATGTCCACGGCGGGGGGCAGCGGAGCGGCCGTGGACATGCGCGGACGCTGGGGCGGGAGATTGGCCGGCAAGTGAGGCAGGCGACTCAGCGGCGGTCAGCGACACCTCTAACACCTTTCAGGACCAAGACCTGAGCCCTAGTCCTACTGTTAGCAGGCACCCCACACACTTTCTTCTAGGTCGTTATTCTGAAAGCAATGCTGATAACCTAGAAAGAGCCCCAAGGCTCTTCGGTTCGCCAACGGCCCAAGGTGGGGATTTCGTGAGGCTAGCTTGATAGAACATCCCCAAGGATGTGTGATATGCAGGCATCACTAGACAAGCATTGAATTCTTGTGACGTCGATATTCCGGCTCGAGGGGGTAGGGTCATAACTTCACAGTCTCATACTTCCGACGATTTAGTCCACGGCACGATTCTTTGGGAGAGGCCATTGCATAGACTGGGGAGTGAACTTCTATGCACCCTAAGATTCAAGGGCTAGAATCCGTTATATACCAGGATATCAGGTAAGTTATCTTACTATCCTATGTATAACACCGTTCAGCTGATCCTCTAGAATATGGACAAACTTACTTCCTGGGTAGCGAACCCGTTCACGCCAACTTCTTTAAGACTGACTACAAGCCCCAATTCGCAGCTGCAGCCGGGCCTTCGGAGTCTGAGTATCTTTTAATTGAGAGAAACTTCGTCGAAGGACACACCTTAATGGAATTTGACTTCCAATTCAAGCTTGTGGACTCAGCAGCATATGCTTTGAACTGTCATCTCACGGCCGTAAGTATCGAAGAAGTCAGTATTTGAACTAACTAAAATACTAATGGGAATCGGACGATATTGAAATTCTTGGTGAACGCTCCTTTCGGATCCGCGAAAAGCATTTTCGTACCATTCATCGATAGCTACAATGGGTGTCGTCCCACTCCACGGCTGTCCCCGATGAAGGCTACAATCCATCGCTGATATCAGACCAGAACATCAGCATCGTTATCAGACCACCATGAAGAGAGTGAGTCAAGCCTGGAAGACTCCTCACCGGATTTGAGGTCCTTGTATTGCAACAGGGACCAAAATTCGCCTTGTGAACCTGAGATATAGGATCTTGCTCTGCCCCAGGTACAGAACTTCGAAGATAGTAACACCAAAGTGTCGAGAAGGACTTCAGTAAGCTCGGAGAGAAGTGGCTCGCTTCGATTGCGATCTATTAAACCTAGGCAGCATACGGATTGAATAATGACAGCGCCACAACGCATATTACACTGATTGTAGTGGGAGAACATACTCTCTGATCCAAGATGTTGAATCTCTATATACCTATACATTCGCTCTATTCTCACAGCCTCTTCTCTCTGATGAACCACGCAAAGAACGCACTCCCAAAGACCATTCCAATGCTCACACTCAACGCAGCTCTCGCACTCTTCCCATAGCATTCCTTCACGATTTCTCTCAGCCCAGGTTCTAAGCCTCTAAGATACGAGAGTGATTCCCTCACTCGCTCGGCAATTTCTTCGGCATCTTTATCGCCATTAAGCGCGGACTTTAGGGACCCACGAAGTGTCTGGTTGAATGCGGTGGCGCACATGGAGATCCCGAAGACTGAGCCCAAGGAGCGGAAGAGATAGGAGCAGGCAGTTGCTACAGCTTGGTCAGTGTGGGAGGCATTTGCGACTACAAAACCTGTCAGCAATGGTTTTCCTGGATGAATGTTGTAACCTGGATCGACTTACTAAGCCCAATCAACGTAGTGGTAACCCCTAACCCATTACTGAACCCACAAATGCAGGTCCCCACGACCATCGCCGCAGTATTCTGCTTGACCAATCCCGCGAACATCAGAATGATAGCGAGCCCGACGACTAGGTTCGAATACGCAATGCCGGTAATCCAATAGTACTTCCCCTTCTTTTGCATATAGATCCCACCAGCCAAGGAACCGGAGACACCAGAGATGATGCAAGGAACGAGTAAGAGTCCAGCTCGAGATGCGTTGTAACCTTCAGCAACCTGCCAATATAATGGGATGAAGAATAGGGAGGCTAGCCATCCGCCAAAGGAAAAGAAATTGCACAGATAGCAGGCGAACAGAGTTCTGTTTAAAATGATCCGACCCGGCGCAAAGGGATTGGTAGCAACGTATTTCTCGACCAGAACGAACACGATGAACAATGGACAGGTGCAGAGTCCTGCGATGGTAATTGGATTGCTCCAGGAAACGTTGGAGCCCCTGTCCAAACCAACCAGGAGCCCGAAAACTGCGGTAATAAGGATCAACGCGCCTAGGAAATCAACTTTTAGGATCTTCTCTTTCCAATGCGAATGGTCCTGTTTTGGAAGATGCAGGATAGCTGCGACTGCGATAAAAGCAAGAACACAGAGTGGGCCCTGGGCAATGAATGCCCAACGCCAACCAATGCTATCTGCTAGCAACCCGCCTAAGGGGGCTCCCGCCGCAGATCCAGAGGCGTATATTATGTTTATATAGCCCTGCCATGTTCCTCGTTCTCTCAACGACACCACGTCAGATAAAAGTATGCTGACAACGGTCGTCATGCCTCCGCCTCCTATTCCGGCGAATGCGCGAGCAGCAATGAGTTCGCCCATGTTGCGGGCCAGACCGCAGCAGAGGGAGCCGATGCCGAAGATAGTGTATGCGAACAGGAGGCATTGCTTGCGGCCGAAGATGTCGCTAAGTTTACCGTAGACAGGCTGGAAGGCAGAAAGGGTGAGGAAATAGGCAGTTGCAATCCAGGAGGTATTGTTTAGAGCTTTGAGATCTGTGCCTATGGTGCCATAGGTGGATACTACGAGCGTTTGGTCGGCGGCTGCGAGGAAGACCTGCAGCATGCTTTAGCTTTTCATTCTTCTTCCAATAGATTTGTGAGGATGGAGTGAAGAGACTCACACCTATGGCTATCGCAGGAAATATATACTTCATCCGTTTCTTAACCTCCGGGAGTCCCTTGTGCTTCGATGCATCCCCATTGCCGGTCTGTCGTTCGATGTCGCCCCCATCGTTTTCGTCCGAACTTTCGTCTGAACTTGAGTTGTACGGGTCTGCTCCTTCCGGTACGAGCCCATTACTGGGGTCAATGGGATGCTGTGAGGAATGTAGTCGCGGTGGGTTCGGTTTCGGCAGTAGCGGTGAGGTTTCTGAGGCCTCTGTCAGAACCGGAGCTTGTGTCATTGCGGGGAGCAGGGAGCTAGGTGTCTCGCAACTCGAAGCTCGATTATTCCGCGACACTCAAGCAATGCGATGACTGCTCGGATAGAGAAGGAGCGAAACTGTAGGGCTCCCCGGCTCAACATTATCGCAACTCGGGACGTCGCAAATCCTTCTATCCCCGGTGAGCTCAAGCCAGTCCTTACAAATCGAGTATGCCGTCAAACCCCAGTGCCTTTTCCAGCCTCCAACACTGATACGAGATTATCGAGCTTGGTGATTGGCTGGGTCGGCCGTGCATGCCGAACGAGACGCTAAAGCTCCGCGAGGAGACAGGGTTGGGGATGTGGTGTTCTCGGTCACGTTATCTCGTGTGACCGCGATAGGCACAGATCTGACGCGTAGGGCGTGCATGATGTTGGCTAAACTGCGTCCGAGGTGGTCAGATACTGCGAGGGACATTAGCGGAGTTCCGCTTTATCGGCCTATATTTCTTTCGGAGGGTTATATCTCCTCCCTCTCTGCTCCCCGCTCTCCACTCTCAACCTAGCTCCAACCCCAACTTCACAGGAGAACGCACAGACACATCAATGGCGACCTCGACCCCAATTGGAGGCTTCAAACCCTTAACCGGGCACTGCACCTGCAAAACACTAACGTACGAGCTCGTGGCCGCTCCCCTCATCGTCCACTGCTGCCACTGCACGTGGTGTCAGCGCGAAACCGGGAGTGCCTTCGTCCTAAACGCCGCCATTGAATCCACCAACTTCATCCTCACCTCCCCTTTCCCCGATTCCCACATCCTCATCACCACGCCCTCGTCTTCTGGCCAAGGCCAAACCATCGCCCGTTGCTCCAAATGCTTTGTCGCCGTTTACTCCTACTATGCTGGCGCAGGCTCGGCGGTTACGTTCGTAAGGGTTGGGACGTTAAGTGAGAAGGATGGGAGTAAAGATAGGGTGAGGCCCGATGTGCATATTTTTACGAGCAGTAAAATGGGGTGGGTGGATTTGAGTGGGGAGGTTGAAAGGGGGGCGAAGGTTTATGAGGAGTATTATGTCAGGGAGGAGGTTTGGAGCCCAGAGAGTTTGGAGAGGAGGAGGGTGTTAGCAGAGAAGATTGAGAAGGAGAAGGGGAAGGAGAAAAGGGAGGGAGATGGTAGTGGATTGGTGGAGAGCTGAGGGAATTAATGCTGTATTTGTCAAGAAGGCGAGTTTTGAAGCTGTCTGTCGTGAGTAAGGGTCGAGCGCGAGGGCCAATAGTGACGAAGGGGTGGGCAGCAGGCCGAAGTTAAGGGAATGTAGTGTTGAATAGGCATGGATTGGTTCTTATTAATCGATAGACTACTTCTATGCTATATTAGAACACTGTGGTATCACCCAGAAGTTCTAACCAAATCCAATGCCGAACCAGACGTAAGTAGCTACTCTACACACTTCCCAATGCTTTCAATCAACGGATATCAATCCCCCATAGGCCCAGATTCCTATCTCCGTGAATTTATACTATATGCGCATCCTTGCTCTCCTGCCTCATCGGGTCGTCGAAGTCTTCCGCTTGACGCTCAGTCTTCGAGATATTGACTTCTGTTGTCTTCATTATCCCTCCCATCTTGCCTGCCGGATTATCGTCGGGCCACGCGACGCTGTCAGCGCTATTCTTCCTTGAACTCTCGTCTCGAACGCTGCCGTTACTACCGTGCCGCTCTTTCGCCGTGATATTGGTCATCATGACTGCTTCGTCGCCGCCACCGTAAGGTCGAAAGTCGTCATCTGGTCCTTTGCTGGAAACAAGCGAATTGTACGCCTTAGCCGAGTGGTGATTTCGGGTCCCAGAACCATAGGGTCGTGAAATATATTTCGGTGTTGTATTACACGAGCCGCGACCGTAGGTGGAGCTAAGGATGGTACGGAAGAGTGGTTTCAGACACGGGAGATTTCCGGCAATGATACCAATATTGCATTCAATTACTGTCCAAATGGTAATGTTTCGAGAATCCCAAAGCCAGTCGCCGGTCTTTCCGTAGTTGGGAAGATAGCTGATCTTTACGAGGGCGCCAGCTGTGGCCAAGACTCCAAGCCCGAGAATGCCAATGAGTGACATCTTTTGTCGAAAGTTCATTTGTACGCTCCAGAGCATGGGAATTGGGATTATGACAGCGAATAGCAGGTCGGTTGTAATGTTCAAGGCTTGAACGAATGTCAGTGTTCTGTCCTACTTCGATTCGTGTCAAAGCCTTCTTACCAACGTTTGTATAACTAAGAGCCTTCAGCGTGGTTACACCCCAGCACGTACCCTTTACTGTTGGATCCCACAGAACCGCGAGATTGGTACATTGTAGGATAATGGTCTGATAGCGCAAGTCAGTATTAGTAGAGCAGCCCGTTCAGTCACTGTACATACCAAGAAACAAGCTGTGGTATATAGTCCCATAAAAGCTGCGTTATCGTTAATAACGCAGCTAGTTGCCACACTGGAGGGCTGACTAACTCATTATAAAAATTATTGCCCGCCTGTAGAACGTAGTAACAGCAAGACGGAGAAGGAAGTACCCAATCGACAGCTTAACCAAACAAAGAGCTACCAAGTAGATAGGTTGCGTGACGAAGTTCAACTTGAATGCTACTTGGAAGCCCGCTGGTGCTATGTGGTCAATATGTCTTCCTGCTCCAAAATAAACCTCTGGTATTATGACAGCCTGGCCTACTACGCACTATACAGTGGTCAGTGTTTTGAGGATTGGCTTATGAAAATCATCTTACTAGGCCCATAGCCATTGCCATAACGTAGTCCTATAGAGGTGGTCAATATAAATACTCCGTCAAATTGCTCGGGCGATCTCACATCCCACCCAACATTCCTGATCATCTTCCATTTCACCAACAGGCGGGCGGTCATCGTGACCAGAGCAAAAATCGTCACTGTAAGGGTTGACCCGAGAATGACCGGCCCTCCATCCTCATTAAGGTGATGAGGAACGACTGCTGCCATAGCAAACCACTGTAGCGAGTGCGTTGTTTGAGGAATTGATATTTGCGAAGCAGGCGATTAGTATTTCGCGGTGTTATAGCTGCTTGTAGAATGCAAGGGAGTCGATGGACAGTGTCCAGTTTTACAATTCATGAGACCAAAAATATTCTGAGAGGAGGGGCGATCCTGTATCCGGAAACGGAGATGTTGAATTCTGTTTACGAACCTGCATGTGACACTAAGCGTGTGGGAGAAGTGACACATTGGAATTGAAGTGAGTGGACAGGAAAAGGACAGGACACGCCAACTATAAAGAACTGACGGAGGGTGTCGAGACTATCCTTTCTGTCGGAACAGAACGCATGAAAACCACGTTCATCTTGAAAGCCCGACCTGAGCCATCTAGACAGCTTCGCGAATGACGACTTCCAAGTGAAAGTACCGATAATTTTCGGGACCGATAGATGCTAGAATGTCAGGCAACAAAGAACGAACCACACTTCAGACGCGGCTACCAGGAAATCTCCCCTGGTTAGAATGGTTATTCGAGCTAATAGCCTCTCGCCTCGTTGTCCTTCGTGTGGCATGGCCACGACACCGATGGCGGAAGTTTGGATCCGTGACGCAGGTGATAAATCTGCTGTCCGTTCTGTAGAAACAAGAGACAAGAAACACAATAAAAAGATCCCAAACTTGATGCTTTGGATGAACATCTATTAATGGAGGCAGAGACAGTTGTTGACCCCCCAAAATTGAAGTTTTGTGTACTGCTATTTTAATAGCTTTCACCTGGCATGGTGATACAGAGCCTCGGGATAGGTAGGTAGAAGGTACTGAATTTAGTGGGTGGGCGGTGATGTCTCTTCCATGGACCTACAGGCCAATATGGGCATAGCGGAGACCAGTGACTCTAAGTAGAGCCAGTCATGAGGGATCTCCAAAAATGCCATTGGTGACAGAGAGCCGTCAAAAACGCAATCACATCATCCTAGTACCGTATTTGAAAATTATGTTGTTGTGCTTCATAACGTGTTAATCAGATATTTGGATCAAGTGGTTTGGAGAAGCGAGCGGGGGAATCGGGAGTGAGGATTAGTGGTTGATGTGGAGACCCCGAGCTAAGCTGATTAGGGGAAGGCAGATTTAGTTTAACCAGACGATCATGTCCATGTGAAAAGTCTCTCCTCGACCTTCATGCACAGATGAGATCCTTTCCTTCGCCTGTCCCGCTTCTTACAACTGTGGTGGTTAGGCTGTTCGAAGATCCTGCCTTCCAAAAGTTCAGCTCTGCTTCGATGGACCTGCTCCGTGGAAAGTTCGCCGAAATCTGATTGAATCCTACATTTGGGCTTCAGCCAAAAACTATTCCTAATATGTTCACTGCCAGTTAGCGTTCTTCCCTAGAGCAGACCCTTTTGCTCCGTCCTTGCAAGGATTCTTGCTGCGGTTGTGGGCTCCTGGTCCCCGCATGCGTCTGGCTATGTTCCATGCGGGCTATCAACGGTAGTTCATACCAAGAAGGGTGCTTTAAGGTAAATTCCGCATGCCATCCAGGGGGCGGTTCTATTAATGGGAATTTCCACGATAGTGCGGTGAATGGCAGTTACAGGGTGTGCAGCAGCTGGAAGAACCATTCGGAATGAGTCCGCTGCTGCGCTAGGGCCTGCAGTCTCCCGTGGTCTTTGCCCATCAATTTAGCAAGCGCTAAGGGGACTCCGAACTTTAGATGCCTTGAATTTCGCCATTGATACCATACAGTACTTTATGGATCTAGCATGCACGTGGAATTGGCTTTAATTCTGTACTCATGGAAACTCCTGTGGGTCCCTATCAACTCGAAAGAGTACCTTCCAGAAAATTTTCAGTAGATGAATTGCCCAGTAGAGCCTCGCAGTGACGAGGCAGCCGAGCATTCGAATTCTTAAGTGGTGAATAAGTACCTCCGGAGGACTTCTTCCCCTCACGTCATACATTAGTTCTCAATCATCTACAATCCTCCTTTACTTGGCCATACCCTTGAAGTTTCTCTGGGTCTTTGAATTAGATCATGCGCTCGAACACACCTATTCCATTCTGCCTCCTTGCTGAACCACTGTCAACTGCTCTCCTGTCCCCTAAACAGAACTCGTCAGCGATGACGACACTGCCAGATGGAGCAACTAGAGCGTTACCGGCTGCCGCATCCACAGATGCTGTAACGGCAAGCGACCAATTAGATCAACTGGTCAATTTCGCCCATGATGAAATGAGTGCGTCTTTGGCGGACGGCACGAGCAAACAGAAGCGAAGGCGGACGTACGTTGAAGAACCTCTCCATCTGAAGAGAATGGTGTATCAGGCGCTCTCAAATAAGTCACTTATCTGAGGGAGTTCTAATCACCCTCCTACAACTCTATTATTCTTTCGCACTCTCAGTGTTTTCTTCCCTGCACGTTATCAATCTTCATCACTGAGCTCGTTATCTCGAACCTTCACTCATGCTTCACCAGGGAGACCTGTCACGTAAGGAACACAAGGCTTATACCAACGCTGTTCGATGTCTGGAAAGTAAGTAGTCCAACACACCCTCAGCTCTCTTCCCAGGGGCCAAATCTAGTTTTAACGATTAAGTTAGCGTATATATTAACTAAACTCGAACTATATAGAATACTGTAAGTAGTGTTATGTCGTTGAAACTCTCTTCCATTTTATCATATGGGTGTGTTGCTCTGCCATAAGATATACCTTATTGACCTCTGTCCAGGGAACATTCTTAGCATGGCATCGTTACTTTATATGGCACTACGAACAGGCGCTTCGCAATGTAAATATACAGGCTACCAACCTTACTGGAACTAGGGTGAGACGACTGCCACTGGCCTAGTAAATTATCCCATATTCGACGGCTCCGTTATCTCGATGTCTGGAGACGGTGAATTTATCCCTGGCCAAGGCAATATAATCTTAGGCGGCGACGATCTTCCCGAAATCCTTATTCCCGCCGGTTCGGGTGATGGATGCGTAAAGTCAGGGCTATATAAGATATGAAGGTCACTCTTGGGCTAGTTTCTCTCTGTCTAACTAACAGCTGCACTATTACAAATAGAGACGGACTGAGCTACAACCCACGATGCCTGAAGCGAGAGCTGACGGATTATGTGAATAGGAGGTTTGCAAACACGAGCAGTACCGTCAATCTAATTTTGAAGCCAAAGGAGATCTATGACTTTCAGATGACCATGCAAGGCTATCCGGGCTCTGGAGACATTGGTGTACAAGGCGGAGGCGAGTTTACTTGGTATTTGTCGGTTGACCTAGGTTCGATCGAACGAACGTACGCCCAAGGGGCGTACCAAGAGGTGAGCAGGCAAAGATCTTCTTGTTATTAACTACTGCCCTCTCTCTTTGTACAAAGAAAGAGGGCTCTTAAGTACACATAGCCCCTAACGCACAGGCTAGATAGCTAACATTTTAGGCAACCTAATTTAGCTATACGCGTGTACAGACACAGCTGTACTTACGTACAAACACTAGCAACTTTTTACTTTTATAAATTAAGTTGCTTGCCTGCCTTGCCTTATTTTTTATCCC